GGAAGATTCCTTCATGCGCTTCAGAGCAGGGTTGACGATGGACTTCAGGTCCTTCAGCTTCGACTGGAAGTCAACTGTCTTGGCATTGTCACTATCCTCGTAGAGCCAGTCGCTAGCCTTGGCGACCTTTTCTTGAAGGAGAGCCAATTGGTCTTCCTTGACGGCGTGAATGAACTCTTCGTTGTCAACAAGGTCACGGCTCTTGTAGATAAAGGATTCGAGCTCATTGAGAGCCTCCTCGCGGAGAACACGATCACGGTCAGAAGCATCGAAAGCAGCCAGGCGACTCTTGATACGGGCCAATTCAGCCACGGAGGGAGCTTGGGTTCCCAGAGGGGTCGACTTCAGGTTGATGGGAACGATCTCAAGCTTCGTCTGGGTAGTCGGCTTGGCGTTTTCCTTAGTAGTAGTCGTCGTCGTAGAAGAGCTCGCAGACGAGGTAGTCGAAGATTCAGACTCGGGCTCGAGGGTGATTGACTCGCTAGGTTCATCCTCAGCCAGGGGTTCTTGTTCGCCCTTCTTGGAGCCGAGACCAAAGAAACCCTTGACATCTTCAACAACGCTGCCCTTCTTCTCGGCCTCGACCTCACAGCTGACATTGCCGCTGGTCACTTCGGGAAGACCGTTGACGGGGCTCAAACGAATGTTGAACTTGGTGGTGATGTTGGCAGTGGTGCAGCCAAAGGTATCCTTGAGCTTGTTCACAGAGGCGGTCAGGTTCTGAGTCTGAACACTCAAAACAGGCAGACCTTGCTCCTCAACTTGCTGGTAGAAGCTGAACTCAAAGTCCTCAAGGTTCTTCACGGTCACCTGCTTCTCAGGACCAACCTGTGACACTGATGTGAAAAGCTTCTGGCTCCGCTCCTTGCCATCGGAGTTCCACTTCAGGACGATAGGGTATGTAGCCGCATCACTGGCGCGAATGTCCTTGACACGGAAGTTGGGGCTGAGAGCTGCGCCCTTAAAAGCGGCACCGAAGACGGCCGCCTCGTCGGCGTTGACATTAGTACGTAGCTTCTTAGACGATCCACAGAGCTTCTCCAACTGCTTCTGGACGAAGGGAGTACGGATCGCTCCACCATGGAGAACAACGGAGTCGATCTCATCAAGCTTCAAGCCAGCGGCCGCAAGTGCCTGCTCGAGAGGACCACCAATGCGAGCCACGTGCTCAGCGGCCATCTTCTCAAAGTTGGCACGGGTAATCTTGTACTTGAAGTTGAGTTCCTCTTCGTAAAGTCCCTCAAAGCTAGTAGAGGTCTCGGTATTGGCGCTAAGAACCTGGCGAATCTTCTCCGCATCCTTCCAAAGCCTGGCCATGGTCTTTCCATGAGCCTTGATTTGCTCCGGAGTAACCCTGTCCTTCAGCTTCTTGTCTTCTGCCAACTTGGCAACCATATCGTTGACGATCAGATCGTTCAAAGAGTCTCCTCCCAGGGTCTTGTCCCAGCCACTTCCCAAAACATGAATTTCCTGAACAGTTTTGTTGAACTTCCCAACGTCCCTGACCTTGCGGCTCTGGAAGCGCAACACACTGGCGGTTGTCGATCCAGCACCCATATCAAAGACGATGTGGTATTCCGGATTCTCGCCATCCGAGACACTGGGGAATTTGCGGCTAGTTGCGTAGTTCAGACCCACGGCCAGACCGTCGCTAACAAGGGCCTGAATCTTCAGACCAGCCAATTCGGCGGCCAGAGCCAGGCTTCTCTTCTCCTCGGCGGTGTAGAAAGCAGGATACGTGATGACCACATCGCGGACATCAGAGCCCTTACCAGCCAGCGCGTCAGCGTTGGACTTGACCTCCTTCAATTGCATAGCCAGGATCTCCTCGACGAGGAATGCGTCCTTCTTTTGCGCTTCACCGAGACGATTGCTACGCAGCGCAACAGAGCCGCGACCATCGGGAGCAGTTTCAAGGTTCAGAGCTGGATACCGGCTCCAGTAACCCTTGACCGCCTCATTGTTTCCATCATCGAAAGGCACGCCCAAAAGAGTCTTCAGGTTGATGTACACATCATCTGGGAACCGAGCCGCCAGGGCCAGCGCGTTACCACCGTAGAACCGTTCGGGGAAGGGGGCATCGCTCTCTCTTGTTGGCTTGAATGCGATGGCGGCTGACTCTTTGCGCTTCGAGTCCTTGCTGAGCACGATCTCTAGGGGAATACCGGGCTTCACTAGGGCGGCCTTGAAATATTCCGTGCCGACATCAAGACCAAGGACTGCTGATCCGGCTGCAGCAGCTGGACTGGTGAAACTGACGAGGAAAATCAAGAATGGAAGGATCACGAGGGAGATGAACGGCGAGGTAAGTAACCGGCCGCGGCCCGGGAGAGCCATGGTCTATGTCTAAGCTGCGCACTGCAATTCAAGAGTTAGCTGGTGATGTCCGAAAAAAACTCGTCATCGGTAAGTTGGAGCTCCGCGCACGTTAAGCCAGCAATATAAAAGCAAAAGAATTGCAGATAGGGCTAGAATTGTACCACCCAGTTGCTAAGGTGTGCGTTGATGGAAGGCTGGCCTTGCGCCGAACGGCAAGCTGTATGAGCTATGAAATCGGGACACAATGTGGTCCTTGAGCGACAGTCGGGGAACCCGGGAAACAAGAATTGGAAGAAAACCAGAAAATGCACTAATTTTAGGCCATCCGGGCGCGAGAGGATGCTGTGGCCACTTGTCAATAGAAAGGACGAGGCGCATCTAAGGCCACGGGTCGATTACGATATAGGCGTGTTTGCACTGTTTGGGGTCAGCCTTACGTAAGAGCCCTAAAAAGGGTCGTCTTGGCAAGTGGGGATACTATATCAGCATAACCAGCAGAAATAAAAAGCCCGAGAAGTATGAAATGTTTAGGATTACAAGATGATTTTGGCGTATCAGATATATCAAAGCTGTCGAAGAATTATCTTGAACGTATAAAGAGACGTGAACTACGGCGGACTAGAAGGAGGAGAAGGCCATAACTCTGAATTTCTTCAAAAGACCATCCACCGCTTCTTCTGCCCCAAGTACATTTCATGCTTACTACATCACAAGAAGACCAATGTAGAGATTAACTAGGAAACTGTCTAGGAAACTGTCTAGGAAACTGTCTAGGAAACTGTCTTGGAAGCTACTCAAAAGACTGTCCAGGGAAGTGTACAGGAACCCATCTAATTACCCGTCTAGGAAGCTGTCCAGGAAACTGTCCAGGAACCCATCCATAGGCACCACCACCTCTCGCCGATGGCTTGGTCAGCAGATGCACTAGAGGCGTCCAGCAGCAGCAGGGATACTACCGGTTTGCCGTTGCCCCAGGCATTTTTGATGTGATCTAGTAGGATTTAGATAGTGTGGTCAGTGGAGATCCCCTTTCGGCCACCAAGACGGCCAGCTGGTAAAAGACCTTGACCTTCTGTTTCAACTGCATATGAAATTCGCCTGGCAACCACGGCCTTCAGGAACTTAGCCAGCGTTTTGATGAGTGCCACCAGGTGGTAGGATTTAGCCACCTGGTAGTCTCGGTCGCCTGCCTTGCGTGAGATCACAGTGAGAACTTTCTGAAAGTGTGAGAGGTTGTAGTCAATGCGAATGCACGAGTTGAAAAGGGTAGCGACTGCAGAACCACCGGGATCTTGATGAGTTTGTGCCAGAGGCTATTGGGCAGGGTATCCTCTCCGGGGGCTTTGCTGGCGCCAGCGGAGAGAACGGCATCTTCCACCTCACACAAACACCAACATCTCATTTTCCACACAAAAATCAATACCTAACCAGCAACATGAATGACCATGGTCCCTCCAAACGTGAGTCTGACTTGGATATTTGAAAAGAATTTCTAAGACTTTACTAATAAAAATGATTTAGCCCTTCAACTATTCTGTTCCCCCTACGCATCTTCAGACTCTGATTCTGGGTCAAATTCTGAAACTTCAGACTTTGATCAAGAGTCAGTTACTATGGGTTTTACCCCAATCCCAGACTTGAACCTAGATGATGGTTCTCCAAGTCCTACATTAACCTTGGCTCCTCCTATTAACGAAATCCCATGTCTGGTATGTTTATCCAGACTGAAGACGCATGAGACTTGGGACTGTGTGGGGCCAAGTCCGCTGTGACATCTGCACAAGGTCAAGAAAAAACTGCCAAAAGGTATGTCCAGATGGTGAAAATAAGAAAATACTATACTTATAAATGCTAAAAGTTATATAGGTTCCTCCTGAGTTCCAAGCAGAGGTCCAGGCCACAATTCCCATCAGCCCTCTTAAATGCGCCGGCCCATTCTAGTCAAGCTCCACAAGCAGATCAATGCTAGCATTAAGGCTGCTAGAAATACTCAGACAGAACAGTTGCTTAAGCGACCATCATCAAAGTCTGGAAAAGAGCCAGCTACAAAAAAGGCCCGGACAATGGCTACAGACAGTCAAGAATTCGAATTTTACCTCGGTCTCCCAAGAAGGAGTTAGGGATTTCCAGATCTCAGGCGCGAAGGACTCTAAATCTTGGGAGGAAACTCCCGAGATTTTGATCCTTAAACTAGGAAACTGTCCAGAAAACTGTCCAGGAAACTGTCCAGGAAACTGTCCAGGAACCCATCTAAATACCCGTCTAGGAAACTGTCTTGGAAACTACCTAGGAGGTTATACCTATAAACCGCCTCGGTACGTGAACATCTTATCAAATCAGATATCGAATGAATTAGTGAACTACTTTATCGAGCACTAAACTAAACTAAGCCGTGCATCAAATGTTGTAATAAGGAGTGTCCGTCAGTCATAAATCAGACCTCATGAAATGCGACTACCTGCCAGGATGCAGATAGCACGAATTAAGAATAGCAGTCTTCGGGTCCTCCACACTTATGTCCAAAAACTGCCAAGAATATAATTTTTTTAGTCGTTTTTCTTCAGTTTTCGGTTGCGCGGCTTTCCGTTTCCCTTTCTCTTTCAAAATCCGTGTATTACCCGTGACGCATTGAGAAAATACAATCACCTCTTACAAAACCAATGTAGGAATTGTTAAAGAAATTAGATCAGAGCCAGAACGACGGCCAGGGCGGGGATAAGCCCGATCAGGGATCGCTGGAACTGAGAGGAAGCTCCGTTAAACGCAGGGCTGGTGGTAGCGGGAGATACTGGCGCAATTGTCTGGATTGAGCTGGTCACAGGAGAAGCAGCCGGCGAGGACTGAACGGGAGCCGGTGCGGTGGGCTGAGGAGCAGCCGGCGAGGTTTGAACGGGAGCCGGTTCAGTGGGCTGAGGAGCAGCCGGCGAGGACTGAACAGGAGCCGGTTCAGTAGGCTGAGGAGCAGAGCTCGGGGGAGGAACGACATTGGTTATGATCGAAGTGACAGTGATCGTGCTGGTGGAAGTCACTGGCTGAGTAAGCGTGGAAGATCCAGTCACGATAGTGGTCCAGGAAACTGGAAAAGTTAGCATTTGAACATCTTAAAGGGCATGATTGGACATACTCGGACAGGTAGTGGTAGTGTACACGGTGGTGATAGTGGTGGAGCTTGTCGGCGGCGGCTTCGTAGTAGTTGTCTCGGTTTCACAAGGCGTACTAGTTGGAGGCGGCGTCGAAGTAGTTTCGCAAGGAGTCGAGGTTGGCGGCGGCTTTGTAGTGGTAGTCTCAGTCTCACAAGGCGTACTAGTTGGCGGCGGCTTTGTAGTAGTCGTCTCGCAAGGAGTCGAGGTTGGCGGCGGCTTTGCAGTGGTAGTCTCAGTCTCACAAGGCGTACTAGTTGGCGGCGGCTTTGTAGTAGTCGTCTCGCAAGGAGTCGAGGTTGGCGGCGGCTTTGTAGTGGTAGTCTCGGTTTCACAAGGCGTACTAGTTGGCGGCGGCTTTGTAGTAGTCGTCTCGCAAGGAGTCGAGGTTGGCGGCGGCTTTGTAGTGGTGGTTTCGGTTTCACAGGGCGTGCTAGTTGGTGGCGGCGTCGTAGTAGTCGTCTCGCAAGGAGTCGAGGTTGGCGGCGGCTTTGTAGTGGTGGTTTCGGTTTCGCAGGGCGTGCTAGTTGGTGGCGGCGTCGAAGTAGTCGTCTCGCAAGGAGTCGAGGTTGGCGGCGGCGGCGTAGTGGTGGTTTCGGTTTCACAAGGCGTACTAGTTGGCGGCGGCGGCGTAGTAGTAGTCTCGCAAGGAGTCGAGGTTGGCGGCGGCGGCGTAGTAGTAGTCTCGCAGGGCGTAGTGGTTGGTGGAGGAGTATCAGTTTCGCAAGGAGTACTCTCTGCAGAAGTATGGCCACCATGGCCGCCGTGGCCGCCGTGACCACCATGGCCATTATCATCGCCACCATCTCCTCCCCATCCACCCTCATCACCGCCGCCTCCGCCTCCACCTCCACCGCGGGCAACAATGGCATCGTTACCAGCCGCGTCTCTGGGCAGAACACTACCCGAGACCAGGCTGGCCGCGTAGAGCACCAGGATCGTGACACCACGCATCGTGTCTAGCAGAAGAGCGAGGATTATGCTAGAATTGAAGAAAGGGCCGGATATCTGACAGACAATAGGACAGTTGCCTAAAGAGGAAGTATATCAAGAGCCGATCCTCGGAAACGAAGGACAATAGGAACCGTAGCGAGAGAGTTCCTGGTACGAAGTACTTCCAAGATTTAACAAGTAGACTCGGAAGGCCATGGCAAGGGACGAGAATGGGCAGTTTTATATCTCACGCTGCATGGTTCAGCGTAGACCGGAGTCTGATTCCGAGGAGGCAGGGTGACGGAGAAGCCCATCAACCGATCAAGCCATCAGGATTTGAGATTTTTCTTTTTTTGGCTCTCCATGGCCCAATGCGTGAATCTACCACGCCGCCTCGTCACAATTCGTCCAGTGCGAGAGTTCATCTGTACGACGGTGGTACGAAATAATACCCAACGAGACCCACAACTGGCAAAGCAGCTTGGAAGGGTAACCGGACATGGTAGGTGCAGGGGACGTGGAGACTTTTGCGCTGTCTTCCATCCGTCCACGGCAGCCCACGATATGCAGCCGATGTACCGTGAACTGGGGTTATCTGCAGGGCCAACGTTAGTGGCATGCCTCGAGCCGGTTGGCTCGGTGACCTGTGCTTTGGTTCTGGGAGATGGGACATATCCAATGAGTACGGCGGAAAATTGGAGACTGATTCGCCGAATCAAGTGAGATCAGAAGACCAAGAAAGTTGTAGACAAACTCAAAATATCGAAGAAGCCCACGCTTGAGCGGGAGTGAGATCGAGTCAACAGACTGCCGATGATGTATAGTCTGGCTTGGCACTGCGGCGGCCGAAGCCTGATGGATACAGTGGATAGCTCCACCCCCCCCTCAGTATCCATGGCCTCGGAGGGTTGAGGCTGCGACTGGGGGATGGTGGCCATGGAATCCATGTCAATAGAGCCCGCCCCTCCCTTTGTTGGGCCACGATCATGGCTTGATGGCTGGAGGTTTGTGACGGTCCCTGAATTGTTCTCTCGCTCGATTGAGAAACTGACCGTATCGTACGTCATGAGACCAACTGAGCGGAGTGAGACCATTGAGACGTGGTGGGAGGTCCTAGTGCTCTCTGTCTCTTTTTTTTAATTCCTTTCCAAGTCATTCTCTCTTCGCTCGATTAGCGTGGACTGCCCTAAGAAGGGTCTCATTTGCTGGTCGTGGGTCGAGTGCTTGTGTGGGGAAACCTCACGAATTACAGGCCGGCAATGTAAGCGTCACCAAAAGTACTTCCAGGGACCCTACCGCGCTTGGGCTCTTAGCGAAGCATCCTAGGACCGTTTTGATTAGTTGACGTATTGAGGTATTATTGGAAAAAGACCAAGAAAAACTGGAGTCAGTAATTTGAGTTGCCGCAGGGCAAGAGTCAATTCGGGCAGAAAACCTACCCAGAGGATATTCCCCGCACGCTGGGTTATTCTAGATACATCAATGTTTCAGCGATCAGCATGGGAAATTGTCAGTATAGTCATTTTGTTGCTTTCTTTTTCTTTGTTGTCGTGGTTTTGCTTGTTGTCCAGGACTCCTACTTTCCCAGGACCCTGAAGGCCCTGGATTCATAGTGGACCCGATGCATGCCACGAGTTTAGTTCCTGCAGTTCACCCGCTTTTCCCCGTCTTTTGCCATCGCGATAGCCACAGATAATCATCAGCATCATGCTGTACCCGTCAGGACCAGCTCCTTGGCAGGGAGAACGAAGAGCGGGTAGTGGATCCTTCGGAAGCTCAGACGAAGAAAGTGGATGATCAATGGGATGGCTCATGAGTGAGTTCACTGACTCGGTCCCTGGAACTACAGTAGTGCTGCAGGTAACGTTACATCACAGAGAAATTGAGCCCTGCCCAGTTTTGAGAGTCGAAGGGGAGGAAAATGTTGGGAAGCTGACGCTCAAGGGTAGCGAGGTGGGCACTGGGACGGGACCTGAGTAATGGGGGGACTGAGCCCTACAGGTCTCGGTCGTAGTGCGGCGCAGAGCAGTTGAGCGTTAAAGCGGACGGCTCGCAAGATGCTCGCAACTGGCCCTGAAATTGACACTAGCGCACGCTGGTGCAGGGTAGCTGCCGAGTCGCGCACGCGATTGGTGCGATATCAGCCATGCCTTTGACAGGGCATTTCATGATGTCACGGAACAGGCCAGGCCAGAGAGAGGAGAGAGACACCATCAGTATGATTGTCCAGTTGATTTTAGCGTGAGTTGGGTCCAGTGAGTACATATCTGGCAGGAGAGTTTGGATTTCAGGATGTGTTTGTTCATCCCTTGCCTTTCCCGTTGGTTCGATTTGGCTAAAATGTCTCGGATGACGGGCTGGTGCCCATCGCTCGTCGTCATAACACCGACAACTTTTCTGTCACATGATACCCCAACTCAGAATCCCTGTCATCGAGCTTTTTATTCTCCTTGGAACTTTCGTTTGGTCTGGTGCTACAAGGTCCGATTCCGGCATATTATAATCAGTGGTTGGAAATGGGAGGCTGGTCCCACGCAATATAACATTAATACCTCATGACTATCACCATCCCAACCGCTTCCCTACGAGGTAATCTGAATTGATTGGTCCATCATACAAGGTTCAACGGTGAGCCAGGTTCCAACCAGCCTCGTCTATTGCTTCTGCTCCGATTGCTGCCCAGTAGAAAGAAAAAAAAACGAGAAAGATCTCGAAAAAAAAAAAGACAGATCTTGAGGAATCGCCTCAAGTCCAATGTTCTCGTGAGGGGTTGCCTCGTTGGTGATAGAAGTCGGTGCGTTGTCTTACCTGGAAGAGGTTGAAGCGAACACGAGTATAGCAGAGTCTTTGCCTAGCGGGAGTGTCTTGAACTCTCTGAGTCCTACCACATATTTTGTACAATTTGTAAGACAGTTGCGGCTATTATATTACTTGGGCACGGACTGCAAAGTCTATTGCACTTACTTTGCCGGTATTGTCCAACGTGGGAGGAAATAGAAAACGGGGCGTGGGATCTCGTATTTCTAGAAGCACCTTTACTTATGACTCCATGACCCAGGGCTGGCGGGCTGACGGTCGAGGGCTTGGTGGCTGGCGATAACAACACCATACGCTAAAATGAGAATGGAATGACTGGGGTAAAGAGGGGAGGGAATGTTCGCCGCACGCTAGCGAAGTAGAAGGAGCCATTTTTGTTTAGCCATTTCTTTTGGTATCGAAAATCAAACGATGACTACGGAAAGACCGGCTCGTCTCTCGCTAGTCTAATAATATGACAGCCGAGGACGATGAAGTCAGAATCCGTTATGGCCGATGTCGAAAGCCGGATTTTTGTAGTCTAATCATCGTCCTCGTCGGACGATCCACTGCTCCATCCCGTCTCGTAGCATTCCCGGATCTCGCCCAGCCCGTTGACCATTGCCTCTCGTTCATCAACTGATAGCATTAGTGCAGCAGTAGCCTGAATAGCTTTGATCCGGTCGGCTGTCCGAGTCGACGCGGTCAATGCGGTAGAGAGACTTAACCCATCCGCACTAGATGGGGACGCGGGAAACATGCCGTGCGGGAAACTGTCGAGAATGGGCAGTCGAAGTGGGCTGTGGTAACTAAGACAAAAGAAGGTCGATTGTCAGTGGATGATGGGTTGAAACTGTCTCAGTAATGGCCCAATTCCATACCTTTGTAGCATTGGCTCTGAATTATACAAACGAACTTTGCGAAGATGACCGATGTCACCACTTTCGGCAGGCTGAAAGGATGTCTTGGTTTGACTGCCTCGCATGACCTGAACTTGGTTGAAAATAGTTGCGGTGTCCGTATTTTCATTGTCATAGGTGAAGTCAATGTCGAACTTGGTTTGAAGTTTGGGCGAGCCTTCCTCATCGGACTTGGGGGCATAGTCGTTTGGTTTCTCGCGGTTGAAGGTTGACTGCAGCTCGTAAATGTTGTGTCTTCCATCGTCTCCGGCCAGCGAGGCCTCGAAGTCATGATATGGCCGTAGTCGAGATGGTAATGTCACTGTTTCTACTGCAGCGCTCAAGAGGGCAGACCTTTGCCATTCAGAGTGACGGTCTACACTCAAGTAGCTCGGGAGTCTCTGGGGAATATCGACAAGTGGCACGTAAAGGTTTGCCTGAGGCGAGATCGAGTATAGCGACTTGGCTTTATTCGTGTCCCTCTTGAATTGATGGTGCTACAATCCTGGTCAGCTTCTTTCCCTGTTCGTTTTTGGGTCAGAAATTCAAACTGACTCGCTGCACTCTCGTACCATCTCCAATGGCCCAGACCCAAATACTCTTCTTTCCATACTCGTCCCGTAGCTTATCGATATACCGAGCAGCAAAGCCTCCCCAGGCGTCGTCGGATCCTGTAAACAGTTGAAGAGCTCGCAATTGGTCGCATTCTTCGGCAAACGGTCTAACATCCCGATCCAAGAGGTCATGCTCCTTGTCGAGGTCGTTGAACAGGTCTTCACCAACGTTCCAATCCTCGAAAGGCATGACCTGGGAGTTGAGCTCATATTCATTGAGCTGGACAATGGATCGTGGGTGATAAAAGACCCGGTTGTAGTCAGACCAGTATCGCACCGTCTCTGATGTTAGACGCGGGGCGGTGGTGCCTTGATCTAAGCTTCTTTGATACTCGCTTTGCAAGATAGGTGCTTGTTTCTGTACAACCTCTAAGCCATCCCTATTTCGGCAGTCAGAATCATACAAAGTAGCTGGGCCAATATAGGGGGTGCAACATACCACAAACCCTGGCCAGCCAAGGAGTCCTCTGTGAGCTCGTACAGCGCATTGTGCTGGCGCAAGGTTCCAAATCCACCTTTCAGATCGTAGATGACTGTCCGTGGAGTGTACGTCTCAGAGCCATCAGCTCCAACGCCTGGGCGAAAATGGACATCATGGTCCACGGGTGACTCTTCGCCTTCCTTGTATGTGAAATAGGATTCCTATTCATAGATTAGAAAACAGGAATGTCGAATCTCGGCAAACCGGAGGACTAGAACGAACCTGGAGATTCCAGAAATGGGTCGCTAGGTAGTTTGCCCGCTGACCTAACTGGAGTGTGACAATCTCATGCATCGTTTGAGATCGATCTCCCACCTGTGATTAATATGACGTTCTTCAAAGTTGCTTCCTCATACAAGCGAGGCCGTTCCAGGCGCACAGACGCCCACTGCCGACTCTCCCACTATCGCTAAGCCTTATCGGGTCAATAGTGACACGTGATGATTAGCCCCTCGTGCTACTTAATCTAACCCGAATTAGGAAAGCACAATGGTGTCCAGGGCAACAGTCACCTGATTTGTCCCAAGAGGGCAATAAACAACGCTACCCAACTGTGTGGGTGCGTCACTCGTCGTGTCAACGGTGAATTTCTCCCGTAAACAGGCACCACCTCTTTCTACGACGCCCTCATGATTGTTTAAATTCCCATCTCAAACGCCGTACTCCCTCGTCATCATCCGCGATGGACTCTCCAACGCGTCCCATCCTCAGTCCCACGAAGATCCTCCACCCGGTTTCGCCGGAACGCATGAATCAACAAACAATCCCCGCCTCACCCTCGCTACCCACAGATCTATTGTCGCTTCATCACAAAAACACCAAGGGTGTCTCCGAAGTGCAGGCCAAGGTCGCTTTCCTCAATAGCCTTTCACGAGGAGGCAGTCCCCTCACCCACACTCAGTCCGCAGCACACAATGCCGCCCTCCAGCGAGCAATTCTCGGTCGCGAAGAAGCCGAGTCTACCCTGGCTTCTGTACAAGAAGAGCTTTCTGAAGCGCAATCACGCGAGCTTCGAATCAGCGAACGACTCGAATCTCTTTTAGAAGAACTACATGCTGCTAAAGAGCGCCAAGCCCACGAACGATCAATTTTCGAAAAGGAGATACGGAAAGCACGCAAAGAGGCCTTCCGAGCGAGTTCGACCCTCGTCAAGCTGCAGGAAGAATTGAAACACTCCAAGTCCGAGTCCAAGGCCCTAAAAGATGAAGTCGCTGCTGAGCGCGAGTCCAAGGATAAGGCAAAGCAAGAAGCATTCGAACGTGCGTACGCTCTTGCTGGCCTGACCGAAGAGCTGGAAATGCTTAAGGGCAAGCTGCGATCAATGGAAGCCGCCAATCAATCCAAGAATATGGAAGTCCGAGCTGAGATTCGCAGAGAAGAATTCGGGCGAATCTCTCTTGTAGAGGGTGATCTCGCTTTCTTGATGACTCCACGGCGACCCAAGCGCGGCGCCGTGGGATCAGTCAAATCTCCTGCATCGGAAATTGAAGCTGATGAAGTTGCCGAAGCCACTCCACCCAAGCGCCAGCGCCTCTCTGAATGCACAACAACTGCTGGTCCAGAGGAAACGACATCTGAGATCTCGGCGTCCGACGCCAACGCGGAGGCTCTGGAAGAGTTGAGAGATGAACTTGATCTCGAACGCCGCCGCCGCACAGAGGCCGAAGAGATGATCCACTTCTTAAATATCGAGTGCCAGTTCCAGCGCTGCTCGTGCCGAATCGCCGAGAGCGAGGGCCGTCGCTACATCTATGATGCCGAATATTTCGAAAAGTTCCAAAAGCCTCAGATTGAAGCCGAGGCTGAGGCTGAGGCCAAAGCTGCCCAGCAAGCCGAGATTCAGGCTAGAGTCCAACAGACACAATTCAAGCAGGCGAATCCACAACCTCAATCGAGTCATACCCCGAGCGTCGAGCCCCCCGCGACCATCCGCTACCAGCCAGAGCCAGTGTCCAAGCCCAAGCCCAAGCCTGGACCCGAGCTTCCAGTGAAGCCCGAGCCAGTGGAACCGCCCGAGAAGATGCAGATGCCCGAAGAGCCATTAGTGACTTTCTCTCCAGAGACCGGAACTTTCAAGACATTCCCGTCGCCTCTCCGTGACAATGTCCTGCCTCGGAGAACGGATTCATTCCCCATCCCTGAAATGCCCATTCTGAAACCTTCTACGAAAAATTGGAGGAACTCGGCTGCATCTTCAAATTACGCTCCCGATTCATTCTCCCCAACGGAGGAGCCAAGGGACTCCCAGGAAGTCTATGTCACAGCAGAGACAGTTCACAGCGAGCACTCGGATGCCCGTCTCTCTGTAGAGTCTCGACCCTCCAGACGTGTCGAGAGAGATACATTCTCCACTACGAAACGGATTCCTCTCCGTGAAGCATCTGACGCACGGACTTCCGGTTCTTCTGGCCTTATCCCAGACACCCCAATCAGTCGAGAAGATGCCCTCGCCCAGATCGCGGCCCGCCGTGACCGTGCCCGAAGCAAGCAACGCTCCGTGAGTGCAAATGAAGCCACTGGCCGTTCAGCTGGGCCGACAGCCACAACCTCGGGTCGAGGGCCAAGACGCATGCCCAACCTACGGGCAGATGGCAAACCCGAAAATGACCTCGCAGAGCGCCGAGATTTGAGCGCTCCTGTCCGGATGTACCGACGATAGGAGTCTCTTCTCTTGGTCTGGTCTGAGTTTATGTGTATATGAGTTTGTCTTGGGGTTTCTGTTTGTTCAATCGGTTCTTGTCTTCGTCTTCGTTTCAAAATACCCCGGCGCCGGTGCATCAAATTGTTTCTATCTTGCATTCTCGGCCTTGGGACCACTACTTACTATTTACCTGCATCGCGGCTGCGTGGCAAGAATTCTGGTGCATTTCGGTTCCTTGTTCAACTACGGCGTTTCTCATCCTATTCTCCTCCTTGCATTCCTTTGGGTCTTATGTCCTCCCTTTTTCATTGGAAATCATGCTTCACACTCCTATTTGCACACTCCCTATACATTTCTTTTGTCTGAACTGGTCTCGTTTCTGTAAATATGCATGCTATTTGTGACACTTAGCCAATGATCAATTTTGCCTTTGTACTTCTGGCACTGGTCTATTCTTCAAGATACCATAACTTAATAACAATATGAAGTTAACTTCAACCTAGGTCTCCCTGCTGCATTGGATCTCACATCTACTGCCGCAGCCGCAGCTGAGAGTTTAATGGACCGGTATTTCTGGATGTGATACACCGCAGGTGATGTCTTGGAGATGTCGCATTGTATGTTTTGCTAATTGCACATGACGATGAAAAGAGCTCACAACATTTACTAGACCGGATTTTTTCTCGATGCAGTCTTTGATGTGACTGCATAGTTTGCGAGCTTCGTGCTGGAGACATTGATGGAACGCCTGGGTGATTTCCTCGCTAACAATATATTTGTCGGGAATAGAAAGGGGTTCTACGCCAACTTGAGAGACAGCATTGGCCCAGAACGGCTGACTGTAACGAGATTAAAATCGAATAACAATTCTTTCAGCCAAAGAGTGCGACTCACTCTCGACTGACTGGGTGTTCATGTCCTCAGTGGGTGTGTATGGGACTCCATGATCCACAGTCACGTAACCGAAATATCCGTCGGCTTCTTTAGCAACGGCTGGTCTGATATTCTGCCTTTATGTCACGTACCTATCCGATAAGTTCAGTCTGTTGGTCGTGGGATCAACGTCGAAGACACAAGGTATGCATCATCGGAGCTCTCTTCAGCGTTTTCCCTTGGGTTAGATATAGAAAACAGTAGTGCGTCTGTTCCATAATCTTCACTGTCATATTCTGAATCAATCTGGCGTCCTGCACCCCTAGTTTCCCGCTTCCCATTATGGCCGTTCTGAAAGACAGTGAGTGCATGACAGGAGCACTTCTTAGAGGTCGGCGGAAAAGGTCTTCGCAAATCAATCACAAAGAATTGCATCCCTTTTTGGCCTGTAGTAAAGTTATCCTCACGCAATAACATAACCAGCGTACTCAGATAGAATCAGGTAATCAAAGCCCTCATTGATTTATTTCGACTGAATCAATATGATTGGCGGAGTGTGGCGCACTTGGCACCGGTTATGACGTGCGCGCCATAGTAAGTTGAAATTTAGACGGCTATCTGTCGCGAATTGTCCACATTTACTCCGAACTGTAATATTCAATACTGATTTTTGCTATGCCAGTTTACTATGGCTTCGAATGAATGGAAGTACGCAGCACACGAGGCTCTTCTCTATGTCTGGAAGATTCTCCAGGTCAACTGGCACCTGGGGCTTACTGCATTTGGCGGTCCTCCCGTTCATTTTAAAATTGTAAGCAAAGCTTCTGCATTTCAATTCACTAAGCAGCCCTAATGGTACGATAGTTCTATGATAAGTTTGTATTGAAGCTCAACTGGGTTGACGAGCAGTTGGTCTGTCTTTAAGTAAAACGCGGTCTGGTCCACTAGGAATACTAAGTGGATTGTCAACTTAGTATCAGGAGCTCTTTAGCATCTCGCAAGCTCTGTCTGGCCCTGCTAGCACAAAGATGCTTTACTGTGTAAACCTTATCCACGATGGTTTGCTTGGAGCAGTCCTTGGTTTCATCACATGGAGGTAAAGTCACAACATCAGCATGCTATTCATGTCACTGGCGAGGGATCGAATACTGATAGTGGTCTGACGGTTAGTCTGCCTGGTGCTCTAGGCATGTTTGGCCTTTCCATTGGTATATCCAATATCGACGATAGTTTACCCCGTGCAGTATATGCTGTGCTTTCCGGACTCAACGCGGCCACAGTCGGTATAATTGCCCTGGCGGCAGTGGAGCTCTCGGATAAAGCAGTCACGGATCACCTCACCAGGATTTTAGTTTTTCTCACTGCAACCGCCGGATTGCTATACAATGCGCTGTGGTACTTTCCAGTTCTTATGTTTGGAGCGGGTTGCAGTACGGTTATATATGACTACCGCTGGCTTCACCGACCTATGAAAGCTATATTGAAGCTCATGAAAAGAATGACAACTTTCAATTTGTCCGAAATGGGAGGAAGCGGTCCTCCTCTCCAATCCAATAATTCCAGCGAAGCGCTCGACGATCACAATCGATATTCTGCTCGGGAAGAGCCACGCACTATACCCCATGGCCGTCGTCTGAATTTCTCATGGAGGTCTGGTGCAGCAATAATTGCAACATTCTCTCTTACATTCGTCATTGTTATGGTGCTTCGAGGCACTCTACCTCAACCCCCGCTCCTATTCAAACTCTTCGCCAACCTTTATCTTGCTGGAACTATTATTTTTGGTGGCGGCCCAGTTGTGATTCCGCTACTCAGGGAGTATATAGTGGCTGAGGGATGGGTCAATCCGCGCGATTTTCTTATCGGACTCGCCGTTATACAAGCATTTCCTGGACCAAACTTCAACTTCGCCATTTTTTTGGGTAGCTTGACCGCTATTCATGGCGGATACCCCGCTATTACTGGAGCTATTCTTGCCTTTTGCGGAATTTTCGCTCCTGGTATTATTCTCGTTCATGGGACAATGGGTGTTTGGGGAGCGTTACGAAATCGACGTTGGGTGAAATCTGCGGTGAGAGGCATCAACGCCGGGGCAGTCGGTTTAATATACACCGCAGTGTATCGTGTATGGCAGATTGGCTATCTTGACGAAGGATTCCAATCAGGCAAGAGTCTCGGAGATGACCCATGGTGGGTGGTCGTGACTGCCACTAGCTATGTGGGCGGGCGATACTTCGGCATTGCGGCTCCGCTGGCTATTCTTCTTGGAGCCGTGTTAGGCTTGATCAATTACGCAGCGGTCTAGTTTGAGCATGGAATGGAGTGACTACGGCAACATTAAAAGTTGGGGGGTGCACTTGGATTTCATTCACGATGTAGGAGCCTGAAAGATGCTGGGATACAGTATACGAGGGTTCCCCTCATGGCTCAACCTCACATCAGCCTAGCTTGTCGCTACCTTCGGTCTCCACGGTTAAGCCTGTGTGTCGGAAATGGCCTCGAGCGCTCGCCTTTCTAGCGCCCACCGTATTAATACACCATTCGAGGAAGCGATCAAATCCTTGGTCTGGGTCTTCTTCGAAATAGTTCCAGTTACGTCTTATGAATCCTTTAAACTCGGCGAAATATTCTTCAGTGGGGTTAAAATCTGGTGAATAAGGAGGCAGATAAACCAATTCAACTCCCGCATTTACAAATAATTACGTTATGCGCTCGAAGTGGTGGAAAGATGCATTTTCCATGACTAGGCCTGACTTCGGCTCCGGCCATTTTCCGCAATGCCGAAGAAGCTGATCGATGAAGTCTTCGAATACTGAGGCATCTGTTGACCCGCGAAAGACTCGAGAGAGCACAATTCCGTCCTGGGCATAGGCAGGCAATATCACATCGTTCGTCCCGGTGAAATTGTGACATTAATTCATCTAGGTCCATTGGGGGGGGGGGGGATCTGTTCGACTCTTACTGTATTCATTGCAAATGGATCCGGAATTTGCGCGTCCTTAATCACAGAAAACTTTTTGTACATTACAGAGTTTACATGCATCAAAGATTAATGGATCCAAGTGCTCACTGGGAGTGGTGTAGATCATATTGGAGAAATAGGTTGCGACCTTCCACAACATGAGCAAAATAGAGAGGCTAGAACCAGGAAATCAGGGAGGTTGGTAAATCCACTCGAGAACAGAGTCCTTGTCGAACCCAGACTATGGATCATGAATTGATAAGAATTGGCCAGAGAGCCAACTTTGGGTAGGATGTATGCGCTTTGTACCTTGCCATATATAGAGTTATCTTACACCGCACTATCGGATTCGAAGAGAGTATGTGCAGAAGGACTTTAAGCAGTAGATCTTGCCGAAGTTGCCAGTCCGCCTCGCTGCGCCTCTGAGGAGGAACCCCGATGTAGAATTTCTTAGAAGATCTTTACAGGATTGAAATGCCACAGCACCGGATACGGGCGCTGTCAACATATGCAGAGCGTCCCCACCACAAAGAGACCAGCTCCTCGACGAAAATCCGATCCGTGGCACTCCATACATCAAGACCCATCTCTGCCATGTCGGCAATGGTGATAGTGATCGGGTCATCTGTGTCATGATTTTCGCATACTGATCTGCGATCGGCGTGACTTGCATGTGATCTTTGTCGCAGAAGCGGTGTATTTCCATCGTCACCGCTAATCGATTGCCGTGACATGGACAGTGACAAGTCTGCATCTTCGTTTGTCGTGTCGTCAAGGTATGGTGCGGCGTACGAATCACCCGAGTCATTCGCACCCTGGCTGTCACTGTCGTGTCGCTCAATGGCCCCAGCAAGAGTGAAAAAAATTTGTGAAGTGAGACGGCGGAAGTACGCTACCAGCGCGACTTCTGGGGGCTCCTGGCCATGGTCTTCGGAATTCATTGAGCGGCGGACTGTGTTTGTAGAAGGGTATGCAAGGCATTCCAGACTTGCCAGAAGCCTGGCATCTTGTTCGATTTGATGTTCCTCCTCTTCCTCGGATAGACCGTCACGATTCTCGCCCGCCGAAGCCCACCAGATGAAAGAAGTATAGGCGAGACGGGTCCAGGAGAGGGGCTCCACGACCGGACTAGATGAGTATGTTGAGTCTGCGTCAGATTCCACCGAGTCTGGGGAGTCTGAACGGCCATGCGAGAACTGTCGGAGGCCTCTGCGAAGCATAGCATATCGACGGGCGTCACGCTGTGTTGCTTTCAGATTGATAGTTTGATTCGCGTTATGCTTGGTTTTATGCTTGGTGCTTGAATGATCCACCAGACTGATTGTGGGGAATACACGCTCACTGGCTTGCTGAGAGTATGATGGAGGGAGAGTAATGAGAATATCGTAGAGATCAGGCTTCATGCTCAGAACGCTGTCTGTTGAGCAAGCGATCCAGCTGGGATCTTTCTCAGGATCCATGGTCGCCCGTGACGGATCAAAAGAGGCAAGATCAGGGATGTCATGAATGCCGATATTGAAGAGGGGGCGGGGTCGTAGTCGCGGAATGTGGTCCGAGGGGAGGACTTGCAGGAGAGAGTTTGGGAGAGATGCCAGTAAAGATAGGTCATAGACTGAGATATAATTAGTACTGAACCAATTTTGAATTTTCAGGTTGGGGTGGAATTACCATAATTACATGGTGTGTGCACTGGTGCTTCAGCCATGATGAGGATGCGCTTGCGTAAGAGAGCGGCTCGGTATAGAGGGAATATCAATGGTCCGAACGATTCGATGAAATCAGGAAGCGATGAGGCGGGATGGAAAGGTGTCAGGGCCGGCCTGGAGTTTTCCAATACCATCGCATCGCTGAAGGCACGGTTTCGGTGCGCGGCAGGTCTATCACCTGGGCGGAATCGAAGGCTGAGGGGCGAGTCAATCGGCGAATCCGGCGCAGAAGACTCAGAACCCCCGATTCGGAAGGATTCCCAGTAATCGGTCAATGACTGCATATCAGACATATCCATCGCGTACTTCCTATCAACCAAGTTGGGAGTTAGCGGCGAGCTTGCCATTCAGAATCGAGGCCAGATATCACGTACTGCGTCAGCTCCTTCAGTCTGGGGGCATGTCTCCAGCTCTTGCCAAGTCTCCCTGAGCTAAGGGGAACCAGAACCCCAATCGCAAACATTTTGGCATTGCGCTCTGCCTCTTCCGCGGGCTGGTTGAGGAACGCGCTGATTCCAGCATACTCGTCGTGAACGAAGTAACTAACGGAGAGATGCCTGGTTAGCACGCCTGAATATCAAGCATCGCAGAAGCTCCGAGTCAACTTACATCAAGTCCTCATGTACGTTGTGTAGACCAGAAGGAAGCGACTTGTATTCCACCACCCCTTCCACCTCGACTATACAGGAATCGGGTTAGCCCTGCGCACTAGGAAGCACAAGGAAGCTCGATAAACGAGCGCACACGATTACTTACCACCTGGCGCAGTTCGTTTCCATGAGACCACATACCTGTACAGCACACGTACGTTAGCGATTCGACCACCCCGAGCTCGGGGGCTTCAATAATAGGGATCATGACTTACCCGGTCCTAATGTCGAAGCGTATGACGAACAAGGCCGCGATGCCTGGAGGCGACTCCATGGATGCGCGTGAGACGTCAATAGTGGAGGATTTCCTAGGAGATTCGGAGGCCATTGTCAGAAAAAACCAGATGCTGAGGCGCCATTAAGCTATCGGGGGATCACGGTCGGTCGGTCGTTTGGCCTAGGGTGTTACCCGGGACCACGCGTGCGGAGAGTCGGAGGCTAATCGTACGAGGACCTTGGTGGCCTGAGGCAGCGAGAGCCTGACCGCTCGGGTTGCAGCAACAGATACAGAATACGAAATACGAAGGACATGCTGAGGTATGCTCCTACGAAATGGTGGTCAATTTGAAATACAATTTATATACATTGTATAGGCCTTCACCTATAAGGTGGTCATCATGGAGGATCGGAGGGCATGAGCATGGAAGGGGCGGGCCAAAAGGAGTATATTGACGGATATAGATCTGAGTCCAAATCTGCAGCAAAAGAACGAGGATCTGACAAGCAACACTTGGTCATAATCCTGTCATAACCACAGGACGCAAATGGTCACACCAACTAATATCAGATTAGGCTAATCGCCATTTAAACGGTCTTCTTACTATTCAGTGAAACGCAAGGCCCACATAAGAAGTTGCCTTGACTCGAATCCAATCTTGATCAGGAGGCGCTGATCTATTCGGCGATCAGATAGCTGTCAGTACCGTGCAACTACCTAGGAGATATCAGTAATCACCTACTATCGTCAATACAATCACTGCTTTGTATGGCAGAGCTTGGACTGATTGCTCCCGAGGCTATGTGATTGTGTAAGTGTTTGCATCGAGATGCCATGAGCATCTCGACAAACCGAGCGTTTAATTATTCCTAACATGTGAGTTCGACAAGGAGTGCTACTTTTTTTTACTTACCGTATTCCATCAAGTTACCCGCCACAGGCACACCAGAGAGGATTTGCAATATTGAGTTCAAGGGGCTGTGTGGCATAGCTGCGCCACCAACGATACTGGCTAGGGCCAAACAGCGGCAATATTGATGAAATGCATGACTGTGGGAGAAGGATGATCTTGAGAGCGTAGGAATGAAAATTTGATCTTGACAGGCCCAGAATCAGAGAGATAGATAATTAATTAGATTCTTAGCCATACATGCTCAAGTTCAGACTGAAATTAATCTTGCAGCATACATATTAGATTGATAATCTTTATGTGCTGCAGGAAACTTACATGGTGGTAGTACGCCCTCGAATTGGATTGAAGTCTTATATGGATACTATAAGATTATTGTCGGTTGTGTCTGGTAAAAGAATGATAAGGATATCCGTTCGGACCTTATCCGGCGCTATTGGAAAACTATTTAGGAAACTGTCCTGGGAAAATACCCGGATCTGAAGACCACCCTCCTGTTTTATGGACCTCAGCCAGAATTGTTGTTACCCTTCGTAGTTCTGGGTAGCCTCTTCCCAATTGGCCCAACGAGCTCGGGCAGATCCACCCGATGCGATCATCGCGCAGACTACCACGCAGAAGTAAAACCCAAGCAAAACAACTCCTGAATATCCTGTACTCTTCGTTGTCACATGGAGAGCTAATCAGAGCTCAAACTATAAATAGGATTCAGACCGAAATCTCTTGAACCTCATAAATTCGGATCTAGATTCGATCTCAACTCAAACAAGCTTTCTCGCCTGCTCCATTCCATTCCTACGCCATGACGGGGATCTCATCTACCCACCCCTACTACCCCCTGGGGGCCAATATCGTCGGCTATTCGCCCAACCAATCTTCCGTCCTCGAGCTACTCGTCACAGCCGGCGGAGGTTGCGCGGCCCTTCTCGGATTGACTCTTGCCCTGGCTAGTTATGTGCGACCGACGCTCCATCTGACCGATCGGATCGCGATCCTGTGGTTTGTGCTCTGTATGACATCCCTACGCCCTTGACGGCTCCAGCAATGGCATGGAAGGAAAATCTGAGTCTGGTACAGTAACTGACAGGATCGACGTTAAGCCGGCACGCTCCACTGTTTCTTCGAAGGCTACTTCATGATCAACCATGAGCATATGGCCTCGGCCCAGGACTTGTTTGGCCAACTCTGGAAGGAGTATGCTTTATCCGACTCTCGATACATGACATCTGACACGCTGGTGTTGTGCATGGAGACGATGACCGTGGTAAGTCAATAGCATGCCAATGAAAATAGCTAGATTTCAGAGTATGCGATAGGCGGGGGCTGCCATTTCCAAGACTTCTTTCTTCTAACAAGTTCCACTGACCGCGCTATATCCAGCTGCTGTGGGGGCCTCTTTGCTTCGTTGTTGCATATCTGACCGCAACCCGGCATTCCTTGCGCCACCCCATCCAATTGATCGTGTGTATGAGCCACCTCTATGGTGATACACTGTACTATGCCACCAGTCTCTTCGATCACTACGTGAACGATGTACCATACAGCCGACCGGAGCCGTACTATTTCTGGCTGTATTACTTCTTGATGAACTTCATCTGGATTGTGATTCCGTTCTGTAAGTACAGAAGCTTTATCAAATAACGTGGCGCAGACCGACTGACTTTATGCATGATTAGACTACCTGGTCGGCAGCATCCGCACACTCTCGGCTGCGATTCGGGCCCAGCAGGGGTCAGGCGCGAGGCGTAAAGCCCAATAGCACCGATTCCGTCATAGTGGCATGTGCGGGTGGGCACTGGTGGGGACGGTGCTCATCTCCAACAGGGTTGACACCAGGAGTCGGTCAGAATTGCGACTGAGGGGAAGAGGCGTTCCGATGAGGAAGACTTCAAGTACATATGAAACAGTACAAAAGTGATTGGCCGATTATATAGACTGCATCCATTCCGTATTACAAGGTCATTTGATACCATGTCTTGCTGATATGACAGGAGGAATGAAAACACATTTAATAGAGCGAGTCATAGGCCCGAATAGGTGGACCCGATCAGGCATCTACAATATGCAGACAAAAAACTACTGTACATAGTTCCAGCAGAGTCCAAAAACACATCGTCAAAGTGGACTGTCCAACGCAGCGATGACGCCCATGCATATGAGGCACCACCACACTCCTCCCCACGCACAACCCCGTAATAAAACCTGCCCTTTATCCGCCTTTAAGCTTCTTCTCAGGAGCCAGATATTTACCGTCCCTTTTGAGCACTGACTGGCTTCTGCAGTCGGCCTTCCCCCGGTGACGGCAATAACGGGTGATGCCAAGAGTATCGAGGCCCTCAGCTGCTCTAAAAAGCCGCGCGATCAAATCACACGCGCAGACCTATCAGGCGGATCGATCCTTGCAGCAAAAGTCAACCTGGCGACGGATTTGACTGGTGGTGAAAGGGCGATCGCTGTCTGGACCCGGTAGCGTGTGGTGGTGTGTGTCGATCGGCGCGTGGTTTCCCCGGCAGCGGGTGGTGTTTGACTCGTTTGGTGGGCTTATCGACCGAACCAACCGTCCAAGCTACAGTCAGCCTCAAAGGGTTCTTGTGTTTACATCTTCCTCTCCTCGGGTCTATTCCCTTGAGATCCTCGTCGCAAGGAAGCAAATGCTATCACTTTGAGATCTGCGACCCAAACCAGGCCGTTGGGTCACTGTGGTGAGTTTATCTATAGTGACCGTCCCTCCCCCCCTCCCCGACCGATGACGACTGTCAACAAACATATTTCGGTTATCTGCAAAATCAACAAAACTCGACGAAATCAGTAATATTGATCTTTTATGTTGTCGCATAGACATCCATGCCGACCCCTGCGACGCCGACTCGCCCCTCCAACCGTGGAGGGAGTGCGAAATCGACTCCAAGCAAACCGCTCGATATTGGACAACCGCTAGGAATCCACGACACAAACACGGTCCGTTCACGTGTGCGCCAATGGCAGCAGCAGGGCGGAGGAGTAATCACAATCAATGATGGGACTTACGACGACGATGAGGAAGAGAACCGACCGAAACCAAAGCCTAAGGTGACGAAATTGAAGGTGGAGCGGTTGGAGAAGTCCGACAAGGAGAAAGAGAAAGAGAAACAGAAGGAGAAGGAGAAAGAAAAGGAGAAAGAAAAGGAGAAAGAAAAGGTCCCACCCGTCCGGAAACGCAGCCACAGCACCCCCCGAAAGCGAGTCATCAGCGATGAGCATTGGAGGAAGAATCGATCCACGACGCAAACGCCTACACGCAACTTACCCGTCCCGAGGCGCATCAATGAGTACACGACCAATAGAGACTCTGGGTCGCCAGCAGCCAAGAAAGACACCAAGAAGGATGCTCTAGACAAGAGTCGAGAACCTCCGAAGTTCAAAGCCTATCGTATCCATGATGCCTCTAATTCACCAATCCGAGAACTGAAGCGGTCATCTAACCAAAAAGATGCCGAATCCGTTGCCGATAGCGACTTGGACAACGATCTGCTTCCCCAGTCTACGATGGTATCAGAACTAGCGGAAAGCCAGCAGAGAAGCTCGCCGCCGCCTGAAGATATAGAGTGGGCAAAAAGTGAGGCTGATTTCACTGAGCTGTCCCGGAGGCGCGCCCGTGGTCCTCAAAAACCGCCCAAGGGTGGAATCTTTGCCCACATGCTAGACGAATCGAGGAAGATGTTCAAGCTACCAGAGCCCGAACCACCAAGGCCAACTCCACCCCCCGCCGGCACACGTGGAGCGAAGATTGAAGCCTGGCTGTCCGAAACTCCGGATCCCTTCTTGGACAATGGCGATTCGAAGAGTGATATCCCTGGTCCTTTGGATATCAAATCTGCCCGTGCGAGACGGTCCCAGCGCATGGTGGATGAGATTGTAGCAAGCAACCCTATGTCAGAGCTGTCTATGTCCGAGCTGTCTCGGGAAAGCGAAACTCGTCCAAGGAGTAGCGGCTCTCGACCAAAGAGCTCACATAGTCGAGCTTCCAAGGAGCAGGACGACGCTTCAGCCTCAGAGAAGACTCGGAAGGATGAAGAGTTTGACAAGGAGGAGGTCGAGAAGCCACTCGCCCTCAGAATCCGCCATGATAAGGAGAAGCTTGGTGACAAACTATATGAGGATAGTCTGGCACCCTCCGAGTCAGACTTCCAACCATTCTCAGACGGCGGCTCTGAAGTCTCTGGGAACAATGCGCCTGTCCCAGTTGGCCTCAAGAAGCCCTTCCCAAGTACTGGCTACCATCGACTGTCCACCATTGCATCGGTAGAAACTCTGAGCACCCTCACTGAGGGTTCGACCATCTCCAAGAAACCCGTCGCTAAGCGGTTGACACCTGCAACTGTGGAAGAGGCTGAAGAAGCCGCTGAAGAGAAAGATCAATTTGACCCTGATTCTCTACCAGTAGTCGCATCGCAACTTCAACGGCGTCTTACTACCCACAAGGACCTCATGTCTGTGCTATCGGGTCCTGTCTCGAGGAGTGGCAGTACTCGGTCCCGAAGAAGCATTCGCTCCAACAGAAGTCGGTTGGCTAATGCGACCATCCCCGATCTCTTGGCTGAGCTCGCCGCCGATGAAGCTAAGTATATGCGCGAGCTTAAGACACTCGTTGGGGGAGTAATCCCTGTCTTGCTCACGTGTGTCCTTTCCCGATCTGACTCGGCCATTGCTGCTGGCTTATTCCGGCCCTCAATGGATCCAAAGGATGACCTCAACTTCTCAAAGCCTATTGTCAATATGGGTGTCGCTATTGAGCGCCTGAAGACCCTACATAAACGAATTCCTCAGGATGATGCTGATGCATTACTCACGTGGGCACAGGGTGCTCAAAGAGTGTACCGCGAATATCTCAAGGCATGGAGGCTCGGCTTCAAGGATGTTATTGTGAACCTGGCTCCATTAGAGGAGGGTGAGGATAACGGAAATGCCGACACGAAAAGCTTGGACGAAGGCATGGAGCGAGACGAACAGGGCGATGTCATTGGCTCCAATGGAGAGAAGGTCGATGTGGCCTATCTGCTGAAGCGGCCTCTTGTTCGGTTAAAATATCTCGCTAAGAGCTTCAAAGGGATCAACCACCTGCAGCCATCTGCCAAGGCCGACGAGACCTACACGGCGTATGCTTCCTTGGTGGCGGACGCCCGCAAGCGAGCACGAGACGAAAGAGCAAGACTCGAGGACGAGTCCGCTGCTAGCATTGATCCTACTCGAGCCAGAGATCCGATGACGTTGGGGCTTTCCAGTAATGTCGTGGTCGATCGTACTCGTCGTGTGCGGGCCCGCGACTTTTTCAATCTCTCTCTTTACCACTCTAGCGGCCAGTTGGTTGACTGCCGAGCCGAACTCCTTTACCGCGACAATACATCAAGCAATGGTCCTGGTGGTGATTTGCTGATCTGTGAGATCGATCACTCAGACCGATGGCTGCTCTTCCCCCCGATGGATCTCCGGTGCGTTTCGGCCCGCAACGGTGACAGCAAGGGTGAGATTGTGGTTATGCTACGCAGTGCTCCTGGAGAGGAGAAGTATTGGCAAGAGTTGATTTCGCTTCGTATTGATGAAGTCGAAATCGGACTTGAATGGGTGCAATTGCTGGGCCAGGATCCCGTTCCCCCAGCACTTTGCAGAAGCCATAGTTTTATTAGTCGAGCCAAGCAGCATAAGGCTCGCAAGTCCAGTACCAGTGGCTCTCCACCGAGGGCGAATCCCAGTGATGTGGACATTCCTATTGGGGAGAAAGCTACCAAAAGACGCTCTAGTACACCCAAGGAGCACTACTCCGAGCCCAGTACTCTCAGTTCCTCGGCCACAGAAAACAGGAGCTCTATCGTGTCAACTGCGACTCGAGAGACGGAGTATACCACCGGTGGCTCTGAAGTCTCTAGCAAACAAGTTGTTCGTCCTGGCCTACCGCTTTTGCCTTCCACGGTCAGCTCAGAGAAGTCCCCCGGTGGACTGAAGCGGTCCAAGGCAAAGAGACATTCTCGTCATGCAGACAGCCTGGCCTCGGAGACTGCATCCTCCCAGACTGTAATATAAAAAAAGAAAAAAAAACCACCGAAATCTACACCCGCAACTGGCAGATTCTATGGTGGTGATGACAGTGCTAAGGATACAGCCGTTCCAAAGGAGAAAGCTCCTAAGAAGGTACCTCAAACGCCGCGTCAGAAGGAGTCTCCAGAGAGGGAGTCTCCTCGAGTATCTTCAACCCCATCTCCTTATTTGCCTATGATCCCAAAGATTCGCAGTACTAGCAGTCAGACACACCTGTCATCTCCATCCACCATTGATCCTGAGCATGAGGAAGACTATCCACCACTGGAATCTGTCCCTGACCAAGAACCCCTAGCGACTCCCACCAAATCTAAGAGGAGGAAATCCAGACGAAAGTCCAAGCATGATGATGCTCCTCCCCCACCGCCTCCCCATCGTTCTCCGAGCTCCTCCTCGAACAAGCTTTCCAATAGCCCCGTGCTTACACCGTCGGGTGTTCGACTCAAGCGCCGAGGCTCTTCGCCGCTGAAGCATGAATATGAGCCTTCGACTGCTTCAGATTACTCCGAAACCGACTCTGATGCGTCGACTGTGCGACGTTACACTTATTCCTCGTCCGAATACTCGCAATCCTCCACGGACTCGGACTCTTATTCCTCGGCATCGGATGAGGAGGAAGATGTGTCTGATCTCCCCAAGCCAAAAGCCATTCACTCTACTACGTCTGATGCGAGCTCGCTGTCTCCTTCCAACTCTGCGTCGCAAGGTGGATATCGTACTGTACCATTGCAACCAACAAAGTCGACCAAGGCGATTGCATCGATTTTTGCTTGGTCTGACAAGGGTAGCTGGGATAGCCTAGTTCCCGATGAGTGCTCTATCATCGTCAGCCCTGGCCTGATTGAGGCTTTCAAGATGGCGTCTGACTCGAACCCATCGTCGAGACCTCTCATCTCTATGGAACTCACACCGCTGGTTCCGATTCGCCGAGGTACCGCGATCGATATCAGCATCCGCTCACCTCCCACGGACCGATCTAAGATCACATCCAGCAACAATATCATGTTCCGATCTCGCAGCCCTGATGAATGTGACGCTCTTTACAGTCTTATCAACCAAGCCCGAATCAATAACCCTACTTACATCGCCCTTCAAAATGCCCGCGGCCCTGTTTATGACAACCACATGCCCACCTTTGAGCAGCCCGATAGCAGAGAAGGAAACCGCTGGTTCGGGTTCCCTCGTCGCAGAAAGAGCTATCGTGCCTCCGATTCCCCGCGCTCTCTGGCCGAGGGCTCTGAGAGTAGTGTCGGTACAATGAGCAGCGCATTCTCTGCCCTGAAGCGCTTTGGTGGCGGCAGTAAGATGTTCAATATCTCTCGCTCGACTGTGGAATCTCGTAGCGGCCGCGAAGGTAGCATGTACTCCGGCTCAGGGGGCTCTTCCGACCCCTCCCCATCATCAGGCATTGGCCGGATTGCCGCTGCAATCAAGGGCGCCGACGGCATTGGCCTTTCAAATGCCAAGATCCGTCTCTACCTTCGCGAGTCTGCCTCCAAGTGGCGGGACATGGGTGCTGCCCGTTTGACAATCATGCCTGCACCATTGAAGAACCCGCCCTCTCGCCCTGGGACCGCCGTCAGTGCTCGTAGTGAAGGCAGCCGGGACGATAGTACTTCACCACCAAGTTCAGGTGCGGCTACACCACGCCGTGATGTGGAGCCCGAAAAACGCATCATCATCCGTGGCAAGACGCGAGGCGAAGTTTTGCTGGATGTGTGCCTCCCAGAAAGTTCGTTTGAGCGTATTGCTCGCACCGGTATTGCTGTCTCTGTGTATGAGGAGAATGAAGGTGGCATCATTGCCCAAAAAGGTGGTGTGAACACCAGTACCCAGCGCATCTACATGATCCAGTTGAAGTCCGAAGCCGAGGCGGCGTATACCTTTGGCCTTGTGGGTAAACTGCGGTATTAGGTATGCTGCGGATGAAACCTGTTCTTTTGTTTAGGAGTCGGGAGGGAGCATTCGTGATGTGGTGCATTGGTGGAAAGACTCCTTGATTTTTGTGCATGCGATCTTATTTTTTCTTTGTGACTTTTTTACCCCACTGATCTCTTTAGATCTTGTCTGTCTTTATGTGATTACCCCCCCTTTTTCATTTGTACATTTAGATTATTGGTAGCCTTATGGATCGATGACAGTCATGTCATATGTCTTTACGGCTGTGTGATAAATTCGAGCATCTGCTGAACGTGAATGGATTTAAACCATTTTGATTGAATCAGCCATCTTATTATTTCCTTAGTCACTGTATGTAAGCTACCCCATTTTGATCTTTTCTTATACACCAGATCCTCCCACTGGCGATCCCCTGTCGAGATCGGGTATCTACAAATCTGATTTGAGAATAGGCTGGGCCCCTCTGGATTATGCAAAATTGTAGGCTCTTGAGACGGGATGTCATAAGGTTGAAAGTGGTGAAAAGACTCGGGACATGACTGGATTTCATTGAAAAGGCGCCATATGATATAGCTGGTTAATTATCAGAAATGATACCCCAGGGTCCGATGGTTTGCCCCTCAACATCTATTTTAGGCTCTGCCATTACTTGAAAAGAGAGTAATCTATTCATACATGGCCATGACTCAAGCATCAGACACCACCACTGCCGGGCTTTCCACCTGCGCACCACTAGTCTTTTTGAAGATGTAGCCGATCTGGTTGCACTCATCCTTAAGCAAATGAACGAGCACGTCATCATCAACGGCAGCCGCAATCTCGTCATCATCCTCAGTGCCATTCAAAAGCAGAGATGGATCGATATGAGTGTAATGTGCGAGTGATTGGTGCATCTTCTCTTTCTGCGTCTTTGCCCTGCCCTTCTCACTTTTGGAGGCGGCCCGGCCACGGCGAGATCTATCTTGAATCTCGCGCTCTTGCTTTTCCATGTCCACTTGCGAAGCCTTCATCAAGGTTGGCAAGTCGGGGAGGTCCTCACCGTCATCGTCGTCAGATAAGGGCTCGCTTAGCTCTGACAGTTCAGAATCACCGTTGTCCCCCGGAGTAGTCGTTCCTGACGGGGCAGGAGACACTCCCTTGCCGCCACATTCACAACCGAGAAGCTCGTGCGTTTGGCAGGTGCTTTCCTCATCAAGACGGAAGAGATCGCGCAATTCGGCAGTCGAGAATTGTGACACGCTATCTTTATGCTCCATGACACTATCGGCTAACCCGAGCTTGGTAACTTGGCGCTGCCAAATCTTCTCCTCCAGACTACCCTTGAGGATGACACGATAAATACGACAATGGTTCTTTTGTCCATCCCGGTGAATGCGGGCCATTGCTTGGTTATCGGTAGCCGGATTCCAGTCCACATCGAAGAGGATGAGGCGGCTAGCGCCGATGAGGTTGAGACCGGTACCACCCGCCTTGGCCGATAGCAAGAAGGCGAAGCATGCTTCTGCGGGGAGGCGATTGAAATCGTCAACGAGTGGCTGACGCTTCTGTGCAGGCGTGCTTCCATCCAGACGGAGAAAAGGAAGACCAAGTGAGGTGAGGAGGGTCGCGAGCAGGGTCAATGTTGACGTATAGTTGGACACCAATACGATTTTCTCGGGAGTTTTGGAGCGCATACTATCCAGAATCTGATCCAAAACGCGGACCTTGGCACTCGAAGCGGCAGAGAAGTGGCGTAGAAGATTAGGAGGCAGTGAAGATAAGAGGGCGCTGATGGTTTCATTTGGCGAGTCATCATTGTTCTTCGCCGAGAGAAGTGATGGACTGTTGCAAAGCTTTTTCAAAATGGTAATAAGCTGAAGGGCACTCTCAGCGTTGCCCATGGCAGTTTGGAAAATAGGCGATTGAAGGACAGCTTTATAGATGTTTGCCTGAGTGCGAGTTGGTTTGCAGAAGAGCACGTATTCTGACTTGGGGGGAAGGTACTTCGATAGTATGTCGGCTGTTCGGCGGAGAATGAATTTAGAGGTAAGATCGCGGAGTTCCTCGCTCCTGGACTCGCCCTTCTCGATGTCCTTTTTGGTGGCCTCCGGTTGTCGACTTTGTACAATAGGAGTCTCAAATTCTCGAATGAACGATTTAAAGTTGCCAAGAACACCAGGATTGACGAGATCAACGGCGGCGAAGAATTCTTTCAGGTCATTCTGAATGGGCGTGCCGGAGAGAATGACCCTCTTCGCGGCATTGAGAGACTGAATTGCTAGGCCACTCTTGTTCTGCAAGGTTTTCAACCGATGGCCCTCGTCTGCAATGATGATGTCGACACCAGCACCCTTGGCCAGAACTTCTTGCACCGTTCTGAGCTTCTCGTATCCAACAATCATAATACTATAAGCCCTGCCTCTAGTGAAATCGGTCAACCGCTTCCGCTTGTCATCAAAGACGAAAACTCCAATTCGCTCATTGCCCAACCATTTTCGGAACTCCTTTCGCCAGTTGTTGATGAGGGTCACGGGGCAGACGATGAGTGCCTTCTTGATCACCGGAGGTTCACCATGGATTGGGTTTTGCTTCAGCAAAGTCCATAGCAGAGCGATTGTCTGCAATGTCTTGCCCAGGCCCATATCATCAGCCAGGATAGCTCCCTCGCCATTGAAATCGCGCATGCCCATCACACACTCGTAGAGAAATGTAACTCCTTCACGCTGATGTTGGCGTAAGCTCTTCGTCAATAATGGGTCAACAACAACATCGACAACCCGTTTTCCTAGGGGCAATGATTTCGGTCGAGGCATGACCAACGCTCCCTTTGCATGAGGATCATGTCGTGGAACTGTCGCCTCGGAGCTTGTTGACGAATTGACGGTGTTGTTGAGCAAGGGCGCTTTGTACGCGCCGAGGGGATTTGCGGATTTAGTGGTGGTACCACTCTCCAAAGCTGATGAGTTGCGTTTTAGCGAACTCGTGTAGCTAGGACCAGTAGGCAACGGCCGGCGCGACTCGCTTTTTTGCGTAACTGGCAGGGGTGTTTTCTTGGGCAAAGACGGCAGTGGTGGCGCTGGCTTTGCAACATTCAAGAACTGTTTCCCAGCTAGATATTCTGATCGTGGTATCTCCGATTCGATCTCAACCTCTTTTCCAGCAACGTAGAGCATTTTACCGGGCTCAAGTTCTGACTCGTACGTCACCCGTCCCATATCTTTGCCTCCGATATCGCGTAGGTAGAGGAGTCCTCCTCTGGCTGCGAGTATACCATCGCCATCCCAGGTTTTATTCTTTTTCGCCGTTGGTTTTCTCCTAAGAACAGAAGTCGTATGTCAGGTAAATTGTCCAATTCCGTTGGCAGTCACGGAGACCTTTGAGCGGACGTACCAGAGAACGTTGAAAAATCGCTCAAAACTTGTGTCATCCTTGGGTACGGATCCATTGGCCGTCTTAGCCGAAGAGTCTTTGCCAATATTTCTGACTTGTAATAGTGGTTTTCGGGTACCTGGAGTCGGTGTGGGCCTTGTCTGGGGTTCGGACGTTGCCTCGTCCGTCACCAAGCGAGGCTTCTTAGCCGGGTGGTCGTTTGCATCAGTCGAATCGGTTGATTTCTCGGGCTTCCTGATCAAAGGAGGTTTAAAGGGCTTGAAAACCATGGCGGCTTGCAGTGAGAGACCTTTGGGGAGACGCGGCCGGCAGGAAGACGCGAGGCGTGGAGCGCGTGATCACATGACCGGTCTCGAGTCAATATGAACGGATCTGGGGATGTAAACAAACGAACTCGGGATACATCGGTATACTGATTCGACCTTTTAATTTAAGCTTGAATGCAAGATGCACAAAGTAATTATTCTGTTGAGATAAATTTGATTTGAAGGACAGTTCCCTTTGCTTGTTGGAGCTCCACAGAACCATAGACACTTTCAGCATTATCAAGATTGGGTGTAAATAAAGAGGTAAGTCATATTATATAGTCAGATCAAAATTTGCATTTAACAAGTCATGCAGATCATCAGCGATAAGGAGGTATAGTCAATGCGTCCAAAATGGTATATTCAAACAAAAATCAGCCAGTTCATCGGTCGTCTCTCTTACATCACCACCACAACATTACTTTTCTGATACATGTTTACTTAGCCTCATCGGGAATGGCCTTATCCGTCAGAGGGATATTCTTAGGACCCTCGTACGAGCCCTGGCGGATGAACCACCAGATGGTGACGAAGATGGTCAGACCGCCGGTCATCAGACTGGCGTAGTTCATTGAAGCGGCTTCCGCGGGCAGGGCATAGGGGAAGCAGAAGATGATGACGAAGGCAATGATGTAGATGCAAGCCAGGGTGTTGATCACGTATCCGATCTTGTTGTTCATGGAGAAATATCCAGGAGTGAACGAGGAGCGGCGAGTCAGGATGTGAGGGAAGATGGCCATGAAGTAGGACAGAGACGACAGCTGGACGAAGCAGCCGACGAAGGCGCTGAAGGCAGTGTTCGAGCCGAGGTAAATGCAGGCCAAGATCATGACGACAACACCGCAAATCAGGGTGGCGTTGAACGGGTTGTGGAAGGTGCTGTTGATGCGGCCGAGCCAGTTGGGGAACGGAGTGGCGCGATCACGGGACAGGGTCCACAGAGTACGACCGGCAGTGATATAACAGCCGCACGCGGTGACCAGGGTGGGCAGGAAAGCAATGATGAGGAGACCCAGAGCGCCACCTCGGGAGCCGGTCGCCTGGTGGTAGATCTCAGCCAGAGGGAATTTGTAGGAGCTGGAGGTGACACTGTCCAGATCCTGGATGGAGTAGAAAATGGCGATCATATAAAGGATGCCAGTAATGAAGCCGACAGCCATCTGGGCAAGCACGGCCTTGGGGATGTTACGGCTAGGCCTGGGGATCTCCTCGGCCAAGTGGGACGAGCAGTCAGGAGTGCCGACACTGTAAGCACCGTTGAGCATACCCATGACGAAGACAAAGCCCTGCTGCTTGTAGCCAGTTCCGTTGCTCCAAGTCGCCCAAATATCGTCATTGGACATATAGCCGGTGTCGTTGACATGGGGCATCACAGCGCAGACAATGATGGTGATGAAGACACCGGATAGGATGAAGAACATGCCTATGTTACCGATATAGGGCAACCAGCGGTTCATGAAGAGCACAATGGCGCAGCAAACCCAAGAACAGATAATGAAACTGACAAACACGGTCCAGGTTTGCGGAGCGTAGCCAGGGTGCATCAGCGCATACATGGAAACGGTCTGCTGGGCCATGATCAAGCACATAGAGGCAGCACCCAGAATCCAGGCCAGACAGTTCCACCAACCAGCAAAGAAACCACAGGGGCGGCCATACTTGCCAGCAGTCACCGAAGCCCAGTGATAGACACCACTGGCCGAGGGCATACCAGATGCCAGCTCGGCAATCGAAGCAGCGACCAACCAGTAGCAGATTGAGACGGCGATGCTGCCAAAGAAGAGAAAGTTAGCATATGATATTCCCCTTGAAGGATGGTAGTCTGTCATACAATTCATAGATCGTAGCACCCAGACCACCATTGCTCAAGGCGACCACAACACTGCCTCCCTGGGCAATCCAGGTGTTACCGGTCGTCACGGCAATAGCACAAATACTGAGTAAGGAGAAGTTCCGCTCCAGCTCCTGGACGTGACCGGACACGTTGATCAAATCGCCCTTGGAATCCTCCGCGGCCGTCGACTCGGCGGCCTTGGTCTTCTCATCGAAAGCGGTCGACATTTTGTATGAATCCACGTGGAATTGAGCCTCTCACAAAAATAAAGGTACCGAATTTAGGAAATGCAACCGAAGCGATCTCCGCTGGCTCGTACGCGAACAGGGAGAGGGTAGGGGGAATTATGCACGAAGAGCGCGCTCCCTGATGCTGGGGGAAGGGGGAATAGATGGAGTGACCGAAGTGATTCCTTCCAAAAAGAAAACAGGGAGCGAGACGAGAGATATATGAATTGATTTCCGACCTTTATCCAACCGCATGGCGGGCCCTCCGAGGAGTCGGAGCGGAGGGTGCTAAATGTGCAGCCGAACCCATCAGGGCCGACTTGTCGACCAGCCGAGCACACTCGACCATGAAATCGCTCCTTCATGACCCCACCCCCCTGGCCACTCTAATCGACGGAGACTCTGATCTGTAGCCAATCATCATCCTGGCAGCGCAATTCGAGCGGCCCACTTCGGCGGCCGTGGGGCACCGCAGCTCCAGGAATGCGCTGCAATTGGGCACTTGCGGAGGCAACTTGACCAAACTCCAACGGAAAGTTATCCTCGACGCGGAGAGTCGCGCATCGACGCTTTACCTAGAAGGGGAGCTTCAGCAGACTGAATTTTCCTGGCGCTGCTCATGAACTGTTATTCGATACCATCGTGCCCGCCAACTCCCGATGGTTATCAATCCTACGCAGTGGCTCCCCGTCTACGGGCTAAGAAGATAAACCATGGCATAAGACTCCAGATAATCCTGGGGCGTGGCGGGGTTCTCGACCCTTTGCTGCTTTGGGTGGCTTATGGCTTACATGACCTTTCAACATGCTTTGCATCGCCATATCTCCGTAGTCATTTAAGCATCTTGGGTCGTGACGTATCGTCTTCTTTCTTTCCCCCTTTCCTCAAATACCAACAAGAAAGGCTCCCACGAAAGGTAATTGATCGTCCTTCCCACGCTTCCAGAAGACTCACAATCCAGGGGCGCTAGAAATACAGATCTAGCGCTCGGAGAATAGCTCGCAGGGTAAGACATACTGCGCGTCGAAGCACCAATAAAGTCCTCGGTCAAGCTATTGTTCCACGGCCTTATGATCGGATGCAACGCTAATGCGACACCGCGTGGATTTGAAGGGCGGCGGCTCTTCCATAGTGTGATTTTTCTATTATAAAAATTGCCGAGCTTGAACTCCTACCACTAGCCGACTTTGGAGTTACCACCGTAACCAGGGCAATAATATGCACCCACGAGCTTCTCACATTAGCATGTTCCACTGCTCACGGAGAACCTCAGAGTCTTGCATTCTCTGTCGGATCCGAGTATACTCTGGAAATTAGAGCTGAAAAATGACTGTGCTCCGTCAACTTGTTTGAATTCTATCAAACGTCCCCAAGGCTCGCATCAAACTGGAGACAATCAACTTACGACTCTCCGTGTGGATCAGGCCCACGATCTACATTACCGGGAGCACACTCCCCAAGAAAGTGACTGCTGTATGCACTTTGTACTCCATATGTACGTACTCGAAATCTCCGCCCCCAGTAAGTCAGCGGATAAACTCCGTCTTGGCCAAAGTGGATGATTCAGATGAAGCTGGTCGAACACTGGTCTGATTGCGTGTGGATAGAAACAGAGTTCTAGCCTCAGATCGAAGGATTGAGTGGGATTGGTGTGGCGTGTGTTTCTGGATCTAGACAAGGCCCAAGTCCCAGGGACCGCTAGTATAATGCGCTGTAGCAGATACATTACAAGTACCACAACATTAGTCTTGTCTTTCTATCTTTAATTATCACAGCCTAAAGACAAGTGATTTGGGGGCTAAAAACGTGAAAAAAGACGAGAAGAGGGTTCCTTGAGGGATTAAACCAGGATACGGCGGGAGACTGCGGAGTAGTACTACTGCAACCAGTTAGTGCTAGTATTATATCCGTTCATGAAGAAAGAATTTGCAGAATCGGGCAGATCCGATCGGTACTAATCATACCGGCATAATAATAATGGACCACAGAAGAATTGAAAAACATTTAGCCACTGCCTCCATTTCCTAACTATGCATTCGCATTGGTTAGCCCAAAATTAATTCCAGATGGCCTACTGTAGTCTACTGGAGCCTACTGTACATCGCCACGCTGAGGTCACGTCTAGAGGGTGGGTGCTCCATACAACTCCATAAAAAAATTACGAAACTCCGCACACGGAGTAAGGATCCCCGTTCTCCACCGGCAATGTCCTTCCATTCGCAAGGTCGTCGCTGAGCCTGCCCGGTCTGTTCCATCCTGGGGCTCCACTTGGGTCCACTTTTATTGGCCTAGCAGCAAACTCTATTAAAGTCATGGATGCCTACTTCCCCAGGCAGATAATTCGATTCATGTAAAGTGGACACCGACGATGGCCCCCCGAACGCCTTTTGCCGCCATCCTTATCCGATTCAGTAATACGCCGATTGCAAGTGGAACTGTCCTCCGCAGTGAGCTCAGAAGTTAGATTGTACGATGTTGCGTACGCGATGCCCACATACGAGCTTTACGAAAAGCCACTTAACTTTCTTAGGAAGGCTGTTTAGCTGGCCCAAATTGCCCAGGCCTCGCGTGCTCATGTGTTGGCTGACCATTCATACGATAGGCAACTGGCATGTAGCCATCCATAGTTTACAGTTTCTTTCTAGCACCACAATTCGGATCAGAATAATTAATTGTCTCCACTGAGCCTGGTGGATTCGAGAACAGAAGTCTCTCGCCAAGTCCACTTGCTCGCATCCAAATGTCCAATAACGGAGTACTGCCCCGTACCTCCAAGCCCAAAGGATTGCTTGGCCTGCGCATACCATACCAAATCAAGGGCATCCTCACCCGAAGTGGAAGGTCTGTAGGTCAATCCCCTGAATCGCTACGTAGCGTCGAACTTCGAGTGTGAGGAACGGAGGGGGGGTAGAAGGTGGAGAACAGACTACAGTCGAGCAGCACCATCCGTCAGGTACCAAATCTAAATCATGCACTGACTGACTGTATGGATGTATGTATTGTAAGCTGTAAGAGGCAAACCGGTCCTTTTCCAGAAAGGATCACAATTCCATGGTTCCCTCTTGCATCCGCAGCCATGGAAACTTTTCCATACTGGCTTTGACTAGCCATCTAGTCCTGTGGTTGGCTGGCTGCTGTCTAACAGATCTATCGCTCGCCTTTGATAAGCCTTTTTCCTCCAGGCTTGGAGGTGCTGCACTACTCATTTATCTCACGCTCCAATCATACCTTGACACTGCACCGGGCAAACTTCCCGTTCGCCCAAACCCTGGTGATTTGATCGTGCTCGGCAGATGCACGCTTTACCACAAACCCAGCAGTCCAGACATCGGCTTTTCCTCCCCCGGTTGATCCTATAATATGTGGGTTGTCCACCTTTCCGATCTGGCCTATTCTTTCGTTCCGACCTTTTGTCCTGACACCCCTCTCGACTCGATACAGGCTCCATTCAGAGACTATGTCTGGACTGGGAGGTGGCTTCGGTCGCCAATTCGAGCGCGAGACATGGACGCTTTATGGTGTCGGCGTCTTGGGCGCTATTCTTCGATTGTGAGTTTTATGACACTGCTTGATCGAGATGTATTATCGCGCGGACGTTACAGGTAACTGATTGTGAGCGACAGTGTTGCCCGTGTTCGACGTTTGGGTATTCGCAACCTCCAAGTCGATGATTATCTGATGATGTTCGCCGTTGTCTGGTATACAATTCTTTGTGTTGCACTCAACTCGGTAGCAACGGGTGGAGGATCAAATTTGATGACGGACGACGATATAAAGAACTTGACGCCCGCCACGCATGCCGAGCGAGAGCGGGGCAGTAAATGGGTGTTCGTCTCTGAACATGCCTTTATCCTGTGCATCTGGAGTTTGAAGGCTTGCATGCTCGTCATCTACTCCCGTATTACGTATGTCGGCCTCCGTCATCTTATTTCGCTTTCTGTTTCCTCGTACTGACTCATCTTCATTAGTGAGGGCCTGAAGCAGCAAAAATGGATCAACTACATCGCTATCTACGTTGCGGTCGGCTTTGTCGCTACCGAGTTGTCGCTTTTCCTCATCTGTCGCCCAATCACCAACTATTGGGCTGTGCCTACGCCGGACTGTAAGAGCCTCCAACTCACGTTCTATTTAGATTGAAACCAACACATCTAACTCCTTATTACAGATCAATGTTCATCCTATCAGTACTATGAGATCATCCAAGGATGTTTCTCCATCTCAGCCGACGTATTCATGTTGATCGTCGCCATCCCGATGTTGGTGCAGGTCCGCGTGCCCATGAAGCAGAAGTTGATCCTGCTGATTCTGTTCGGCATGGGCGTCTTCGTTATCGTGGCAGCCGTCCTCAACAAGGTGTACTGTCTCGTCCCCGCGCTTATTTCCTATGTCTATATGAATTGGTACTTCCGCGAAGCCACCGTTGCCATCCTCGTTACCAACCTTCCGCTCGTTTGGTCACTACTTCGTGATGTCTTCCCGGCCCTCAAGAGTTGGACTGGGGGATCTAAGCGAGGTACCGACCGCTACAAGTCCGGCCCTTGGACCAGCAAGAATTCTCGACCCTACGGACCACACAGTCAATTACGCTCCGGTGACTTCGACATGAACGATATCCGACACAATGCGACCGTGACCCCGCAGAAGAGCACTGCAGCGGTTTCCGACGTGAGCCTGGGCGCCAGCGAGGATCGGGATATGAGCAGCGACGATGGATCAGCTCGCGCTCTGCGGATCAGACAAGATATCACCGTCACCGTACAGCACGACTCCCGGCCAGCAGACTACCAAACCAGCTCGGCGCATGCAACACGGGTACCCCAAGAGCGTGAGGAGGTTTAGCTGCTGCCCCTCCTGCTTTTTACGCCAATCCAAAAATCAAATAATTCCTATTTGTTACGAACTCACGGGGTCCTGGTGGGCCAGATACCCAGCCTTTGATTGTTTCGCGCCTCGCCATGCATAACCTATACAGTTTCTTTTTTCATGAGCACTTTTCATCTTACCTCGATTGATCTGTACGTATTCACTTCTAGACCTACTGTTTTTGTTTCTTTGATACGGTGGCTTCTTCCCGATTATCAGGGGGGAGGGGTAGACTGAGAAGGGTGGGGGTTCTTACCGGGATAGCCGTGAATGCGGCATGCAATCTAATAATTCCATAGAAGTACATATTATTTTCATACACATCATTTCCACTGCAAAAGAAGACGCCAAATCTTAAGTTGTAATTTGCCTCCTAACGACCCTGGCCCGAATCGCACAATCTTCGCCATCCATCGACCCATTCCACTCCCACGGAACCGCCGATGGACCCAATCTGTATGTCACAGCCAGTTAGCCACCTACTTGGCTCGCCGATCTCCCGCCTCCTTGCTGCTGCAGCTGCTGCTGCGTCATGGACTGCTGATCTGCTCTGTTTCGGGGATCCCCGACTGCTCTGTGGAAGGTGATGGCAGCTGAAGGCCTTTTGGTCGCCTCCTCAGTCCTATTATGCAAGTATGGGTTGATCCAGTAGTACCGAGCGGACGCTTTTTTTTCTAGCGTTTTCAACTAATATCCCGAAGGGCGTTTGGCGCCGAAACTAATAGTCCCGGCTTCCATCGTGCCGGTCTCGCCGACTAATTTCTCAGGGCCTGAGCTTGAAGTCCTACCCCTGCTAGCTCTGAGCCGGGTCAATCAACTAATCCCGGCTGCCCTAAAGATCTAAACAGGTACGATAGAACATTCCATGCATGATATATCCCTATTTTGAGTCCCGTTTCATGCCCATCCCCCCGCGAAGATCATTGCGTGTCCTGCCCGAAACCGCAATATGTCCACGATTCATCCAATAGTTCCGCTCCTTGGGACGAATAAAGAACGATTCCCGGATGAGGCGTTGTTGCTTAATAGCTCTTTCCAACTTTACCGCGTAATGTATTCCTCTTTTCCACAAGAGCCAAGAATATAGCTGGTCTAGCCCCAGTCAAGTACTCACAGGCTCCACTTAGTCTTACCCACTCACCCGGGCAACATCGCCTACAGACATTGGCTCCTGTCCATCCAAATCCTAACAGCCATGGAACCCGCCTCCCCATGCCCCTTCCTAGCCATCCATGGTACTCTAAATGGATCGTGAGCACGGATTTTCCGGGTGTGCTTTGGGGCAGTGTCCACTGCATCCAAGAATTACCCAGCGGGATCGACCTGCGGAGAGATGCGACCGATAAGCGGTCTAGAGTCCGGAGTAATTGACCTTTGTACGAATTACAATACCGGCATGATCATCAGTCAGTTATCAGATAGCCAAACGGTTATTCATTTCCAAGGGTCATCGGAACCGACGGTCCGCACTCATCCGATATACTTTTCCATATCAGCAACGCGGCAGTCGACAAAACGCTCTCTTTCCTTCTACGTGATAGTGAGACATAAGGATGTAACCTCCTACTAAATAGGAAAAAGGGAATGGCTGTACTCGATTAGAAAATTCCAGAAAATTTAATCCACTTATATCTAACAGAGTTTCGACGACAGAGTTTTGACAAAGTTTGACAGAGTTTGACAGAGTTTCGGTGGACCCCCGGCGTCTGCAGCGCGGTCCGCTGACAAAAAAAGAAACTCCAAAAGTAACAAAAAATTTTTCGAACAAAGTAAACTTAGTAATAATGCTACGAACTCTCCAAAAGTGCCCCTCATTAACACGGCCCAACAAGAAGCGATGCATAAACTCACGCGGTAGGAACCTTGAGACTGAGCTTGTACCTGAGGCTTTTTTGTACCTCGGGATTGGTTACGAACAAATATATTACTGTATCACGGATGTACGGATCCCCGCAGACGGACCAATTGGCTACCGGTCTTGACTCTAGATGATCAACGAGGGCACCGGTAAATTGACTGAATTATAAGTTACACATTATGTTATCATGATGACTGATTGCCGAGGAAAGTGACCAAGACTGGCGCTGAGCCCTCAGTACACTGGCACGATAGGCCAAGTCTTACACAGAAATAATACAAAACTACAAAAAAACAGGTTTTTAAATTGGAATATGTTCGGATATATGTAATAGTCTATATATATTGTCTCATGCGATTTGTGTGTCAGAACACCTCAAACGAACACTACTTTCCCTCCTATTCCAGATTGGGCCACTCCGTCCAGGATCACGACGATCTAAGCTGAATCCAAGCAGTGGGCCTTTCGGTCTAGGTATGCAAATGGGCCGGCCAATGGCCGTGCTAATGGCACTGGTCCTAACCATAGCCTGGCTTGAGTGTTTTGATTTGTGGTTACTGGTCCACATGAACGCAAAGGTCCGTGCTAGTGCTAGTGCTCTTGGTGGCTACGGAATGTTGCTCCGGAACCCCGATCTTCCATCTAAACCATCGTTCCAGTCCTTCGAAGTTTGAAGAAGAAAGTGTTTGGGGGCTGTGATCCTGGAAGGACACGCTTGTGGCTTCTGGGCTTCGGCCGTGGAGCGACAAATGTAAGGTAATATGTGGCGTTGATTATCGTAGGCTTACGCCGTAGCGATATCCGAATTGTATGATTCCTAGGCTAAGTGTCTTGCTACATTTTCGCATTGATATTAATGCGAAAATGACCTTCAAGAAGCAACTGAAACCCGAAAGCATGAAGAAGTCACTGTTAGATTTTGAGGTTTTGGTTCATTTTCAATGCCGGTGTCATCCAAGTCTGTATCGTGCCGTTGACCAAGCAAACGTAACAGAAGCCCCATGTGAGGGAAAGATCGCAGAGATCGACAGGATCGACACGCTGGGACTATTGAATCTTGTCCAAGCACTGTCGAAAGCCAATCTCGATTGTCTGTTCGTGCGAACATCTCCGATCCCAATCAATGGCGAAAGCTTGTCCCAGGGGTCCATTCGCATAGAGAACAAGGGGTGGGAAGTATTGTACGAGGTCCTCGAAAAGGAAATTACAGAAACTAGCTATCAAGTTACAAAATCTGTTAACTTCGACAACCGAAAGTTTGTTGCTGTAGATTTCTTGGAAGTGCCAGGTCTACTCAGATTCCAGCAACGGACCCACCTGCCATCTGTGTATATTATCGTGACTTTCTCCATTACTGGATCTGCTCTAAGTCTACTTCAATGCGGTATACCGGAGAAACCCTTAAAGAGTTATCCCAGAACATCAAAACATGATTGAAGGCAGATGCAGACAACATATGGTAAAAGTCTGCGTAAACTCATCTGGGTTTAAGCTGCAAATGAGGAGCTTGACCCATTCATATATCCTTCTGCAACAAGAGTCAGGCTTTGCTGATCCTTCAACAAGCAGTGTAGGATTTGCACATAGTGAGAACTCCTCGCTTAGCGACCATTGATTCTCCCGGCCCATTCAGGCAGGTCTGTAGGTATAAAGGTACAAACGTAGTTGATCAAATCCTGCACACTCTTGGCATTGTTATTAGACGCTTTTATCGCCAAGCTATATCTCCTTGAGCGTCTCCCAGGCTATCCTCTGGCAGGCGACATGCTAACAAAAGGAAATGGAGACTGGCCAAGTCAGCACCACATTCCCTCGCAATTCTCCGTACCTGCCGCCAGACGTATTCGGAAGCCTCGAGTCTATGGATAAGTCACGTCACATTCAGCTTTAAGCATTTCGATAGTATGCTCAGAAAAGTCTATTATCGGCCAATGTCAGTGCTATCCCGAATCCGCCATATTCGCACCCATCTCGCCTGTCAGGAGCTTGATGTTACCTCCAAGGCCCACAAACAGCGAACCGAATGCCATAATTGTAGAGTATGGGCTCCCTTCCGCATTCCAACTGCTATAGAACTTGCGTCTGGAAACAATTACTGTGCCGAGGTGGCAATTACAGTTGTGCGAGGACATTGGCAATATCTTTGAGTGCTGTATTACTGATAGCTACTGAAAAGAGCTTCGATTCATCAACCACCGGGCAGATTCCGTGAGTCCCGTTAAGGTGTGCAACGATATCCTCGACCGCAGTCTTGAAAGCGAGCGCACTTTCCGAATTTGAATTCAGATTCAGCGAATTGTCGTAGTACGCAAAGACGCGGTTTGAAAGTCGACATATTTCACTCTTCAGCTGTGGAACCCTATAAGCGGCTCAACTTGGAATCAAGTGTCTAAGATGAGAGTGAATTTTTACGGCCTCACTGACCAGCTTCACGAGAAGAGCATGATATGGACAAAGTCATTATCGTGGTCAAACAAGACAAACTAGATCAGAACGATACCTCTCGGCGCGTCAATAACATTACTTGGGCATCCAAGGACTTGAATGAGTCTTGTAGCAGTGTATAGTGCTTGCGGGGGTAAATACAGCGCCCACATTACGCGAAGGGGATTGACAGTGTTAGACCTATATACTCGCAAGCCGAGACTCGTACAAGGCCAGCTGCTCGGTTAACTGCAGAATAGTAGAGACAGCACTAGGACGCCTATAACAGGAACATAAGCGTGAGTATCAGACGAAAGACAAACAAAAGGATGGGGGCGGATATCATAGCCTCTGTCTCGCTTTGGACTTGGCCTAGAGCACAGGGTAACTCTCCATCTACGGCATAGAAGGTTGAGGCAATACCCTTCCAACTCTAGAGGCAAGGTATATCGTTTGATCAGAGGTTTTATACCACCTCTTTGGGTACACACTTCTCGGGTGGCTCAATTTTCCTGTTTACATGCTTCCTGTAAGGATTAGGGAACTCTAAAGGGTCTCTCCTATCTGTGTCCTTATTCCTCCTAGAAGGCGCTGGGCTCGGTCAACGCTGTATGGGCTTTGGAGAACCATCTAAAGTATGGAATTTGCCTAACCTCTGGAAATCCTGTAGTGAAATTCATTGACTGGCAGGCGAGAACGTATCTGATGATGTTTGGAGTAATAGTATATTCAGCAACCAGAGTCCTTGTTGTCTTACTTGAGCTACTTGCTTGTTTATGATCCTTGGCGCTGTGCTGGTTTACGTTCAAAAACTGAGAAGCATCATGCTACTCTCTTTTGAGGAATGGTCGAAGATGGTCGGCTTGTTGAGATGGTGGCGAGGTCATTGAGTAACAGTTTAGGTAGCTCTTACGACATTAGGGCAACAGCAAGTCCACGCAGGAATTGGGCCCCCGAATTACATCAGAAGGGAGATGGAGGCAGCTTGGGGTCATAATTTTGTCAATGTGCTATGCTATGCTATCATTATTAACAACTCCGTAGGAAGCTCCCGTGCTGATAAGCCGGAGAGCAACTAACCCAAAAACAATCATGCAGGTAGAAGACAAGGTGAAGGGGCAGAATATTTCACAGAAAAAGATAAAGCACCAACGCCGCATCGATATGTAAGGGAACACAAAAAAGTATTTGTTGACATCATTCGTGATCGGAAATTAAATCAGCTTTTGAATATTGTGCAAGTATGACATGTTTACTCGTCATAGAGATCCATGTCACCACTCTCATCATCCATCTCGGCAAGTGCATCGTCCGAGTCGATCATTTCCGAATCTTCATCCTCGCTGTCACTAAGTTCGTGGTTGGGCAGGACTTCGATACGGCCATCGGTCATGACCACACGAGCTTCCTCGCCGTCCCGGATACTGCCACGCAGGATGAGAACGGCAAGGCGATTGAGAACCTCGCGCTCAATGAGGCGGCCTAGAGGTCGGGCGCCGTAAGCGGGGGAGTAACCAGCAGCGCCGAGATAGTCCTTGACTTCTTCGGTGCAGCGGATCAGAACATTCCGACCATTGTGCTCGAGACGCTTCTGCACCTCGGACAGACGGAGATCAACGATCTTGCGAATCTCCCGCTTGGTGAGACGGTTGAAGATGACAGTGCTGGAGATACGGTTGAGGAACTCGGGAAGGAAGTAATCACGGAGTGCACCCATGACTTGCTCACGGACGTGAGGTTCAATACGACCCTCACGGTCGATGGAGCGGGTCAGGTACTCGGCACCGAGGTTAGAAGTCATGACGACGATGCAGTTCTTCGCATCTACAATGCGGCCTTGGCCATCAGTGATGCGACCGTCATCCATGAGTTGTAAGAGGACGGTCAGGACTTCCTTGGCAGCCTTCTCGACCTCATCGAAGAGCAAGATAGAGAAGGGGCGGCGGCGCAGACTTTCAGTCAGCTGACCTCCAGCGTCATGGCCAACATATCCAGGTGGAGCACCGATCATTCGGCTGAGTGAGTGTCGCTCTTGGTACTCTGACATGTCGAAGCGGATCATAGCCTTCGGGTCGTCGAAGAGGAATTCGGCAAGAGCCTTGGTGAGAAGTGTCTTACCGGTACCCGAAGGACCACAGAAGAGGAAGCTGGGAGGCGAGTTGGGGTTGCTTAGACCCGAGCGCTGGAGTCGAATAGCGTTGGAGACGGAGGTAACGGCCTCCTTCTGTCCAATGACGACCTTGCCCAGATACTTCTCCATATGGAGCAGCTTATCCTTCTCGGTGGTCTTGAGACGAGTAACGGGGATACCAGTCCATCGGGCAACGATCTCGTTGATCTGATCCGGGCCAACTGCATCAGCAAGCAAAGCCTCACCGGCTTCTCCCGAGTTGGCACGACGTTCAGCATCAGCTCTCGCGCGGTCGGCTTCGAGACGCTCGATGAGCGCCTTAGTCTCGGGGATGGCGTAGTATTCGAGATCGGCCGCAGTTACTGTGTCGCCAGAGCGCTCAGCCTCATCACGCTTGACCTTGAGGGAGTCGAGCTTGATCTTGGCGTCTTGCACTTCCTTGCTGCGCTGCTTCTCACTTTCGTACTTCTCGCGCATAGGGCGCAGCTCCTCGGCAACATTGGCAGCCTCCTGCTTGGCGGCTTCCAAGCGGGCCTTAGAGGCTTCGTCTTGCTCACGTTCCAAGGCATGAATCTCAATTTGCAGCTGTCGAGCCTTTCTCTCGAGGGTATCCAGAGCCTCGGGCTCGGACTCGCGAGTGACACGAACTGCAGCGGCGGCTTCATCAACCAGGTCGACGGCGGAATCGGGAAGACGGCGTGCAGTGAGGTAGCGAGCGGCCAGAGTTGCGGCAGCGACGATAGCACCGTCAAGGATATTGACACCGTGGTGAACCTCGTACTTCTCCTTCAGTCCACGGAGAATCGAGATAGTCTCCGAGACGGAAGGCTCCTTGACCAGGACCTGCTGGAAACGTCGCTCAAAGGCCTGATCCTTCTCAATGTACTTGCGATATTCGCCGAGGGTAGTGGCACCAATGCAGTGCAGCTGGCCACGAGCCAGCATGGGTTTGAGGAGGTTGGCAGCATCCATACCGCCCTCGCCGCTAGATCCCGCGCCCATGAGCAGGTGGATCTCGTCGACGAAGAGGACAATGGTGTCCTTGGAGTCTTCAATCTCCTTGAGAACGCCCTTCATGCGCTCTTCAAACTCTCCACGGTACTTGCTGCCAGCGACTAGAGAGCCGACATCGAGAGAGAGCAATCGGCATTGGGTTAGGTTAGCCGGGACATCGGCGTTGACAATCCGGCGGGCCAAACCCTCAACGATGGTGGTCTTACCCACACCGGGCTCACCGATGAGAACGGGGTTGTTCTTCGTCCGTCGACTGAGGATGCGAATCACGCGGCGAATTTCTTCCTCGCGTCCGATGACGGGGTCGATCTTGCCCTCACGAGCCAAGGACGTCATGTCGATGGTGAACTTCTTCAGATTCTCATTTTCGCTCTCTGCATCGGCAGTCTTGGAGTCCACACGCTTTGTACCTCTGATCTGCTGAATGGCGGAGTCGATCAGTTTGAGGTTGGGGATGTTGGCGTCTGCCAATGCACGCTGAACCTGCGAGTCCTGGCAGACCGCTTGGATCAGGTGGTCAATGGCCACGAAGCTGTCCTTTTGCGTCTTTGACAAGTCCGTTGCCGACCGAATGACCTTGGCGAGTTGTGGAGAGACGGAGACGGTCTCTGGTGGGGGGTCCTGGCTTGGTAGCCGGACCAGCAGCTTCATGAGTGACCGGTCGAGCAGTTGAGGGTCGCCATGAGCTCGCTCGACAACTTGACGGAAGAGCGGGGTAGAGGATGCATCGTGTGAGGAGTGACCAGCCGGTTGCTGTTGGTCTTGAGATTCGTCCGCAGAAGGGTTGAGGAGGGAGACTGCCAGGTGGATAGGCAGAATCTGGGAGTGGGCATATTGTTCGGCCAGGGCGCTGGAGTCCAGCAAGGCCTTGTTTGCCCGATCTGTGAACTGAGCGCCGTTCATGTTGAACGGATGATGATGTGTGTTGTGATTTCAGGTGGTATGATATGATCCCTTTTAAGAGGGAGGAGATGAGTGAGAGGGAAGATGGAAGAGAAAATTTGGGATAGTAGCGGTAAGAGAGGATGTTCAATGTGGGAAATGACGGACTACGATGCCAGTGAAGAAAGCTGATAATATACTTGGGCTGGAGGGCTGCCCGAAGCTGCTCCGACCGTCATGACGTTATGAGTGGGTTCCACCGCCTTCCAGAAGCTGCCAGCACAATCACCTCGTTCCACCCATGACAGGTCACGTGATAATTTCACCCACTCGACCAGTGGTTGACCATGTATCATACGATCAGATAATGGACAGTGACGTTAATTATGGCGAGATGCGTTCTGATTCGCTAAATTTGAAGACCGACTAACTGCATGCAGCTCGTCGAAGTAGTCTAGACCAGGTAGGCAGACCAGTGATGATCATAGACCTCTGGGGTCGCAAGGCGAACATGACAATGATAACAAAGGACACTGGCTACGTAGGCCGACTGCGAACAACTTCTAGAATTCGATAGATATGGCATAGACTGCTTGGTTTGTATAAAATATCATAACCGTGTCAAGTGATTACGTGATTTATATATGGAAGCCTCGCAACTTGAAGTCTCGAGCCTTCGGAGATTGGAAGGGTTTGAGAAGGTTAATGTCGCGAAAAAAAACAAGGTCAGCTCCCAGAATATATCTCCAATATCTACTCATCTCGCGATAGTTGCATTCGAGCCTAAGGTTGCGTGTTCCGGGACTCCAATGGATCTCGGACCTGATCTATTAAAGTCGCCGTCACCTCGATAACTTTAATTATCGAGCTCAGAGACAAAGATTGATCATCAATGCTAACGAATTTGATCTAATAAATTGAAGACTTGAGCCATGATTGCTGGCTAAGAGCTAAATACAAAACCGCAGCTTCGCTTATGATCAACGATAGCTCCTAATCAGCAATCTCACTGACAACAATATCCTCGCTGAGATTTTTGATTCTATCAATACTGTTGGGGGTCAGGGGCCTAGCAGAAATTTGCCAAGTTAGTCCAATATTGAACACAGGGGGATAATCACCTTCCAAAGACTCACGGGGGGTAGTTGGTGGGGGGAAGGGATCTAGTGGCGATCCAAGATTCTTGACCAGTGTCCTCCGAGATAATTCTAAAGCATGGTCAATATATGTTCGAGTTCCATTAAGACCTTAACTCACTGTCGCACTGTTCGATCAAACTCAGAGTACCCCTCAACGGTTTGGTAGGTAAAGTGGATTCTCTTTTCATGAAGCCGTAAGTAATTGCTTCCTTCGGGGTAGACAAACTTAACGTACCTTCCGTTCGGCCATTTTAAAGATTCTTGTTCTACGTAGAAGAGCTATGAAACTTCACTTTACACCGCAGGCTGGGCTTTTTCTCAGACTTATCCCGAGTGGACGGCCGGAAGTAATGTGATATCCACACCCCCTTGTGATCGGTACAGCATATTTTCTTGAACCAGAATTCGCTCGATCTCGAGACTTGTTCTCTTAAACCATATACAGAGTACTCTATTCGAAGAAGCAATATACCGCGCTGCGGGGGAAACTGCAGTCCATGGGCGCAAAAGCATTACAGATCGGCAATACTGTATGACGTCAACTTGTGATAAAAACGCAGCCCCGTAGGTAAATGTTCAGCTCCCCGGGACTCTTCTGATGGGGAGTATATTCTGGAATACTATCATTGGAGAAAATCACGGGCCTCGTCCTGGCTTTCGTCCATCACCCTCACCATAGAACCCCATACTTTCCCTGACAGCGGGCAATGTTGATACCTCGACAGCTGAGTGCCTTGTTGCCTTATTGTCCGACAATCTTGGCACCACCGTTCTTCATGCGTCAGGCACTCAACGGTGATCACTGCTTCTTGCCCGGTCCAAAACACTGGGAAGGTCTCCCCCACGTTGCCACCTCTCCGAGACAGTGACACGATGCCAATTTCACGGGACCATTGGCGAAATCTTTTATGTGTGCAAGCGTTCCTGCGGTGGCGCGCGCGGACCCTGGCACTCCGCCCTACCAGTCTAGGATTTCCCTGGATTGTGATTGCGACCTTGATTTGACCAACGGTGCCGCTGACGCCAGCCTAGGTAAAGAGGCGTTCCTGATCTGCCGTGTACTGAGGCCGTGTACTGAGTACACAGAGCATGCCTTATTATTCCCAGTCCTATGGTATGACAACTGCTAAAATTGCTATACGAGCGAGTATCTTCTCCAGTCTTGGTGCCTTGTGTACAAATCACAGTTCTTCCCGTCCCAATCTTCAACATAGCCGATCGAATTATCCCGATAGGCCGTCCTGGGTCTTGACGTCAAGCGCGATCAGCGATGAAGCAAAGAGGAGAAGATCAGACTTTGTGACATGCGATCAGACCGCGAGCAAAGTGCGGCATGATAAGTACAGTACGCTGATAGTTCGGTCGGAGGACTTTCCCAACAGCAGTTGCTTGTTTGATTACCCAAATGAGGCGAACAAGAAAAAAAAATAAAATGGAGGCCTAGAGAAGAGTTCATCCTTCCTCGATCGGACCGTAGTCCATCTCCAGTAGAGACGGAGAATTTGAGAGAGAGGGTGGGCGATCAAGCCCTTCATCTCCATCCCACCGGCCATGCGCAAATAAAAAGCCGTTACTTGTCCACACGCAGCAAAGCCCAGACATCGTGGATGTACCAAGTGGACACCAGTTCGGCTGATCTGAGTCGGCGCAGTCCAGAGACAGAGATCGATGGCTCCCACTGTCCACACCGGAACGCCCCATTGGCCCACCCGTAGCGGGGTGTGGTGGTCTCTAGACTTTGGACCGTGTGAAACTGTAACTTAACTATCATTGGGAGGGGCCGGGCGTGGACAGCGACGGCGCGGATATGGCGCAAAGACTGGCAGCGGAAGGTTACCGTGGCGGGGGCAGCGGAAGAGAGGGGCAAATGCGTGTCGTTTGGCCTGATTGCCTCGTTGGAAAATCTGGCCCCCTCTATTCTGGGATCTTGGGATTATTTATGCAGGTAGGCCGGCCGTAGCTAGATGTAACTACTGCATGTGTGAAACTAGATTAAGTCAACTTGATCAACCGAGTAAATTCTTTGGAAGATGGTAGCGACTGCGGGTGTATGGAAGCTACGAGAAATTATCGTCTCCAGCATGTACAGCAGCACCAGCTACAAGCTGTACAGCTTGGATACTGGAAAGACAACGTCGTAGATGCTTATGACTGAACCCCCCGCTTCAGAGCAGAGTATACGAAGCATGGAGACGACGCATCCACGAATGGTAGAATTGGGGCCGTCGTAGTTTTCACAGACACTCGATGAGCTTCTCCTTGGCACTGAGTTTGTCAATTTTTTTTTTCTTCTTCAAGTTTGGCGTACTCAAGTGAGTGCTCAGCATAGGATAAAGTATAGTATATACCAACGTGTGCTCAGCTGTACCATCTAGAGAAACGGTCTTTCGCCCGAGGCTCCAAAAAAGAAAAAAACCCGGTTTGGTCCCGAAGCCGCCCTGATTTTCACTGGGTCGAGAGGGTAAGAAAATATGGAGTAGAACCATAAGATCCAGTAATGTCGCCGACGAGTCGAAGTTTTCATTGGGGGTTCGGAATTCCCATTAGGAGGAGATTCACCTAATGAATAGCAATCGATGGGATTAAATAGCCTTCCCAACCTTGTCCCCCTCCCAGCCAACGAAAATAAAACTAAAAGCAATATGTCATCCTCACGCCTATAAGAAAGCATATTAGCCCTGCATCCTGCCCTGGCCCTTCTTCTTGTCTTCTTCTCACGCCATCGCGCCTTCTATTGAGATCATCTGCAAGCCCTCTTATTTGCTGGACGTTGCCCGAGATCCTGTCTGTTCCCTCAGGCGATCAGGATCTTACATCCCAGCAGCAGATCAAATTACCGACAAGGAAACAATAATTACTATTCCCAAAGGGAAAATTTGGGCTTAGCCGCGCGAGCCTATCTCGGGATTGACAGAATCCGACAAAACGATCGGGATCGTGTTGCCTCGCAGTTTGACGTAGGCCATTCGAGTCGAGCCGCTCACATTCCACGAGGTTATTGCCGTTGACCTTTTCGGCATTCCCTTCCTGTCGTGTGCTCATATCCCTCTTCTTTCTCGTCCGATCAACCTGCAAGCACCCGTCGAGGTTTCCTGTAGGGTCTAAATTCGTGACATACCCTCCATTTCCTCACTACGAACCATAAGCATCGGATTATCCGTGCAAATCTACTTCTGCCAGAATGTCGACCAAGCCTATCTTCGTGGCAACGCATCCACGTGCCTGTTCGACGGCGTTCGAGCGAGTACGTTATCAAAGCCAAGCCAGATCGGCGTAGAGGCAACCTCAATCGCGAGAATCCAGACTAAACAGCATCTCTACAGGTCTTCATGACTCAGCGAGCCACTATCCAGTGTGTCCACGAGCCGTTTGGCGATGCCTTCTACTACGGTCCAGAGCGTCTCTCCGACCGGTTTGAAGACGACGAACAGGCTCGTATCGACAGCGGATTCAGCAAGTCGACATATCTCACCGTGTTGGAGAGAATAGAACGTGAAGCTTCAGAGGTCCGACCCTTCTTTCCCCGGATTCGTCCCTGATTTCTTTTTTTGCCCCTTGTTTTCTTTCCTCTCCCCAAAAGCCGTGCTCCCAATATCTCCCGTAAGGATCGATATTAGGAGATCATCGGCCCACCGTTCTCTCTGCCTCTCAACACTCACCGTGTTTTTCCCCTCTTGCGAATGTGCCCACCCAAGCACACGAGAAATCAAGACCGAGGACCGGAGGGTGCCATACCCTTTCCGTCATGTGTAACTTGCGTCTTTTTCTTTCCGAGGGAGTTACTTACCGTGAATGCAGGGCAAGAGAGTCTTTATCAAGGATATCGACCACTATCTACTCCCGCCAGCGGGAAAACCCGCCAGTGTGGCCCCTTCGCTGCATCGTATCAAGCGCGGTGTCGGCACCACCAACGGCGATGATCATTTCCCGGCCAATGGCGTGAACGGTGTTGCAAATGGCACCGCTCATGTCAACGGCGATGCCAATGGTACATCCAACGGTACCAACGGCGTCACCAACGGCGTGACCAACGGTGTCCACAAGGCCAATGGCCACGGCACCAATGGCACTGCCAATGGAACCACCAACGGGGTCTCACATCGCCCATACCCGTACGACACCCCTGCCGAGGCGGGCAACCCCACCGTCATGCCGCGCGAGATCCAGGAGCGATTCCATTTCGCCTTCCTCATCCGCGACCCGCACTTCAGTGTGCCCTCGTACTACCGCTGCACCATCCCACCCTTGGACGAGGTCACCGGGTTCCATAATTATGACCCCCGCGAGGCCGGGTATGACGAGTTGCGGCGACACTTTGACTACCTCGTTCGCGAGGGACTCGTAGGACCGCGGGTAGCGACCCGTCCCGACGTCAAGGTCGAGAACTGCGGAGCCAAGGAGACCGTCCATGAGATCTGCGTCATTGATGCGGATGACATGCTGGATGCACCGGCGGCGACGATCGAGGAGTTCTGCAAGAGCGTCGGTGTGCCGTATGATGCGTCGTTGTTGACGTGGGATACGCAGGAGGATTATGACTTTGCGTGCCATTGCTTTGAGAAGTGGCGTGGCTTCCATAATGATGCGATTGAGTCGAAGGCACTGGTTGCGAGAACGCACGTAAGAATATCCCAGCCCCGGTGGTAGATGGCAGAGTGATTGGGGGCGCGTGATGTGGATGGAGAAGATGGGATGCGATGACTTGGGAAGTAACGTCGTGCTAACATGGCCTCATAGAAACGTGCCCGCAAGACCGAGGAGGAGTTTGATGCTGAATGGACCAAGAAGTATGGCCCCGAGGCTGCAGCTCTCATCCGCAAGGCCGTCGACGAGAACATGGAGGACTACCTGTACCTGAAGCAGTTTGCCATCAAGGTCTAACCGCCCAGAGGTAGAGACAGCCATATTCCATGCTGATACCATCCATGGAGCGTGACTTCATTCAAATGGCTATAATGTAGTGTGGAGGAGTAGCAAGGGGGGAGGGAAAGCGAGAAGAAGTATGGAAGGAATCATACCCAGGCTGGAGGGAGAGGGAAGGTGGGGGGGGGGATCCATATATTCTTCTACTTCCCCAATTCCAAGTCCAAACGACGATTACGACTATTCTTATTATTACTGCACCGTGCTATGTTCAACCCTGCGTTCCTTGTCCCCTATTTTCCCGCTTTCGTTATGTTGGATTGTTACGCCCGCGATGAGAACGATTCAGTCCCGATCACGCCATCCCCGTGCTTCGCCCGCCCATCATTCCTGTGCGACGGGATGACGATCTGGATTGGTGACTGGGGATTGGCTGGATATTGCTCATGATCTTGCATTTGTTGCTACATCTTGACTTTTTGATCTTCACCGACTTCTTGTGTTTGTTGTTGCTTATCCTGGCCTGTCTGTCCTCTGTTAGGTTCCATCGTGCCGGGAGATTGGATCTGTGGAGGAGAGATTCCGATTGCGCCCGGCTTGTGTCTTTTGTATGTTGGGAGAATGAATACGATACATGTTGTCTTTTGCTATGTCCCGTTGAATTTGTGATTATCACAGTCCGTCGTAGTGTAAAGGTCGCTAAAGCGGTGGGTGGCTTGGTGGCAGCACGTCTATAGATAGACGGAGCTGGAAATCCCCGGCCTCGTAGAGGTGAGGGGCATTCTCTGGGGAAGCGTGTGCTTTCAACGGACTTGGGATTCCCTAATAATGACCTCCGATATCTTCGGTGGACCAGAATTTGATTTGGTGCACATGATCCCACGAGGTATGCTGGAGTATAGAACTTGATTTACTTGGGCATGTCTACTCCCGCTGTACTCTCCTTCAGGTGCCTGACACCTATGCAGGTTTAGAATCGCACTAAGCAATTAGACCGAGAAAAGAAGCGATATGTATACGTAATGTCCCGAGGTCTCGAATACTTCTCGAATACTTCTCGGGAGCTGAAACGGCAGCACCAACCATATATTCCACAAGCCTATGTCTCGCGATGATATAAGACTCAACATCTTTCGCCATACAGACAAGACTCACGAGATGACCGTCCCAATAAGCACACTCTTCCCCGCAAGTAATCTACGGTACATATCAGTGAGAACCCCCCTAGTCTGTTCATTTAACACACTGCCCCGAAAAAAAGAGACTCAGGAAAAAAAAAGAATACAGCCCAATCGGCGAGCCTCATGGAAAAAGATCAAAAGCTGGATAAGCTGAACCAAACCCGATGCCAACACATGTAAATGAGATCGTTTATACCGCGCTGTACCCGCCTCTCGACCCCGACCCCTGAAGCGTGTTGATTACGCTACGGACCCAGTCTTTGAAGAGGTAGGGGATATCGCGGAGGGTATCACCGTGCGGGACGAGATCCCAGCCACGGGCGCCGTAGCGGTTGTAATTGAGCCAGGAGCCGAAAATGAGATAGGCGGCGACACCAAGGAAGACACTTTGAGGAATTGTAAGTGTAAGCTTCGAGATGACGATGTGAAATCGTCAGGGGAGGGAAAAAGAAGGTGAGATCTTACATGATAATCATCCAAGTAAAGAAACCCCAAGAATTCGAGTTATTCGGCTGCTTCCCGCGCTGGTAATCGTCGCAAGCATACCTCGTGCGCCAATCCAGCTTCAAGACATACGTATCATCCTCGGACAAGCCGAAGCTCTTGAACTGCAGACTGCCGTCCCTAGGCTTTTCATCCCGACGGCGCTTCTCCTCACCCGCATCCGCGCTGTCCTCCTCCGTGACGAGCCCTTCCAGTCCAGACCGGTCCGGGTCACACGTAAAATCAATCACGGCGGCCGTAGGCTTCTTCTTTCCCTCGTCGTCGTCGCCTCTGAACTCGCCACCGGCGAGCTTGACTCGGACACCCTCGGTTTCGGGGTCGATCGTGGCTAGTCGCGTGATCTCTGGCTCCATTGAGCCCCCGCCCATGTGTTCGAGGCCGACGATCGGGAAGCCGAAGCGCTGACTGCCGTTGCCGTCGGTTGGATGTCGGTTTACGAATCCGCAGACTAGGTAGTGGAGGTAATTAGTCAACCGGGACCCTCGTTGGACTGGGCGTCCTATGCTAGGGTACGGAGCTTGGATTGAGACTTACTGCGCTTGGTCTGTCCGCATTTCCCAGCATCTCCACGGTCCGCAGCCTTGCTGCCCAGGGTTTTGCAAATATTGAGAACATAGGTTGTATTCGTCACGGCGGCCTCTGTCTCGTTCACGTGGTATAGCTCATGGACGCCGCCTAGGGGACTCAAGTCGTACTTGTACTTGTCGACGTTGATGTGAGCGCAGTCGAAGCTCAGCGCCGAACCTAGACTGGGTAGTACCGCAGACAGCAGTAGCGTGATTCCGCTTGATTGTAATCGCATGGCGGCGGATCAAAAATGTGTTTGTCGGGGGAGGGGGAGGAAGGATGTCTCGATGGGCCGGATTCGGTCGAGTTCCGACACGGGAGGGAGCTCGTAGAGTCGTATATGAGTGAGCACGTGGATAGGAAAAAGTATGGTACGAAGATTGGGATCGAAGTGCAGATGATGGTGACCCCACGCGGGTTGAGGTGCAAGCTCTGGTGGCGCGCACGAGGGTTGCTCTGGTGTTTGTCGAGGATGACGAAGGCTGGGGGATGATGGGCCCTGCGGAGGTGTTTAGTTTCTCCGACACGGCTCGTGGCCGGCGGGAGCTGCAGGCAGCACAAGAAGGAACACGCCACGAATCAGACAGAAGATGAGCCCGGGGGGATAGATTAGTGGGAAGGGTCTTGAAAGGGCTTTGGAAGCTTCCAGCCGCAGTGCATTTGTCTTTTCTGCTCGAATCCTTCTACGTTCTGGGCATGATGTCACCCGACCGCAAACATTCGCATTGTTGGGGGCGAGTCTAGTCTCAGCTGAGTCCTGCTACTGCTACTGCTTTTGATAGAGTAATTCTCTAGCTAGGCAGATGCTATAACAATCTGATGTAACGGATATACTTTATGGTATTCAAGGCAGCATCCTGGGTCCATTGAACGTGCTTGCATGTGTAGAAGAAGAGTAGGAGAGTAGTCCTGCACACTTATCCAAAGGCTATGAACTTATCCAGAAGACTCTTAGCCAAAAGATCTACTCTCTATGTATCTCACGAGCACTAAGCACTAAATCGCAGCTCATATTGGTACTTTACTCTGCCATCTCTATCGTCAAGTGGACAATCCACAAAAAGGCACCGCCCGCCAACACCTCGCGCACGGACCACCATCAAATCCAGCCGCAGTCGGCAACACGTCCAGCAGAACATCCAACTCCCCTCCTAATCTCACTTCCCATACATCAATTCCCTCTGCAATAAAACCACCATGATCCAACCACGCATGGTAAGTCCTTCCCCCAGCCTATACCCCGGACAAGGGGGATACGATGTCTCACAGCAAGCCTCTCCATCCCACCAAGCACAAACTGAGCTAGTTCCCCGCAACCCCCCACGACAAAAAAAGAAACAAGCCTCAAAGCTAACACATAATCCGCGCAGCTCTCGCGCGCCGACGAAGCTACCGCTGGTAGCGAGGACAATGAAGTCCGTCGCGAGGATCAGGAGAAGATTAATAGGTTTAGTCGGTTGCATCAGCGGGAGACTATCCTGGAGGAGCAATTGAAGGCGAAGCAGGTATGTTACGAGCATCGGAGAGAAGCTGATATTCGACTATTCCCCCGTGTCGATTTGTAATTTGACATGTTAATTCTAATAAATGATGCAGAAAGATAAGGAAGATCTCGAAGAAGTCTCTACAGAACTCGAACTCGCTGATGAGGATGAGCTTGTCCCGTAAGTGACCCCCCCACGCCCCTGTTTGCCTGCTTTTCATATCCATTGCTTCTCGCACTGTTCTCTCTCTCTTCTCCAACTTCAAGTTCACCCTTTTATTTTCCTGCTTGCTGTAGAAGTCTACGCATATCCATCTCGTGCACACAAACTAACAGGCCAACTAGCTACAAAATCGGCGACTCCTTCTTCCAACTTCCCCTCGCAGACGCCCAGTCTATGCTCGAGGCCTCCACGGCCCAAATCGATGAGGACGTGTCCAAGCTGGAAGACTCCCTGGGCGAGCTGCGCGACGAGCTACACCAGCTCAAGGTTTCGCTGTACGCGCGGTTCGGAAGGAGCATTAACCTGGAGACCTGAGTGTAATGTGTCCTGGGTCTGGTTGGTTGGGTAATGACTATGATTTCTGTATACGATTAGATAGACGAATGAGAGTACGGATGCGATGTGTTTTTTTTTTCCTGTTAAATATATCATACAAATGGGTGGTCCCCGAGCGGATGTATCAGGACGGAGGGAGGGCGGATAGGATATATGCCACTTTGGATATTCAACTGCACAGGACACGTTCATCTCTTATCCGATCACAGCTCATAAATATCATTCAAGGTAACCCAGATAGACCAAAGGAGAAGAAAATCAAAAAGTGAGGTATCTAAGGCAACCGTCAGAAGCACAGCAGAAACGCAAAGGACAGAATATCTGCCAGATGATCCAAGAAAAATCAGATATCAATGAATGGCATCTCGAGAATCGAAGAAACACTAGGGGACAAGTAGTGTGGGTAGAGTGCTAGTGACGGGTATGTCAAGGATCGATCCGAACAAAGTGCAAAGCATCAACAAAACAACGCCCATTTCTCCAGTAGTGCTGTCCGGTCTGGTATGGATGGAGAGAGAGAGAGGGGGGGGGAAAGCTATACACCTGAGCTCAATCCACCATTTCCGCCTTTTGCTCTTCCCTCGGTCAACTCTCTCTCTCTCTCTCTTCCGCCTCATCCATAGAAGAAGGTATTTACGAGTCCCACAATATGCTCATTCGGTCTTTCATCTCTCCTTTTTCGGTTCTTCGCACGTATTTAACACTCCGGGGTATATATCAGTTTACGAAAATAGGGAAAATGCAATATGCATCTACCGGAACTTTGCACGGCAGCGGCCCATGACCTCGTTTTGGCAAACCAGCTCAGCGCTGAACTCGCTGCCGTCCAGCGTGAGGTAGATGTCAAAGTACACCCGGTAAAAGATACCCTGAGGAGTGTCCATGCGCTCGAAGTCGGTCTCGAGATTCTTGCGCGAGAGGTCCGAGGTGAGCGTGACAACTTCCTTGATGCCTGTAGTAGAAACAATCAGCAAGAGTAATGAATATCGACAAAGAAGAAATGTTTGACTTACGAGGATCCTTGGTGTACTCGGGGCAGACATCCTCGTCACAGGCGTACAGCACGTCCTCATACATGAGGGTGGCGCCAGGTGCCACTTGACGGAAGAAGCTGACCTTGACCGGCTCGCCGATCTTGACTCGCTCTCCCTTTTGTACGAAGATCTGGCGTGTGTACTTGCACCGGTCCCGGCCATCCAGACTAGGCACCCGGTACTGCTCTGGGTGATATCCCTCCTTGAAGGGCTGGAGGGTGGCCATCAGGTAGTGGCGACGGGCAACCCGGTGGGTGATCACTCGCTCAGTGATACCGGCGGTCACGGCGCCCTTGACGATGGCAGCAACGGAGTCCATAGGCCGGACCACCTTGGTCTGGTATTGGGGTGGGACGTGGAGCTTGATCTGTTGGAAGAGGTATTCAGAGGCACCGAAGCCACCCACAACCAACACGTTCTGAAATGGGGTTAGTAAAGACGAGAGCATGGAAGAAAACAACGAAAAGCCGTACCTGAAGCAAGCGGTTCTGTGCTTGAATAGCGATAATCTGGTTACGGACCAGCTCAAGAATGCGGTTCACCACAGGCTCAAAGCACTGAAGAATCTCCTCGTTGGTAAAAGTCATGTAGCCCTCCTCGATGCCCGCATCGGGGAAGTCTGCCTCGATACCAACGTCGACCGCCCATTTTTGACCATTGTTTCGGAAGTCCGCCTTGATGCGGTTCTCGAAATCCATGATACACTTGGCATAGACCTTGCCCGCAGTCCGAGATCCATCAGGGAGCTTCATCTTTCGAATCTTGGCTCGCAAGATATTGCTAAAGTTGCGGTTCAGGGCAGTCGAACCACACGAGTCTCCAGATCCTGCAGTGCACTCTGCCACGCTAAACGGCTGTTCCTCTTCGACTTCGTAGGCAATGAGATCGACGGTACCACCACCACAATCAACGATCAAAATCGCGTCGCCAACCTTCAAGTTCAACAAACCCGTCTTCGCGCAGAAGAGCGCAGCTGCCTCGGGCTCCGAGACCAGAGTGAGCCGGTTGTCATTTTCGTCGCGCAGGAACCCAGCCTGAATGGCAGCAGCACGAGTGGCTGCCTTTCCAGCGTCATTCCAGATGGCGGGTACGGTCAGATAGTAGCGGATGTTGCGCTCCTCTCGCGTAAACACCTCACCAAGAGTCTTCTGCAACTGTGCGCGCATTGCCTGTCGCAACTTGAAGAGGTAGTCGGCCGCCACGTCGATTTCCGACTTGCCCGGCGGGAGTGGGGGCAAGTTAATGGGATCGATATAAGTGTTGCCCGATAGCATCAATTGCAACTTGAACCATTCCACCTTTTGCACGCCGGGCTTCGGGTAACCGGTCGGCGCGAGCGCCTCGGCGATATCAGGACCCCAGCCTACCACCTTCTGATATTGATCGTAATAAAGGACGGTCGGAATCTAAGATAACAATGGGATGAATGGTCAACAAGGGGCCGTTTTGCGACGGGGAAATCTAATCTCCCCGCGACCGTTCTGCTCACTTTTTGTTTCGTATGCGTACCCGCGCCCGGCCATTCTGTGATAATATCCTCGCGGGCTTCATTGTTGGTTGCAAAGGCAAATGCGACACCGGAGAAGGTGGTACCAAAGTCGATACCGACAATGAGCTGTGCTTTGTTGCGATTGGCGCCCTCGACCTCGACGGCGGGGTTGCGATACTGGTTCTGGGGCATCGACTGTTGCATCGGGTGGCCATGACCTTGTAGTGGGGGTTGCATGCTATACCCCGGGGGTGGGTTCATGGGCTGCTGGTGGCCAGCGTACTGCATCGTGGGATTGGGGTTGAGCGGGGCGGGGTGCTGGGTGAGTTGGCCGGGGACCATGGGACTGGTGGGTCGGTTTGAGGGGAAGCTTGGAGGGCGGGTTTGTTGTGGAGGCTGATTCACAGACAGACTCGTCGTCGAGGAGCTACGCTGCGAGGGCGACGTAGGTGAAGTGCCGTTGGAGGGGGTCACCACGAGGGGGTTGGGGGAGGAGGCGGCGGAAGGCGGGGGATTCTGGGGCTTTTTGTCGCGTCGGAAGGTGAACTTGCCAAGTCGGGAGCTCATGGAGGACATGTGTGTGGCGAGCGCCCACAGCTGAGAAGAGAGGGGAAAAGAAAGAAGGAGAAAGGGGACGTGTCAGAGGTGGGAGAAGAAAGAGAAGGGAGAGCAGAGGGGGGGTTGCAGGTGTGGAGTGGACGGAGGTGAGGTGAGGCGAGGGAACGGGCAAGGCTGAGTTGGGAATACGAGGAAAAAGGGACACAAAGTGTTGGTGCCTGTCAGCAAAAAATCCAAGACCCAAATAATTTACACACAATGAGGGACAGGAATCCACCGGAATGACAGTGACGGTAGATCTCGGATTGTGAATGGATGAGAGATCATCACAGAGGGCCTCCGTTAGTCTAATTCCAATAGCATAGATAGATAGTATACTAGTGGAGTCCCGGCCAGGATCTGGGCGGAAGAGATGGAGATGGAGAGCAGGTCGAAGGATGACAAGGAGAATTAGACTAAGTGTGCGGCTGAAGACGGAGAGATTAAACACAAGAGGAGGAAGAGAGTGTGGTAAGAATAACGAGTTGAAGCTGAATTAAAACAAGGCTCCCCCCCCCTTCGTGTCGATCTAAAGCCTTGCGGGCAGTGCCCTCGGGTGTCCATCACGTATCGAGGGTCCAACTAGACGTAACTCTCGTATCCGGTATTCTTCAGCTAAAATGACATACATTATCGAGTTCATCATCACAGAACTGACCACAGGAAAAGATCTGGGACATTGGGACATGAACGAGTACGTGGCTTCTATGGTTAACCCTATCACGACCCTCGGCTTTATTTACTTCTCTTTGTCCGTGATCCATGGAACGATGCTGATCCCACAGCCCTTTGTTCGCCCGTTTCGGCCCCCATCGAGATTCGTAACTTTGGCCTGGGGGCCACCTGCCGTTGCGGAGCATTTCCTTGGGAAGTTTGGGGGCGTGAAGACATGTCTATCCGGTCGTCACTCCAATCAGTTGACCAGTAACGGGTTGCCTAGATAGTCTTGGAGCCCCCAATCCCCAGTTCGAGGGCTCTGGACTACGCCCCTTCTGCCCCCCCCCCCCCAAAACCAAATTCCCGCTTTTCACAGATCAACCGGCTGAGCCACTCTCCGCGCCACCCAGTGCGATGGCTGATACAAGTTCTGAAGCATACTCTCCCCATCTTGAATGTAGCCGCACGGCCTGCGATCGCCAGGCCGTGCTTCCACCCGGAAACCCAGACGCTCCACCAGACACAGTACTTCATCCTCGCTCAACTCCACGTTGCCCGGCTCACCAATGCCCGAGGTATCTTTGCCCTTGCTCTTATCCTCGCCCGTCTCTCCCCCGTCCGAGCGGGGATGTCCGTCCTCGAAATGCCACAACAGTGGTCCCACATTGATCCAGAGACCCCCCGGCTTGAGACAATGGTGAATCGCCTCGATGTATCGGATCAGGTTGGGCGCCGTATCGATGAAGAATACGGTCGCTACCGCGTCAAAGGCCTCGCGGTTACTCGGTTCCATGTATAGTACCACAAAGTCTGCCGCGGACATGGACATTGAGCCAATCGGCGCTTGGGTCTGCGCCACTTCCTGGATCGCCGTGCCCGGGTGGACGTCCGGAATCATGACGCGACGTAACTGCTGTGCTCGAGAGTGTAGATTGGAGAAGTGCAAGGCGAAAGGGTGCAGCGGGTGTGCCGCGGGACCGGCCGTGTGGTTCAAGATCCAGCTGCTGGCCAGCAACTGGTGGTACGAGATCTCGTTGCCCTCGGCTGCATACCCGGCCAGACAGACTTCAAAGACGAGTCGACCTAATCCGGCGCCCGGGACCAGCACGCGAATCTCCTCGCCCGCATCTCGGCGCGTCTGAAACTCGGCGTGGAGATCCTGGAGGACGGGGTCGTAGCAGACGGCTCGCTCAGCGCGACCTTCGGCGCTCCAGTCGCGGTAGAATTGGCGAATGGTCGAGTGCGCCTTGTTCACGTCGGATGCTGTGGCTGTCTCGTGCCAGTTCTGGTTGGGGTCGTCCTTGTCCGGGTTGGCGGGGAGCCCAAAGGACTCCAGGCCCACGGCGAGGATGGCATCGGCGATTTCAGCATTGGTGTCAATGGCATCATCTACCTTGTTGAAGGTGTCTAGGATGTTGAATGGAGGCTCCGAAAGCATCTGCCAGTGAGCAGAGGGCAAGGAGTAGAAAGCTTGCCGCCGGCGATGCGTGGTGTTCTGATGCGCCGTTCGCCGGTATTGTCTGTACTCATAGGTTAGACTTGGAGAATATGTAATGCACCGATACAGCTGCCATCTGTGTTGTCCCGCTGGAAGACCAAGTAGAATTGCAAGATGGAATCCTTATCGCGTACGCACCGGAAGGAATCAAACGCGGCAAAAAGAACCCGTCGTTCTTCGGGATCGGAAAAGGGATCAAAGTCTCCAGTCCAGGTCTCGTCCCCCTCAGCCTCCTGGCTAATGACTGGCTCTGAATCCGTCATGGCTAGATATGGTCCCAGTCCCCGAGCGTCCTACCTACACCTCTGCGAAGGGCTATGGACCGAACAGATCCAAGTGTCGATCCTCGTGAGTAATGTGCGGCGGGCAAAGCGAAGTGGGATTGGTGGACCGGACCGCCTCCGCTTGCCGGATGGCGGGCACCGTTGAATCTTCAACCTTCTGCAAGCTCGACGACGAACACGAGAGGACCCCACGCGCCATCGGATCATCACCCTTTTCAAATTCTACCTTCATTCATCCGAGATCTTCAGCTCTAAGTTTGAAGTAAAGAGTACACAATGGCGACAGCTGCTGCACCAACAATTCCCCAGACGGAGCTGGTCTCCCCCACTCGCAAGCCACAAGAGCTCTCCTTCCCACTACCAAAAGCTCTCCATACGACTGGCCATGTCCATTTGACCTTCTTGGCTCACTGTGTCATGGTCCATCTGGCTACCTCAACGCCCGGTGACTCGGCTGGATCTGTCAAGCCGATGGGTAGCTTTGTGTATGCAATGCCTGACGTAAGTCGTCCACTTTATTCATCATTCTTCTTTTGCGTCCGTCTTGTCGTATCGTTATTGCCTGGAAATCCTTGTTGGTCGTTATTTTCTTGCATGTTGAGCTCTTTGAGCTTTCTCTGGGCTCTTCGGTACAATTTGTCGTGTCCTCTTATGTCCGTGTTCAAGGGAGACAGACATATGGCACTTCTATTTTCCGAGCTACTCCTCCACGACATTGAAATTTCTTGTTTATTTTTTGTAGAGGAAGAATATGGATTACCTGGGGCGTTGAGCAGTGACCAATTTCATCTTGAGCTGATCTTTTCCTTGTCTTAATACCTCTCTTTCTCTTTTTTGTCCTCCATTTTCACATTCGATCCTTGCTAACATTGCTAGCGAACATCACCAAATGCAACGATCTCGACAACACTCTACACAACGTCATCCAGTATCGAGTATACGACACGAGTGGCCAAAATCCTTGCCCGGCGCATCCGACAGCCCGTCTATGTTGGGTGCAGCATTGATCCCAACGGACTCGGGCAAACGGTAGAGGAAGAAATGGAAGGTCTAACGCACATTGTGAATCTCATTGTCGAGAAATATGAAGCGCAAAAGAAGCAATGATTGCCCCTCTCAAATTCATTGGAATGGATTGATCTGATAAGAGGAGTATTGTTCATGTAGATGGCGTTACTGGCGAGCCCGCATTTAGCTATCTTCTATCTCAAAATGCCAAGATTCATGCGTTTGACCAAATTCAATAACAATACCAATCATCAAGCGATGCTTGGCATTTAAACAGCAGTATTCGTTCCTCCGTCATCCAGTTTGTCCTGCGTAGCGAATCCACAGGCGCCCTATCAATTGCAATATGTCGGCCGGAAAGTGCAGGTGGGTCATTGATCCATTAGGCCAAAAAGTACTTAAGCAGAGTCTTCTAGCTTCATCTGGATATATAAACAAAGGTCGTTCAGGTACCGGTATTACCCCCACCTTATAGGCTGACACATTATTACAGCTGCTGCCTTGAACATGTCCCTTCCCAGCATTCAATTACATCTCTCATTATATCCTCCAATGAGAGCTGGAAGTCATCCGGATTTTGGGAAGAGGTAGGTCCCAGCAAGTGCGGCCTGGCCGGATCTTATACAGGATCTGATCTACAGTGTACATCCCCGAATGCCACACCTATCTCCCCACCACCAGGCACCAAACTCCGGCTGCACTAATCCTCAATCCTTTCGGATGAAAGGAAATTACCTTTTGGGCTCTGGTGCATCTGCGCAGCACTTTCAACCTGCAGCGAGATTGGACCAGCGATAACGGCTGTGGGCGAAGGTCCAACGGGATGATATCCCTGTTCCTGAGAATGAGCTGGTGGTCTGAGATTTCCTGTGTATTGCTCAGAATATAAATAGATCTTGTGTATTGCTCGGATTATAAATAGACAGGAAAATCCAAAGTCAGCTCTGCTTCAGAATCAGGACAGCCTGGTACATTTATCTGCGAAAGTTGCGATACGTCTGATCATGGCTCCCCAAAACGTTGGCATCAAAGCCATGGAGCTTTACTTTCCCAGTCGCGTAAGTGGACCATGTTTCTCGATATAGCCCTCGGCATATAGTTCTTGTGTATCTCTCGTATCTAACAGTCTGGCAGTATGTGGCTCAATCTGATCTGGAACAATTCCTCGGTGCCAGCACCGGCAAATACACAATTGGCCTAGGCCAGACAAGCATGAGCTTCTGTGACGATCGCGAGGGTACATCTACACTCCTCAACAGATCCACTGCCAACGAATCCAAGTGGATAAACATGTGCGCAATTGATCAAGGCTGACCACTACTTCAGATGTATACTCCCTCGGCCTGACAGCCGTATCCTCTCTCCTCCGCAAATACAACATCTCCCCGGACTCAATCGGCCGCCTAGAAGTTGGTACAGAGTCCATGCTCGACAAAGCCAAATCCTGCAAATCTGTACTCATGCAACTCTTCGGCTGCAACAGCGACATCGAAGGTGCAGATACCTACAACGCCTGCTACGGCGGAACAAGCGCTCTTCTCAACGCCGTCAACTGGATCGAGTCCTCTGCCTGGGATGGACGTAACGCGATCGTCGTTGCCTCGGATATTGCACTGTACAAGAATGTCTCGGCGAGACCGACTGGCGGTGTGGGCTGTGTGGCGATGCTAATCGGGCCCGATGCACCGCTGGTGTTGGAGCCGCTACGTGCGTCCTATATGCGGCATACGTATGACTTTTACAAGCCGGATTATAAGTCCGAGTATCCGGTTGTGGATGGGCACTATTCTTCGAGATGTTATTTGCAGGCGCTGGATGGGTGTTATCGGCGGTATCGAGAGAAGCAGGCTGATCGCAAGGTGAATGGGTTCAAGGTGAATGGGCTGACGAATGGAATCGCGAACGGGCACCTGAGCGAGCATTCTTCGCTGACGGGCTCGTCGACGGTCCCTCTGGACGAGTTTGACTATTTTGTCTTTCATGCCCCTAATTGCAAGCTGGTTTCCAAGTCTTATGCACGTCTGCTGTACAATGACTTTCTTGCGAATCCGCAGAACGAACTGTTCGGCTCCGATGTTGTGCCTGCGTCCGCTCAAGAGCAGACCTACGAGGAATCCTTGAGTGACAAAGCACTGGAGAAACTCTTTATAGGAATGTCGAAGGAAAGGTTCACCAAACGAGTCCAGCAAAGCCTCACAGCCCCGACTATGTGTGGGAACATGTACACTGCTGGCGTCTACTCGGGTCTCATCAGTCTACTCAACAACGTTCCGACTGCAGAACTACTCGGTCGACGTGTGGGAGTGTACAGCTTCGGCAGTGGTCTGGCTAGCACGCTCTTCAGTCTACGGGTTGTAGGCGACGTGAGCGATATCGTATCCAAGATCGACCTGCACGCTCGTCTCGCGGCTCGCGAACGAGTTTCGCCCGAAGTCTACGACGAGGTAAGACAATTCCGCATCTAACACACACGGCAGACGCTGATCGTATCCAGATGTGTAAACTACGCGAGCAGGCATATCAACAAAAGAGCTATACCCCCGCTGGCAGTATCGACGCGCTGGCACCCGGGACGTACTATCTCGTCGAAGTCGACGAGATGTTCCGGCGGACGTACGCCGTCAAGGACTAGAAAAGGCTAGCCGTAACTGAGGTTCAATAGCACCGTCATTCATGTTTCAATTCTTAGACACACTGTAATCCAGATTCAATTTCACGAGTTAATCTCTCGCACTTTCTGCTCGTTACAACGGACTCTTTCCGCGCCGCGGCAACGCAGACGCAATGACTTGGATCATCTAAACCTAGATCGCACCGATCCGGACTCCGAGAATGCTATCCACAACGTACATGGTTGCTGTAGCCATAAGAATACCACGCTCTACCATACTGTGAACTCTACTCCATCTACTCCTACGGACGTATAAATAGGTTCCCCGTCGGGATATCACAACCCGAGCATCGCCCGATCGCCAAATGGCGAAAGCCAACCCGATCGATACGTCATCGCAAGAGCCAAGCAATCGCTTAATCTGAGACTCCCGTAGTAACGTTAGTGATTAGGCACGCGGAGCTCTCCGGTCTCAGATTGAGGGCGCCGTTCAGATCCTCAGCCTGGTCGCCAGTTGGGTCAGGGGCAAATCGGAAAGTCTCGGTTGTTGACCGGGGCGGTTTCAACTGTCCGGATCGATGTCCCGCTGTGGGGCGGGAAAATAGAGTCCATCGGGTCACGGTGGAGGAAAATGAAGAGAAAAAAATTATGTCCACAGCATGTGTGTGACGTGTGCGGATCAAGGGGGGAGGCTTGTATTTGGAAGGATAGGGCATACAGGTCAACTTCATCGTAGATCGTGTGTCATTCCACCAGTGCTGTGAGGATGCGGCGCTGGGGTGCTGAGCTTTTAGGACCTGGAGTACGCAGTCAAGCCGGGTTGCCTCTTTTTTAGCTTTTGCTTCTGTAGGTTTAGGGTCGTACTTTGCTCTCGTATGGCTTACTGCTTATGGGGCGATCTCCATTATAAGCTCGGCGCTGTGGTATAATATAATGTGCCTGACTGCACAGTTATTACTGGTAGTGGGGGCCTCGCAGTGCTACATGGGGCCCTATCATTGAAACACATGTAAGCATATTGATTACGGGAAGATCATGCGAGAATAAGACAATGAATAGATAACAACGCTGGCGTTCGGAGCAGCTGCACAGAGTACGGAGTCCTGAACCCACAGCTTGTTACAAACGGTCGCAAGACTGCAGGACAAGGGCTTCGCTAGTGGTGGATTTGGGCTTCGGCTCGAGAGAGCTGAGAAGATGGCTAAGCTTACTCTGAATGCCAAGACATGTAGAATAGTGTGCAGTAGAGTTTGCATGGGTTGGGCCAAGTTGGTGGCTGATTACTGTATCGTTGCTTTTCATTTTGCTAGCTTATGGTCTCTACTGGCCCAAAAGCGACTGACTGGGAGTATTCTCTATTATCTGCACGGAGTACATGATAGATCAAAGCACGTACCGCTGGCGCTCCTGCGTTGACGAGAGTCTCAGTTTTGTGAATAGTTAAAAGGCGGGGTAAGATACAGTAGAAGCGAAGTGCTGTAATCCCTGCCCTAAGAAGACCCCGTCATGCTAATATGCTAAGATACTAACGCAGGAGTAATTCTCCCGAAAAGCAACGGCACGAACCGAGGGCTTGACCGCCCAACCAAATGTGATTTCTCAGACAGGCACAGAGTACGTACTTTACTCCGTATGGAGTAAATTATACCGATGAACTCGAGGTAAGGTTATGCATGCAGTATGCAGCTGAGTACAGCTCTATTCATGTGACTTGAATGAGTCCTCTACTGGATTTCTTGCCGGAATTGTTCGTATCCAGTCCACTGTACAAGACTACATTGGCCAGAATACCGCAGCTGGCGCATTGATGTCCCGCGCCAGGGGTGGATGGCGCAATTGAGACGGCTCATGCACGATCGCGACTGGTGCGTCCGAAAATCCACCAGCTCGGAATCGGACAGGTTCCTACGAAAGAGTGAGAAAGATTGGCGAGGCGAGGTCCGGCGGCCGCTTTGCGCGGTGGATGGTGGCTGAAGTGGATGGTTGGTATCCGGGGCCGGAGAGTCTTATCGCGTAGCCGAAGGGTGCGGGGAAAGCCCTAATTTCTCTCGACATGGTAGATGATTCGGAGAATCTTGTTAGAGAGTTCGTGAGCATGACGAGATTGGGTATGGACCCGCGCGCCAAGACGTCGAGTGTCGAGGATCAACCGTCATGATTTTGAAAACTGTGATGGTTTGGAAATGAAATTAATGTCAATGTATCGCTACTCGGCACCAATATCCATGATTCGGTGGGATTTTCTCTATACTGTGCTATTGACCGGAACTCGGAAATTCCTATATCTCCTCACATCGAACGAAGGTCCCGAACAATAGGGTGGAGGGGCTGACTCGGAGATGACCAGACTCGGAGAACTAGTTTAACAAGGTGGGGGGCTGAAGCTGGCATCAGCATCAGCGTCGCTCAGGCTTGCTGCACAGCAGTGCGCAGGTCCTGTGATCAAGCCGACAGGGCTTCTCCGTAGTCCCAAACCCGTGACAGATCGGTCTAAAACAGATTGGTGAGGGATATCTTCTCCATACGAAGGGGGTGATCAGACGTTCCGTTTGTGTTGGCCAATCGTGATAGATGGCAGACACGGGTGGATCTACCGCAGGTCTTGGGGCCGTGGGTTTGGCACAGCATGGTCGTGGTTGATTGGCTTGGAGAAAAAGGAGGTTCCCATAGGGAGGTTGGCGTTAACTTCGGGAGGAGGCACGAGGCACGGCAGCCTGTGCTTCTGTGGTCAACGTGGGAAAAGGCACGCACGGGCATCTAGCTGATTTGACGAGTTGAACGTGTACTCTGTACCGAGTACAGCAGCTTTTGATAGGGACATGTGGCTAATGGATAGTGTGATTGAGTCGTTAGAATTTGTATCTACTATGTAGTTTACCCCTCGTGGTTATTTATCAAACGTTTAAATCTAGCCTTCCCTCCCTGGTCTCGGTAAACATTCCGTAAACCCAGTTGTTAACCATAAACTCACATCTCTCCCCTTTTGCGGAGACCCAACGGGACCCGACCAACGTTTAATCGGATAAAACTCGGGACCTACCAGTCAGGGCTCGTGGGCTCGGTAGGCGGATTAGGGGGGGATTCCAGCCCCTCTATTTGGTACGTGAAAATGGGGCCAGATTGAATGAAGCCGGTCCCTTCTGATTGGAAGAAAGATGGGATAGTGCTCGGCAACCTGGCATGCATTGAAATTAGCAACCATGAGCGATAGGGGAGAACAAGCAACGAGGCAGGAAAGGGGAAAAAAAAGTGCGAATTATTGCCACTTGGAGATGAGGGTCCCCACTATCCGGGTCGATATCCGGGCTTGGACTGGGCTTCCATGTGGTCCGGTGAATGCATTCCGAGTCGATCAGGGCTTGTAACCGTGCAGAAGACGAAACGAAACGGGAGCGGTGGAACACGATTAAACTAAACCGGAAAAAATAAAAATAAAAATCGGGCCTTGTTACAGTAGTGGTTTGAAGTTGTTGGGGGGTTGTGAGATCAGAAAGAAGAAGACGGCACGACGGGCGCCGAGATCTTCATTCTCACATACCGTAGGCTCCGTATGGGCTTTTTTTCTTTTCTCTTCCTACTTTGTGCTTTTCCGCCTGGGCACTCTATATGGATGAAGGGTCTTTGTAAGGGACGTAGGATGAGAGGGAATCGGAGTAGGCGGTATAACCAAGAAAAGTAGGTTGATGCATAAGAAGGGATTAAGCCTGTTCGTGCCGGCACTTTCCTGCAATTTGGTTGGCCTAGCAAGCCTTTGGAACCGACGTGTAAATTGGCTTTTTGTCGCCAGGCTCCATCAAAGCCCGATGTCGGGAGCTTAATGGCTATCCACCGAAACTGCGTTGAGCGCAGAATACACTGCATGTGTATTACACTCTATGCTCTGTAAATAACTCTCGGCAACTTCATTGAACTCTGGACTTGCCTCCTCAGGGGCAAGATCGAAGATTGCATGCTGACTGGCGTAAAAATGGTCCGGCTCTAACCACCACTGACGATCCGTGAGTCGTTCAGGATACGCGGCGCACCAGCCTTTTTCGACGGCTCTATTGGGAGACGATTGCATTGCGAGATTGAACCTTTCGAACATGCTCTGTGCATGATCAATTATTGTCTTCTTGTACTTGAAACGGGCAAGACCGTGTCGTATATGTCCAAGGTATCCGTTCACCCGTTCACCCGTACTATTAGGCACACTGAGAGTGAACTTTACGATCATCCCTCGGTCCCTCTCAAGTGCAAGGGATAGACTCGGTCATCGTGCTGGACCCAAGTGGGGACCCGCCACCTCTACCGAGTTTAAGGGCGACCTACCGGCGTGGCTCCCCTCCTTGACTGCCTCTCCCCCCCCCTCCGTCAAATGTAAATGGAGACAAGGTTCGCCAAATCCCAGGCTCCCCATCGGAGGGGCCCCTGGTGGACAGGGTCCCCACTGGTCCATCCGAAAAAAAAAAGAAAAAAAAAAGAAAAAAAAAAAAAAAAAAAAAAAAGCGGTTCCAACTGCTTCAGGTATCCATCGACACTGCCTCTGCCGATCTCGGGATGCCTCTTGGGCGCAAGAGGTCTGATCTCGGGCTGACGAGGTGGGTTAGAGTGGTGATAGGTATTAATCGGAGGCCGAAAGGAGACCTTTTGGTTACTTCTTTCTTTTGTCCGAGTATGTACGGAGAATAATTTCAGTATAGGTAGTGGTAGTCGAGATGGATAGTTGTGAAATTGTCAGCTCTGGAAATCCGAGAGTATATATACTCTTCTATAGCCCGTTTGTGGAAGAGTCGATTCGACCCGACTCCCCGACCCCATCGTATAGCAAAAGGGGGGCTAGACCCGGTTTTTAGCGGTTGCCCGTGCAAAGTGTCATTTCGGCTGAAGATTCCTTAATTCACTTTCTGGGTCCTGAGCTCTTGGTTCGCTACTAAACCAACCCAAATAAATCACCAATCGATCCAACGGAGTACCTACGGAGTATTGACCAGCTACCAGAGCTCAGGTACCATGACTATTCTTCTTGATAGGTATAGTTAATAATAATCGGATAACGATAATACATAATTAAACTTGTCCACACTGCCGGACGGAGTAGACCCAAGGCAATACGGGCAGACTCCGAGGGAGACGCCGTGAGGAACGGTGATCGCAATCCCACATCCTGCTCGTCGATCACCAGTTCCTTTCTGTTGGATTTCCTGTTCCGATTTTCCTTTTCTCCTCCTCCTCCATTATCTTTCTTCTTCTCCTTTCCTCCATCACCCTCGACCCTCGACCAGCCAGTCAGGTCCAAGTCGCTGGTGTACCGCCCAATTTGTTCAAACCGTCACGTCTTACGTTTGGCTGCATTCCGATCTTCATTCTTGCCCCGGCTCGTGCAATTATCTGCCCTATCCTATTTCCGATCTCTGTCTACTCCATACTCCATAACCCTTTCTCTCTCAACTCTATCTTCCGTTCGGCATCGTCATTCGATCGGGCTTTCTCCTCCCAAGCCTCGGCATTTGCTATCTCCACGATCTGCCCTGAGGTTCAACGTTCAGATCCCCTGGATTCTTCTTCTGACCTTTACCTCATTCGTTCCTTTTTCTCCCCTCGGCCTTGGCTTGCCTGTTCTCATTGGGGTCCTCTTTGGATTTTTTTTTTCTTTTTTGATTTCTTTTTTATTCCCTTTTCTCTCTCTCTACCCTTTTCTTCTCTTTTTGCTTAAATCTTGTTTATTCTCCGCACCTTCCCTGTGCCCCCCCCAAGAACCAATCCGGCTTCGTTCGCGCGACTGATTCGAGCTTCTCTTGCCATCGCGACAACGCGACCTGATCGTTACGCTCTCGATATTGGTTTGACTCGACAACATGGCTGCTTGCCACTTGACTTCCCTCCGCGAATGACCCTCAACTCACATTTCGCCAGTGGAGTTTCTTTGGCGCTCGGCAGTTTCCAAGCGATCGAATGAGCTGAGGCTAGCCTGTTCTCCTTCGGCCAGTCGAATCCTCGTGCCGGGACGGATTTGATGACCCCCCCGCCAACTTCAACTTAATCCATCCACTCACTCGACCAACACCAAGAACTTGACACTTTCTTCCCCCCCCCCCCACTGATCGATTGGTTTATTCCCGTGGATATCCTTGAATTCTTGCCCTTAGCCTGCCCATCTTCCGTGTTGCCCCCGGACTTCAATCCGTGGTTTCTTGATTTTGCGACTATCTACTTGGTTATTAGCATTGGAGAGAGAGCCTTTCGTCAGTCCTCTGTGTTCTCTGCAGAAATACTCTCCGCCGCCGCGGTGGAGTCTGGATGACGGTTCATTTTCTCGCGATGCAGCAGACGCCTTTTCGCCCCGCCAACCCGAACCGGAGTGGCTCGTATGAGCTTCCTCCGGTGCAGTCGGTAACGGGCGCATTCCCTCCCGCCCCCGGGTTGCCCTCCGCTCCGCCAAGTCGACCGGACAGCGGAATGCGAATGACACATCTGTTGCAGCCCATGCCGCCGATCCAACAGCCGCAGCAGCCATTGCCACAAGCATCGCCGTTGGCTCAGGCCTCGCTTCCACTGCCCCAACCGCAGCAGATGTCTGCGCCGGGCCCAGCCCCATCAACTTCACCCTATGCGCGATTCTATGATTCGGCATCGGGATCTCCTGCGGAGAGTGGAGGCCTGCCAGATGCGCCGCCGATGGTAACGGTGCCGGGAGGCCCTGGCATGTACCAAACGAGCCCAGTCGGGCTTCCACAGTCCACGCCCACCCCGCTTCAGCAGAAGAGAGCCTATCGGCAACGCAGGAAGGATCCCAGCTGCGATGCCTGTCGCGAGCGCAAGGTCAAATGCGATGCGACGGAAACATCCCATTGTACGGAGTGTATTAACCGCAAGGTTCGCTGTTTATTCACCAAGGAGACGAATCGACGCATGTCTTCGATCAAGCAGGTGCAGGATCTCGAAAAACAACTCCAAACGACCAAACAACAGCTGCAACAACTACGATCGGGCATGCTTCGACCAGATGGCATGATGGATATTGAGGAATCATCGACAGCACCTATAATCAAGTTACCCGAGATCGAATATAAGCCTTCTAGGAGACCCAGACCGTTCATCACGCAGGACTTGACGGAAGTACGATCGAACTTGCGTCAACACGGTCGAGGGATACTAAAGGCCCCTCATCCGCATCAGCAACAGGGTTCAAAATCGGTGGTAGCAGCCGAGGGAGCGCCACAGCTTCCCCCAAAAGAAGTTGCCGATCATCTCCTCGCTCAGTATTACCATTGCATCCACTCGGTTCTACCGGTCCTGCACTGGCCCGAATTTATTGAGGCGTATGAGAAATTATATCAAATGGGATCTTTGACGGGCGTGTCTAGCGAATGGGCTGCGGTACTATTCGGGGTTTTCGCATGCGGTGCGGTCCATACAGCGGAGCCGACTCGGGAAGAAGAAGGCAAGAAGTTCGTTCGCATCTCTTGTGGGATCATCGACGTGTGGCAGGATGAGTTCAATCTGGATCGAGTACGAGCGGCGTTGCTTGCTAGCATCTTCCTATACGAAGTCAACTCTAAATCTGCCAGTTGGGTCTGGATCGGATCGGCAGTGCGCGTCGCGCAGGAGATCGGGTTGCATATCGAGTCTGGGCCGTGGCCTGAGCTAGAAGGTGAAATGCGCAAGCGCCTCTGGTGGGGGTTGTATACATATGACCGGTTTGTATCTCGTGGCTTACCTGCATGTCTAAAAAAACTCAACTGACAATTCTTTATGTCCAGACTTTTGGCGCTCGAGATGGGCAAGCCAGTCTTGATCAATGATCAGGACTGCGATATCGACCTGCCCTGCCCTGTGGACGACCAGTCTCTTGCTCAAGGCAAATATTCCGAGGACCAGCAAACTGCGCCATCTCCATTACTCGCCACAATCCATGTCGTCCGCTCCATCGGCCAGCTAACACGCACCCTCCGCTCTACCTCCATCAGCTACGCAACCCTCGAGACCTTCGAACGCCACTTCACCATTTGCCGAACGACCTTCCCAGCACACCTCCAACTCAAGGAAGACACCGACCTTGACCCCCGGTCTCTCGCTCCTATAATCTACCTCCAAAATGCCCGCCTCCTCCTTCATCGTCACAACATCTCCCCCTATTGCCAGCCCGGTGTTCGTACGGCCGCTGTGGACTACTGTGTCTCAATAGCAATCGATACCGCTAACATCCTCTCGCGCTGTATGCGCAGTCACTCTGGCACCGGTGACTGGCGAGCCCTGTTCGCTTCGAGTGCAGGAACTCTTCTTTGCACGCATATCTGGCGCTGCGCGCTATTCCTTCTTTTCCGGCAAGAATTCGCCCCGGCATTGGCATGTGTGCAGGCTAGTGCCGCCGTGGGCGATGATCGTGCTGTCAATGCGGCTTGTGGCCGATACTTGGCGTTCTTCCTCCGGTGTCTTCTCGACCGTTCCCAGCCAGGCGAAATCGTGCATTCCGAACACGACGAGGCAATGATGGCCTATGTCTCTGGGGATATGCAGGGAACTGCAGATGGTAGCTGGGTCTGGCAGGGTAGCGAGACTGGTGCCAACCTCGAGAATATCCCCGGGCTACCGGCTCACGCACCGGCTCACGCAGACTCGCAATGGGAAGGCTGGGAGTGGGTTGAAAAGACCGTTGCTCAATTACTCGGTGAGAAACAGCGCCGTGAGTATGAGCGTCGCGATGTGGCTATGGAGTCCAGATCGGATTCTTCTGCCATGCTTGCGCCCCAGTCAGCGGGGTCGGATACGACCGAGCGTCGTTCCAGCTCGGCTCATGCGCGTATGACTATTGCCAGTATTATCTGAGCAAGTGGTGAAGACTTTACCCCGATTGATAATGTAATTGATCCACGCTTGTCTTCCAAAGATGGCAAGACAGGCATACAGCGAAGCTAGACAGCAGCTTCCCAACCCCCCCGACAATCCGTCGATGTCAAACATCGCTCGGTGGGGGGGTTGGACTTGATACTTGCAGAAATCCGAGACCACCGGCCTAGAGTTTTGAAAGGCTCAAGGGAGAGTCCGGGTACAGCTCATTTGGAGAAGAGCTACATCTGCATTGGTCTCTTGAACCCGTGGAATGGCCACGTCCACCCACTTACCTTCTTGTGCATATTTATTTTGTATCCCATCCAATTTACTGCATAAATAAAGACCGGCATTAAGAAGCCGAAATATTGATAAGACACAAAATATCTCTTCACGTCTCAACCTCCTCTCTGTGCACTATCATTGGGCTGGCTCTCAACGCCAACCGATCCTTGCATAGAACGAGTACACAACATTACACCAAACGTCTTCCCCCCATGGACCGCCTCACCTTCCGAAGAGCCTTGAGCTTATTGCTCTGAGATCCAACCTGCGAATTATCTCTCCGCGCCTTACTCGAAGTCGACGGGTTCGGTCCATTCAAAGTTGTGTTATACTTAGCATCACTGGAAAGCACCTCCAGCACAATCGTGCTGTTACCTTCTCGGTATTCACTCGTGGGAGTCCCATCGGTCTTATACCCGCCATGCGAAGTGACGGAATGTTTACCAGTCGCGATATCCTTCCTTGCAAGGGCTCGCTCGAACAACTCCAAAGCAGCAAGTGGTTGATAGAAAGGCACTTCATGACCGGATTCGTAGATGCGCACGAAGCTGTATAGATTGCTTTGACGGACTTGGCCGTGTACGATGCCGTCGGAGGTTGTAATGTTAACAAAGCCGGCGTTCTTGTAGCCGCGTGCGTTGATCTCTTCGGCAACAACTTGGCCGCCGAGCCAGTTGCAGTTGTAATCGCTGATTTCCGTATCAATTAGTTATAAGTTGCACAGGCAAGAACATTCCCAGGGAATAGGTTTACTCACGCATCGCCAAAGTACATCACAACCTGCACTCCGGCGTCCAACAGTTTCTGCACATCCTCAATCGTATTCGACTCCCGATCATCATCTCCCGTACTCGAAAACGCATTGCCGACCGTATACGAATACTCGGAGAAATTCTGATAAGCCCCAATCGCCTCCTGCACCTTCGGACTATTCAAATACTCCACGTAAAATTCGTACGGGAACGGATCCGGCGTCAACTCGCGCATATCATACTCATCGCGTCCCGAGTAAAGATCAAACATATTCTCGACCTTGTTCGCGCAGAAACTATCCGCCGTCGCGCAGATATCGTTGCGACCCGTTGCATAGCATTGCTTCGTTTGGTCGACGCAGTTTCCGGGGCCGTACAGGTTATTGTACCATTCTGCTTTGATGGTGGCATTGTAGGGATCGTAGTCGTAGGTGTTTCCGGGGTAGACGGAGTAGTTGTAGTATGCTTGGTATTGGATGAGGGGGTCGAACCAGCCGTTGCCGATGAGGACGTTTTCGAGTTTGATATCGATTGCGCCAGGGATTTTCCGGGCATTTTGCTGGAGGAAGTATTCTGCTTTTGATTAGCTGGGAATTTTCAAAGTAGAGATATTATTGAGAGCCGGGTTTCTATCGTACCGTTGAACACGGGCCCGTAGTGACCGCCGTAACTCTCCGTCGTGAAGGAGAAGCCATTGCGCGAGTAGTTCGGGAACGCCCCCATGAAGCCCTGTAGAGTCTTCCACATGTTCGGTGCTGCTCCCTGAGTCGTGTTTGGCACGAGGCTTATGTCTGATTTGGAATATGTGCCGCATGTGCCAACCTCTTCGGCGTAGTCGGGGCACGTTTCGTTAGGCAATTGGATAATATTGCCATCGCTATCTTGATATGCGGGGACGGGAATCGAGTATGAAAGGCCGACGGTGGTGGGCTGATCGATGAAGAGCTGGTTATTTGTTAGATGGAGGGCAACTCGGTTTCTGGGCCTGCAGGATTTACCATGTTGCTCGCGTTGGACCATGAGTACGGATTGTTGTAGGGGTTACCGTCGGAGTCAACACCACAGGGGCCTAGCTCTTGGAACAGTCCGATCATGGAAGATGAGCCTGGTCCACCGTTGATCCAGACGGTAAGTGGTGCCTGTGTAAATCGTGAGTACTCAATGGCTGCAAATAGTTGGCTCTCTTGAATTGGAGTAGTAAATACCTTCTTTGGATCTTCGTTTCTGGCTTCGAAAAACCACCTATGGCTCAATGGTTAGCCTGGTCATTCACAAATCTTACTATTTAATCTTGCACCGGCGAGACAGCCAATCCTTGCATCGGACGATTTTTCCCAAGCGTATTAGGTTGCCCCCTTCGATAGACGCCTCTAGTAACCCATAGGTTAAAGAGGAAAGTCGCTTACCAAAAGATATGCTCATTTTCACCAACATCCGCATATCCAGAATAACTCTTGACATTGGGATCTTGCTCACAGATTCCAGCCGGGACTTCCTTGTATCGCACGTTGATCCCTGCATGTCCCTTCTTCGTGATCAAGTCGGTTGGGGCGGAAACGAACTGTGCCGAGGCGCAGGGAAGCAGCAAAGCTGCCGTCACAGCCAAGACTTTCGAGTATCGCGCCATTGTAGCCCGTGAAAAGCTTGGCCAAAATATATATTATTGGGATAAATATTGGCACAGAGTATGATCGCAGAGAAACTCAACTCTGCTAAGATAGCTAAGGAGACTTAATTGAGGGGAAGAGGCCGTCATTTTATTGATAAACAAGGAAGCTCTTTCATCATCTCCACTTGTCTTTCATTCTCGATCATGTAATTAAACTAAACCCGGTCGACCGTCGGGATCCCCCCTGATAACGATAAGACCTCCCCCCTTTCGATTTCGCTTCCTTCAATTGGGAAGGTTACATTGTGTGGTCGAGCGGGGTATAAATTAGTTATTGCAGGCCTAAACCTATTTGAGGGGGCATCGTTACCTAGTTAAGCAAGCTCTTGTTTGTCAGCGAGGGGAACGAATGACTAGAGAGCTGGAACATCGCTTTGCTAAAGCTGAGATCTGTGGTCATCCATCAGTCCCCCCTCGTAAATTAAACCGACTCTTTGTCGATGGGCAGAAGGAGCGTATATTTCCCTTTCGAGTTTGTAGCTTTGCCTTGTGTTTTGAAAAATTTTAAATTGACCTGATATCGGGCTGACGGCATTTCTTTATATTATGAATCTGCGACTCAACTTGATTGGAGGCTTTGAAGATTAGGTGCGCGTATGTGTATATGCTCTGCCGCGTGGCTAGGACCATCAGGCTGGCCCTACCTTGTAGAGCCTAGCCGCCCTTTGGTAATCAATCATCTTGTGGGATAATATCTGAGACGTCCACAAGCTCATTTGACCCGACTCTTTATGTCCGGAAAGGCTGGATTTTATGAGGTTTCCTTCATGTCTCGACCGCGTTGATTGGCATCAATACGCTATACAATCACAATCTACGAGGTCCACACTGTAAATAAGGGAAAGACGAACCTCCAGACTCATCATATTGGAGGCGTGTCTATCGGTGAGAATTTTTTGACTTGCTAGAACCGCTTACCAAGCCTTGAAGTTCAATTACTGAACAAGTTGAATCAGGAGAGTTTTGTAATTGATTAGCAAAGCTATACTTTTCGTACACTAACCCGTCACTCCCGACTATCTAACAATCTCTCTCCCATCAGTCTTTTTGCCCCTCATTCAACTCCATATTCTTCTCCAATCCTTCTAACCCTTTCAATCATCGGACCAACTTGATCTTTACATTCAGTTCGAACCGAGATGCATAGACCAGTGCTAGATCTGCACTTAGATCAAGGTGCTCTCAATGGGGGCCAGGGTGCCGTTCTCGATAGCACCGGCGTGGTGACGAGCAACGAGACCGTAAGCGAATTGGTACCTTCAAAAAGTTAGTTGGATTATTGAGTGACTTGCGGAATTGGGGTGTATGGCTTACTTGTCAAGAACGGGGAGGATCTCGGTGAGACCAGGGCTGCTGCGCCAGTCACGCATGAGATCACAGATGATAGCAAAGTAGCCCATGAGAGTAACACCAGCACGCTCCATGCGGCGGTTGGCATCCTCAGCGAGCTTGACGTCGAAGGTGCCGCTAGCATCAGTGTTGGCGAAGACCTCGTAGCCGGCATCAATGAGCGACAGAGCCAGGAAGGCGGTGCCTGATCACAGGGTCATTAGTACTGAATTGGGTGCTATATTGCGAGGAGTAGAGTAAACTTACAAACTTCGGTAACGATACCACCGATGATGAGCTGCTTCTTGCCAGTAGCCTTAACAGCCTTACGGAAGTCCTCGTTGTCCCAGGCGTTGACCTCACCCTGGCGACGGACAAAGGTAGCGTTGGGGTGCATGTCGGTGATCTCCTTGAGAAGGAGACCATTGGGGCCGGAGTCAGAAGAGGAAGTCAGGACGGTAGGCAGGTCAAAGACGTTGCCAATAGAAGAGTGCGCAAGCATGTTGTTGCGGAAGTCATTGGTGCTGAAGTCACGGACAACCTGGGACAGACCGACTTGGTGATCGATGATCAAAAGAGCCTACAGTTCTGGGTCAGCTTTGATTCTGCAGCAGTTTGGATACTCGGTGACTTACAGCCTTGTCCTTGTCCAGTCTGTTCCACGCCTGAGCGGGAACGGAAAGGGCCAACAGGAAAGCAGTCTGAACGATCTTGGAGAAGTACATCTTGAAGTCTTTTTGCGGAATACCGAAGAGAGTGAGGAAACCTTGAGTGTCCTTGAGATCTTGTCTGGAGTCTGGATAAAAAAGATTTGAGAGCGCGAGGAATTCCTTGCTTTTATATTTGATCAGTCTCGTAAACCATGTCGACTTTCGTATTGACCATGAATATCAATAATCTTGACAAAGGGTTTGCTAATACCGAGTCTGCTTACTCCCACTCTAGATCCATCGTGGTAATATTTACCTTATCCACATGATCTTGGTCCACAGACTCTGCAATATGCAAGCTATCGCCCGTGTCACGGCTCGGCTAGCCAGGAGCATTTCCTTCTTTTGAAAACTCTAATTCCTACTGTTTTTGAATTTGAACAATGGAGATTCTGGCGCAATCTAATTGATCCTTCCAAGGTAGAAGCTCGTTCAACATGTATACTGTCCATATTTTTTCCAAGGATATTATTGAATTGGATTTGAATTTGTCTCGAAAATGACCGTGAAAATTGAACTTCTAACCTTCATTAGCAATTACATCGAGGTTTTCACCTTTAGACCCTTCGAGGAGCTAAATTCGGCCACCGGAGATATACCGTCCGTTAGATCTCAAGGTTGGAAGGTTTCGGATCCACCGGGAACTCCCGCCGGAAGCCTGGCACCTGTCGTTTCACTTTAGCTTAATTAGCGCCTGACAAACGACCTGCTAATGTGTCCGTAAGCATTCACGTCGCCCTAGACCCCCAGTCAATGTAGGCCCTGAAGCAACTAGCTACCGTTATTACCATAAAGCCCCAGCAATCGAAATCATCCTCTCCTCTTCTTCTCGGATTTTGTTGGTCCAATTCCCAACCCGGATCCCCAACGCCAAGCAATCAGGATTCTGCATGTAGATTGAGATCGTCAGTCATTAATTCACCGCTAGAAGCCGCATATCGGCTCTCGTGCAGTCCCACCTAGAACAATGTCTCATTTCCATCGGTGATAGAGATTATTTTGCCCGAAATATATCAAAAAACAGGTAGTGTTGCGAAGACCCTACCGCTTACACCCGTTTACTGAACAATGCAGTTTGCATGGGCCGCAGAATCTCTTGGCATGGCGTTAGCCCCGGTTACGGAACCCTGAATAATGATGTGGTCATGTCTTGGTCCGGAACTGGGGTCTTGACAAACATGAGCAGTGATAGTTATTGCAAGCCGAATTAGCCAATTTCCAGCGTCTAGTATTGCGACGTCTAAGAGCCAAATCTGCTCTCGACCACAACTGCTTTGTAACTTTTTTAGTTTTCTGGACTCTCCTACTCCCTTCTTGCCGACCACATTAAATTGGTCCCTGATACCCCTTACAATTTCACGCGTCAAATTTCAACACACAGTTTTGTTCACCCTGGGCCTAGATAGATACCTCTAGAAATGTCTCTCATTCTTAGTCACCTGCCGCGATCGCAGAGAATTCCATCAGTAATAACACTTGGAAAACAAAAAGCATTCCGGCATCCAGTATGTCCATTGAGAGGTAATAGCCTAATCCTTGAGGCAGTTACAATTGTAGTAGGCTTTGCATGATGCTGAAAATAATAGAAGAGCAACCAGATCTATTCACATTCAATAACTGCATCATAACATACATACAATTTGTTCAACCGTCGATGTCCAGAGAGTTTAGGTTATATATTTTACCTGCGAGGAGAGACCGTTCAGTGGGGCCAGGAGTCGAAGATGCACAGGTCTGATGATCTGCGCATGAAGAACTACCATAGTCCAATCCCGATGATGGAAGTTATTCTTATGCACCGAGTAGACATTTTTGCTGTTTGTTTCTCCTTTCTATACCAAATAAGGCGGTACTAGATATGATATCATCATGACTAGCTATGGAGGGCGGCATGGTTTCCCGGCATCGAATTCTGAGACCTTCAAATCGGTCCTGAATTACCCATAATATATTCAGAAGCCTCCCATACCTACCTACTTCGCACTTCCACATATGAATGCAGAATGCCTCTCCACAAGGTAAGTGCTACTCTCGCCTGGCATCCGTTAAGAGTGTGAGATCCTAAAAACGCGCGTCAAACTAGGTCATTTTACAGGACGGCATCACCCACGCCGACATTGACAAGTGAGCTTCTTATATGTCCATTTTTGTAGTACTTGACTGATGCTTGAAAGCAGGCTCAAAGACCTGGTCAAATCTGCCGGGGGACAAATTACAGGCGAGGATGATGGGGAAGTACAGTCAGTTGGCCCCGCTCAACTGCAGAGAAGATCGCACTGACAAGACTACTGGGTTGGCAATGTAGATTTCGAGTTCCCGATACCTTTGACCTGCATCTCATCACCAAGAACCTCTTGGTAGAAACCATGTCAGACCATCCTTAGTGGCGCCTAGCACCAAGGGGCTGCGGGAGGAGGCGGGGTTGCACCTGTTGATGAACTTTTGAAGAGGATCTGTCGATGCAATAGTTAGCGAAGGAATTGATACCGAAATGGATCGCGCCAGCATGCGAGGCGTTTTTATTTGAGCATAGCCGGGCCTAATTAATTTTGTACTTCCTCGGCGCCCACGAGGGGGAATGCCCAGCACGGATCACCTGCAGATTGGAGGCAACCCGTCCGTTGCCAGCTAAGAACCACAGATATGATTGGAGGTTGGCCCCCGGTCTTTCTGAAGGCTGGGCTTGCTCTGTAGGTCTGAGTGGCCCTGCCGAGAGCCTAAAATCTGCAAGCTGTGCCCCGTCAGGTTTCCTTAGGTTTGTCAGGTTTTCTTGAGGCTCTCACGCGGGGGTTCTCCTCTCGCCCTTAGTTTTCAGCTCCGCGCCCGGTGCTGAGGAATCTAACCATCTTCATGTACCCACCCTATTCAGTCGTTTACTGTTTTGAGCACTGGATCTGGTTCTACGGCTGTCTTTGTACGACTACGACTCTGTTATAATTCTATTACCAACCAGTGATTCTTTCCCGCTCATGTTTTAAGCCCCTGGTTCATCTTGGCTGTGGGAAGATGCGATGATAGGCCTCCACCATGCAAGCTCTTTCGGCCGAACCAGATAGATGGGCTGAATCTGAACCGATCTCGAGTGCGCATCGGGTCTCTCGGCCATGGAGACTCGTAACAGCATTATCCGCGGCCCTGCTGCTATCGGGGTTAGTACACAGCTTGCTCAGGTCTAACCTAGGGTCGATGCCATCAACTCTGCTAACCAGGGACATCGTTCTTGCAGTTATCTTATATTAGCGGTCGTCTTTGGGGATCCTAATGAGGAACTGCACATTGATAGGACCGCGTCGCTCGTTTTCGCCTTATTCTTCATCGGAATATCCTATATCGGCACGATCGCAATCGCTTATTTCCAACGCAAGCGCAAACTATTCCTTCTCCAATCGTTGTTTATGTCAGTCACTTCACTTTCCTCGATACTGTGATGCGCAAAGTGACTAATATCACTGCTAGGCCCTGTCTGGTCGTGAACTTGGTCGCACTATTCAATGTGCTATTCAATATCCTCAGTCGCAGCCTTTTTCCGTTAAATGCGATTCGAGTCATCGGAATCGGCCTTCCGAGCGCTTTCATCGTCATATATGGTCTCGCATCTTTTCTCATCTACTATGAATATGGGCCCAGCCGGGGCCATCGGGCCGAGGACGGTACTCCCCTCTTGAGTCAGGAAGAAATGCAGCGTCGACAGCTGCTTCGATTGTTACAAGAGCAGGGTTCTGGTGCACCTTCTCCAAACCCCAGTCAGACTAACACAACCTATCGGCTCGAGACCGTCCCTGGCCTCGACCCTACCCCAAAGACTTGGGATCCGCATTTGATCCCCCCGCCGTCGACGAGTTGGAGCAGCTTGAGTCGAACTACGACGTGATGAAAAAAATTGACCCTGGAGATATTTCGAATGGTCATATTTGTGCTGAGCCATTCGATTTTAATCTTTGTCGCATCAAGTACGGAGCATTTAGCGTAATTCATGTGACATAATGAAGTATAATAATACCAACTAAGAACGCGATTTGCAGAGCGCGTTGGACCTCGGCTCAGATTCCCGCGTAAGCCCCGACCGCATTTTAAAAGTGTTGGAGACCGCCGTCATCCGAACGGCAAAGCCGTCAGCGCCGAAGTTGCCATCCTCCAGCCTATTCAACATCTCAGTCGACTGACGGCGATCTAGTTGAAGTACAACAATATGGCGAAACGCGTGACGCTCCTAGATCCCCCTCCACAGGACGATTCCAAGGCCCCTATCGAGAATGTGCTCGACTTGACGCCGGTAGTGGACCTCGGCCCAGTATGAACCCCTTCCAACTTACAACCCATGGCAGAGGCAGCTTATGCTAACCTATTACATTGCATACAGGATGTTTTCACGAATACACGAGCGCTATGGCATCCTCCCGGCGCCCGCGGCATCTACGGCGGCGCTGCCATTGCCCAGTCCCTATCGGCTGCCATGCGAACCGTTCCCTCCGATTTCGCCGTCCACAGCATGCACTGCTATTTCGTCCTTGCCGGTGACTCCGAGATTCCTATCCTATACCACGTGGAACGAGTACGCGATGGACGAAGCTTTATAACCCGCACCGTACAGGCGCGTCAGCGTGGACGCCCAATCTTCACCACGACCCTCAGCTTCAGCAGGGTAGGCAGTGGTGGAGAAAAGACCATTGCACATGCAGTTCCTATGCCAAACGTATCTCTGCCCGAAGACCCGCTACCTGGAACAGTGCAGGCTTTGAACAATGCGGGCGGGGGTCCGTTTGAGTCAAGGAAGGCGGGCATTGTCAACCGTGGGTTGCTCCCGGGTTTCCCTTCCTCTGTGATTTTGTTTGACTGATGATGGAGTATAGGCAAATCACCCAATCCCGAGGACAAGAAGGTGCGAAGATTTGTCAGGTCGCGAGGTCACATCTCCGAGGAGGGTGGTTTCCAGGCTCATCTGTCGGCACTTGCCTACGTCACCGACAGCTACTTCATCGGGACCGTTTCTCGAGTTCACGATATTCCCCGGTTTTCATCCCCAGCAGAACTCCAAAAACTGCTCAAGGCATTGAAGAATCCCTCCGACCTCGACGATGAGGATATCACCAGAGCATTGAAAGAACTCAAAGAGGAGGAGGCAGCCGATTTGCGTCGTAGACTGCAAGGTGCCCTGGACGACGCGACTCAAGGTAAAAATAAACCCCAGAAAGAAGTCGGCATGATGGTCAGTTTAGACCATTCTATCTATTTCCATAACCCGCGCGCGTTCCGAGCGGACGAGTGGATGCTCATTGAGATGGAGAGCCCGTGGGCTGGGGAAGGCCGTGGACTGGCTATTCAAAAGATCTGGTCACAGGATGGGACTTTGATTGCCACCTGTACCCAAGAGGTATGTGGATTCCTTTTTCTTTATTCTCTTTTTATACTTGTGCCTGATGGCTAACCGTTTCCGTTTAGGGTGTTGTCCGCTTGAAGCAGGATAAGCCACCCCTGTCAAAGCTCTAAACGTGTCCTCACCTATTCCCGTTCTCAAACCTCTTTACGTTGATATTCGGGCTGTTCATATGCCCATCGTATACTTCCAGCTGCACATTTTTTATAGACATTGGCTTACTTGCCTTTTCCTTGCCATGGCCCCATCCCGTTCCAGTCTGTCTCGGTTCCTGGTGACATTACAATATATCTCATTTAACTCAAACTCAATCAAGGATAACTCTTCAAAACTTTCATTTCAATCTCTATGTGATGCAGTTCGACATCTGTCGAAAAAAAAAAGATCGCTGGGTTTCGCACAGGTTGAATCATGTCAAAGAACACTCAAAGCGATCAACAGCTTTTGAAAGGAAGCAAGAAAAAGTATTCAGACAGCCAGCCCATATTGTTTCGCATGAAGGGAAGAAGCGAAAAGGAAAAAGAAAATAGTCCAAGGAGTATGCATCGCAGAAAGAACAAAAAAAATAGACAGTCCAGGTGGAAGAAGAAAAAGGCAAGAAAAAGCAACATAGTTCGTCATCGCGTCAACAATTCAACAAATCATACCTCGACCTTCTCATTCATCTGGCCGACTCGGCTTTTGTAGAACTCCAGCACTTTGGCACCCCAAACGCTTTTGCCTTTATACTCGCCCACGTAATCAGGCCAGCTTCGCATTTCCGTTGCCAGATTTTCCAGCTCGTTCATTGGCAGTTGATCAAGTCTAGTCAGGTAGGTCTTGACGCCGAAGAGAATAGTTCCCGTTTTTGGTAGACGGCGGAAAGTTTGTCTCTCGCGGCGGATAATAATCTCCTCGGGAGAAGGAACGGATAGATCTTTCTCGCACAATCCTTTGGGTCGGTACAAGATCTCGATCAGATTCTCGTCGGGCCGTTTGATTTCAACAAAGTAGTTTGACCGCTCCATTGGGGACGTTGGCGTCAGCCGCGCCAAAAACCTAGTCGAGATTAGAATTGGCCCAAATACGAAGGTACAGACACAATTCCTGGCAATGCGGTCCCAGGATCCACTTACTTGCTCACAGAATTGGCAACGTGCTGATGCCATAAAGGGACGGGTTCGTGCAAACGGGAGATCGTCCATCCGATACGCTCTTCGACCGTCCATCCTGTAGGGAAAAGACTCGCGCTGGCGGCGCTGTAAAAGGGGTCAGCGAGACTGATAAGAGCAGAAGATCAAGGAAAGAAGAAAAAAAAAAAAGAAAAGAAAGTTGGGCGCATACAGATAGTACTCGCCATCTTCGTTCATCATCAAAATGCTGAGATCCTCCATAGTAAGTCGGACAGCCGCCTCAAGCGCGTCAATACCTTCACCGCCAGAGCCCGAGCCACCGATATCGAATCGCTCTCCTGTCATGCAGTTTTGAATTGACGTTCGGTCGCCTTGCACCAATTTTTGAAACATGTTGGGATATCGTTCGCAGAGAAACTCAGAGACTTCTTCCAGTGCCTCCTGACAGGCTTGCGCTGACTCGGGCAAGCACTGTAAAACTTTGTCCCGCTTCTCCCGCAGTAGATCGTCTCGCACGGAATGCTCCTCCATGTAGTTTTTGTCGAGCGTAAGCCAATTTTGAACATCCAGTTTCCGAATGTCCATCATGACTCGGTATCGCTCTCTGCCTTTAATAGGCTGCGCTGGGTATGGTGCCATGCCCTTGACGTCGGAGGGGCTATGGGAACCTCCATATTTCTTGAAGAAGCCGTAGTCCTTCGTAGTTGTCGATATCCAATTCCGAATCTCTTTGTGATATCGCACGACAAAAAGTAGGACGACTATAGGAAGCGCCACCAGAGAGAAGGTTGTCATACTTTTTCCATGCGGTTGTTGTGCAAGTTTTTGGTGACGAGCTGTGGGCTTTCTTGGTCTTTATAGATTTTCAACAGAAAAAGACCTTGACGATTACTACTTTTGGTATCGGCCAAGAAGAAGCAAAGGAAGCAAAAAAAGTAAAAATAAGAAGATGGAAATATTTTGAACTATGGAATTGACAGCTCAGTGACAAGGCTACCTTATTATGCTTCTTCGTCTGGATACGGGCAACGATATGACCCCGTTCGGACCCAGGCAACAAACCCAGATCCAAATCAAGCTGATCACTTGATGGTCAAGTGAGCAGCACTAGCTCCAGTCAAAATGGATACTCACAAAGCAAAGCACCAGGACTGCATTCCCACATTCCTGATCTAGCGAGACTGTGCCTGCGGAACTACTGTGATACGCCCAGGGATTCCCCGCAATAGAAATCGCCCGAGTTCGCCTCCGGGGAGTATTATAAGCGGCAAGCCACATGATCGGTTGGCTTCAGCTCTGAGGGTTGGGTCATCATCGACGGATTAAAAGGTCTAGGCTGTCTTTAACGTATCATCACCCCGTTCTCCACTCCAAAAGTCTCGGTGTGTGGTGGAGTCGGTTGTAAGATGGGGGTGACCAGTCCGTTTGAGGGTGTCTTTGTCCCCTCGTTGGTGTTCCCAGTAGTATGGAATACCTCGTTTTGGATTCGGCGCTTCGACAGGACCGGGTCACCCATAGCCTGGGTCTCGGCGGAGGAGACCCAGCCGCTAGGCACGATCTAGGCACCATACAACATTTAGTTTCGAATAATCGTCAAGCTCGCGTCAACCGTCCGTGCGCGCAATGCCCCTCGTGAACTGCAGTCTGGTGAAATGGCAATTCGGGAAACATCTCTCGAGACCAGCAATGACAGGGCCGACGGGCCAAATCAAGTAGTGCATCGGGGTGGCCGGATACCCTCGGAGGGATACTGGGAGCAGCTGATTTGCGCCGCGCGAGGCGAGCAATAAGCATCAGACTGGAACAACTGCGGTACGTACGTCTGTTTGATCTGAGTCACGCTCTCATTCAAAGGAGGGGGGGGGGTTTCTTTCTGCCCTCTTTTTCCTCGGCCCCAGCCTCCAGCATGGATCTATTGGGATCCATAGGGATCCATTAGGGAGTCAAGATGCGTTGGGGATCGCCCAAGCCCAGTGTTGCCTTTCAAACAAGGCCGACCCCACTGGCTAGGAGGCTCCGATCTAGTCCCAAGTGCACATCACACCGTCACCAAACTAAACATAAACTAAACAGGGACGGGGGCACATGGAGGTTCCTGACGTATCATGATCCTAGGTGTGGGGGTTTCCTCCCTACGAGGATCTTTCCATGGCCCCTATCAATAATTCCTCTGCCCGCAAGACCTCTGAAGACGTTAAAGATACATGACCAAGATACCGGGATACTAGGGTGATCCCTAGCGTACTGGGATGTCTGTTGAATACCTGACTTTGGTTGCGACCGGATACCGCGCCCGCGCCTTACCTTCCCCCGCCCAAATCCACCGCAAACCAAAGTCGTCCAGCTCCGACCAGCATGGAGTAAGGCAGGAGTGCAGCAGGTACAGTACACATGGGCTTGTCGCAGCCCTCATGCACCCCATAGCGCTGGCTATAATTGAAATTACAAGTGCAGAATACCAGCAAAGTGATCACCAGGTCCAGAGTCATGTCTAAGCCCCAATTGTACCCCACAATGCAACTAACTACTGCGTCCGTATTCCTTACTCCGTACTCCGTGAATAGTGCGTTACGGTATATCGAGTGCTCCGTACGGTACCCCGTTGTGTTCTGGTTCCACGGTCCCACTGCACTCCACCTATCTGGGGTTTCCGCTGCAACCGCTTTCTCCCCTTTCGCGCAAAGCGCGCTTGCCGCAGCTTTGTTTTTATCCTCAATACTCGTCCTAGGGGCGAAACCCCAGCAATTCTACTCCATTTTTCCTCGGAATTTTGGATCTACTACTTTGTGGTTCCATGGTTCAATACGCCAGGGGTCCGAATAACTCAAAGCCTAATCATCCTCAGCTTCTCATTTCTTTTTCCTATTGTGGTGTAAGTGTGTCCCAGCAAAAAGTTTTTTTCCAGTATTTGCTTTTTCCACGCGGCTTGTACATACTACTGTAGGACCCCCTCATTGATTAGCATTGGCCTCTGCACTTGATACGCACGACAGGAAATATGAGGTCATCTCAATGTACTTCTGGTTGTTTCCAGTCTCTTTCTGTTAATTGCGCCCCAGGGTAGAGCGAATACTGTGGGTATATACCGAGATCATGCATCTTATTCCTCCTGTCTGTTTCCATCTACGCAAAATAGGTTCCAATAGGAGCCATGAAATTCTCTATAGATGGGATACTGATCTAAGGTATATTGAGCCCTTGACAAATACTGATGAGGGGAAATGATGCAGGTCACCCACGTTGCTGGGGTCTGGAAATCGCCGCCATCAAGCCACAGGAACAGACATGTCAAAAATTCGGTGGACTGACATATCAGCCTACTGATGACATCAACATTATCCTTTCTGTTAATACAAGACCTTCATTAAACTTGGAGAAGATAAATCCTGTATCAATACAAGTCAGCCGAAGGTCAGCTCATATCAGGCTGACGCATGGCGAGAAATATACCGTACTTTGTACCTTGGGAATCTCCAAATCCAGACAACTATACCCGTGATTTACTGCCCCATTGATCATCAAAGAGGACCGTGCTTTATTCTTTGCATTAGTTTCTGCGTCGAATTGCTCGTTGGAGAAGAATAAAAGTATTTATAATATTTCAATCGTTCGTGTCGGCACAATGGCTGATTTGAGTTGACTAAGCGGTCTATATAACTACAATTCATAAACAGGTATAGTCTTTGCTAGCTAAGTATGAGGAAGAGTTTCCATTTCTTGTGATCTACTTGGGGGTGTATTTTCTAAATATTCGAGAATATAGACGGGGGTGTGCGTGACGCGTTCCGAGCGTGCACATCCCAAAGTCTATGAATGGAGTTGTCCACCTAGTTGACAGATACGTCCTACGAATCTCTCAAGCCGGACTGATCCAGTTGACTTTGTTCCTTAGCCCAGAAGAGGTGCCATGTACTCAATATGCCGCCAAAAAAGGGTCACTATTCGACTTCATGGCGACCGAGCGATATGGGTCGGCTCCCATTGTGCTATTTCCAAACTTGTCGCAATAAATTGTCGGATCAGTGGAAAACAACAGAAGCAGTGTGTCTTTTTGTTACTGCATGGCCTTTTCACCCAATTCTCGGTCTCGTTTTCAAATTTCGGAGTGTAAATTTCCTTTCGCTTTGACCCTGTCTCGATGGAAAATAGTAGCCTCGGGAATGACCCTGATTGAAAGGGCGACTTAACTGTCTTTTCAGGGTCATCAGTCCACGAATGCCGGAATTAACCGCTCCATGCGTACGAAAATGAAGCCAATTGAGTCAATGGATTATCATCATCTAGGCTCTTCGTGTGCTCAATTAGCAGATACATACATCAATGGGAACTCACACTTGGGCAACCTCGTAGACGAATCGACGAATCTTTCCGACGGTGAGAAATTCTCCCAGCATACTATTACTAGCATATCATTACTAAAAGGAACTCATGGCGGGAAATTCATGTTTCCTGGTGATAGGGCGGATATACTTGCCATATGGCACGGGTATACCATACCACATTAACAGCTCCATGGAACTCGTGATAACTTTATCAAATCAGATAGAGAATGCCCCTCAAAGCGATATGTCTCGATGTTCTCGAAGAGAATTGGCGTGAAACTTGTTGTTTTTAATGAATATTCAGCTTTCAATTGAAGCTTCTAGAGTACCAATCCGGGTTCCAGCTCAGCGGTACCCAAAAAAAGTTCAGCGGTACCCAAAATTAGTCAGAATTTTTTGGGTACCGCTGAGCTGGGTGCCCGTAACAATCTATGGGTTGCCGAACCTCGCCCGAGAATGACTAATGAGTAGGACTTGACAAGGCTGGGGGTTCTCCGCTGTAAGCAAACCCAACTGAGCCGAATCAACAATTTCCAAAGCCGAGTCAGAATATCGGAGAAACACTAGCAGATTACCTTGAACGCTACGATAAGCTTTGATTTTTGATGAGAACATGACGACTACCGTCCTCGCTCCACGAACCGCGGCGACAGTCTTCGAAACGGATGACTCAAACAGTATCCCGTTGGTACGATGGACATCAAAAAATTCTCGACCTGACTCAAGGCCCGAAGGCCTCCTGCATCCTGGCCAGACTCTTGGTAATGGTCTTTACGAGGGTCAGGATGTTGGTTTGTCTCGGTTGAGGGCGATCACTCTCATCGCTACCCTCACTGGGATCAACTTTGTGGGCAGCATGAGTGGTGGCTTATTGACTATTGGCCTACCGTGGATCGCGGCAGATTTGAACCTTTCGGATAATCTATTGCTTTGGTACGTAGAGCTCAGATCTATCAGCTTTAAAAAGGCCCTCGATGTTCGAAATCTTCTAACATGATGGTCCTGGACTCCTAAGGCCCGCCTCAGTCTACTCGTGAGTTCTTCTTTGTTCTCTTCCCCTCTTGTGACATTGATTGACCACTTATAGCCTTGCAAATGGATGCTGCCTTCTATTAGCTGGCTCAATGGCAGATTTCATGGGCAACAGGATTATTAACCTGATTGGTTGTACTCTATTGTGTGCCTTCATTCTGGCCTGTAGTTTAGCCCAGAGTGGTATCCAGTTGATCCTGTTTCGCGCCTTCCAAGGTATCGCGACGTCTATGTGTCTTCCTACGGCGTTCAGTATCCTAACGGATACCATGCCCGTTGGTAAGCGGAGGAATATCGGGTTCGCCTGCCTGGGGCTCGGCCAACCGCTCGGATTCTCCGTCGGTCTGGTATTCGGTGGTCTATTTCAAGGATCTTCGCTTGGCTGGAGGTTTGGTTACTACCTTTGCACAGGAATTACGGCCATACTCACCGTGGTCAACTTTTTCAAGCTGCCCATGGATAAGCCACGTGAGCCTTTCACGCTCCAGAGACTACGGTCCGAGATTGACTGGGTGGGAATCGTGCTCTCAAGCTCTTGTCTAGGAATCATTTCTTATGTCTTTGCGTAAGTATGTGTCAAGACTGTAGCATGAGGGCTTAAGCTGACTTAACCTCAAGTGTCATCACCGATGACCCTTCCAACATTCGCCACCCCGGGAACATCGCCCTACTATGTGCCGCAACCGCCATGATTCCTGCTTTCTTGGGTTGGATGAGCTGGCGAGAGAAGAACGGGAAGTCTGCTTTGATCCCAAATTCTCTATGGAAGAATACTGCCTTTGCGTCAATCTGTGCCATGGTTCTTCTATCCTGGGGTGTTCTGAACGGCACTGAAACTATTCTAAGTCTTTTGTGAGTGTGAACTCATAATTTTGAGCGAACATTACTAACCGGAAATTCTTCAAAATAGCTTTCAAGAGGTCCAGGAACTATCCGCCATCCAGGCCGCTCTTCGATTCCTACCGAACGTCCTTATTGGCATTGCCCTGAACCTCGGAACTGGACTGCTAGTGCACCGCCTTCACGCCAACTATCTCGTTCTCATCACGACAGTTCTCAGTGCTGGGTCCCCGCTACTTTTGGCGATCATTGATCCACAATGGTCATGGTGGTATTGTGCTTTTTGGGCTGTCCTTCTGAGTCCTCTATCGGCAGACGGTAATTCTTCCCATCCTTCATGTTCAGATCAAGCTTGCTAACAGTCCTCTGCAGTAATTTTCACAGTCGCCAACTTGATTATTGCCAATTCCTTTAGTGCGAAGACACAGGGTCTCGCTGGTGCCGTTTTTAACACGATCGCCCAATTCGGAACGTCCATCGGACTCACAGCGTTTGCTATTATCTCTTCTTGTGTCACGCAGAACTTGGATTATAGCAACAAGAGCTCACCTGACGCTCTTATGACTGGCTACCGTGCTGTCTTCTGGACATCTTTCGGTTTGATGATGGTTGCCTCCGGCATCGGTGCGTGGGGGCTACGAAAGGTGGGCAAGGTTGGCCTCAAGCAAGAGTAATTAAAAACCAGCAAGTTCTGAATTGGAGAATTCTGGGGATGGGAAGTTTCTTTAAGATCATAATTATTGTAGTATATTATTTAAAACGGTGGAGGATGCTATAGAGAGGCTGTAAGGGGATCATGAACAGAAAAAGTTACTCTCGGCTTTGGTGGTTCTCTAAAATCAAATTGCAGAGTCGTGAAAGCAATGGAAGCAAAAATGCTTAGGAATCTTCCTGGAAGATCTCCTTTGAATGCAGTGGTCACGAGTCTTGAGTATGCAGGTTATTAAGATTAAGTGTGCTGTCAAATCATAACCTTCATGAAGACGGAGAGGGAAGAACATTAAAACTTTTGAAACACTTCACCAGCAATATATTTTATCGTAATATGAGATCATGTCGTCAAACCATCGTTGGCTCTCATCATTGCCATGTCTTAGCAAATGATAGATGCTTTCTCCGCATGACTGCGCGATGTCTCGATTCGAGAAATCTGGCAAGTATTGGCCGACGGAGTGATCTCAAGATTGTTAGAGTCGTTCTGCAGACGCTCCTCCCTCTCGATCTCGAGACGCTCTGCTTCCTTGATTCTCTTCAATTCTTGGCAGAATTTGCTGTTGCTTCTGATGCGGTCGCCGTAGCGAATGAAAGCAAAAGGAATGATGGAAACTCCCAGGCTGAGGAATGCGATCAGGCTACACGCCCAGTGGACACCCAACTTGTCAAACATGGGCTTAGTAGCAAGAGGTAGAACTGCGCCCAGGATGCTTCGTGTGCAGCTGGCTGCTGATTGAGCACTGGCTGATAATGTCTCGTAAGCGTCGGTGAGGTAATTGAGCATTGCCATGAAGATCAGCAAGTACCCCATTCCGAATGGAATACCCGAAAGAAAGGGTACAACCCAATGAATGTTGGGAGAAGCTGTCCACCCCACCCAGAAGAGTGAGATGACATACAGTGGACCTCCGATGCACGCAAGTGGAAGTCGTCGATATTCTTCAATATTCGCCCATTTTGCCTCGCGAGCTTTAGCCCGAGCCAGGAACCCATCATACCAGATGAAGACCACACAGGCCAGGAGTGCACCGACGCCAACTGTAACCCCTGTCAGTTGGATCCAAAGTGGCAGCTAAGAATCTATACGATGTGAACTTACTAGGCAAGAACATCAGTCCTGACACTCCGGCACTCATACCGTAGATATCTGTAACGTCCTCACGTTAATTCGTATCATAAGACCGGCACCTGTGGATGCCGCTTTTGGAGATGAGCATACCTTGAAAAATGATTGGATATGCCTCAAAGTACAAGTAGAAGATTGCATATGCCAGTGCCAGGTACAACGATGTCAGGGAGACAATTGACTCGTGGAAGATCATTCGGAAGGGCCGAGAGATGGTAATGAGGAACATTCTGCGAAGGTCGCGGCTCTCAAGCTCCAAGGGCGACACTATATTGGAATTTCCGGTCTCTTTTCGTAGATTCTTAGCCCGACGTGTAAGAATGACGGGCCCGTATGTTTCGGGCATGAAGATGACCAAAGGCAAAGTTGCACCAGAGCAAATGAGTCCAATCCAGAAGCACCACCGCCAGCTAACGACGGCAACAAATCCGGAAATCCAGGGGCCCATAATCGGCCCAAAAGTAGTGCACTGAAAACTATCAGTATTTCGAATCCACAGTGGAATATATGAGGATGTAGCATACAGCCATATAGTACGCCATCAGGCGGCCTCGCAAGGTTGGGTCGTCATGGACGTCAGCAAACAAGCCGCCGGTGGTAGCGATTGGAGAAGATGCCATCATGCCGTTAAAGAGTCGGAATATCAACAGCGAGGCATAGGAATTAGCCACAGCGCAGGCTAATGTAAAGATCATGAATCCGATGAAGGCGATGAGTAGAGGACGTCGGCGCCCAAAATATTCGGAGCTAGGGCCCCATACCAATGGGCCCAAAATGTAGCCGATTAGGAATATTGAGATGGGTAGGACCAGCATCTGCTGATTGGTAATATTAAACTCTTCAGCGATTTGCGGGATAGCATTACTGCAGATAGACGAGCCGATGGTACTGTTCATGACCTGCATGACACCGGCGAGAAGGACTAGAAATTTTCTGGTCTAGATATTCATGTGAGCAAGTTTAAATTTAAATGAGATTACTTCCTCCGATTTCGACTCAGATTCGTAATAGACACGCTTGTGCATACCTTCTTCCAGTTGACTGGGTTCTCCGGGTCATTTGGCCCAAAGGAAACCACTGTTTTTGAAGCCACCCGTCGAAAACGAGAATATGATGGATTGTCATATCGCTCCTGGATCGGTTCATGTGTCACCTCCGAGTCTTGATCTGACGAGTCTGAGTGCGAGTCGGAAAGTGAGTCGGGTAGTGAATGTCGTGACTCATGAGGTGTTGCTATGATGGCACCCTCTTTGAAAGAGTGTGAGACATAGGTATCCGGCAGAAGCATACCTAGAAACAGTGCAGACTCACCTGTGGCCGACATGACCTTTTGTAGATTCTCCTCCATGGGAAAGTGGTCAGGCATTGTGATGGTAACCGGGAAATTCCCGTTCAATGAAAGTCGCGACTACACTGGATGACGACCCAAAGTGGGATGTCACATCATTATAAAGGGACTAAGGAGTATATGCAGTGACGGAGAAAATTCAAGAAAGCAAGCCCGGCTCCACTCTCAGGGTCCCAGTCAGAATTCTCAAGCTAGATCAGTCAAACTCGATGTTGATGTGGGTTCTGTCTCCACACCATTCTGCCACTTTTTCTTACTCCCTACGCCCTAAAATTGACGAACGAGATTGTGTGCGACATGGTTTTGGACAATACATGGAGAAGCCCCGGCTGGAACCACTCAGATGGGGTATTTGGAGACGTTGATCCTTTCATGGCCAGGTCCCTCGGTTAAGACGGCTTTCAGGCATTGCAAAGTTTGCGGGAAACATGAGCTAAGATTCGGTGGATTTTTAAGTGGCAACCTATTAATACTACAGTCCACCATCTACCGAAATCTAAAACGAAACCTCGCACAGTAGCCCGATTCATAGAAGTTGCTGTAGAGCTAGCTGCCTACTGTAACAAACGTTTGCAAAGGGGTGCGCAGAATGTTGATTCGTAAAAGGAAGGCAACGGATCATCGCAACCTGCATTCATCGCCGGCTTTGGGCCGACATTCTTTCTCCACGAGAACCTTAAGGTCATACTACCATGCGAATCGACCCAATGACTTTCTATCGATTTGAGCACCCTAGATTACAATTGACATCTCGTCCATGAAGGTATCCCCTATCGGGGAAGGTACCGAGCGCTTGTCCTCATGATAGATTGGCTTGCAACGGCTCAGCAGACCAAGCCTCGACCAAATTCTGGTTAGACACGCTACTTGGCGTTCGCGGGGTATCTCAAGGCATCAGAACTGTTCCTCAGTTACGTTCTGTCATGATTTTCAGAGAACCAAACGGGGGATTCCGCATTCATTGTGGATTTTGAGTCATAGCATCGGAGCATCAAGCCGAACCTGACTCCACAGCCTGTCAATCCCATCCGCCATGATTATTTCTCTATATTACCTAGAGCTATTAAAGGGAATTTTCACCAGAGTCTTGGTCTAATTAAACTGGCGCTCCGGCTTGTTCATGTATGTGCATGGTACATGGAGGATCATGCTACTAATAATCCCTTTCTTTGCTTTTGTTTCGGCGAGTGCGAAACCGTGCGCCAAGCCCAAATACCGGGCGTCAATCCGGTTGCGAACCGGTGCCGGCTGAGGGGTTCGGACTTCTGGCCGATCTGTGCTGACCGCCCGGTGCTCGGGATTATGAGATGTTCTTGGAAGGATTCTAGAACGGTTTACGATGTACGGCGGCCGGTAAGTGCCACCAAAGTGCAAGTGGCCGTTTTCATTGATTTCAACGGCAGAATCCCCAATTAGGCTAGATTACTGCCTAAACCCTGAAATATTAGGCCACACACGGCCACTAGCCACTCAAAAATTCTGATTTAGCCAATAAGAGGCCACTATTTTGATTGCCTATATCACATGTGATTTGAAGCGATTTGAATCGATTTTCAATGATATATATAACGGTAGAACCCTAGACTAGAGGGTATATCAACGTTTAAATACAAGAATTGCAAGCATGATAGTTCGAACGACCTCCTAGACTATAGAGTTTCTGGGGGGGGGGGGGCAGTCGAAATGACGGAAGTAGTTAGTGTTTTTTAGGGCCCACCAGTTTCCTAGACCACTACATTGTATAATGTAGGCAAAATTAGAGGATGGCATTGACGACGCGACAGAAAGGTTCATGGCACGACGAGGCTAGTCCTAAGGAGGAACCTCCCCCCCCCCCCCCCCTTCAATACAAAATGCTACATTCGAAATTCACAAAAAACCTAACGAGTCATTATGTATAATTCATATTAATACTTCTAATAAATATATTTAGCAACTGTATACGCGACCTCTATCTATTTATCCTTATAATAGACTAAGTATGTATTTTGCTCCCCCTCCTACTATCACCCTTTTCTACAGTCTTTTCTACAGTCTTTTCTACAGTCTTTTCTACAGTCTTTTCTAAGATATAGGCTTATACATATATAAGGACTCCACTAGTATTTTGCAAATCTCGAATGTAGCATTCTGTATTAAAGGGGTGGAGCTCCTCATTAGAACTAGCCTTGTCGTGCCATGAACTTTTCTGTCGTGTCGTTAATGCCATCCAAATTAGAATCCCCTAGTATATTTATTCAACCCTTTCGCCGATTTTTCAAGATATTTCAGTGCCCACCCTATTTATCAAAGTGAGCTGGAGACCCATATGGTGACCGTAGTTTAGGAGGGCGCCTAACATACTATCTTTGTCTTCATAACACGAATCAACACAAGCACACGGTTTCCTTTTGCGAGAATAATCTTGTCTTTGTTACTATATCGAGGGTTCAAATATCCAACTTTTCGCAAACGGCCCTATTGTAGGTTTCGCTAAAACACTTGACTGATCTCTTGTAGTTTATACAGAGAATAGAAAATAGTAAGAAATGTAGCGAGGAAGTTTGCAAGTGTAAGCCTCTGAGCCAGCATAATTCTCTACATCCCTCTTGTGCGAGTGCTATTTAACAACGCAGCTTCTGCTATGACTCCTATCCTGAAATTCGGCGCTCCCCAAGCCCAGACCGGGGTGATGGCGAGAGGTAAGTGGACGTCTTGACCCGGGCGAAGAAAGGGCAGAAAGAGCAGAAGGCGCAGAGCGCTACTGTTCTCTGTGCTCAAGTCCGAACGGTTATGTTTTTAGGTCAAGTTGTCCAAGTAAAGCAGAGTCAGAGATCAGGCTTGGAAAAGGGCTAGGACACGCTCAGCTCGCCTAATCAGACGAAAAAGCAACCCAAACATCCATGTCCCTAACTCCTTTCTGACCCCCCTGCACGCCCTCCAAGCTCGCCTCACACGCATCCCGTGATGCAAGAATCGCCGCCCGTTCCCTCTCATCACTCACTTGCTCCTCTACTTCCTTTTTGAAAGATGAAGAAAGGCAAGCAGAGACTTCCCATTGTCCGTCCAACAACCCCTCTCCACCTTGCACGCGGGTCTCACTCTCTAGCCGCCACCCAGCAGCTAGGGCTAGCTCAGTAAGCCGCTTTGGCCCTAGCACCGTGCGGACGTTTGAGTCGCTACTCTTGGGTTTACGGCATTCCAGCGCTGCCTGGGTGAGCGCAGCTAAAACATGAGGCTGGGCAGAGGGTTGGGTCGCTACTAACGACCACTCAGCAAGGAGGAGACGCTTGCTGTGCTGTTTAAGGGCACGGAAACCGGAAAGAATGAGTGAGGGTGATGCGAAGTACCATAGGCAGTGGGCAAGCACTGTCGCGTCAAAGGCCTTACTTTCGCTAGCGGGCAGCGAGGAGAGGTAGTCCAGAGGGGATTGTTGGACCCAAGTAATCTGCCTTCCCAGCGGGCCTTGTGAGATATGATCCTGTGCTTGGCCGAGAGTATACGGGGCACCTGCAGAGGCTATTAGTTGGAGGCTTTCCACTCGCACCGCCAGGATAGGTAGCAGGGTAAGAAAATCAAGAAGACTTACCATAATCTAATCCCGCCGGATCGACCGCCACCACCCTCCCCTGCTTACCTACAGCATAGGCAAGGACAATTGTGTAGTCCCCCTGCCCGCATCCTAGTTCCAGTACCTTAGAGTCGGTGGGAATATTCCAGTGCTGCAGGAGCACCAGGCGATGAAGGGTTTGGGAGTGCTGGATGCTGAAATGGGTAGGATCGTGTGGGGAGACACGGGCAATAAAGGCGGGGTCGAGTTGAGTGGACATGTTGTGCTCGATAGGTGTTGGGCACAAGACGGCTTAGTGGGTTTTGCGTAGCTAGGTTATGGAACTTAGAACTATAGCCTTTATTGTAGTTACTGCAGAACTGCGGACGGGGATGGATATCTTATAGTCAGACTTAGAGGGTCGCCTAGGAGCACCGCTACCCCAAAATTATTATAGGGGGCAAGCTGCTGCTCAAAGATATTGAAAATTTACAGGGATGGTGATACATGAGCCTTACGCAGACATCGAGAATGCGCCCTACCACTAGTGTCTTTATCTATGTACGGTAGCTGTAGAAGACACTAGCGTCTCAAATATTTAGTCAATGTCAAAAAATGGTTGGAGACACTTCAATGCCTCGCTGCCTCTGTCAGGAACCATTCATAGATGACCGAATCTGCCACACGGGTACATTATATATCTTTTCTCGGCACATGATTGTGCTATTCCTGGGCGGTTCGTCACTACTATGGACATTCTGTTACCTACAGTACCGGCTTTGACCAAGTATCCCACTCAGGGACCTGGATAATTCGTGATCGGGCTGTTTGCTTTACCACGTGGGAAATATTGGTCACCCCGCCTTACATATTTGAACTATAACGACCCTGAACAACAGGCAAGCTATCATGGCGAGTGTTCGCATTCCCATGAAAGAGGAACTACGTAAAATGAGAAATCTAAAAGTTGGGTAGAAATGTGTCTACATGCAAGCCTCTTAGTCTTGCCCGTTCGGAGCTTTTGAAGGTCGAGGCTGTCCTGTAGGGAACATATTGACAATTCCGAGAGCGACTGGAATCGAATCGAGGGCGATTCGATAGTTCAGATTCAGAGATGGGACTATACAGAGCACAATAAAACCCATAATGCTTCATTATACGTCCAGATCACAGGTGACTTTGGAGCTGTCATCAAAGTAAGCACTCTAGTGCTTCATCAACATGCATTTTTTGTTCTTGTGAAACAAAGCAACATGTGCTACAGAACTTTCGATCGCCTATGGGAAGGAAGGGCCCAACCTAAATTGAAATTGACGCCAAAGATGTCTTCAACTTGCTTCCTACAATATATCATCATGAGATCGGCTCCGTTAGAAGTGAAATTCACGAGCTAAATACATTACATTCTAGGTGCTATCTCAATGAGTCTTCGACATCATTGAAGCGCAAGTCAGTAGTCATAGTAAACCCTGATTGCATGACGTATCGCTTGCAGATCCCAACACAATAATGATCCGGCGCCCAGCAGACAACAAGGCTCTGATCATGAGAGTAGACGCGATCCTGTCAGCTATTGAATGTTCGCATTTCTCAAATAGAATACCACAAGCAGCTGCTGGAACTTATGAATTGGAGGTGGAACTTATGCTAGTCATGTAAACGAATTTTTGGTGTTTGTGGACAATCCAACCGCTGGAGACCCTGGTTACGCGTCCTTGTTGCGCGGCCTATCCCGGTAAGCCCAGGCTCGATACTCGTGCAATTTCTTGGCAAATGTACGATCTCCTCATTTGGATTTGATATTTATAATATTCAATCATTGCAGATAATTAGCTATTTTGATTTTTGAACCTAGATTTGGTGGCCTCCCATTTGGTTTTAAGCAATGCCGGTCCAATAGGTGGGTCCGTGTGAGAATTGTAATTATGAAAGATAAGGATTACCACGAGCAGCTTTGATGAGACATCTGCTATCATTATCCTTCGAACGTCCAATTATGTTTATTCTACTTTCAGGATATTTGAGTAGATCTACTATGCTGGAGAAAGAAGTTTTGCTTGAGAAGAGGGAATCTCGAAAAAGTGGAGTTCTTAGCGTCGAGAGGGACGTACGCGGCAACGTATGTATATCCATGAAAGGGTTTACTTGCGTCGCTCTACGCTTGAGAAGGACGTCTTGTTTCTAGCGCGTAAATTTTCGCTTCTTATCTGCTCATTGATGGCCCATTTAGCTCCTGCATGCAAGTCGCACCCGATTGAATTTTTAATCTATTCAATTCGTCCTTTGGTAAGCCCGCGACCGAGTGACTGTTCCAAAGGTTCATAATGAGAACCGAAAACCCTTTTGCCAGCCCCGAAGACGACTACAGCCGGTTTGGCAGTGCAACAGCAAGTTTACCTCAATTTGACAATTACACAAATCACGGTCGCTCTGCACCTCGGACAACACCGCAGCCCCCACGCTATTCGGAAGTTTTTGGCCCAAACGCGGTGATGGAGAGACCATGGTATAATCCCCTGGGATGGTCTGGGAGAAAGAAGTTGATTGTTGCAGGGTGTGTTGTGGTGGTGATTGTGGCCGTTATCGTTGGAGCAGTTGAAGGAGTTAAAGCGAATGCTTATCCCAATTATTCCCAACTCAATTACACCCTGGTCGACACGTTTTCGGGGTCGTCTTTCTTCGATAACTTCGAGTATTACACCTCCACAGATCCAACAAATGGTTGGGTACAGTATGTCTTCTTTCAACATTCTGACTTCGTTACCACTTACTAAGAACGGGCAAAGATATGTCGACTCGCAAACAGCGTCCATGATGAATTTGACATACGCGTCAGATTCAACCGCTGTGATCAAGGTAGACACCGATACTCAGAACCAAACGAGTGGTCGCAAATCTGTCCGTATTACTTCAACGAACACTTACGATAACGGTCTGTTCATTTTCGACGTTGTTCACACGCCATATGGATGCGCAACATGGCCAGCTCTTTGGCTCACCGATCCTTCTAATTGGCCTGAACATGGCGAGATCGACGTCATGGAATCCAACAATAAAGGAACGCAAGGAAATGATATGACATTACACACAACCAGTGGTTGCACAATGAATGCCAAGCGCAAGGAGACCGGCACAGCTCTATATTCGAACTGCCTCAATACGGCAAACGACAACGCCGGCTGTGGTGTCAAGGGCAAAACTGCCACGTATGGTGAGGCGTTCAACAATAATGGTGGTGGTGTAAGTCCTTCAAGATCAGAATCGGATTTTGAGTCATATTCTGACTCAGATATCACCAGGTTTACGCTATGGAGCTTCGTGATGCCGGGATCCGAGTTTGGATGTTTTCAAGAGACGATATTCCCTCGGACATCTCAAACTCAACCAGCAGCCCGGATCCCTCAACGTGGGGAGAGGCGCTGGCTGACTTTCCCAGCACTCACTGCGACATCAGCTCGCATTTCAAGAATCAAAGTATCATCGCAAATATCGATATATGCGGTGACCTTGCTGGTGCAACTTCATACTACACGACTATCAACAACTGTCCAGACACATGCACTCAATTCGCAGCTGAGAACGGGGCGAACTTTACCAACGCATACTGGGAGTTCAACAGTTTCAAAGTATATCAGACTTCATAGAAAATGCGTTTCATATAATAACGACGGTTTACTCCCGGGACATATCAATCGATAAACCCCCAGTTAGTGTTCAATATCTAACCAAAGAATTCTATGGAAGCATAGGGGGGACACTAGGATCAACGGACAGATTTTCAACCTTCTGTAATGTCCATACGATAAAGCACCAAGGTATACGACGCCAACTGAGCTGATGTCTCAATTGATCCTTGTGTCGGTGCTTCCGACAGGTAGCGACCGAGGGTACAAACATTCATACTAAAGCTTGCTGCTATAAGTAGCGGATGTCGGAATGCCAAACTTGGAAATATCCTCCTTGGTAGTACCATCCACGGCAAGTTCGGCTAGAACACGACCAAATGCAGGGGCAAACTTAAAAGCATGAGCTGCGCCCAGACCCACAATGATGTCGGGGTGGTTCTCAAGTGGACTAATAACAAATTGACGGTCAGGAGTAATCGAATATTGGCAGGTTACAGTGCGCAGCGTTTGACGTGCTTTGTCCGGAATGAAGTCGCCCAGGAAGGTCGAAAGTTGATTGAGTAAATATGGCGAGTGAACATATGTGCGTTGCTCTGGTGTCATAAAATTGTTTGAAGTATCTCGAGCCGCCTTGATAGTTGGCTCTCCGTAGCAGGGAAACCCGTAGTAGCACATTGCGCCATTCCATATCCAGACGGGGAAACGATCAGACTCGAAATTTGCTGCTTCGGTAGGCTTGAAGTATGTAACCTGTTCTTGCATCACAGACACTGGAATATGCGTGCCTAAGGGACCCAGTAGCTTATTGATCCACGCATCGGTAGCAAGGATAACTTTGGCGGCTTGGAATTGTCCTTTTGAGGTTTTTATCACAACCCCACCAGTACCCGAAGCCTTCGGTACCACGCGGTCAACTCTGGTTTGATCCTTGAGAATAGCTCCGTGGGCACGTGCTAGTGCCTGGAATGTGCTCACTGTTCGAGAAGCATGGGTGATGCCGGTGTCTGCTGTGTAGACTGTAGAGACGTTCTCGGGGATCTGAAACTGTGGCCATCGACTCTTCACTTCTTGAGAATCTAAAAGCTCATAGGGTACGTCGTTTGTATCGAGGCTCTTGGTGAAATCACTCGCAAGAGCTGGCGCACTTGGCTCCTCAGGGAAGAAAACCACGCCGCCAGTGATGGTCAACAGCTTTTGACCGGCAGCTTTTTCAAGTTCGGCCCAATCTTTATATGCTGATTTCGCAAGTGCAACCAATTCTGGGGTAAAATTTGAGGTTCGTACGATGCGTGAGGTATCATGAGAAGCACCATGAACATGGCCTAATTCAAATTGCTCGAAAGCAATGACCTTGGCACCCTTCTTAGCAGCGTAATATGCCGCACCACTTCCGAGGACTCCGAGGCCAACGACTGCGACATCAAATTGGTTCATTTTGCCGCTTATCGAGAGTTTTGATTGAGTTTGGCAAGGGAGAATAGATCGTTCATTTCACGAAAAGAAGCCCTCGATAGCCATGGATTTAAGACCTCCCAGGCACAATCCTCCATCACGGATACAGCCGTCCACGTGAAGCCAGCGCTTTGGGTGCAAACCATCTGTGATACATTGAGACGGAAACCAAAAATGGGCAGGCAACCCGTTGAGGGAGTGATTGAGGAGCTTGCGTGGGTCCAGCTTTCAAAGTGGACTGGAACTCGCGTCTGGCGTGTGGCTCGTGACCTTCACTTGCATATTCCCTACGTTATGTCCGGTCACGTGGTCGGTGTTTCGCCGGTCCCCTGTTGACCAACAGTGACAGAGTCCAAACACTGAGTTGGCACTTTAGGTTTCTTTGGACCCTTTATATTCATAGAAACACCTCTCGACCCAAAAGCTTAAGCCCAGTATCAATCCAATCCCTCAATGTGGCCCTCTAATGACCCGAACTTCAGTGGATCCAATACCGTAGTTTGTTCATCTGTAAATGAATATAAGCACCAAGTTGAGATAGCTTGAATTGATTACCGAATTATGCACACATGAAATTCCAAAAATTCCGAACGTGGTTGTGGGCAAAGTGAGAATTCCGGATGCTGAGGGTGATATTCTTTCTAAAACAACTCGCACGACGAGGTACAGCGACAAGGAATGTATGAATGATTGCTTGATGTGTCATATTTATCTTGAATACACGCCATTGCAGAACAAAGACCGTATATGTCATATTGGTCAATGTATGATAAGTTTCATGGGTGAGAACTGCGCAAAATTGAATGGATGCCTTGCAAGATGTCGGCCTGTAGATCCTCAAACTCCTCGATACCACAACTGATCCTCAACAATTTATCGTCACATGAGGCATCGCTCATGGCCCGCCATTCCATCAAGCTTTCAACACCGCCAAGACTGGTCGCATGCTGGAAAATAAACATACGACTTGGAAGTTGCCGGGCAAAAGCTGCATTCTTGGCCCAAATTGAGAATACGGGTCCAAAGCCTCCGGGCATTTGCTTTCGAAGCCAGCCGTCTTTCAAGTCGTCCACTTGAAGCGAGGCATGCGTGACTCGGTCTATGACTTGACTGAGAACGCTCTTCCGATCCTCAAGCTGGTCACATACCCACCTAGCCAGTCTCTCTGCTGTCTGTGACTGTTTGGAGACCCGAAGATGCATCGTCCGAGCAGATCGGATACCGAGCCAGCCTTCCAAGCTCCCCATCACATTGCCTATGTATTGACGATCCTTGTGTAGCTTCTTCAACCATCCATCCTTTTTCACACGGTCGGGATGAACAATCAGAAGGCCGCAAAGCATATCTGAATGACCCCCGATATACTTAGTACCACTGTGCATGACAATGTCTGAACCAAGATCCAGAGGGTTCTGAAGAGGAGGAGGCGCAAATGTTGCGTCAACAGTCAGATAGGCACCTTTTTCGGTTGCTCTCTCACGGTAATATGCGAGGTTTCGTGCTTCACCAGTCGGATTGAGGGGAGTCTCAACGTGTACGATATCGCCCGGACCCGCCTGGTCCAGTTCCGACAAGTCAAACTTCTCAACCCCACTCAGCCTCTGCATAATATCAAGAACACCATGGCATCCGTGATATCCATCCTCAATGAAGATTCTTTTCGGGTTGAGCAAGATGAACATAGCATGAAAAGCGGAGAGACCCGTCGAGTAGGTAATGACTTCGCCCCCCATGATGTTATGAAGCAGGACTTCCAATCTTTTGGAATTTGGTGCTGTGTAGCGGGAGTACACATGTGAATCATAAGGATTATTCGGCTATAGTAAATCATTAGAACACAGATTGGTCACGAGAGCTGGGACTCTCACATCGTTATTTTCCTCTGGGACTAGGTCCTCGGGGTTTCTCGCATATCGAAAGTTGACCGCGACGTGCATTGCGGGAGCAATGGCGCGGTGTGGACTGACAAAGTCATCAGCGTGAACAGCTCTTGTTGCCATGCTCATATTGGGCAGAGCTTCATTAAAGGCGTCTGCCGTCAGAATGAACTTCGACCCATTGTCAGTCATGTCGCTTGAGCCCATTGTGTCTATTGGAGTACAGGTATTGTTCAAGAGCGTGGGATGGCAATATTTTGAGCATGAAATAGGATTCTGCCAGATCGATAATTGTCTTGAGGAAAATGTGAGGCAAAGAGCGCAGCCCAGTTTACCATTTTCAAGGCCAATGCCAATATGCGAAGCGCAAAGAGGCTTTCCAATTAGAGCTGTAGCGCACATGAAGCTGTAGCGCACATGAGCGGAGAACTCCGTGTTTTTGCCGGGCTATGAAGCTGAGAAGTCCAACATCCGACTGTGTTACTGGATGCCACCAGAAGTCGTTGCGGAGTCAAGCATGCAAATTACAGGGTGAGCTACTGACTGATTGATATACATGAGAGAAGCGCAAAAGTTCGTGACGACTCAGATTGAGATACGTGGTGTCTGCTGTTGAATCCGTGAGTCGAAGCAAAAACCAGCTTCATCGACTGGAACCCAACGACGTTTCACAGCATACGCCAGAAGCTTGGACCCTATTACTGTATTTGGTCATTCATTCCGCATTGCCTTTTCCATCAGCGCTGCCAAAAGGCTAGTGATACCATCAGCTATCGAGACTAAAAGGAGCCGCTCACCTGACCGGTCAATGCCGACGGGAAGTTCGATTTGATGAGAGTTAGTTCGGGAGCACAAACTTTCACTGTTACTTCGACCGGGGGCTTATCAGTTTGGTTGTGGATCCACCGATTGTATGACACGGTAAGCTCGCCGTCGGTTAGAACCGTATCGGCCAATGTGACAGGTGATCTTGCTATGGCGTTGTACGTGTATAGCCACATGATCGGATACTCTGTGGCATTAGCCAAGAAGATAAATCAACGAAGTTGGTGATAATGGACAAGACTGCATAACCTCTTCCTTGCTGAAAATCAGCTTCCAGAGAAGATATTTGCTCGCATCATGGCTGCTGCCGTCGCCTCTCTCTTTAGATACAGACCTAATGTAACTGGGGAAAAGAAGCCCTCCAAGGAGCCATCCAAGGCTCTACCGGCCTCATGGTATTGCTCCCCAGACTTGTATGAGTTGGAGCGACGGGCAATATTTTCTAAGAAGTGGATTTTGATCACACACAAGCTCCGCTTTACGAAGCCAGGTGACTACCTGCGGTTTCATGAAGCTGGCTTCTCTTTCTTCTTATGCCTCGATCGCGATAGCAACTTAAATGGCTTTCACAATATTTGTCGCCACCGTGCGTTCCCTCTCGTGTCAGAAAACGAAGGCAACGTCAAAATTCTTTCCTGCAAGTATCACGGATGGTCCTACGGTCTAAACGGCAAACTCGCTAAGGCGCCGCGATTTGACGATGTCCCCGGGTTTTCCAAAGAAGACCAAAGACTGTTCCCGGTGCATGTGCATGTTGATGCACTTGGTTTCGTCTGGGTGAATCTTGACTCTTCGCCTCATCCTGTGCCATGGGAAGAAGATTTCAAAGGGGTCGACACCCAAGAACGCTTTCAGAATTTCGACTTTAGCCAGTACAAGTTTGACCATACGTGGCGGATGGATGGCGACTACAATTGGAAAACTTTGGCCGATAATTACAACGAATGTTATCACTGCACAGTCGCACACCCGGACGTCGCAAATCTCGCTGATCTGTCGTATTACTACACGGTCTCTACTCCCGGGCATATTCAACATTTCTCTCGACCAAAGCAAGATAAGGTGGAGGACGATATTAAGAATGCAAGCACATATTACTTCCCCAACGCATGCATGACTGTCTCGTGAGTTCTCAGTCGATTGAGAGAAAAAGAGAAGGATCCTCATACTGATGAATCACCAGCCCTCATTTTTTCTATCTGATGCGGTGCGTTCCAACTTCGGTAGGGACATGCTCAATGGAGTATGAAGTCTACCGACACAAAGACGCTTCTGACAAGGAATTCGAGTACATTGATGGATTTTTCAAGCGAGTGCTAGCCGAAGATAAGTGGCTTTGCAATGAAGCCCAGAAAAACCTTAATGCCGGTGTCTTCGTCAATGGCCAACTTCATCCTGAGCTGGAAAGTGCACCACTTTTCTTTCAAAGTACCGTCCGCAGTTTGCTTCTCGATCATCGGAGGGATGAGCAGAGAGAACAGCGAGAGATTTGGCCCGCTCGCCAGCGCTCAGCTGGATCGGCCACTGCGGAAGATATTGATTTCTGTTCTGGATTAGCATGTTCGGCGGAGGGCAATAGTAAATTAGAGTGGTAGCTCCTTTTTGGATTGAACTTGATGATTTCTACGGTTCTTTTGAATCAATAATCCTAAAACATTCTATATACTTCCTCAAGGCATTACTGAAGGCTGGACGGATGATACACTTTCCCAGTTTTTATTTTAGGGCGAATCAATTGCCCAGAATGGCCATCCCGACATGAATCCGATCAACCTGTATGACGCGAAAAACTAGGCCTAGCGTTTCAGTAAGGCTTCACGGGCTAGGCCTTCTTCGCACTTATCAATATTCTACGTTCACTCTTAGCTTGATGTCGAATATGTACTATGTGAACATGGTGATATCAGTCTTTCCTCTTATCGCTATTGTTACCAGGGGTGGGTCATAACTGTGGGCCAGCTCCCCGCGACTTTGCGCCTCATCGGCTCGAGTCCGATAACCCCGCGCTCCCCTTTCTTTGACACATCCTTGCGCTGCACTTCAGCCATTCCATCTTTTTATTCCAGCTAAGAGCTGAATAAGGTCATAAATGTCGGTGATAAATTCTCGTATTAATAAGAGATCCCATCAGGCCTGTGAAAACTGCAGGTCAGCTGAATCCCACCAGCCCCAAGGTGGGTCCAACTAACGATCAACTCGGGTATAGACGAAAGAAGACGCGATGCCCTGGAGAGCGACCGGCGTGTTCAACCTGCACTCGTCTAAAGCAGTCATGCCAGTATAGTCGGAGCTATGATTCTTGGGAAAACAGTACTGGGAGCGATGGCGTCTTGGTGAGCAGTTCCTGCGATTGTTACTGAATGGGTTGACTGAATCAAAGCCAGGAAGATCGACTTCAACAGCTAGAGGAGAAGATGAATTTAGTACTGGAACAATCAGTGTGAGAGCATCTTATTGCAAGATAATAAAGGGGGTAACGCGCTAACAAAGTCAGATCAAATCGCAATGTTGGAATTCCGGCGCCACTGGGCTCATACAATATAAGCCAAAGTGCAAGCGGGGATGCTGCATCAAAGTCTACACCAGACAGCCGCGAAACCCCAGGTATGCCATTTCATGATGAAATGAGCCTTCCGTCTGCCAACATGACCACCAATCTCGCGAATTTTAAAATGCCTCCGAACGACATGATTTCCAAATACGTTGCCCTCTACTTCCAATACTGCCACAAGCAACCTCTGTGGCTATTCGACCCTGAGAACTTCTCAAATTTATCAGACATTCCCGATGAAGTGATTTTCGGTATTTCTAGTTTATCCTTGCGCTACTTTCGTAACCACACTCTAGATGGCCAGGTCAACCAGCTGTGTCGACAGTACGCCGAGGCAGCTTACAGCCTAATTTCTTTTCGAATCGCTCGAGGCAGCGTGAATCTATCAACATTGCAAGCTCTTTGTTTAATTGCGCTTTCTGAGTACATTGGTCAGTCTGTGATAATATATCGGAAGAGGTTACCTCGCTCACATTCGCGCAGCCAATGATACCCACCTGGCATGGATTCACATCGGCCTCGTCACGAATCTCGCCAAATGTGGGGATATTGACATTGAACTTCACGAGGGACAGTCTACACCTACTTTGGAAGCTCGCCGAAGGCTATTTTGGAGCATCAATTTCCTGGATCACCAGTTCGGGCCACGGAACTTATCGTTGAATATTCTACGAGACATTCAAAATCCAAAGTACACAGCCGTCAACATTGACACCCCTCGAGAAATGGGTGTAACGCCCCCTCGGGTTCCCGAAGAAACCGGCTCTCTTTCCTCGAGAGGAGGAATCTGGGTTTACATGGTTCAATTGGGATCACTTTGGAGAGAGGTCCGGCACTACGTATCACATTGTGCCAGTGGGTATTTCACCCCACCATGGTCCGTTGAATCCGGCTATTCTATTATCGGTGCTCATTTGATGAATCTTGAAACAAACTTTCCCATGTCTCATCGATATGATTCCGCCAGGTTTCAAGAACAGTCGATCGAGGAACTGCACGGCGATCGTTGGTACTGGAGCCCATGGCTATATCTTCAATTCACATATCATGCTGTGCACAGTATGATAAATCATCCTTTTCTCTACTCGTGGCGGCCCCAACAATCCGCTCAACTCGCGGTGCCAAACACCTTTTGGAAAACTTCGTCAGAGTTGGCACTAATACACACAACGTGGACGGTGCGACTCATTGATATGGTTACTGAAAAGAACTATGCGCTCTCCGACCCATCGATCGGCCATTTAGTAGCTATTGCGGCTACAATACATCTCTATTACTGCCGCGCTGCAGATCCCGCTCTGAGAGCATCCGCTCAACGCAAGGTGGAGACTTGTACGAATTTTCTCAGCGATTTGGCTGCAAAATGGCCCACATGCGAGGTTATTGTCAGTACAGTCCGAATTATGCTATGCGATACCTGGCTAACGATACAACAGTACCAGAAAGTCCAGGCTCTCATTCAATCAGCATTTGCTGTGAGTCCAAGCTCTAGTAACAGCCGGACGCCACGCAGAACAATATCAATCGACACAGCATTGATGTGGGACATTCTCCTTCAAAGCTCTCCACAGGCTCCATATAATGCCACTGGACGAGGTCTCTTTGAACCCTCATTTTTTGAAACACAGGGAGAGAAAAATGTCGAGAACGTAACGGTTGAAACGGAGATTTTCCATCACTCTACAAGAACAGTGGATACCTCTGATGGTGGCCAAGCCTTGCCACCATATTCGAGTACCGTACAAGATCGGCGGCCTTCTGACGGCTCAGAACTGTGGAGTGAAGGTAGCTCACTTCCAATGAGCAATGGCACAGTCCACGGTCCGTTGCCTCGGGATCCTACGGGGTGGTCGGTACCGGGGCTCCAGAATGACGGTTCCTTCATGGACATCACCCGTGATCCGTTCTATCAGTTTCAAGACCAAGATCATCCTTATTTGGGGGTTTGGGAGATTGGAAACTTGTAACGATGTTGACCGGTTTTGAGGACCCAGCGAGAAGTATCGTTTATTGTTATATTGAGATAAAGGCTGGGTCTATAATCTAGCCAGTGTAATAGAGAGCCAGGAAAGGATGCTCATCTTGATGCGAGGGAATTTGACCCAGTTGTCGAGTAAACTTTGGCTGGTACAATCCTTGTCGCTTGTTCTCCTATTGGACAAAGTATGCTTGATCATCCGGTGACAAGCTTCATGCTGCGACTTCCAATGTCCTCAAATGCTGTGCCTCCCGCGAGACTCGAGTGGGAACAACACAGCAAGAACGCCAGCCATTCCCAGAAGAGCAGCACAAACATAGATTGGAATAGAGCTAGCTGTAGAGGTAAAGGCACCTATCAATGCCGACACCATACCCATCAGTCGATTAAGTGCGACCGCGATGCCATTGCCAGTGCCTCGATGCGCGGATGGGAGGATCTCGACAGTGTAAGCATAAAGCGTAGCATAGTACATGTTGATTGTAATCGAGATCGCACAAGCAAATCCCAGGTTTTGTGCACTGGTGCGGACGGCAGTATAGCCGAAGAAGAAGGCCACTAGTGATTGTTCAGCTGAGGTCATGAGCTGGCTAAATGAAAGTCTACTCACTTGTGATGAATGCGCCGATGGCCATTGTTCCTCTTCTTCCCAGAATGGGAAGCTCGGACATGAATCCTGCGATAATAGGACCTGGAATGGCGCAGAGATTGGTAATTGCATAGTTCCGCCAGGTGAGATATGGAGAGGTCTCGCCTGCTGAGGCGTTTCGAGAGGCCAAGTACTCAGGAAGATAAACGTAATACAAAGCATATCCTAGCCCAATCAACGCCCATGAAAACCAGACAAGTGACGTCGAAAGGGTCATAATTCGGGTCGAGAACAGTCCCCGTACGTGAACGACCAACTCAGACAGCGAGGCTTTATTTTCGGCATGAGCACTATGGATCTGGCCGCAGGCTTGCAGTTGCTCCAAGGTGAGATGGCAAAGCCGATTATGCTTCCGAGCTAGATTCTGGAGCGTTTGAATGACCTCTTCATCCATGCCTTGACAGAGAAGGAACTTAGGTGTCTCGTGGAAGCGAATGACGAGTACTCGAGCAACACTCAGGACGAATACTAGAGCTCCGCAGGTGTAGAATAGGTATCTCCAGCCCATATTATTGGCATTGGTGCACGGAACAGAACCATCTGTGGGGCAGCTATAGTTTGCTGTTTGAATTTGAGCAAAGAAACCAACCAGCAATAAACCGATAGTAAATGCTCACACATAAATGGCCAGGCGACAAGACCGGCTACAGTCTGCCCAACTCCCCACCAACCGGCTAGAAGTGTCAAAAGCCATTGCTTGTTTGAGGGAAGATATTCCAAGAAAACGGTGGTGTCAAGCACCAAGTTTCCTCCCGAGCCGAAAGCTGAAAGTGCGACTAATGTAGCCCAAGCCGGGTAATTTGGCGCGGCCCCGGCCGTAATGGCAAATATGGCACTGGTGAACAGAGAAAAGTTGAAGGCCCATTTCCGGCCTATAATGTCAGCTGTGCTACCCCAGAACAAAGCACCCACCAACAATGCAAGATAGAAACCCAGTTGGGCACCCCTTGTAAATTTCGGAGGGTACTGAGCCACCACCTGATCGGCTGATATACTCATCAGGAAAAGCAATAGTGAATCAACTCCGTAGCTGTTTATCATCCGTCAATCATCGTATTGGCCTTCGGTTGCTCAATTCCAAGTTTACGCACCCGAATCCGTTAAGGAAAAATAACTTCGTATGGTAAGGGGTGAACCCGATTTCATCGATCGCCTACGTCGTCAACATGGATTTGACGGTGTCATTTTGTCTTCGCAAAGCTTACATCATTCACGAGGTGCATCTTGGTAGCCAGAGCTTGGTCAACCCCACCAAGAGACAACATGTCGTCGTGGCCATCAACGGCAGAGCTTGAGGCAACCACTGTGGGGTCCTGGCCCTCATCTTCGGGATGAGACCCGCCCATCTTATCGATCTTGGCCGTCATTTCTATTGGAGATTTATTCGTGCCCCGTGGAGTGATAAGTGAAAGAAAGCAGCCAACTGAGGGAACTCAGTGTGATGTCAGGCGTGGTGTAACGCAACCAGTTTGTGTAATGCGGGCTGGTTTTATAGACCCTTAGCTTGAGTTTTAGCCAGACCCTGTGGTATAAACTGTGGGGCGCGAGGACTTGTACCTGGGGTGCGCTAGAGAGACGCTGCCATTCTCTTACATCAAATCAAGGGCCTCCGACTCGCTGGAGATACTAGCACGCTGGTCCACAACATCCAGGTGGAGCTTGATACAGGATGCGGGCACGAATGAGTTGTGGTAGATTTTGAGAACCCCCAAATGGAGATATTGTAGCTGCTTGACAAGAGTGGAGTTTCTACTATCTTCGGACGTTGGCGTGTGCGGGATCCACTCCCCGCTCATGTGACCGGCCGCTGCCGACGGCCCACGGAGAACTATAACTAGAAGAAAGACACTTTCCTGGATGGAGTACGAGTAAGACGTCTAGGGTGGCACGCGATCAGCCTAGTATCAGCTTGTTGAAACTTTTGATAATTTGTCCAGGCATGATGATAGGAATCTTGTCGACCATTGGATCATTGCCATCTACTTTAGAGTTCAACGTCAGTTGATCTGAACAAGATCAGACGCCACTCCAGCAGAGTTAAAGCTATTCGGTCTAAACTAAGTAATTCACAAAATGGCGGAAACATATATGTGAGATTAGCCAAAGCCTGCTCATTTGTCAGAAATTTCCCAGAAACATTTTCGGAGGAGTTTTGATTTACCCTCCTCAAGGTCAGTCCAAACATCTCCGTTTAGCTCATGTAATCGAATGCACAGTCATTGACACAGGATGCCGTCTTGGGTTGCCGTGCTAAGTGATTATTTATAGTCATAAAATGACAAATATTCAAGAATATAATAAGAAAGGCAAAACTCGACGGTTTCTAAATCCAGTGAAAAGCCCCCCTTCTATAAAATTTTGAAGACACAAGGATGCCCGTAAATCGTCAAAATGCGGACGTATTACTATAGGCAGTAACTTAGGCCTTCGAGAATTATATTGAATTTTATCACGGGCCATAAATTTTAATATTACCATGATAATGAATTTGTCAGTTCACTTTTTTAAACGAGAGCCCGGTTGCAGGAAATGCGCTCTACTCACAAAGGCCGGGAAATATCCCTCCTTCCATTAGCCTTTTTATTGACCCATACACTAACACTTTTGGCAGGTACTGGGAAGATCCCATCTCCACGGGTGTCAATAAGTACAGCCCCGATGCACCACTCGAGTATATTAGTCCGTTCCTCTCCTGCGTGGATGATCCCCGCGTACATACGTTTGTATGTTGCTCCCATATTGCTGATAACACATGCAAGGCCGTCTGGGAAAGAATTATTTCCGTAGCGCACGAATCCTGCATTGATTGAGTAGGCTAATCCAAGTCAGACGACGGATGCTTACCAATGCAATTCTTCTTGTCAAAATAGTCCCGTTGGTCACCGCAAGCGTACAGCTTACGGTCACGCATCAAGATAGGGAGCTTTCCCTTGTAAGAAGGCAAAGAGATAGAACGAGACCACCTCTAATTCCGTAAAGATCACCATAAAAGATGTATGGCTGCCCTTGAGCTCGGAGAAGTATCAATGCATAGGCAATTGGCTTGAAGAATGGGGCTATTATCGTCTATGTCGTCTCGTTAGCACCATATAGACGGAAAGAAAAGACATATCTTTTGAACTTGCCTCAAGTGACTGGCCAGGTTGCTTTGAAAGGTAAGTATGACTCAATTTATCAAAACGTTTGACGGCTTACAGTGTCATGATTTGCCACGAATGTCTAGTGAGTACCAATTTTTAGAACCTTCCTACATCATGGATTTAACTCAAAGTCTTACTACTGCATGCATTGGGCTCTGTTCCACCAACGTGCCCCGGAACACCTTACGAATGTCACTTCGTTCGGTCTGTGAGGTTAATGCAAACCGACCAAGGAGCGGCACGTCAAACAGAGATACCCCGTAATCCATCACTTTGAGGTAATTGAGTAGATGTCTCACATCCCCTCTCCAATATTCACCCACTAGGAAATACTCAGCGCCGACTGTGTTGCGGAGATGATCGACAAATTCCTTTTGAAATGCAACCGAATTATGTTTAGCAGCGTCAATTCGCATCCCACTGATTGCTAGCTCGGTCCCAATCCATTCCACCCATTTGAAGATATCTGCTCGTACTTCCGGGTTTGTGTGGTCGAGGTTGGCGAACATCAAAAAGTCGTAGTTGCCATGCTCATCACTGACGTCTTTTGCCCAGTCCTTGCGTGGGTCAGCAACTTTGTAGATTGCATGTTGTTTTCTTAATTCATCCCAATCCACTCCATTGAAGTGTTCGTGGTGGTACTTCATCGTACTGTACTTTCCTTTACGACCAGGAAAATTGAATCCTACCCACCCGGAAACCGTCTCGCGCTTTGATACAACAGTCTTTCTATCTGGTTCAATGTAAGCTCTTTTGAATCCTCTCAGACCATTGTAGCGCAATTGATACCCCCAGGGTTCACCTTCACGGCGGAGAACTTTTTTATGAAATCAACACCGACCTTGTGGTTCAGGACAGTGTCCCAATAGATACCTATACCAATATCATGGGCCGCTGCTATTAGAGCGCGGAGGTCCTCCCTCGTTCCCCATCGGGTTGATATGGAACCCTTTTGGTCGAATTCCCCGAGATCATATAGATCGTAGACATCATACCCTGTACCGGACGGGTCCATTCCTTTGCAACCAGGAGGAATCCAAATATTATCCACTCCGGCATCCCGAAGGCTCGGTAGAGCCATTCTAAGACGGTACCAATGCTTCTGGTCAGCTGGCACGTGCCATTCAAAGCCCTGCATCATCAACGAGTTGTGTGGAGTATCCCATCCTATGTACTTTTCTGGATCATCTGAAATTCCAGATTCAGGATTAGTTAATTTCCATGTGATGTCTCCGCATGCTTCGAAAGAGGCAAATCCCACCTTCGATCTCTCTCCACTTCTTTACCTCTCGTCGCATTTTCAAACAGTAACTCAACAGGGACAGCATTAGATAAACCACCACGTGCCTCGGTGAGAATTCAACTGGATCAACACAGTACAACCCTAACAGCTTACAAGATATGTAAGATGAGCGAAAGAGATATTCAAAATGTTCTGTCACGGCCGATATATCGAACCGGAAAACTAAAAGTTCAAAGCAGGACCAAACGGCACTAATGGTAGTGACACGGGTCCCCCTGTTGTGTGATTCTTATCGAATGGTAAACAATTCCCAGATGAGTCGATGTGCATTATTCGATTGGTCCTCTATTGGCAGCTTACGCGTTGCATCATGGTCTTCGATTTGTGGCGGCTCAAAATTGATGCGTCTCGCTTGGTCCAGGGGTTAGTGGTCGATAAATGTTTACGCCCGTTGGATGTATCCAAGGAAAGGTCTGGGTACCACACTACCACCCGATGTGATGAGGTTTTACAACCTTGGCCAAGAATGGAACCGGCGACATAGGTTCATAGCCCACGCAGATTCGACTATCAAAGGGTCTAAACGAGATTGCTTCAGCCTCCAGGTTCCCAACTTGTAGGTTCGTGCTCATTGTACATCCCAACTGTAGTATGTAGATTCCGAGATCCGACGCTAGTAAATTGACCAATCATAGACCGCAATAGAAGATAGCGGCCGGAAATCCTTACAGATAGACGATACGTGATTTGTGGAAATAAAAATAGTAGCGGTGCTCCCGCCTGTAGGTCAGTGCAGGAGAACGGGTGGCCGGGCCATTCGGACAAGGCGGCCTTGGCGCGGTGGCCGAAAAAACAAGGCGGTCACCAGAATTGTTGCCCCGTCGTTGCCGCCAGGTGTCCACTTGGTGACGTAGTAACTGTTCTTAAACTTCACGATGTTGAAAAATTTGATAGGAACTTGAAGATTCTAAAACAGAGTCCTCTCGACCGAATGACCATCCTATTTTCAGAATAAAGGAAATTTGCAGGGGACTATCAACATTGTATTATGACATGTTACCTATAGGAATTAACACGGTCGAATCATAACACGCTGCAGGAGCTCGTGCCTCGCTGGCAATAGTTAGTTAGTACGCGGGAATGATTCATGCAAAACGCCTTGACCATACTGCTGTATCAGGACCCTCGAGCCATCAAAAATCCAAGAAGGTCTTTCGGTTGACCGGGGGATGGACCGGAGGAGGAGCGCAGAAAGGTGGCAAGTCCCCGTGTGTTGCCGACGGGTACCCGCAAAGGCCCGTCATTGGCCCGCGAAAAGTTTTCGGAATTGGGACCCATCCCTTTCAAATCCTTTCCTCCTTTCTCTCTCTCTCTCTCTCCAAAAGCTTCAATTCAATCTCCTCTCCCCATCCTTTTCCCTCTTCTCGGGTGATCATCACACACAATGGCTGCCGTCACTGCCCCCCAGGAAACCAAGTCGGGCCTCGCCCTGTACAGCCGCTTCGCCTTCGCTGGTGCCGTGTGCTGCAGTGTCACCCACGGCGCTGTCACTCCTCTTGATGTGTAAGCTGCGACCATTGACATGATCAACATGGAACGATATGAAGAACTCCATCTAACCGTTGCGCGCATCTCCGTACAGCGTCAAGACCCGTATCCAGCTCGACCCTGTCACCTACAACCGTGGTATGATCGGTGGCTTCCGTCAGGTCATCCAGAACGAGGGTGCTGGCGCTCTCCTGACTGGTCTCGGCCCTACCGCCGCCGGTTACTTCCTCCAGGGTGCCTTCAAGTTCGGTGGTTACGAGTTCTTCAAGCAGCAGGCCATCAACCAGCTCGGCCTCGAGACTGCTACCAACAACCGTACCGCTGTCTACCTCGCCTCCTCCGCCTGCGCTGAGTTCATGGCCGACATTGCCCTCTGCCCTCTCGAGGCCACCCGTATCCGTCTCGTCTCCCAGCCTTCCTTCGCCAGCGGTCTCTTCGGTGGTTTCAGCCGTATCCTGAAGGAGGAGGGTGTCGCCGGTTTCTACTCCGGATTCGGCCCCATCCTGTTCAAGCAGTAAGTCACCATGTTCGCTTTTAATCGGGCGCATCCAATGCCGATATCATCGGTACATCGCACGCGATCATGGTCTTCTAACATGTCGTTTGCTAGGGTCCCCTACACCATGGCCAAATTCGTCGTCTTCGAGAAGGTCTCCGAGACCATCTTGTCTTCCGTTGACAAGAACAACCTCACCGACGGTGCCAAGACCGGTATCAACTTGGGCTCCGGTCTCATTGCCGGTCTCGCCGCCGCCATCGTCTCCCAGCCCGCCGACACCATGCTCTCCAAGATCAACAAGACCCCCGGTGCTCCCGGTGAGGGCACCGTCTCCCGCCTGATCAAGATCGGAAAGGAGCTCGGTCTCCGTGGCTCTTACTCCGGTATCGGTGCCCGTCTCTTCATGGTCGGATCCCTCACTGCCGGTCAGTTCGCCATCTACGGTGACATCAAGCGTGTCCTTGGTGCCACTGGCGGTGTCGAGATTGGCAAATAAATTATTTCGAGTCCTGTAGAATGAGGAGGATCATAGAGACTACCCTTAGATTTTTTTCACGTTTCCCCCTTGTCCATCCCTCCGATACGATGTACAATACTTTGTCTCAGTTTTCCTTCAAAAACATGCTCGGTTTCCTTTGTCTCAGTTGACGCTCCCGTAAACACGTTAACAGGCCAAAGATTTGGTCTTTGTAAAGTCAATAATAGAGCAGGTCCATTTGCTAGGAGAAGTTTCTAGTTGCGGCTATATTGGGCAGGCTTGTAGACTGACAGACAAAGGAAAGAAAGTACAGACAAGGTACAAGACTCGAGCTGTTTCATACGTCCAACGTCGCGGAGCATCACAGCACGTATCGGAATCTCGGATTCTATCAAGACGTTAGCATGTTCCCAAGGAGGCTCAGACTCGAACATGTGTCACCTCAAAGTCGGTCAAATCAGCAAGCTCGTCGTACTCTGATAAGGGACCAGCCCCAGCATGATCCGTAGCAGCCTGCGCGTCTCTCGTCTTATTCCGGCGAATCAACAACAGCCGCAGACCAATAGCTAGAACCACCTGAGCAGACGCACATGCAAGAATGACCTTGCAGCCCGTCTGATACAAAGGGGCCTCCTTGGCCAAAAATGCATGAGGACCGATGATATTGCCAACACAATATGCCAAAAACACCAGTGCGACACCGGTGGATCGCTTCGTATAGCCTCCCAGGTTCGTCGCCGGCATCTGTAGCGATAGCACCAAAGAGCAGACATATGCTCCGACGATATAATACCCGAACAACACCCCCACCTTGTTGGTTTTGTGGGATAGTTTCCACATCAAGCAAGTGCCGATGATCGTGGGGATCAAATACAATGGCATAACGATCGTGCGACAATTGCGAAATCGGGACGCGAGGAAAGTTCCACTCAGAATGTAAAAGACTTGGAATGCGCCCAACGGTATTCCCAATGCACAAGTCTTGAGAGGATCATCAGTCAAACCTTTGATAATGAGTTTGCCAAAACTGGCGATTCCACCATTGATGACCTCATTGCATAGGGTGAAGAGGAATAAGATCCAGATTTGAGGGTCAATTAGTGCCTCGCGAATCTGACACCATTTGATTTGGTGGCTCATGACACCAGTTCTTCCGAGACGGCTGCGGCCTATCAAGAGCGCCTTGTCTTCTAAGCTGAAACGCTTTGCTGATATGATATCGTCGGGAAGGAAGAGGAACATGACGATTCCCCAGGCCACAGTGACTCCCCCCAGAATAAGGTAAATGGCTCTCCAGACGGCAATGGTATGGATTTGGCCAATTCCAAACGTCAGAATACCGCCGATGATTGCGCCCAGTCCGTTGCAGCTGTAGAAAATGCCAGCACGAAAGGGCTGTTGGTCGCGGGTGTACCACATGCCAACTATCATCATGAAGCATGGGGTGATGGGAGCTTCGAAGATACCGAGAAGGAAACGGCAAATGGCCATGCCAGTGAATGAAGAGCAGGCAGCGGTTATCATCAGAATTGCACCCCAAGCGACGATGTTCCCAGACACCACTTTGGCCAATCTGGTCTTTTGTGCAAGGACGTTCCAGGGATATTCGGCGACCAGATATGCCAGGTAGAAAATACTGGCTAGCCAACTATACTGGTTACTGGACATGTGTGTTGTCGTGAAGAGGTCGAAGACGGCGGAGTAAGCTAGGGCTGACTTGTCGATATACTGCAATATATAGGTTCCTGCAAGCAGTGGAAGGAGTACAATATCCACCTTGCGAACCAAATTTTTATTGCGTGTTTCATCGTCCAGAAGAACCTGGATAGAGTTATGCGTGAACCCGTGCTCATGAAGAAAGGCACCACCTTCGTCGAGGTCGGCGATGGTACCAACTTGCACATCCTTTTCATCGTCATGGTGTCTGATCGAGTATTTTTGGGGTTTACTTTCCTCCATGATGGGGACTATGATAATATGGTATATGTAAGAATCTGGTTGAAAGGGAGGGGCCTCAATGTTTGAGAGCCTTTGAGTGACCATCTCCAACAAGAATGGGCATTTATTGATATACCCCAAATCACCTCCAATGCCCAGGATTATCCATGCGGGGAACCCTGTGACTACGGACTCTGTCCGAAGACGATAGATTGAGGAGATAGACTTTTGTATGTGCTCCTCTGATCATCAAAGCTCCTGATAACCTTATCTACGACTACCTGGAGGGCACGGAAGGTGTCCGTTAGGTGGCCACGATAAGGATGGAAGATTATGCGTTGGTTTACAGTCTCGTTATCTACACATACCCTGGGCAGAACTCTTGATTAATTACAGGTAATTCTGGCTATCTTCAGACAACCAAGTCAATTCAAAGGTACAAGGGAAACCGAATTAGGAATTAGGATTGGGCTCAGCGCCGAGATTTACCCGAGCGACGAAGAACGTTAGATCTCTTTCCAATCGAAACCTGACAATTAACCAATTTACGAGCGCTGGGCGCGCACATGTAACAAGAGTGCTTTTGAATTCTGTTTACCCACCTCGGAGGCGTTATCTCTGGGGCTTTGACTGCTGGTGTTTCGGGTCCCCACTGCCTCCACAGCTTCTCCCCGCACGGAACTACTTTTATTCCCCGAGAAGACGCCTTCTCCCCTCATAACTTCTAGCCATTCTTAACCCAGACACCAGAGCTTATCCAATTAATCTGAAATCGGAATAAAATGTCTACGCCAAGCACTAGTCCGTCCGTTTCTCTTCCTCAAGGTCACCTTATTGGAACCCAACTCAATGATGCGTTCCCCGTGACCGTCGATGCATTCTTGGGTGTTCCTTACGCGCTTCCACCCGTTGGAGAAAGACGATTCAAGCCGGCATTCCAGGTACCAGCATCTACCGAGACCATTGATGCATCAAAATATGGCCCTGCAGCTCCAGGCAAGGCCTTGCTCGCTGGTGGCCCAAAACTCGAGCAAAGCGAAGACTGCCTCACTGTCAATATCTTCCGCCCAGCTGGAACAGATGAATCACACAAACTGCCAGTCGCAGTATATATACATGGAGGTGCATTCAATCGAGGGTCGGCTACAATGCATGATACAGCCTCGATGGTTGCTTGTTCCGAGTCACCATTCATTGGTGTGAGCTTTGGCTACCGGATTGGCGCATTAGGATTTCTGCCCTCGAGTTTGTCGAAAAAAGAAGGCGTCCTAAACCTCGGTCTTCGCGATCAGGTACACTTACTTGAATGGGTGCAAAGAAACATTAGCAAGTTTGGTGGCGACCCTGGAAATGTCACGCTGTTCGGCCTATCGGCTGGAGCGCATTCGGTAAGAACATACCCTGCCACAAGCATGCTTTGCAACAATTTCTGACGACGATAGTAGATTGGACATCACCTTTTGAACTACAAAGAGAATGCAGCGGCTCTTTTTCACCGTGTCATCATGGAATCCGGCTCGCCAACCTCTCGCGCGGTCCGTCCATATAATGCGATGATCCACGAACAGCAGTTCCAGGATTTCCTACGTGAAGTTGGCTGCCCTGCTGACCTACCTGAGGACGAGATATTCCCGTTTCTCAGGTCACTGCCTAGCTTGACTGTGACGAATGCCCAGACAGTGGTCTTCGACAAGTACAACCCTTCTCTTCGGTGGGCATTCCAACCCGTTATAGACGATGATATTATTTATCGTAAGCCTTTAGATGCATGGAACTCTCAGCTCTGGAATAAAGTACCTATCATGACTGGTTTCACCACCAACGAGGGAAGCATGTATGTGGAAAAGAAGATGTCGGATCCGTCACAGTTCCGCAAATTTTGGAATAATCTTCTTCCTGAATTGTCATCTTCGGACTTGGATACAATCGATAGACTCTATCCTGACCCGACTACGGACCCAGCTTCGCCGTATATAGAAAACCGAGACGGCCATGGACTTGGCCCTCAGTTCAAACGGATTGAAGCAGCGTATGCTCACTACGCATATGTTGCACCCGTTCGTCAGACAGCCGAGTTTGCTTCTTCTCAGGGCGTGCCCGTTTACCTGTACCACTGGGCGCTTCCTAGGACCGTGGTTAATCGCGCAAACCATGGAGATAACATGTATTATGAATCATACAACAAGGGCATTACGGGGATTTCAGAGTCACAGAAGGAGCTATCCGGCACTCTTCATGCCTATATCACCAGTTTCATCACCCATGGTAACCCGAATGCCATCAGGGGACGTTACTCCCAAAGGCCTGAATGGGAGACCTCCGTGCCTCATGATCATCGCGTGATGACCTTTGGTGAAGGCAATGAGGAACTGATTGGAGGCACCACGGCTCCTCCTGCAAATTTTATCAAGGATGAGTGGGCGAGGGAGCAAACTGAATTTTGGTGGTCAAAGGTTCCTATTTCACAGCTTGCTTGAAGGAGTGCACGTTGTTTTGATGTTTAAGTCATATAATGATGAATTTTCATTGTTTCTTGCACCTTCTATCACAGTCGTGCAACTTTCCGAAGTGAGTCACGAATTAATCAATGGAGGATCTAAATTGATGAAATCCATGCTCCTTTTCTCAGAACTGATCAATTTATCGAACTATGTAAGGCTTTCCTATCTGAGCTGCGGGGAAACCATGTTGAGCTTGAATAAATGTCTGAACCCTCATACACTCGAAATGAAGTCTTCGTCATCCAATATCTTCTATCGACCACTGTGAAGAGACACACATCTCGAGAAGGATGATCAACTGCTTCTTGGCTCTACTCAGCTATAAATAAAGTTCCATACAATTGAGGTCTAAACCAGCTTCAGTCAGTCAACAAAGACTCGAATGCAGATACAAGTGTGGGCGAGTCTTGACATGCGGGCTTGAAAACTATTACACGTTCGCCTCTTCATCGTCATGGAAGATGGTTATCCCCCAGTTTGGACGATTGAATCGCTTTCTCCCAAGCGTTGTGACTAAACTGTCAATCTGCGCGATCTCTTCGTCATTCATATCGAAGCATTTCTGTAGATTGGTGGCAACTCTCGTCGGGTTCGTGCTCTTCGGAATCACGCTCCACCCTTTCCTCACACCCCAGCTAAGCAACACATTACCAGAGCTGCATGCTCTCTTCTCGGCGATAGAATTGACAACTGGATTCTCGTGAAGGGTACTTCCACTGCCGCCCAGAGGACCAAAGGCAGTTTGATGAATGCCGTGTTGTATACACAGCGCATTAAGCTTCTTCTGAGGAAGCAGTGGCTGAATTTCTGTCTGGTTCACAGCAGGGACAATTTTGCAGTTTTCCAGTAATTTTCTCAGATTCACCGTTGAGAAATTGGCTACTCCAATGGCCTTTACTTTTCCTGTCCCAAGAAGCTTCTCCATCTCACGCCACGTGTCAGTAAAGTCCCAGTCCGGGTCGTGAACGGTGCGATCCTCCTTTCCGTATGCTTCGGGGGTTGAGGTAGGTAATGTGACCGGCCAGTGCATAAGATAGACATCCACATACTCAAGGCCCAGATCGTTGAGAGATTTCTGAAACGCAGATTGAATGCGGTGGTGATCGGAGGACCAGCTATTTTCGAAGTCAATATGTTAGCGTTGAATAGGGCAATGGGGTATTTGCCCATACAGCTTGGTAGTTACAAAATAATCGCTGCGGGGTACATCGATCGTCTTGAATATCTGACCTATCTCTGCTTCGTTTCCATCTGATGGCCTTTGTTAGCCTATCGCCATTGTCAACTTTTCTTGGTGGGGACCTACATAGAGGAGCGCAATCCTATCAAAGAATCGGAAAGTCAGTATAGTCAACTATTACCGAATTTCTCGGGGGTCATCATACAAAGTGCCTGTAGCCTGCTTCAAACGCAGCCTGAACTGCTGTTGCTGCCTCGCCGGGCCCAGCCTTCCAGGTCCCAAAGCCGATTGCGGGGATTTTTGCCCCAGTATTTAGGAGAAAGCTCTTAGTTTGTATATTCGTGGTCATTTTGCATGTACCTCAAAAAGTCATTCTTTAGACCCTAATTCAAGAATTCGAGTCCTTTAAAGGCATACCATGGAGCTTATAGTCGATATTGACCCCGCTACTCAGTTGAACGAATCCCTTTTACTGGATTCATCTAGTCGGAGAGAAAGCCGTAAGAAGTCCTGGGAAGAAGTCCTGAGACCTTTACCCCTCGCCGCGCATCAGACTCGCTCCGTTACTCCTCTCCTAATCTTAATATTATTGTACAAATGTTTGAGCAGTGGAAAGATTATGAATTGAACCTTGAGAATGGCAAGCGAGCGTTCCTGACGCCATATATGGTCACACCGCCTCAACATGCTCCACGCGGTCTCTCTTTCCATCGTCCTCCTGATCGTTCAATTTCCCAGCCATGATTTCCTCTCACACATTCGAACGGGTTTTCTCTTCCTCGGTAGGGTAAGCGTGTCGCAACGTCGTCCACAACGGTCGCTCAAGCAAATTATCCATACTCTCAATTGACCGGCCTTTCATCTCAGGCAAACAGAAAAAGATGAAAATGACGCCCAAGTAGGTCAGCATGGCATAAAGTAGGAACACACCCCAGCCCATCTTGGTGATCATGTTCGGCGTTGCTCGAGTAATACCGTAGTCCACTATCCAACTGATGAAAAAGCAGATCGCCATACAGAAAGATCGCTAATATGGTCAGCATTGATCTCTGGCATCGACGATGCACCAACGCCCATACCCGCGATAAATCGCCCGCCGAGGAGGACTTCATAGTTGGCGATCATCTGCATCAGAGCTCCAACTAAGAACACCAACCCCCAGCCAAAGACCGACCATTTTCGACCAAAGTAGTCAGATGTTGGTGCTGCAAGCAAAGAGCCGGCAGATCCACCTGCTGCGAGCATACTTGCAATTGTTCCCTATATTGTCTGAGTCAATATTTCCAATGACAATGGTTTGGGAAAGAATCTCCTAATCTACCTTTCTATTATCCAACTCAGACTGAGTCACTCCACTCATTCCAAATGCATTCTTAAAAGATGGCAGCGTGAGAATCCCGCCGATGTTCCCGGTATCAAATCCATAAAAGGAGCCGGCCCAGCTGACGGCAACCAAGAGGTAGAGAAGACGGAGGTTGAAGATTGCCTTTGGGTCTGTCTTTGCTTCACTGCTAACCCAGATGCTCGTTCCTCCAGCCATGTTGTATAGCTCTTTTTGGAGTTAATTTGCAAGCACGCTTGTAAAAATATCTGGCTTTCAGGACACTGAAGGTGTAAACCAATCCAAGTGGCACTTGGAAGTTCAAGAGGCTGCAGCCAGCATATAAATCTTACCAGAAAGACTACTGAGTTTTGTCAAAGGATCATGCCTTGATAACCCGTGTCGAATCCTATAGTCCCCACGCCTAAACATTCGTCTGCAAGCCCCATGGGGAAGTGAGGAGGTGGAGGAGGGCCACGCGGGCTGGTCTGGGGTCGGGCTTCTCTCCGGCGTTTGGCATGACGAGGTAACTGCCGGGCACCATCCCGACATCTTTGGGAACCCTACCATTCCTGACTGGCAAGTTACAGGTTTGGCAATAAGATAAGCTAATCTTAAAACGAGTCATGAAGTCTGCGCGTCCTCAGTTAACTCAAACTCTACCTACATCACTGATTGTCACCATGCCCACCACGACGAACACTGCGGCCCCCGAGTTTCGAGCCAGCCTGCAGTTTCAAAGGCGCGAGGAATACAATTTCACCGAGGCATTGATTCCGGCTCTCACGACGCAGTTCCATGCGTCGAATCTTCTTCTCCTTCCCAATGGCGATCTCCTTTGCGCTTGGTTCGGAGGCAGCATTGAGGCCAGACCCGATATTTGCATTTACATGTCTCGTCTTCTAGCCCATTCAAATAAGTGGGAAGATGCGGTGAAAGTGTCTAATGATCACACTCGAAGCGAACAAAATCCTGTTCTCTTCCGAGTTCCCTTTATGGGAGAAATCCGGCTCCTATACACATCGCAAGATGCGGGAAACCAGAATTCTGCGACTGTGAAGCACATGGCTTCCATTGACGGTGGAAAAAGTTGGTCAGATCCTATGGTACTCTTTGAAGAACGAGGTACATTCATCAGGCAGCCTATTCAGGTTCTCAAAGACGGAACATGGGCTGTTCCAATCTTCAAATGTTGTGCAGAGCCAGGTGAGCGATGGCTTGGAAGCGATGACATATCTTGCGTTCGCGTGTCCAAGGACGAAGGACGCACTTGGTCAGAGAAAGAAGTACCCAATAGTTATGGCTGCGTCCACATGAATATTCGGGAGCTCAGTAATGGCACCTATCTGGCTCTCTACAGAAGTCGTTGGGCCGATAACGTGTACATGTCAACATCCCCTGATGGCCTTGATTGGAGTGAGCCCAAGGCGACGATATTACCGAACCCTAACTCGGGAATTTGCTTCGATGTTCTACTTTCTGCAAGAGTCGTCCTCGTCTATAACCATTCTTCAAGAAAAGACGCTGTTGGTCGGCGCGATGGTCTTTACGATGACATTAGTGACGATAGCGATACAAGAACCAACCAGGAGAGCAAGCATGGGAAGGAGGCTTTTCGGGGTGCACCAAGGGCACCACTTTGTGTTGCTTGGAGCGATGATGATGGGTCTACTTGGAATTGGAAGACCTTGGAAGAAGGAGATGGTTATTGTTTGACAAATAACAGCGAACATAAGCTGAATCGGGAGCTTTCATACCCCAGTATCACCATTCAGAGCGACGGGTCGATTCACATCGCGTTTACCTTTTGGAGGCAGCGGATCAAGTACATTCGCCTGGGACAAGACCTTTTCGAATGAACCAAAGCATATTCCATACATTACACGATATGCTACTTTTTCAAGGAGGGTGCTGGGCATGGTAACACTAAATATACACCAGAGAGCCATGCATCTAAAAGACAAAGGCACCGCGTTTGAGAGCGCTAATATTGAGCAGAGCCTTTTGAGTTTAATTAGAATCTAAGATTATATTTTTGATATAAACGTTTTATAGAAGTCGACTGGGAAGCCAGATAAATACCATAATGACACGGTCAGTCAATCTAGCCAATTTCAAAATCGTAGTCTAGAGCTCCAGCATGGTTTCTTCCATAATATCTGACATACTTCTCTAAATAACATCGGGGAGGCTCTGCTCCAGTTGGACCAAGTGCTGCATTACATTTTCCACCCAGACTGCTTTCTGAGGGTCACAAGGGAGATATGGCTTCCGAGGCCAAAAAGCTGCTGGCTCAGTCACGCCAGCACTTGGGCCAGCAAAGTGGCCGGTCGCATATTTCGTAGGGGCAATCCCTTCTTTGCATGCCTTTTCTGCTTGAGCAACAAGTCCTTGTAGCTCTTTCGCTTCTTTTATTTTGTCCTCGTTCCAGAGCGCATAAAGTCTGGCCACGCATTTGGGGAAGACATTTGCAATACCAGTCACACATCCGCCTCCGCTGCCGATAAGACAAGGGAGCAACCAGTCTGAAGAACCGGCAAAAACTCCAAACTGCCCATGCGTATATTCTTGAGTAAGCCTGGTGACCTTGCCTGCATTGCCACAGGTGAGCTTAACGCCGACGATGTTGGGAAGTTGCGCGAGTTCGGACAGGGTATCAGAGCTCAGGTCTACTCCGTTGCACATCGCTGGAAACTTTATCGTATTAGCTTCAATTCTCTTGTGAACCAAGATGTACTTACGCTGTAAATAACAATCGGGAGAGCAGTTGCATCGGCAACATCATGATAGAAGCCGAGAATGGCTTCCTTTGTGACAGCCTTGGCCCAGTAGCTTAGTGGCAGTAGCAGTCCAAAATCTGCCCCTACGCTCAGGGCATCCTCAGCCAGTCGAATTGACTCCACTGTTGATTGTCCACTAATCCCAGAAAGAATAGGGAAATCCGGGCGACCAGAGTCAGATGCAGCTTTTCGCGCGACCTTGATAAGTTCCTTCCGTTCCTCGGCTGAAAGGAGAACAGCCTCTGCCGTGGTACCGGCCAACACAAGCCCATCAACACCGCTGCGAATCAGATGCAAAAAGAATTTGTATGACGCTTCGTAATCAACTTCTTGACGCGGGGTTGGCCTATACAATGAAATGACGGGACAGTATATGCCTTGCGGGATAGGCTCGGATTTGGCCGCAATACTTGATGCCATGGTGTAATTGCTTCAGAAATGTCTTCTTGAAATTTTTGATCGATCCTCTCCTAATTAACTGTCTTCAAGGACGATGAGTTCTCAGGATTTCATGGAGGTTGGTTCACGGACAGAGTGCGCGATTCATGATGTCGATCTGCTAACATTGATGCTAGAAACAATTAACAAAGGAATACTACAAGGAATACCTTGCTGGTACGGAGCCTATGTTCTTGAAGCCCAGAGAAATCAAGATCTACAACAGATTGGGACCGCCATACTACATGGCCAAGGATTAGTAGGGGCTGACGGCTGGTGTATGCACGAGGCATAAAATGCTTGAATAGCTTATTTTTTCTACGGCATAGAAAAGAATAAGGAACAGATACGATTAGCCCGCATATTACGGACCTACCCCTTGATTGATCTACCCTAGCTGAGATATCTGCTGGAAGGTCCCGAACTAATAAGTACAATGCAAACAGCGCAAAGACTGCCCCCAGCGCCGAGAAACGCCTGAACTACCTCGGCCTAAGATGATGCGACAGTGAAAAAGATAATCATAATCGGACACTTGCAGATGTGTAAGGATAAGGAGAAATAAGTCACTCACTCGGACATCTCCGAGAATAGATGGAAGAGGGGAGATAAGACCCATGTCTAGTCGGCAGGCCTGTAGTAAATGAGAGGGATAGAGGAAAATAAAACCAACCTTGTGCTCTTTGAGCGTGGTGACAAATTTTCCGTAATAATTGGCTCTCTCTCCTTTTCGGCACAGATGTGTAAAGGAGAAGGCCCGTCGGTCAAAACAGTGGATGGAACCTAACCCCGCAGCTCGTGTTCCGGTGGGAAGAACTTCGAGGGATTTGGTGATGGGAATGTTGTTTTTCTTTCATTTTCATGGGGACCAGCCCCGGAGGGATAGCATTGAGGTTTTGTACTTGTGGTGCGCGGACAGTACAGCGGTGCCTAGGCAGGCGTCGCAGTGTTGGACATAGTGTTCGGTGTGACCTGGCGCTTAGCTGATCCTTGAGAGGCATCCAGCGAAGAGTCCTACAAGAAGAACAAGATTAGTGATTCCCGATCGGCGATACCAGAGGAAGGCATCTAGTTTCGTAGGATGAAGGGCGAGTTCGAGTGTCGATATCATTGCTGAGTCAGGTTCAATCTCGTTCTCTTCATATTGACTTACGTGCATCTCGCCAAGTCTGCGTTTCTGACCGGTCGATTCGGTCTTTTTGATCACCTTCTTCTTTGGTCGGGATGGCCGGGTTTCACCGGGTTGGAAGACGTCGTCGGGCAGGTCGAAGCTGGAATGTGTGAAAACACAGTTCATGCCGCCAGAGACGATGGTTATGAAGAACTTACTTGCGAACGTGGGTGACTGCCAGGTCATGAATCTCGGGGATATAGCCTGACCAGGATGTGCACGTTGACTTGAATATTTGCGAGTCCGTAGAGATGTCGAGAGACCTCGAGGTGCCTGTATACGGGTTAGATTTCAGAGTGAAAATGACCAAGGTCCGGACCCATACCTGGTTCCAACGGCTTTAACTCCAACCCGATGTAGTAGGTGGTGGTGTAGACTGTGTGACTGCCACCCTCGAGTTTCTGCTCGGCTTGCTGGGGTTGCTCGGTTTGCTCTGTGGGCGGCGCAACATGTGCGTTCTCCATTCCGTTTTGCGCCGCAGCCTCGTGGGCCGGATCCTTCGTCTCGTCGGTTGTCTCTGTCGTAGTACCCTTAGTCTGATACTTTGTTGATCCATTCTTGACCGCCTCCATCTCTTCAGCATTGGTGATAGTATGGATTCTTTCGAATCCCTTCGGGAAGGGATGTGCTACTGCAATGATCGCCTTGCGGTCAAGAGCCCCCACAAGGTGACGCAGTTTCGATTCTACAAGTCCAGACCAAACAGCTTCATCTTCCTTGGTCTTGCTTGAAGCCGTGATACTGAGGTAATACTTGTAGTCCTGTGTAAAGAAGGTATGGCGGGTAAAAAGATCACTCCATGAAAGTTGCTTCGTGAAGATCTTGTCCACAACGTCTCCACCTCTCTGAAGTTCCCGAAGAATCACAGTCTTGGTTGACATGGAGATGTTGTGAGTTGCACACATGGAAGGATAGGCAGGAGTGATGATGGGCATGAGATGGAATTTATCACCGTGGTAAATCTGTAATAACGGAAGGAGAATGTTACTTTGGGTACCGAATACAAGAGTTTGCGAGCTTGGCTTACCTTAGGATTCCAGACTTTCATCTGGAGAGGACCTTCTTCAATCTGCTTCAAAAGAACAGGCTGAGGCCATGCCCATTTGTTCATAATTCTGAAGAACTTGCCCACGATGACTGACCCCGAAGCGGCCGGGTAGAGTTGACAAACTCTTGCTACCAGCATGGCCCAAGCGATACCTCCAGGAAATCCAACAATATTAGCGTAGATGGCTCGACCTGTATAGACAAGAAGGTTAGCAAAGAGAGTGACCAAGAGATAGGATAAGATAGGCAGGGCGCAACTCACGCTGGGCCCACAGTTTGATTGCGCGCAAGGCAATACGGAACGTCTTCTGTTGAGGAACAAGCTCTAGAATTTCATCCGCAACACGAGTTCCATTCAGCGATCGAACCTCCTTTTCATCCAAGCCTCGCAAGTAATCATTGTTCTTGAGATCAAGGTTCATAGGCACTGAAGGAATGACAAGACGAGCAAACAGCAGATCAATGCTGATTCCGGCGAGCTCCATCTTGATGATGGGGACAAACGCATCTGGAACTGGAGTCATCTTCTCTACCACACCTTCAGGGGCCATCTGTTGTAAGAGAGGAGGGAAGTCGGCGAAAAAGTCCTCGCTGCATACATGCTTCGGGCCGACGATAAGTGTATCGATATCGGATCCTAGAGACGAAGGAACAACGTTAGCTTTTGAAGCACGCGTGTGGAGATATCGAACGGGCTTACCAGGGCCATAAACCCCCAATCGGTAACCGCCGAATGTAAAAATCTTGCCTCCGGAAGCTTCGACGGCCGCAGGCGACAGGCCCTTCTTCCGAGAAACAGTCTTGACAAACTCTAGGGCGACCCGCTGAAGTAGTTGGAGCATTTGGATTCTGCGAACTTCTTGTCAATTTTCAATTCCCCATTTGCTTCCTAGTCGGTGACCATAAAACGTACCTCCGCTCGGAGTCCGAGGGTGGCTCGAAGTTGTTCTGCGCCTTCAACTCCAGGATAAGATCGTCATTCGCAGCCAACTCATCCTGTGTCGGCAGAGCAGTCGAAATTGGGGGAGTCACGCCCCACTGTCGACTTCCGGTCGCTGCCATTGTGGGAAAGGGGAGGTGAATGTCGGTTCGTGGAGGAGAGTGGATTGTGTGTCGCGTTCAATTGAAGATAGGGATTAGATAACGGAGAGAGTACCGAGTCGCCGACAGTCGCGTGTCGGTATCAACAACAGAAGGAAAGAGAAAGGAGAAGGCGCGGTGAAATTAAAAATAACCAAAGGAAAGCTCGGGAAAGTGACACGACCCCAAATGAATGACAGGTCAAGAGTGAGGGTTAAGTGAGGTGACTGCGCAACGGTCTCTGTTCTATCACCGGCTGGCGCTTCCAAGGATGGGGCGCTTACTCAGTGTCACATGATCATGCACTTTGGCTGTTTTTCCTTACGCCAAGCCTGTTTTCATGTATGGATTTGGAATCTTATTTTTGGTGGCTTACACTGATTTTACAATAATAAATATTCTCCACAAAAGGAGCGTTCATGAAGAAGGTTAGATGAGGATAATTAATGATCCTTATGCCTATTTATTCAGGCATTAACCTGATATTCTGTTGATTTTCGCTGATGCATTCTTTCTCTCATACTTGTACTTTCCTCGGACGTGACTACCATTCACCTCTGACCCTTGTAATAAAGCTTCAAGGGGTCATACGTTCAAGAAAACGCTTCGTCCATTTAACTACACCGTTTCTTGAGGCTTTTCTCCCTAGGCTTTAGCCCCCTCTGGCGGGTTAGCCGCAAAGAAATCGGCCATCTGCTTATCCAGCCATGCGACATCCTCCTTGCTGTCACCGGGGCCTCCCGCCCAGTCTGTTTATTCGAGTCAACGCTGTTCTTGCTCCATTTGGCTGCTAAAATAAAGATGTACTCACGTCCCCAGATAGAAGGGAAAACGCCTAGCGTTCCGACGCCAGGCTTCATACAGGCGACCTCGTATTCTGAGTCTTCGGGTCTGTAGAGCATATGTGAGTTTCTCCCCTTTAAACGAAATGGAACGTTTCTTACGGGAAGTAAAGATCAGTCTTGGCTGGCAGAACTAGCGTTTTTGCCTTGATCGAGGCCATCGCCTTCTCAAAGTCTCCATTGTATGGTTCCAGTTGGGAGACGTCTCCATTCTGCCAGGTCTGCATCATTACCAGCAGGTTCTCAGGATCTAGAGACTGTGGTCAGCTAACGGTATCTACAGTGCCAGGCAGATGGCGATTACCCTTCGAGCAAGCCCACTTCTCCCAATGATTCTGCAGGAAGTCTTCGAGGTCTTTGTATCCCAGAGCTGTTTCATACAGCTTCTGGCGATAGAATGCCTGGCTAAATCCCCTATTCAAATTAGTCAGACCAGATTCAAGACAGATTAGGGAAGAGGGAATAAACCAACCATCCAGCATATACTCTCCCCATCGCCTTTAGACCAACTTCCCTGTCTCTATCGCTCCAAATCCGAACCTCAGCACAATCTTCCTTTATTCCGCCATTCCCAGACCCAGCCGAGCGAATATTCTTCACTGCCAGGAGGGCCGTCTTGACTCCTTCGATGAACACCTGATTATGCAGAGACGTCTTTGCCGAGCCGCAGAATGGCACTGCAATATCCATGAAATCCGGGTACTGCGTTGCCCACTGGTACGTTTGGCCGGCTCCCATGGACCAGCCTAGGACGGCGCGCAGGTGGGTGATGCCAAAGTGCTTGGTGACGAGCTCGTGCTGGGCACGGACATTGTCGTAGAATGAGACCTTGGGGAAGGGCCTCGGACTTGGTTGATTCGAAGGAGACGAGGATTGCCCGTTACCAAAAAGTGCGGTGATGATAATGAAATATTCTTTCGGGTTGAGCGTCTTGTCTTCTCCGATTAACCAAAAGTTGTCTGCAATCGCTGTACAAGAGAGGTAACAGGTTAGCTTTTCAGACTTCCATAGAGCTCTCCAGGGCAAACTTGGTTGCTACATACCACCCGAAAACCAAGTAGGATAGACGATCGCCGGAAGACTGGGATCGCCAAAGGTCTTGTACGCGATATGGGCATCAACAATCTTCTCCCCACTCTGCAAGTCCCAGTCTCCGAGCTTGTAAATCTCATAATCTGGCTGCGACATGGCTTCGAAGCACTGGCTAAACACTCGTTGATCCAAGGCTTGTTAGGAGTAAAGATTTCTGGTTCGGTGATATCCGATCCCTGGGCTTCGCGCATTTATATTTCTGGGGCCTGCTGATAACGACCCCGCTCTGAGTACGAAGTACTCTCCGCACGAGGCGCGCTTGGAGTCGCCAACGTTACACATCCGCTGGGATTCCGTCTCCAAAAATTTGTCATTCAAAGTTTGTCATGCGTTTTTTTGACGTTACCCCGGGGCTGTTGTAAGCAGTTGAATGGGATGCCGTCTAAACTGGGATGCCGTCTATGCTGGGATTCCGTTTCCAGAGGAGCTCAACGGTCATGTCCGCCCCCATGTTTTACGATTGACAAGAGCTGGAATGCATTCATGGGCAGATAAATTTAGGAATTATCCTCGAGAGAACGCGTGATTCATGCTTCGTAATGAAGAGTTGAGTAATAGGAACGGCTTGATTGATTCATCACGCCTGGTCTCTTTCACCATATTCTCCCCAGATTCGCTGGGTGTACCTATGTCTATGATCTATACAAAGCTCTAGAATTGCGGGCGAGGGATCTCAATCACATCGGTGGTACGACCATACGAGATACCACCCAGCCGACTAATCGGCTTGAGGACCTTCAGGTCGATGACAGTCTGCTCCTCGTCAATCGCATCCTCACGGACCCAGAATCGCACACCCTCGATAATGGCCAGCACACTACTCGGTTTTCCGGGATTAGCCCGGCTCTCAAACTCCTTGACCTCGACCAATTTGCCCTCGATCGCCAGGATCGATTCCTTCACACGCGCAGGCTTAACCACGGACGTTGAGCCTTTGGTGAGGCCCGACACCTCCCACTCCGAGTGACCGTAGGGCGCATTGATCGAAGTTGAGTTCGCAGCTTCGAGGAAGTGCTCCGAGATAATATTGATCACGCACTCCTTCGTGTCATTCAGATTCTTCAATGTATCCTTGGCTCTATCCAGCGAGCCCACGAACCCGACAACGAACAGGGGCGGATCATGGTTGACAAGCTGCGAGTAGCTGAACGGTGCGAGGTTCGTAGTCTTCCCGTCCGCGGATTGCGTGCTGATCAGGGCGATAGGTCGCGGCACCATTCCCGAAATCAGCAGCTTGTAGTTGGACGCGACGGGTCGGCCGTCGGCATAGGGGTCGATCTCGACGTGATCCTTTTTGAGGCTTTCTCCGCCGTCGTTCGCACCATCGCCTTGTTTCCAGGTCGGGTTCGGGGACTTGGAAACGATCACCTCGGCATCGTGGCGGAAGTCCGGACGGGAAGCTTGGAGCTGCTCGAAATCGGGCCGGGCATTGGACATGGTGGGGGTGGTGCTGAGCGGTCGGCACGGTGGGAAGGAGGGGCGGATTAAAGAGGTCACACTGTAGCAATTATAATTCAGGTCAGCGCAGATGCTCGTGAATGCCCTGCAAAAGGTTCTCTGGCCGTTGCATATGCAAAGAGGGGTTCATCGGGTTGTGCTTGCCACGGTGAAGCAGCTGCGAGACATACGGTGGTTTGAGAGAGATTGATCGAGTGGCGCGAATCGCTGGTCTAAGCAACTTCATTGAGGTGTAATTTCCCCTTGATGCCAACTTTCTCGTTATCGCGACCCTAAAAGGCAGAGTCCGTCACAGGGTTCATTACCAATCGAAGCGGGGCTTACTGCCACGGGCGTAATTGGGGACGGAGTGGGATTGCCACGCTTGCTGGTGGGATTATCGCACGCACCGTGCGTGGTAGCAAGGTCAACATTCGCTTCCGACGGTCCGTCAGTAACGAAGTGCTCGAGAATGCTTTAGACTGTTGGTTATGTATCAAATGCAAGGTTTCAAGAAGAGTGCTGGTAGTACGTCCAAACCTTAGAGAAAGGGTTCCTCTTTCTATAGTTCAAACCCGCTACCTGTGTGTTCTAGAACCCTTCTGTGCAACCTCTGGGGTCTCAGTATGGTATCATCAACCTCGGTTGATCTCTCGTCCGAAAGGAGCGGACTCGGCGGGTAAATTACGCCGGTAAAATAAAGGACAGGAAAATCGAGTGGATAAGCTTATTTTGCCATGAGATTTTAGTTTATGCGCAATGTTCAACCAAGAAATGGTGGTTTCCGTAGGAAGCTCGTGTCGAGGAGTGGTACACAACATAACCGGAAGAAGTGGGTTGGGCGGATGGAGATAAGCAGAGCCGTGGAGAAGCGGTCGCAGATGCTCCGAGTTTGAACGGGGTAACCCCGGTCTGGAAATACCAAGCACCCATCAAAAGGGCCTGGGTGTGCGAGGGACCGACGTGGGGGATGATGTGAAGAAAGGAAACTTCTCCCGAGAAGGACGTAGCTTTGACCACGCTACATAGCTCTATATCCTAGGTAGGGCTGTACTCCATACATGATGATATACAGTCGGAAATGCCCAACCCTCACCAGTCCAAGTCTCCCTACTGCAGGAACAATCACCCCAAAGGGACACGGTACTCCAACCGCTTATACAAACCCCCCAACCCCGACAAGACGAGAAAACTTTCCCCGAGGGCCCCGAGTCCGGGCCCCCAGGAACGTCCCAGCGCCCAGCGGATCCCCGAGCAGACGCCCCACCAAGGCAGTGACCACATGACCATCAGATCTTGACTTTTGGGGGTCAGTAGCGGATCAGTCCTGGCTTCTGGAGTAGCCCCGGACTTTGGATGTTACAGGACTCGAGGGTAATGGGTAATCCGTTCTTCATAACGTGCCATTGTTTTCGGCAGCTAGGAGGGGAACAGTAAATTTACACGATGGCAAAGAATGGTCCGTACCCCTGCCTACAGGATCATTGGTAGAGAGTTACCTCGCGAGCTATCCAACGGGTAATAGTTCATAGGAATCGCCAAAGAAGAAAAGAAAGGGTAGAGGCGGTCAAAGTATTCTCGATAACCAGCCAACGGATTTGACCAAATAACGTCGAGCACCTAGGTAGTATACAGGGTGTAATGGGTTCTTAAATACTATACAGTACTTGAAAGCAGTCTCTCAAATCCATACTGTAAGTGTACATTATGAATTACAACCCCCGTAGTTCGTAGTATGATCCGGCAAGGGCGAAGATCCAAATTCCACGTACTGTAAAGCCCGTAAATCCCCCTCCGGTGGCGTGGAGCTACTACTCCTTGAACCGCACGAACGCTTGCTTCATTTCAAATTTCACTGTCCTTTATCTTTTGTGTTCTTAAAGCCACGGCTCTTCAAGCGAGCGAAACGCAAGACACGAGCTCCCACGCCTGTCGCGCTCTTGTCCCCTCTTCCTCGCTCTCTTCCGTCCACACCACCACCCCTCCTCCGTCCGTTATTATTGCCCTCCTTCGTTCTTTCCTCAACAGCTTTCTATCCCTTCTTATTGGGCTCTAAGGCCCCCTTCCCCTCGATCGAATCCAGGCTTCTTATCCCGCTCGGTCTCGACAACGCAGCCTCATGAAGTTTTCACTGCCAGTCTCGATCCTCCTCTCCCACGATCTTCCTTGCCGCTTCATCTGCCCGATATCCGGTCACATCTCGGACTAAAGCTCCTGGAGCTTCGTCGGTCGACTCACCCACTCCGCGGTCGGAGCAACACAACTCGGTGCCCAATGAATTGTGACCACGGATAAATCTCTCGCTCGCAATGAGCCCCCCTTCTCCTAAGAAGAAAACTGGCGGCAATCCTTCTGGCCCGCGACAGATCCGCTTCGTTGCTACCGATGGCCTACCCCAAACCAAACGCCGCCGGGTCAACGCTGCGTAAGTGGGAAGCGCATTCTGCCCCAGAACTACAAGGTGAATACGGCGATGCTAATTTGCGCTGTGATTGTCGGTAGCTGTTTAACCTGTCGCCGGCGCAAGATTAGATGTTCTGGAGAACAACCAGGTAGGATACACGGAGGCGCGCGTATCAATTGTGGACCCCTTCGCTCACGGCTTTGCGACAGTCTGTAAGACCTGCTCCGACTACAATCATGTCTGCCTCGGCTATACCGATTCCACTGCCCATTTGCGATCACAATCCGACTCTGCATCCCGCTCACAAGCCCCTCCTTTGACCGGCTCCAAAGAAGCCAGCCAGCAAGTCGCCAGGGCGGTGGAGAGCTGTTCCCCAGAGCCCCCACCGACATCCGGACCCCGGGTCAAACCCGATAAATCCCCGCAAGCGCCGAAACACTTGGAAAAGAATGTATCTTCCAGAGATACATCGTCGCGCACGCATAAAGAGTCGGATTTGCTTGGGATGGGGGATAGTCCAGAGAGCGGTGAGTTTTTAGTTGCTGCGCTGCTGCGCTGCTGCGCCTGGTTTATTGCAATATTGACTTCCTTCACTTTCGCGCAGGCCGAACCTCCGTGAGCTCTAGCAACCGCACTCATGTTCCATACTTTCGATATTTCGGACCAACTGCCATTGTACCGGGCTTCAAGCAAATGGTTCGAATATAACTATCATTATTGCCCTAGTTTCGCTTTTCTAACTTCTTATCAAGGTCGTCCAAGTCCGAGGTTCGCGAAAAAGTAATCCCTCGATGTCATCAGGTTCGTCGCTTTGCAAGATGCATGATTTGCCTGCTGTTTAATTCAAAGGAATTACTAGTAACACTACCATGTAGATTCGCTGTCTCCATTGCGAAGTCCCAGGCTATCTGATGCTCCAGTCAACCTGGAAGCCGCCTTGTTAGTTCCCCGGGACGATCGCGACGCCAACACGATCCCATTTTACGACCGCGATGACGCTTTACCCGTTTCAAATCTTGTTTCTCATTTATGCGACTTGTTTTTTGCACATCTCGGCTGTAGCTTTCCATTTTTGCAACGAGATCGCTTTTTGCAGGATCTCAAAGACAAGAAGATCGATACCATGTTGGTGGATGCGGTATGCTCTCTGGCGGCCAGATTCTCTCCTCACCCTCTACTTGGGCCCCCTCAAGCGCCGCCTATTGATCGCTCACAGCCACCAGCCGATGTCAACCTCTGTGAACGTGGTTTGCCTTTTGCCCATCGAGCGATGAACGCCCTTGTGGATGCACTTGCCTGTCCCACATTGTCGGCCGTTCAAGCCTGTCTATTACTGGCGTATGAGCAATTTGGATCTAATCATGATAGCGGTCTTTGGATGTATCTCGGCATATCTATTCGCATGGCACAGGACCTTGGCCTGCAGAAATTGCAAGGTCTCAAGTATAATTACGGCCAGAAAGGTGTTACTCCCAGCGCAGTTGTGACTGGACACGCTGGAAAGCTTCGAGAGGATCAGTACGATGACTTAGGCGCTCACCAGAGCCCGAAAAATATTCCACCGGTGATAGGTGCCGAGCGTGCTCGAGAACGTGAAAGGGTGGACTCGTTCTGGAGCATTTTCTTCCTTGATCGCGTCATCTCCTCTGGGACGGGCCGCCCCGTGACACTACGCGACGAAGATATTGAGCTGTGTTTTCCCCTTCAATCCGAATCTCAGCTGCCTAATGGATGGCCTGCTCCGTTTCCACCTTTAATTCGCATCATCCATCTTTATGGAAGAGTGACCGATTTGATCAACGGGATCCAGGATGCCAATCATGTCACCTCAGATACGCTCAAGAGACTGGCTGGTATGGAGAGCGACTTGACAGGCATATATCAGCGATTATCACCACGGCTACACTTCAATGCCGCCAATTTTCAGGCATATGTGAAAGCCAAGGAAGGGACCAACTTTATCCTGCTGCATTTTGTGAGTCTCCAAAATATTCCCAAGAATGATTTATCTGTCGGCTGACTCAACTTAGTGGTTCCATACTCTCATCGTTCTCCTCCACCAGCCAACGCTCCTCAACTCTTTCGGCGGCACAATCCAGCATCTCTACCCCAATAGTCGTGAACTTTCCATGTCTTCTGCCAAGACGATTGCTGATATCCTGTCGTTCTCGGAATTGGTCGACGGAAAGAGCTTTATCGGCAACCCATTCACGAGCCAGCCGATGTATATCGCAGCTTGTGCATTCCTAATGGAGAGTGCATATTACTCATCGCCTTCATCGAGGTCTACTTCACCTCCGCCCCAACCACTGCTGGGCAGCCAAGCCAGTGGGTTTGTGATGCCGTCCATGGACTGCCCAAATGGTACTGAGCGCAACTCTACAGCCAAGCACATTCTTCTTGCATCTGCTGCCAAGGAGAATTACCAACGCTGCTACAAAGCCCTCAAAGCTTTGGATGCGTATTGGGAGGGCACAAGGTATATCTTGACAGTTCTGGATCAAAAGGCTAAAGGCATCGTCGATCCGCTTCTTTACACGGTTGAGGATATGGAGAATACCGCTCAATTTCCCCCGGTACAAATACTCGGCGCTGCTGGATGGCCTGGAACTAAAGCTGCGGACCCAGCTCAAGGCTCCGATAGACCTGTGACTGAGCCCGTGCCTGATCGAGCCTTGTCACCCAGGATCGATCCTGGTCAAGGTAAGCGCATATCTGATTATATGTTTGGCATTCATTTCACTAATCATGTTCTTCCGGGAAAAAGCCATTGGATGGGCCTTGACTGGAGCCACTAATTCCTCGCAGCCCAACCTGAGCTTACTCTACCAGATGCCTTCCACCCAGAATCTCCCTATTTCCGGCAAATCTGCTCACTCGTCGCAATATCACCATACCTATCCAGCTGTGCCGGCTCCGACGGGTATGGCGCAGAGCTCAAGCTCTTCCTTCTCACCGACTGTTCCACCAACCCGATCTCAAGATGAAAGCAAAGCATCTTCCTTTGCGCCGATCAGTTCCAAATTCTCCACAGTCCAATCTCACTTAATTGGCAGTGAGCCTCCTTACTTCTTGGGAATGAGCTCTCCATATCCCGAGTCAAATACTCAGGCATCCGCAACCACCCACTCGGGCTATAACCACAGCCTTCCGTCTACTCAAACTCCTCAGTATACTTACTCCATGGCCTCTACAGCCAATCCGCATGCCAATATTGCCCATTTGGGATCCAGGCCCGGTGATATGCACCCCGGCATTCATCATACAGGTGGCATGATGATTGAAAGTCATGATGTGGACATGAACACCTTGCAACAGCAGGAGTCATTCCCTTTTTCCAATGGCGAGATCCTCCCGTGGCTGGAATACCTGCCACAGGATGTTCTCAGCTTCTTCGGAGAAACCCAAAATTTCCCCATGATGAGTCCCGACGATACCAAGCCCCAGCCTCCCCAGTGATGTTTGATTGATGGTGTTTCTTCCATTACCGTACATACTTATTTCTTGGCAAAACTTCATGCACTATGTTTTTGTCTGTTTAGCGTTGTCATTTTGATCTTTTTGGGCTGGGAAAACTTCTGTACTACTTACTGGTGTATTGTGGATGGGAATTTCCCCGGGCAGCACATAGAACGCCGTCACGGGTTTTCTGACAGGCTTTGGTCAATGGAAGTTTGAATACCTCGAGTATTCTGCTTACTGATTCGGTTTCTCTGGGAAACATCACATTGATGAACTGAGTCCAAAGTAATAATCTATCTCCGACACCTAACTCGTCACGTGTATAGTTCGGGGTCTGCCCAAGTGGAGAAGCGCCGCTCAACGCGCCCCGTTGCCCAGCACAACCGGGCGGTGAGCAGCTGTCAACACGCACCAGTCCAGCACACCGTACAATTGGAGGAGCTCATATGACTATCTACACTTAAATTGCGATTCATCTTGTCTCTGTTGACTACTCAATGTGGTCTCCATGGCAGGACTGAATAATGACAATCTCCTCGATACGGAGGTCGATGCCTCCGATCACATTCTAAGCCCCCAGCCCTTTGCCCCTCCTAGCAAGGAGCTACTTGTCACTTCCCTCGAGACAGCCCACCTACCAAGCGACGCCGGATCGACAATTGACGACGGCCAAATGTCAACTCAAAGCTACGAGTACAGTTCATCTGGTTCCTCAACCCGACATTCGACAAGCGATATATTCGGCTGTGAGATGGACGATGAGCTCGAGCAGATGAAGTCCCGGGCATCGAGTCGCTCTTCGTTCTCTTCGGTGCCGGCATCAGTTCTTATACACCCTCTGGATCAAATGAAGCAAATGCCTACCATCGGCATACATGAGCAAATCGCCGCATACTCGATGGAGGAGGAAGAAGCTAAGTTCGGCGGCTTCGATAGGTCGCCACAATCGATTCGAACGATTCGCCAACGCGAGGCTGCATTCCGGAAACCGAGCTCCGTACGGGCTATGCAGATGTATACAGAGGATGAGGCGGATGAGGATGAATTCTTGACACCACCCCGACGTCGCGCAGGCATGCGATCGCCCGGGACATCACCGCTGAAACGGTCACCCTACTATTCGCCCAAGACGACACAAAGCAAACCGGCCGTCAAGAAGGAATACCCACTCGTGCTACTTCACTGCACACTACTCGCCCCATCTTTGCCTGTACCAGGTGCAGCTGAGCCGCGGAACCAGAAGATCGTCGAAGAGGTGCTACCACCGCAATACTGGAAACGATGGCGCAGACTCCAAGACAAGGTTGGCTCTGGTGTTCTTCGTGATCGTGGTGTGCTGATTTCTCATCCCGAGGACTTATATGATATGCTGGAGGAGCGATTGCTTGAGAGTCTGGAACTACAGCGCCCGCTCGTGCACCGGGGTCATTTCCTAGGTCATGAAGAGGCTGATCCAGGCTCGGAGGGCGAAGTCTCTGATAGAGGGGAGAGCGAGACGGATGGGGAGCAAGGCGACGAATGTCCCGATTGTGGTGGGCGTTTCCTACATTATAGTGACACCAACCGCAAGTGGGAGGTTAGGGTATACGCGGCAAATGGACTAATGCGTGCCGGTGCGTGGGCTGCAGCGTGGAAGGAGATGGAGAAGGTCGATGTCGAGGTTGGCGTCTGGCTACCGTCGGATATACGGCGAGCCTTAGAGAAACGACTCATGGAGGAGCATGCCGCTGCCGTTACGTCCACGGAGCACGCTCACCAGGCAATGGTGTTCCACGATGCAGAGAAGCTGGATATAGACTCACGCCGATTATCCGTTCAGACCCACTCCAGGACCTTCAGCGATGCTGGGTCTTTCCGAAGCAGCGGACACCCTGTGGAACCTCCGCCGCAGGAGAAGCGACCAGACTTGCCGCGAGTCAATCAGCAGCATGAAATTGACCTGCGGACCCTGATGATTAACTACATTCGCGTCTTGGCTGGGGACAGACGCAATGTCGCACTGGTCTTCTTGGGTGTCTTGGTCATCTTCCTCGCTATCGGGGCTCAGCCGCAGAAAGATCAGCTCCAGGGTATGTTGCATTCGCTGGCTCGCGATGATTTCTTTGCAAGGCCGGAGGCGCCGAAAGTACACGTCAATGCCGAAGTGCCCACTTTGTCAATGACTTCTTCAAGCTCTGTCTTGATGAAGGGGATTATTCCTACTTCGAGCATTGTGGCTTCTACGCCGGTTTTGGAGTTGGTTGCCCAGTCGCAAACAGAGGATACTATCCCATCCTCCACAGCTTCTGAGGCCGAAGTCATGTCCTTTGACCCCGAGCCGACACCTGAAGCTGCGCCACTGGAGGATAGTGAAGAAAAGGAAATCCACAGTGAAGGGTCCCGCGATAGAGATGTTTATAGTGAGGAAATTCAGAGCGAACATATTCAGGGCGAGGATGTCCCTGGACAAGAAACCCATGACGAAGGAATCCACGACGAGGAAATTCATGACAAAGCGATCCACGACCAAGCGATCCTCGACCAAGCGATCCACGACCAAGCGATCCTCGACCAAGCGATCCTCGACCAAGCGATCCTCGACCAAGCGATCCTCGACCAAGCGATCCTCGAAAAACGTCATGAATCCCAGTCAGAGCCAGTCTATGCCAGTGTAGAACTGTACCCTGGCGTGACTGAGTCGGTCGATTCTGTGGAGAAACCTCATGTCGCCGAACCCGAACGCCAACCCGAACCGGAGGAATGAGACCCGAAGTATTTGGGGAAGACGAACACGCAATATTGAATGTGACCCTTAACGACTGGAATGAATGAGCTGCGATATTGACGTTTGATTTCTTAACAATTTCTCATGATGTGGGACGTATGTCGAAGTTTTTTAGCCAGCTTCTCTCTCGTTTTTGGAATTTGATGATTCACATCGTGACCAGTTGATTGATATATATATCGTAGCTTGCTACCCAACTTGGAATCTTCACTATGAAAATTGAGATATCTCTCGAGAATATCTAAAAAGTAGGTTTCTGAATACATCTTTATCAAGAAAACCCGATCACATATCTATATTATCTGCTGTGGTGGCTGGCTATTGGGGGGATGCATAGGCTCGAAATTACCGAATTGGGAAACTATGCAAAGACCGCCCCGCAACGCCTTAATCGTAACTCATGATGTTGAAATTGAAGAGAGCAGAAATATAATGGCTAATAATTTGTCTCGTCTTAACCAGCCCTGCCGGGCTAGCTCAATCGGTAGAGCGTGAGACTCTTAATCTCAAGGTTGCGGGTTCGACCCCCGCGTTCGGCTATTCCTACAAATAACCTGAGATCCTTTCTTTTTTCTCCATCAGTCTTTTTTTTTTTTTGCAAGCGAGAACCCTTTTGAGAAATATCATCAGTGCACTTGAAAGCCCCTGACTTCGAACTTTCATACATACGACACGAGAGGAAAGTGACTATATCCGTTTACATCAGGCGTGCTAAATAATTACCTCGATCTTGGTAAGTATTGCTTTCAACCCCTCTATCACCTGGTGATTTACTAGACAGTATTTCATAAGGACTAATGGAGGAAGGCATGACCTTTCAAAGCAAACTTTAAGCTCTTAAAGCAGTCCCAGCAAAAAACTGTCTTCCTTCGATATAGACATTGTATCCTCCAACCAAAACTGCTTGTAACCCCTATACTGACCCACAATCATCGCCCCGATAGCTAAAACAAAACACAATCAAATGTTTCCTGACAATCTCAGAACCCCGAATCATCAAGATAGTTCGATGGCACAACAGGCCACTCATCCACTCCATCCAACAACGCCAACGCCATTCCACCACTCTGGTGAACTTGAATATGACAATGTATCATAAATGCACCCGGATTCACAACCTGATACCGGATAGCCAGCCATGCAGGGCCAGTGCCAGAACTTGGAGTAGAAGTGGTGTCCCTGATCGGAGGGTTGACAAGATTGAAGGAGCCTGGAATAGACTGCATCGCATCTGCCACTGAGGACCAGCTGAATGTTCCCAAACCCTGCCCAATGACAAAGTGCTTGTTGGAATGTTTGTGGATAGGATGAGCCGGTTGAGCTGGTGAGTCAACTTGGATGATCAGGTCGACCCATGTATCATTATTAGTGCGAACTATCAGGTCACTTGGGATGGCGGTTTGGTTGAAAAGCAGGGATTGGGATTCTTCGAGTTCAAGGTCATAGCTACTGTTTCCGAGTGTCCAACGGTACGATGCGTTATACCGACTAATTGTCAGAATATAGGTGGCGGCGACATCCGTGGATGGAGCAATAGCTGGGTAGGGTACGATGTGTTTATCGTCGAAAAAGACGGTATCTGCCGTGGCATTGCCACCCGTCAGGGTTATCCATGGATTCGAGGGCGGATGGAGCTGGTCCGGAGCTTGGTAGTGGAAAGTGGCGGTTGTATTGAGAATTTGTTGGTCACTACCGCTGACCATGCGAACTGTATAGTCTCCCGGCGTCTGGTCCGCTGGAACGAGGACGGAATATCGGTTCCCATTGGCGATAGTGATGGCGTTCACTTCGACGGGCTCAATGTAGCGTCCATCAATAGCATATACCCACATGAAGTGTTCGTCGATGGAGAATGTGAGTTTAAGTAAGCCAGCGGCACTGGTAAGTTCCAGACTGATATATTGACAGTCTGGGTCGACGTTGATGACTTGCTGGGGGCCTCGGGAGGGTGTGCACCCATAGAACATTGTTGGCAAGAGAGCACTGAGGTTATGAGGGAAGTCACCTTGCGCGACATCAGGAGGAAAACATCTGAGTCCCGTGAGTTTCCCACTAGCTACGTTGATTCTCTTGACAATTGACTGTTCGAGATAGAGACAATACTCACGCTATATCAGTGAGACTTTCATTTCCCAGAGCCGCCTTCTGGTCAGGTGTCGTCAGGCTATCAATTTCGGCTTGTGAGAAGCATGTCACCGAGCCCTTCCCGTTGATTAGCAGAGCGTTGGCACAAAGAGCGTCGACGCCGGAGGCCTCCTCGGCATTCCAAATTTGCTCCGAGGTCAAAAGCCGCCAGTCCGAGAGCAGCAATGGCGAAGTATTTTTTTCCGCATAGACCATAGCCTGGAGCTCAATATCGTTGCTCGTTATCAGATTAAAGGGCTTTGTCACGGCCCTTGAGGGGGCGATGTAGATCGGCCCGTACAGCCCATCTTCCAATTGGCCGCGATGGTGGGCGTGGTAGAAGTAGGCGCCATATTGATCAGCTTTCCAGTGATACCGGAATTCACTATTCGACTCAATTGGCCTCTGGGACAAACCAGGAACTCCATCTGACCACGGTGTGCCGATCTGTTCGATACCTAGGAGACTCTATCTTAGCTTTCAGTCTGTCATAACAGAGGCCGTCGTGCTCACCATGAAAATGAACTGTAACGTTGAATGGGCAACCGTTATAGACATCAAAATAGACATCATCGCCCTGGTTCAACCGGAGTTCAGGACCGGGGTACTGTCCATTGGTAAGGATAATCTCCCGCTGAAACCCTGCGACAGAATGTTCGGCCCAAGTTAGGTTGGCCGTAAAATACACCGTAGCGGCAAAAGCCCACTCCGTGAAACACAAGAGCAAGATAAACAAGCTACCCATGACGATTTAGATTTCAATGAGATGATCAAGTCGGATATAAAATGCAATGTTGCACCATCTTGATTCTTGGGATGATAGCGGTTATATACAAGACCATAGATCAAATAGGTCATTTATGAAATCATGATATTCAGATTGAAGCATATTAATTCTGGCCGAGAATTGTCAAAAGGCACCCTACGAGCCATAGCAAGCAGTCATAATGGAGCAGCTGTTTTGCTCGCGATGCGATCAAAGAAACAATCCCCGGCACATTGATCGGGGACCATAGCTCGTAGCAAAACCCTGCAGACAAGACCAGATGGAGTGAAAAGTTCATCCGATCGCCATTATAGATCGAGCGTATATGTTTGGGATATTGGATCTTGATTCTGGAACGCAGCCAATCATAGAACAATAGGCTTCGTGGCGTCCGCGCAGGATCTCGCTCGTACATGCGAAAATCCCACTATGGCAAGGTCGCTCGTCGAAGGTAGAAGGGAACCCCTCTAGACCTCGGAAAGATTATAGCCGGATGGATAGTCTAGCAGCGTGAGGAGTCTGAGTTTGCGAGATGATGATGGAGACTAGTGGAGCATCTCTCGCAGCCCTGAGGACGCTCCACCCATGAGCCTCGGCTTAACAGCGGTGGTGTACGAGGAACGAATCAGGAATGAATATCGAAAATTGCCTGACCAACAGGACATGCCTGACCCTGGATAGTCCGTCTCAGCAAACTGCGTGTCTGGCAAGGATCTAACCATGACCATAGGTCCAGGAATTAAAGAAAAATTGGTTGGGGCTAGGTGTGAGTCAAGTGTCAACCAACCAGTAAGCCCGGATACGAAAATCAGCGAAGTGGTCGAAATTCACCATTGCAGGAGATTACGTGCGTAGGTGATAAATCAGGTACACGTCTTTCTAGGACGAATCAAAAGCATTGCTAGGCCTCAACGAGGAATCTAGGGTGTTCAGCAGGGCGTGTGGTGATAGCTCAATTTTGAACTAGACCGGCTACCACGAGGATAATGAACCAAGTTATTATCGATTTTAGAATGCAAAACAATGATTGATTGGGTAGTATCCTCGTAAAAGAAAAAGCAAATCGATATTCCATACTAATCCACTCGTCTTCCATTTAGTCCGCGCAATGAAGCATTAAACTTTTACCAGCTCAGCTTGAGCTGGCATGCATCGATGTGGTATCCGTCACAAAAGAAAAACATCAGAAATTCTCGGGATCATCCCGGAATGCAGGTAGCCCAGATTGGGCAGCATCTGACGCAGGAGGATAGCCTTCCTTAGAATGGGGGACCGCAAGAGGATCCGAAGCCGGAACACCCATAAGTGGCGGTGTCTGCGATGCTGAATTCAACCACGGCTGCTTTCCCTTGCCTTCGTAGTCCAGAGGTGCGTCCAAAGGTACGATCTCCATATCAGGCGGCGTAAGCTCGCTATAACTGTCGCTGAGTCGTTGTAAGAATTCCGGATCAAACCCCATCTGCACTAGCGGATCAGGATCAGGTGGCCCTCCATCTGCATGAACGGAAGATGACGAAGCATGACCAGGTAGACTGCTGCTCCAATCAGATATGAAAGCTGGCGGGCCAGCTGATAACATCCCCGAGCTTCCGGCGTAGCTCCCTGCAAGACTTGCCTGCCCACTGGGCACAGCAGATGAGAAGCATGTTGGAGGGTATGTGGGACTAGACACGGCTGGACTGGGAAGGGCGCCAGCGCCCATTGTCCTGGCTAAGAGATTGGTTTCTTGTGAGGGTTCGCGCAGACCACCGTGACCTGCGAAAGGAGGCTGCAGCCCAAGATCGGAAAGTTGAATGTCGTCATTACTTGCAGGAGTTTCCAGGCCGGTGTCCCGTTTCAGAACCGTCAGCCAGAGAGGGTTATCTGCACATGTCTGGTTCCAAGGGTCGTCGTCATTGCCGTAGATAATTCGACGCGCCTCAGTCTGTAGCATCTGATCGGTTGGGATGATCCCTTGGGCAGTTTGGCTGTGGACATATGAAGTGAGTTCGCGTGAGAGGCGCATGTAGCAATTGGCGTCATTCGGTACTTGGAGCTGCGGTGAGACGCCGTCTCCCTGTGTTTGAACAGTAGTCCATGGATTAGGGGATCTCCACTCAAAGTCAATGAGATATGGCGGGACGGCATTTTCAACACGCTCCTGGATCGGTGGTTCAAAGCCCCAATCTCCTTGCCATTGAGCCATGCTAGCTCCATTCTTGAAGTGACCGGCAAGGTGGTCCACGCGTTCTTTCCAAGTTTGCATCACAATTCCGCAGAAACCACAGCGAGACTTGATTTCCGTAATGCTGCTCTGCCACTTTTCCATACAGGGTTGGAACTTGGTATTGTGCATAAGACGCAGATGTTGATTCAGATGATCCTTCCGATAAAAGGTCCTCTCCTGAAGAGACTTCTCTTGACAACTGATGTAATTGTGTGTTTCAAGATGATCCCTATCTGGATTAGCTGCTGAGCAGAATACACAACGAAGTATACCGTTCTCCTCGGTTACACCACCAAAAGGAGAACATGTCCACTTGTCCAAGATTAAGTGCATAGATTTTTCATGACGTTGCCAGTCATATTTGGCGACGAATGAATCAGTACAGAAGGTACATTGGAAAGGTCGAACCGCCTTAGCCTTCTGATGATTGAAGATATTGGCAGGTACAGAAGGTTTGCGGCGGCGACGACGTTCCTTACGATCCATTGAACCAAAAGAAAGGGAGGATCGATGGGAAAACGCAGAAGCGAAAGAGAGGTCAGAGAGGGATGACCGACTGGTATCCAAACTACTGGCTGAGGCAGTATATCTTTTATGTTCTGAGCTTGCGTGGCTTGACTCATTGGTACTGGAACCCGGGCGACGGGGTCTCACGTGACCAGGATGGGTCCGGCGTTGACGCGAGGGATCGAACGGAGGATTGGCCAAAGCACGGGTAATATCACTTATAGTAGCCGGTTCGTTTTCAGGAGGAGAGTACTTCCAACGTTCAAGAGGCGTCATGAGAGCTGGATCTTTGGGATGCTGCGGCTGGCTGGGAATGTCGACAGCTCCTGGCACGGACGAACGAACTTTGCCGCGTCGTCGAGCGTTTGCAAGCCAATTGGAGATTTGCGTTCGAGTTAAACCCGTATTTTGCTTCAATTCATCCTTCTCCTCCTCGTTGGGATAAGGGTTTTCGTTGTGATCGCGCAACCAGCCCTTGAGAATGGCGATGGCCCTGCGAGAGAATCGAGCACTATTTTTACGGGAGCGCGCATCGGTATCGTCTCCAAAGGCCCCGTACGAGACAGATTTGAGTGCTTTTTTCCCCGTCAAGCCTCCTGTAGGGATGTAGACATTCTCTGACACAGGATGTAAGGTCTGAAGAAATTTGCCAGGAACTTTGGCGTGGGTGAAGCTGCATTCACGGTAGAGAGAGATACAGCAGGTACAACCATTCTGCATCACTCCACGTTTAGCAACAAAGCAGTCGAGGCCCATTCGCTGACAGAAGTCACAGGGTTCCTGAGCGCGGAACATGGGGTAGACTCCGGTGTCCTGATCCGGGCCCATAAAGTCGCCCACATACTGTTCGGCCGACTCCGGCACGAGAGCGTTGTCAAGAAAGTCCAATGACTGGTCCTGAAGCAACGAGTTGAATCTGGCGTCCCGCTCTTCGGGTTCATCAAATTCAAGATCCAGCGAGGCGACCTCGTCGCTCGGATGGTTTGATTCATGAGCCGACGAGGCACCTTGAAAATCAAAGTACTCCATCTGGGACTATGCGCCTGGCGAACCGGGACAGACGGGAGAATCCAGGAGTTGTTGCACAGAGAAAAGATAAATGTAACACTCGGAGATATATGGGAATCAAGTAAGGCTCAGGCCACGGGTGGACGACTGTAGATTCGAAGAGAAGAGTCGGTCTGCGAAGATGGCGTATCCTTGGTCTGGGGTAGGGGCGAGAGGCCACGGTGGTTGGGTGAATAATCAATCACGGTGGAGCCAGCAAAGCAATTTTTGAACCCCCAGGCTGCGGCACCAACCAGCCATGTGCCATTAACACGCTAAGAAACCCACTAGGAACCACTCAGATCCGAGGATTATTTTCGGGGGAACAGTTGGTGACCACTGACCACCTTCCTCGGGAGTTGAGCATCTTGGAGGGCTCGTGCTATCCTGCCACGTCCGATAAGCCATCGGTCATAACGAAATGTAAGAAGGGGCATCTTTACCCGTCCAACGAAGAGGGGTCGCTCGTGTTCGCGACATGGATCAAAACTTCGGGATAGCCGATCAACGACAACGTCATTCTTGAAGATTGGCCGAGAGCGAACGATAGGGCCGCGGATGGCTGGAAGGGAGGGGCCGGAGAAAGGGTCGAGGTTCCGAATGATCAGAAGACGCTGCACCTGCACGCCCTTCCAATGACAGCGCTAATCCTCTTCGAGAAAGGGTTGCCGCGAGGCGGGGCTTCTGGTGGATTTCGGTTTGCTCGGTTTGTTCCATCTACTCGGCTTGCCTCGTTTGTCATCGGCCTTGGCACTCCCATTCGGGTCGCTGTGATTCATCTTCTCCCCGCGATATCGGAGTTGTCAAGTCAGTGCCAGAGTTATGCGATGTCTTGTTCGTATCCTGATCATTTTATTTATGGATACCCTGCTTGCGAGTCTTAGCGTCCAACGGAGTGACTACTTCTAATTAGTTAGCGTCGATTCTTAGAGTCGGCACGGACGGACGAGTCATCAACTTTTGTTTTTTCGGGATTTCTAGAAGAACCGCGGCTTAATCTGAACGATTTGATAGGTCAACGGACATATCCATCGATCCAAGCTTGAAACATCAAGTGTTGATCGCATCTTTTTCTTTGGGAATCTAGACGACCAACAAGGTCAGACCTTGCTCGAAGCTTGCAAAATAGCCAACCGATATAGGCCTCTACAACATTATTCTTTAGCGACGATGCACTAAATTACTCGTTACTATATCCGTTCTGGAACCATCAAGCGCACCAAATGCCAATATTCTCTTTTCGGTCACCAATTCTTCAGCTATGTCCGGAGAAGGCGTTTCTCTGACCCGTGATCGTAGCCGTATTCGGATTTTACCAGTCGTCAGGAGCGCAGCAATCAAGCCAACCCTTCGGCCCAGGCCCTCATTTAGACAACTCTACACTTGACGACATAAAGATTAAGATTTGATTTGCCTGAAATATTGCTAAGAAATCAAATAAATCCGTATGCTGGGAAAAGCGCAGAAGGTGATTCATGGTTGCTTGTATCAAAAATATTCAATCTCAAACCATAGTTCCTCTTGCATGACTTGCCCTTGTTCTAAGCAGAAGAGATTGAGACCTGGATTCGTTGGGTGAGCTGATGACGGTAATTGACGAAAGCTCAGGGCTTGAACCTGAAGAAGTGTTCCCCGGCGGGATTGAGTCTCGCCTTATCTTACTAGTGGTACTTGGGTTCTCCACCGCTAGCTCTCACAATCCTGCTATAGTACGAAGCCCAGTAATCTCATTATTCATTCGACCTGCTCATATTTCAACTCAATATTGTCTTAGAAGATCCTACTTCTTGCGGAGAAATGACGGGTCTAGTGGATGTGTCAACGAGAATCCCACTCTACTGTTCAAGCCCGTCCGACCCATGCGGCTAGCGTGAATAGTTCGAAAGTCCAGCAGCCTGGAATAGGATTGCGCTGCCTTCTTCGCATCAGCTTCATAGGGAACGTGAGCCAGAACGTTGAACTCCTTCTCGCAAACAGGATCTCCAAGAGCACAGAACTCCTTGACATGGATAGCCGAGAGCTTCCCCACGCTGAGCATCTTGAATGATCACCAAAGAGTACTGCAGCAGCTATCTGGTCCTCAGACAAGGAGTTTGCCGCATTATGTACCACCATTGCACCCTCAGAGTAGTCACCCAGGATGACGTTGGTATTTGGACACTGCTGAAGGGCCTAGGGTGACATACTTTGCCATTGTAGGAATAACCTTCTTGTTGTGAGTAAGAAGAAGAAAAAAAAAGAGAGACTAAAAGATGGAATGAAAGATCAGCAGTCATAAAGATATTCTGAAGTGGATATCTAGAGTTATGTAGTCGCTGGACAGAAGAGATTCGCAGTCAAAGAGAGAGGACTCATATGGGGAAAAGTAACATTATCTTGATTTTGATTTTTTTTTTTTTTCACACGTGTATAACAGTAGGAATCTAAGAACGGACTTGCTCGTGAGGCAATCTTCAACAGCTATTGGCAACATCACGGGCTTAGAAGGCTGATACCACGGGCGAACCCACCGAGTGCTTCACTGCGGCACCTCTTGATCAACCCAATTATGTAGCTCGAAGCTCTTACAAACTATTTATCTAGAAGTTACAGATGCTTCTCCATATGCTGTAGGGTTCTAAGCCCATGCAGCCAGTCTACGGCTCTTTAGTGAAGATTGGAATTGGTCCAAAGAGCATACCGCACGTGGATCACGATCATGTCTCACTCAACGATTCTATTTCTCTAAATAGCGCACATGGACATCTTTTAGAGGACAATTACGGAAGTTGAGATGGGATCAGTCCTATTGTAACTAGATAGATGGGGCTATAAGCAAGTCGACTCCAGATTGAGTTATGTAGATTAAGCGGCTAGTTCCTCCAGATGACTCAAAAACGGTTCTGGGTAGTGCGACATGTTCCTTTTGATTATGCGCTCAAAGAGCATGTGATGGAGTAATAGATGATATATTTGTCCAATTTCGCAGCTTCGTTGTTACAATGCCGTTAGCAAGAGCGCTCATCGCAAGCGATGGCGCTACGGTACGCCTCGAAACAGATGCCCCTGACCGGCCCGACTTGCTAGTTCAAGTATTTCCACTTGAACAATGCGCTATGCAAGGGTATAATTGTCATTGCTTGGCTTTGCTCTCTGCAATATTTTCAGGGTCGTAGCACAACCTGCCAAGCACACACTCAAGGGGAGTCCTTTTCGACAGTTCTCCATAGTTCCGATGCCGATTCTTCAGGTAGCTTATAAAGTCCCTAGACCTTCCTTGAAGAGATTAGAATTTATTTGAATTGAAAATGATCAATTGTTTCGCCATTGACCCACTGAGCCTGAATCCTCGATTGGTAACCTTCCAAGGACTATATTTCTGTCGTTGGTCAATATGACTTTAGTTGACAAGGTCGCTCTGAACCCTGACAAGTGTCACAAAGGAGGTAACAGACTGGAAAGGAATGCGTCCATAAGGGACCATGGCGTTCGGATTGCCAACTAATTTGGTAAGGTGAGCCGTGGAACGGTAGATACGGGTGGGATCGGGCTCACGATTGAGAATCGGAGCATTAAATAGTTTCTCAGGTACCTATACCTTCATAGATCCTATTGAGCTCTATTCGTAAATCCGTGTATACACAACGCTGGAGCAATGAAGGCTGACGTCAGCTGCAGCTCCAGTAACTAAGTTAGTCACGTGTATATGACTCACTTGGATTGACCGCCCTAGTGTCCGTTTTTATTCTGCCGGTTCAATTGCGGGGTTATTCCGCCTGGCATTTTCTCTGCTATTTTCTTTGTGTTCCTACCCCTCATACTGTTGCTCACTTTGGAGTCGACAACTACTCATTCATTGCAATCATGGCGTCTGCAGAGCAAAGATTTGATCTTATCCGGGAGAATCTCGGCGAAGTTCTCAACCCAGAGTTGATTGAGAGTATCCTCAAGGAGGGGCGCAACCCTCGCGTGTACTGGGGTAACGATTTCCTGCCTCCACATGTGATCTAGCATGACCAACTAACGTGACCTTCGTCCCAATTTCCAGGTACCGCCACTACTGGCAGGCCTCACACCGGATACTTCGTCGCCGCAATCAAGATTGCCCAGCTGCTCGCCGCAGGTTGTGAGGTCGTTATCCTCCTTGCCGATGTGCACGCATTCCTGGACTCTATGAAAGCGCCCCTTGAATTGGTCGAGAACCGTGTCAAATACTACCAGAAGATTATCACGGCAATTCTTGAGGCCGTTGGTGTATCCACGGAGAAGCTCGAGTTTGTTCTCGGCAGTTCCTACCAGCGCAATGCCGACTATGTTATGGACGTCTACCGGCTGGCCGCTTTGACTTCCGAACATGATTGCAGGAAGGCTGGTGCAGAGATCGTCAAGCAGTCCACCAATGCCCCATTGAGTGGTCTGCTGTACCCCATTCTGCAGGTCCTCGATGAGGAGTACCTCAAGGTTGATGCTGAGCTGGGCGGTATGTCCTTGCATATACTTTCTGCGTGAACGACATTCTAAATACCATGAATAGGTCTCGATCAGCGGAAGCTCTTTGTGGCGGCAACCGAGTGGCTACCCAAGCTCGGTTACAGAAAGGTAAGACTACTCTGCGTCTGCTCACTTTAGCTACTTGAACGATACTAATCAGCATAAACTCATTAGCGCGCTCATCTCATCACGCCAATGGTAGCAGGCTTGAGTGGAGGCAAGATGAGCTCTAGTATTGAAGGTAGGCAGAATCCGAATCATTGGCAAAAGTCATCCTTCTAAACTCCAGACAGATAGCAAGATCGATCTCCTTGACCCGCCTGAGACGGTCGCCAAGAAGATCCGCAAATCCGAAGCGGCCCCCAAAATTGTTGAAAACAACGGCATTATCGCCCTGGTTGAGTTCGTCCTGCTTCCTGCAGCCGCTCTCTCAGGCAAGAAAGAATTCCGCGTTGAACGCCGGGATGCCGAGCCCTTGATCTACACCGACATCCAACAACTCAAAGATGATTACGCAAACGACATTGTATGTGACAGTGTTTTACCATTCAGTGGATACGAAGCATTTACTAACACTCACTCAGCTGACCCCTCAATTCCTCAAGCCTGCAGCGGCAGAAGCGCTCACTCGTCTCATGGCACCTATCAATGATGCCTACCAGGCCTCGGCCGAATGGCAAGAGATCACCCTTAAGGCCTACCCTCCCCCAGTTGTACAGAAGAAGCAAAAGAAGGTCAAGGATAGGGGCACCCGCCACCCGGGTGCTGCCAAGGAGCAGGAGCTCCCAGAGCGCCCGAAGGAGTAGAATAGATCTACTCTGACTCATAGCGGCCCCAATTTGAGTACGTCCTGACGACTTTGCACTATTACTGATGCGAGTGGATCAAAATACATATTGAAGATGAAGGGAAGAGTTTTAAGACATGACGAACTCTTTACAGTGAGGTCTTTCACTTGACGGTCAATCAGTAGATAGCATCAATTTATAGCAAAATTTTTCATGGCCATCTGGCAGTACGAGATCGTAAAATACATGCCTATAATGAATAAATAATGAGACAAGTTGAAACGTCCAGACTCTGAATCCAAGCTGGAATGATAATGATAACATACTGCAGACTGTCCTCTTTTCCAGCAACGATCAAGATAGTCAAGGCCTCTCCATCAAGCCCGTGAGGTACGTGAAATCTGAAAGTTTTTCAATCCGCCTTTGAATTCTGCCCGGAATACTTTACCCATGTCGTATGCACCTCCTATACCTATTTCGCTTCACGATATTTCACCATCTATCTAATCAGTGTGTGTACAGTCGTTTATGGCGGCAAATTCAGGGTCCAGAGGCGGCTCGTCGCCTAACTAAGTTCAGGGACCAAGCCGTGGTAGCGCCCTAATGGCAGACTTTCTTATGGTCTTCATCTCCGTCCCTGATCGTAGCTTATCTGGGGTAGTGCTAAGCCTCGCTAGGCTCACCCATTTCAGCACGACCCTTTATTTGAGGGTCTAGACCACCCTCAGCACGACCGGAAAGATCATGTCACGCAATTCCCCCTCTCTCTCTTTACAATGGATCTTCAAAGCACCACTGAAACGTCCATGACCAGTTTTATGATGGAACTCCTCGATCTTACCAACGAACTCCTTTTTGAAATCATACAAGTTCTGGGATATGGCTGGGATCCGACGGCACTTGGCGTGACCAACCGTCGACTCCATGCGCTCGTCAACCCATATCTGTACCAACGAACCCTTCCTAATTACAGAAATGCAGCATTGGAGCGGATTATTGAAACAGCCAATGAAGCTGCGCTTGCCCAATGCCTGAAGGCGAATAATCTGACATATGCGGACAAGCCCGCAACAAAGGCAGTACTGCGAAGAGCAATATTCCTCGGACATGATCGAATATCCGAACGTCTCATCAATAGTGGCATCACTTCCCGAGAGGTGCAGATCCCCGCCTTCAAGATGGAAACGGGGAGACCTCTTTGACATTTGCCGTGACAGGAACCCCCAAGCCCATCTGCTATGAAAAGTATGTCCAAACCATCCTTGAATGGTTCGATCTCCATTGGGCTGAGCAATCATGTGTGAAATAATACCGGGAGCTTTTAGAGGCCGAAACCGGAGCGTTAATACATGGTAATCGAAAGACATTTGGAATACTGCAGCGATCTCGACGTGTTCATTTCGATCGAATTTTAATATGGAGATGCTCAGCCATCAGTTATATACTGGTTAGATTTACAGCCAAGATGGAACCCAGGTAGGGTATACATTTACCACAAATTTTACACTGATTCGAGCAATCGAAATTGAATATTTAGTCAGAATTTCATACACCACTTGCCCCTCCTGGACTTTTTTGTGAATCAGCTTCCTAAGCCATAGCCACCGAATCGACCCTGGTCATTGTATGCAGACCAACTATCATTGGACCTTCGAGAAGAGGCAAGACTTTCCTCTAATTCTCTTGCCGCGCCTCCATCATATGCGTTTGGCCGCCTGCTTCCATCAACATCCGATATGGTGTAGTGGCTAACATCGCCGTCTCTCACACGGCAGCCGGGGGTTCGATTCCCCCTATCGGAGTGAATCGTTTGCTTTTTGTTCTTCTCAATGAAAATATTTTTTCGTTGGGTTTTGATGGAGTTGTAGAAAGAGTCCATCATTTATGGAGCAGGCCAGCCAATCATTTAGCGCCCGTTCCTTTTTGCTAGCCAATCGGCATCCACTAATACCGTTGACCGCTGCCGAGCCCCGCTTTCTGCCACAATGCCCCATCAAATTTCTGCACTGTGGATCCCGGTAACCTTATGTGTATGGCCTCAGTCAGTAGTGCCTTCAATTCGCGTTCCTTCATTTCCTACAGTATCAAGGTATCAAGATTTTTAATCCTCACAAAGAGGACCCTGTAAGATGGGCATGTTATCCTTAATTTTTCCGTATCTTGAGTTCTTAACCATTCCATTCAAAGTATCAATTTCGTCGATCAATTTTGCAGAAAAATAACGTAGAGTGGAGATGGCATAATGATATCAAAGTCAATATCATCAAAAAACTACATGCCTCCTCCCGTCAACGTTCATTGCGAGTAGATCGAATTCAATCAAGTCCGACAGGCGTGATTTTCTCGGGATGTCCTTGCCGCCAAATCTCAACCTCACCTCCACCACGGACAATACCAACACGCAGAGTAGAAAGCAGATTATGCGCCGCATTAGAGTGATTATACACTCCGCCGTTGAATAGTGCAGTCGCATCTTTCCCAATGCCAGATCTAATAAGCGCCTTACCACCGGGATGCTCATTGATAAAGTCGGTCACATCATGAATCACACCAGCAATGACAACAAGAGCCTTCCCGCTTTGAGACTCTTGCACGAATTCGTCCCAGGTAAAGACTGGTAGTTGAGCCAAGGGGATTCCCCAATCGAGTTTGGCTCGCTTCTGGTCGATCTTTTTCTGTAGTTGCTGGACACGGCCCTTCTCAATCTCGTTGGCTCTGAATTGCTTGAGATTAGAGGCGAGTCCGAGTTGTTTCCACACCCAGATCGACCACTTGGTTGGGTCATACTGCCACCATTCAATGGCATTGCGATAGTCTGATGGGAACTTTGAGAGTCAGCACTAGAGAAATAAACCCACTAGCGATTCAAGGAAGGTGATCTGAGATACTTACTTCGTGGTGAAAATTGTGGTAACCCTCGCCCAGCGTCACAAGAGCAGTGACTACATGATCGCGAGGAGAGTTTCTGTCATCGAACGGCTGAGTCTTGTTAGTATGGCCCATGATAGTCAGAAATGGAAAATTTCTCACCTGTTCACCCAGCCAATGAGCAAGAGAATTGACGCAAAACGTCGCTTGCTGGACGAAGAACCATCTCAAGATTCCTGCGTATATCAGGCCACCATACCAGTCGCCCCAGCCTAGCCCGGCGACCATCATCGGGAAAAGCATGCCAAAAGCAAGAATGAAAAAACCATAGTGCTTGTGCTGCCAGATAACCACAGCATCTTGGTTCAAGTCAGAGATATCGGTGCGACCTTTATCCTTGGGGTTCTGTTTCAAGGCCATCCACATGAAATGAGAGTACCACACGCCCTTGTGGACGCTGTAAGGGTCCTTGTTCGTATCGGTCCATCGATGATGGGCACGGTGTTTACTGCTCCACCAGCGAATAGAGCCTTGTATAGCACCGCCGCCAACACAGGCAAGGAATATCTTCAACGGCAGGCTTCTGTGATGGTGGGTTGCGAGTCAGCATCCATTGTGATGCGAATTAGGAAGCGTATATCCTTACGCTTCGTATGATCGATGTGCCCAGAGCCGATGATAGCCCGCAGTAATACCCAAGCCAGTCCAGAAGTAGTAGACAATTGCCCAAATGGCTGTTGGGACCTGCAGGCGAGTATAGAAAGCGGCAGGGCAGCCCAGAACGGGAATGATCAAGATGAGGGTCGTATTAACCCAATTGACATGCTGATACCAGTTACCTAGTGTGATAGGCTGTTCGCTGATATGCACTTTCTGATCACTTGGCTTAGCTGTTGCCATCGTGGCCTCGCTTTTCGGCAGTATAATGATTTCCGGAGGGATTGATCGGCAAGCCGGAGGAATCTAAAGCGATGAGGATTGCATGGAAAAGAATAAATGCAACTAAGCAGAGAATATCCGAATATGAAGCCATGGTTATAAGACAATTAAGAGATGCAGTAGATTACTTCCTCGGTCTCATGTGTGAATGACATATTGAGATATTGTGATCTTTTTCCTAGGGGGGAGAATTTGTTGGGTCGTTGGGGTGGAAGGATGTGTTGCCCGTTTGCCTCACCAAATCTACCCGAAGGGTTGGCTTCCTTGTTAACCAGGCATTAAAGAACATAACACCATACATTATCCCGGGCTTGATCTTTGAACCATGGGACAATGAGCCAGCCTCGTCGAATTTGTTGACGCATGATTAATATAAATCTCGAGTATTTGGTGGACTTCAACGTTCTACTATGACGTAGGGAAAAGCCGAAATAGCCTATCGCGACCTCTTAGAAGCCAGTCCCGAGTAGCCTATCAAGGTGCCGCGCAGGAGGAGAAACAAATCCAACTCAGTCTTTTCCTTGATAAAGACTTCTATCTCTGGCGGATACTTCGACGAGTAAAATGATAGACAGAATTGGACTGAACCTCTCGCATTCTCTAGCTTTTTGTTGGATAAAGAAAACGAGTCAGGCCATCCATCTCAATACTTTCAAGTGATCAGGCAATCTAGAAAGCACTGGAGTAAACGAACAGCGACAGGAGCAGAATGAAGATACATAGGTCTACCATCTAAATTGTTTTTTGGACTCGAGGTTTAGTGAGCTTGGCCTAACGAGAATTACTCCGGCAATATTCATATCATATGGCAGGATATTGGCGCAGTACTTAGGAGTCAATGAATTGAGTGAAGAGCCACTTATCTATGGCTAGTAGATTCAATATGGACTCAAGTGAAATAGACGGGCCAACTATGCTTGTGTTGCTTCCAGTTCCTTCCAAACCTAAGTAAATTGGACACCAAGGTCAATGTAGTAGAATCCCGCGACCGACCCAGATGGCGCAGTGAAGGATGTGATGGCTCCCTCATTCACAATCTGTTGTCCATCTGGTGAAGTAACTCTGATACCAATAGGCAGCGAGAATGGTCCAGCACCTTGGGGTAGTACCCAAGCGCCATATCGCTCTTGCGGCCGACTGCTAGTGTAGTTTGGATCGTGATCAAGCGCGACCCAGGAACTTGAACCTGCACTTTTTACCTCGGCCGAAGTGACAGATCCGATACCGTTCGTATTCACCACACTCAAAGCGAAATAATATGCTCCGCCACCGTCCCGCAACCAGATGTATGCGTTTCCGGGCTTGGGACATGGAACACGTCGATAGCGAATAGGAATTACCCCATCAGTAAGACTACCGTTACCTTGCAAGCGGCCCATCGCAATGTCTGATAGGTCCATATGATGACTGTCTTTAGGAAGGGGACAGCCGTATTTGAAGTCAATCTCGCCGCAGTGATCAGCACCAGAGCCACCTAAAATAACCAGTAAGCAAGAATCATCGATGTCTGTCAAAGATCAAAAAAACACATACAGCACCACTTAGAATTGGCGTCGCAGGGACAGCTGTCCACTACTTCCAAGTATATGGGGTCAGTGTACCCATTCTCCCCTACAGCGTAGTCGGTTCCATCGGCCTTGGTGCGGATGAGTTCAAAGCATTCTCCGCACGAAAGATAGTTATCTGGATCACCAGGTGAAGCTGCGCTTAATGAAGGCCAGAACTAAGCATATATTAGTTATTTCTGAGCTATATCAAGGGGTACTCCGATGGTATTTCAGATGGTGTATAAATACCTGGGTATAATAGTCACCATTTGGTGCCGCAAAGTTCCCTCTTAAAGTGACGTTTGATGGATCCCGACATAGAAGCGGATATGCAGTACAAAACGCATCGCAAGTTGTACCGAGCATCGGGTCTGTCCAGCTTGCGGTGACACTACCTTTCGTGCAGAGACCATAGAGTCCAAAACCGCAAGCTCCTCCGCTGGTAAGTCCAAAATGTGTTGAGCGCTGTGTGTGGACTTGTTAGCATGAGCTCTAAAATTTAACAGTAATCAGCGATACGAACACTATAGTGCCAGTCTTCATCTGACCCAACGGTCAGTTGCTCTCCCCCTGTTCCCAATGTCGGTTAGAATGTGCGAGTTGTCACGATTTAGAATGGCTTCTCACACGTAGTACCAGACTTGCACATTGACGAGTCAGGAGATCCACAGCCACCCGTGCAGCCACTGGTGCAAGACTCTGATTCATTGTTGGATAAGCAGTAATAAGGACAACAAACATTGTCGACGAGTGTCCAAGATCCACAAGAGCTGGCATCTGCAGATGGATATGCTGGTTGAGTGGCGGTTGCCGTGGGAATGGAAGTACTGGTCGTGTAAATCGAAGTTGTCGTTACGCCTACATTTGAGGTGGAGACAGCACTAGAGGTCGTCGAGCCCGATCCAGATACCTTCTAGAATGAGTATAGTAGAACCCATCGAGTGGGAGGCATCTCTCGAGAAAATTTACCTGAGTACTTGGGATACACTGGTAATAATAAGGATTTAGAACAGAGCAAGTGGCTCCGCTGACACAGCAAGTTGTTCCATTGTAATTAGTTCCACCACATTGGCTCCTGTGAACTGTTAGAATTCATCCGGCCATATATAGCAAGAATAGGAACATACCAAGCAGAAGCACAAGTAATCTGGCCTGTTGCTCCACTAATTAGAGTTAAGACCAAAGTGGTTAGAAAGATCATCAAATTCATGACTCGGTTTTCTGCAGCGACTCTTGGCGTTATCAGGCACGATGCAGCGTATTGCGGAGCAAGATCCTCTTCTTATATTACCCCGGACATGGGATCCGCATCGAAAGTAGGCCGGGTCTACCGTGTCTGAAGAGGCGTAGCTAGGGTTCGACACAAACTCACGGTGTTTATTTACCAGGGTGGCAGATGAGCCGAAGTGCGGGCAACGCGGGCCGTTATGCCTAAATGAAAATGAGGAGTCAAAGGTCTCTTTGGTGGAAGTATAGAGAACAAGGTGGAGTTTATGCATAAGGCTTGTTTCATGAGGCCTCGTGATGCAAGGTAGTAGGCTCAATATAAATTATATCGATAGGTAGATGTTACTGTAAAGGATGTAACCCGTAGCTCATTAAACTAAGTGTGTCGATTTGAGGGGAACTGTGCACAATCTAAGCTCCTTAGCCCGGCTCTAGCCATATAGGCAACTTGAATAAAAAATATGACAAGATTTCATATTGGGGAGTTCGCCCACCCACATATGGTTTCATTGTTCTCATCATCTGAGAGCTATGCGGTGCGTACCTGGACCTGAAGATTGAAGTTCTTTTATGGCACTCAAATGCACTATTTTGGTGAAAATCTTCCATAAAAATTAGATTGCGAGAAAGCGAGGGCAGGTATATACTTTTAGAGAAAGTAGTGGGCATTGGAAAAGACTAGAGGTGGCTGATAGGAAACGTGCGAGAATGAGCGACTGCTTCTTGCGTGTCATGATGTGTGTATAGCAAACTCTTCCCTTCCATATTACACTCCCCTGCGTAGACAAGTATTCATCCCACAGTATTTGGCTTATTACCCAATGTCTCTAGGTATCGATATAGCTCAACGAAAGACGTCACCCATTCTTCTTCTTTGGCGTCAAACGGCTCACGTCCAGCATATTCCAGTGGCCGAAACCATTGTTTATTGGTCCCGGATTTGTGGGGCGTGAAAAAAGGTCCCTCCGGCGGCTGATCCAATATCAAGTTTGGTTGCTCTGACCAAGGGGTATTACCCGTTCGCAAGGCATCGCCGTCCTCATTCGTGACTTGGCAATGTTTGAACCGGTCCGGATCTTTGGGCCAGAAGGTGTGATAGTGGGCCATGCCATCAATCACGACACGAACCAGCCGGTTGATCTCTGGGGAATGCTGCTGTCCATGTATCGAGGAACCCCCTTCGTTGAGCAACAATACGCCGCCCGTGGTGATCTGAAATTCCTCCATCATCCGAAGCAACTCTGCCAAAGAAGAGTCGAACGGAGTCAACGGGTAGAAGATGTAGCGGTAGTGCTCGGTGTGTACCAATTTTTGCATATCGCTCTTGGAAATATTGTCGGCGATGAAGTTCATCCTGGAGGTCAGGTGTATGATATTAGGCCGCCGTATTTGTTCCGGGTCCAGTGTGCGTTTCAAGAGATCGGGATTCTTTTCCAATAAAGCACACGCCCGGCGCAGCTGGCTCGACGCTTGTTCAAAAAAGCGAACTTTAGCCGCATGTACGGCTGTACAATATTCCTCGAGCTGTGCGAAAGGAGCAGTAGATTTAACATCCGAAATACGCTTAGACCCTACGGCGAAGCGATTTAAATCAATGACCTCGGCCTGGCTCTTTGTATACTTCCAGAGGCGAGCGTGAAGGTCGTTGGAGATCGAGTCGAAAGGTTCCGACTCGACAGAACTGACATTGAGAGCAATAACTGATTTATACCAGCATGTGTTCAAGTTGACTCCAATCCTGCCGGCCAATTTCCAGTACTTTTGGATCAGATCTTTTCTTTCACGGAACGTGTTGGGGGCCGCGCCAAACAAGGCTCGGCAGCCAGGGTGCGAAGAAATTGCAGCAGTGACTCTGGCATCGTCATATACCAACATCTTGAGCACGTCCAGAACACGAAGATCATCGATGATAGCGTGGGCCATTTCAGTAGGCACCAGCGACATGCTTTGGACGATCTCCTCGAATCGTTGGTCGGCCATATTGGCGTTTGTCAGGGAGTACTCTGAGCTCTGTCGACTCCGAAGAGAATAAATAATAAGATGATTTGTTTCACTTCGCACCAAAAACAAGTGGAAGACACTTAAGCAAATAGAAGCAGGAGTTGGACCCTGGATTGACTGTTGACTCACTTGAGTCAGACTGGGTGAACTTGGTGGAAGGTTCCATCCACAACAAGAGGCTAGCCGAGTACAGAGCCGCTAATAAAGGTGAGCGGGGTGCCCATGTAAGACATTGAAGAAATAATCACGAAAGCACCAAGAGAATCAGAGAAGATAAAGATGAAATATAGTCTGCATGCTCTATCCTTGTCCTCGGACTTGGGGACCGCCGAGGAAATTGCATTTCGTCTAAAACAGGACCAGCAACTGTGTCATGATAAAAAGCGACCGAGTAGCCTTGTCCTACAGCTGTCCAAAACACCACCAGAGTTCTTGAACGAAATATCGTGGCATCTCATACCCGATGAAAAGTTGTCTCATGAGCTTCGAATTGGTCGATTCAGAAACGTTATCGAAGGAATCAAGGACTACTTGGATCAACTCGATAATCCCAGCGCAGACGAGGCCGAAGCTATCGCTGCTCGTCTTAGACGAGACCAAGAGCTATGCCGCCAAAAAAAGATTCCTAGCACTCTTGCCTGTCGTCTACCAAGTGCACAGTCTTCTCTCTTTGAGGCAATCGCCTGGCATCTCACACCTCACGTCGACGTCCCAAAGGCTCTTCGATTAAAACGATGCGAAAGCATCATCGAAGGGATCAAGGCTTATATCGGTCAGCTAGACCGTATAGAAGGTGACACCGATGAGGACGCCTTGATAAATGGGACTGCGCATATTCCTAAGAACGAAGAATTTGAGGCAGCGCTCAAAGTCCTGGACTATCTCCAGTCAAATGACTCGGAATCACAAACCACGCTCTCGAGTCCACTGACGGAAGTCATTGCGGCCATACGGGCGCAAATCTCGATGGACAGCAATACCCGCATTGAATACGCCAAACAAGCACGCAAAGCTCAAAGTGCAGAGCAAAAGGCGAAAGCGTGGCGATGTTACATGTGTCGCCAGAAGTGCACCATCCTCAACGTCCATGACCTGTACCCCTCGCTGTGCCGCCCCTGCGGGGCCTTCAACCTTAGTTCTTCACAACTGTCACGCCCTGATAAGTTAGACCTCGCCGGAAAAATCGCCCTTGTCACCGGTGGAAGAATCAATCTGGGATACCATACGGCTCTGAGGCTGCTCCGCTGTGGTGCAAATGTGATCGTGTCTTCTCGTTACCCTGCCGATGCGGCAGATCGGTATTCCAAAGAAGCCGATTTCACGCAGTGGGAGCCCAAACTAAAGGTTGTCGGTGCTGATTTTCGGACCGCGCAGGATGCTTTCCGGCTGGTTCATGTGGTGAAGGAGCTGTTAAGGTCTTGGAACGAAGACACCGGATCGACGCAGCAGAGGACCCTCGATATCTTGGTTAATAATGCGGCGCAGACCTTGACAGATGCAGTGAAAGCAGAAATTAGGGCCATATCTCGTGAAGACCAGTTGAGAGAGCTCACACCAACCAAGAAACTGCTGGTGGACTATATTGGCCACGCCTATCAGCCCCGAATCAGGGGCGGTGCGCAAGAGTCTTGGATCCCACGTATCCAGAATGGAACCGAGAAATTGCAAATCGACAATACAAAGGAAAACAAAGAGAGGGCCAATCCTCATAAAGGTCTTCATACAACTGGTGATGAAGATCCAAACAAGTCATCATGGGTGCAGTCTCTCCAAGAGATCCCGTACGAAGATCTCATTACCGCACATTCCGTGAACGCCTTTGTCCCACTGATTCTGTGCCGTGAACTACTCCCTTGCATGGGAAACGATAAGACCACATCAGTCACCAAGCCTCTGGGATACATTATCAATGTCTCTTCTCGAGAAGGTATTCTCGAGGATACGCCGAAGTCCCGCAGCAAGGCCGGTCATCACGTCCACACGAACATGTCCAAGGCAGCTATCAATATGATCACCGAGACAGAAGCGATGCCAGCGTGGAGTAATCGACGTGTGGCTATGAATTCAGTGGATCCAGGGTACATGAGTGCGGCTCCAGAGTATCAGAGAGCCGAGGGATGCCCTATCGGCTTTGAGGATGGTGCTGCTCGCGTATTGTGGCCAATTGTTGTTGGAGAACGGGAGGGCAGGGTAATTGCGGGCCGGTTTTTGAAGCATTTCGAGCAAGGAGCGGCGGTGATCAGGCGAGGATAGCGATGAAGGTTGCCAAAATCCTAGGGGCTATAAACGCAATGTCGTCTTCGGGCAAGACTATAGCTTTGTGATTATACTCAATTTCTCTATCAATCATATCCGCCTTTGCCATAAACACCCGAACACGAAAGCATGCATGTAAATCCACGAAAAGTGTAGAGTCAATACATCAAATGTATAGCGGTCTCGGTCTCTACAATCTATCCTTGAAACAATTTCCTCGCATACTATCCCGACCCACCTGGACCATTCCCGCGAAATCCCGACCCCCACTCTTATCGGCATATCAGACAGCGCAGCGCTGACATGTGAAACGCAATTCTTCGCCATGCGCCATGCAAGCAATAATTGCCCCAGCATGCCCGTTATCTGTCACATCATTCTCAACGCTCTTGCAGCTGAGGCTGCATGTCATGTATCGGGCCCCTCCTCTTGACACCTTCAATGAGCCCGATTTCCTTCTCAATCTCCCTCTACACATCACCTACATCCGCTGATGGAGTATTCACGCATCTCAATTCTTCCCATCCCGGCTTCGATCCGGTGTCGGCTATCCCGACTCTACTCGTCCCATAGGGCTGTAGCCGATAGCAAGCCGAGCGGGGCCCTGCGAAATGGGCTGACCACCTCATCCGAGCCGCATCTGCCTTTCAACGGCCAACTGTTGGAGCGAGCGGTCATGGAAGTGCAGCGGCCTTCGACGAGTGATGATATGAGCTCGTTTGACTCGGGATCCAGGGAATCTAACAGTCCACCCGTGGAAGAGGTGGATTGTCCCACTAAATACGAGACCGAATCGGGTCTGCGATGGAATCGGGTCGTACCTGGTGAGCATATCATCACAGAGGATGACAGTCTCGCAAAAGCGGCGAATGGCTAATGTTTCTTGTTTCTTATAGCATTTAACCTCCTTCGAAATGCCGGATTCGAAGCGCAGCAACCACAAGCAGACGGTCGTCTCGCTCGATCTCTCTATATCAGTGCTGTGATGTATCTACTCGATGCACTGCCCTCAGATCTCACACCGGACGAGACAATAATGATCCAGCATCGCTTACCCGAGCAAGTGGTCGACGCCGTTGCATCTTCTTCGCGACCACAAATAGCTCGTCTAGAGGGATCTTCGCAGTCCGGATCTGCCCAGCCTCCGAGGTCATATCTCCACCGACTACTCGCCTCGGGGATCGTGCAGATATTCCTGATTATTCGATTCCTATTGCCATATTTCCGGATCTTCCTCCGCCATGTTTATGAATATGAGCGGTCGCATCGAATCACCGAGCGGATCGTCACAACTACCCTAGACGCGGCGGACGGATTGGGCAGGAGTAGTGCCAGTTTGGGCTCAGCGGTTTACAAGTTGAATGAAGGCAGAGTCGGCACTGCGGTGACAAACCTTGCCAGTTGGTGGGTCGAGGGCGTCGCGGGAGGTATTTATGAAGGTGTAGGCGAGGGCATGATGCATTTGGGATTACTGAGACCTGGTTTCGAACTTGATAGATTTGCGCTACCGATAGAAAGACGTTAGATGGACTAGATATAATGACAGTTTATGATTCCCACGTTAGAAATTCCTGTCAGGAAAAAAGCAAACTACTCAAACAGTCAGTGGTGTATATCATATTCTCTGACATGATACACAAGTCGAGGACTGCCGGCGAGGCCCTATTCCTTGATTGCAAAATCCAACGCGGCATGGGCCAGATTTCTTGTTGTGTCCACAACTTTAATTCCACAGTTCTCCTCGTCGAGAATGAGCGGTAGCTCCGTACATCCGAGAATGATCGCGTCGCAGTTCGGAGCCAGCCGTTTTGCAATGCCCACCAGCTCATTGCGCGTCTCGTTTAGGAAGATACCACGAACCAATTCTGTGTGAATGATATCGTTGACCCGGTCCTGTTCCCACTCAGATGTATAGACCGGTGCAATCCCCCTTTTCGCTAGTGAGGCATCATAGAGACCCATTCTCACTGTGGGTGTTGTCCCCATTATGCCAACACGCTTGTAGCCATGCTTCTCGCAATGACTCGCCGTGACATTTAGGATGCTGAGGACAGGGATCGTCGAGTGCTTTGCCGTTTCATCGAATACTATGTGCGGGGTGTTTGAGGGTATGATGGCAAATTCCGCACCCGCTTGAGCCGTCCGATTGATTGATTCACCGAGGATTTCCGCTAATGAGTCGAAATTACCGGATTTAACAGCTTGGTTGATTCCCTCAAATGGCGAGGTATGGGTGACGATGGGCGGGTAGGCAATGCCTCGCCTCATGGCTTCACGACCAATCTCCTGGTGACACACCACACCCCCCTCGATGGTCGGAATGCAGATTCCAATAGTCTTCATGTTGGGCTACTGTGAAGGTCGATGGATGATGCCAATTACTGGTGGAAGGCATGGTCCTGGAGAGAAGAAGTGGGGATGCCCGGCCTGGTGATTTTTCCGAGGGGGTGCTGTTGATGGTGTTGATGGTTCCATAGATCGGTGATAAGATCAGGCGATAAGGACGCGGCGTCACCATGTTTTGTTGAGAGACTGCGAGTTGTCCCCCAAGAACAACCTCCAAGTGCAACCTGCTGGTCAACTCTGCTGGATTCAATTATGTCGACAACCAGGTTACCTTGCATCCCATCTATTCGGAAGCAGCAACTTCATCTTGAATTGTGAGCTCTCTCTCTCTCTCCCTACGTCCACCCATTCAGGAGGTGACACAAGCTGATGCCCCGTCACAGCGCGAGCTTGCGACAAGCTGCACCTCTTGGAGTTTATGTGAGCCTCGCACCCGGAGACCCGACCCTGTGGAATGGAGTGATCTTTGTACGTTCCGGTGAGTGTTAATTCAACCCAATTTTACGGCAACTTAACTGACCATCTCTTTTTCTCCTTTCAGGTCCCTATGCCTCCGCCGTCCTTCGCTTCCAAATCCGCTTCCCAGACATTTACCCGGATCTTCCACCACTCGTTACCTTTGCAACCGATGTCTTCCATCCATTGATTGTTCCGCTCACTACATATACGTTCAGCACCAGCTCAGCGAGTGATGATCCGGTCAGCGCGACCGACGAAGAGCGACTGCCGCCCGGAGGGTTCAGTCTGCGCCATGGCTTCCCACATTGGTTTGGCAGAGCAAAGCGAAGTGGCCTAGGATCAGTCAACACTTCTCGTAACGTGAGCGGGAACACTGTTGGAATAGCCCCGGGCGCGAGAGATGTATCGGGCGGTCCGCGGGCGGAAGGAAATGTGGCTTCAAATGGGTCAGCTATTGCCCCAAGTCAAGAGGAGCAGGCTGCTATTGGCGATGAGAAGCCCCGAGTTTCCCAGGCACCCTCAGCAGAGCAGTTCTCAGAGCCGCGAACGGCTGTTCCTGTCGCGGAGTTGTTGGAATATATTCGCTCGACATTTGATGACGAAGAGGTTTTAGATTCTCTACCAGTGGAGGCCGCAGGAAACCCCGGCGCATGGCATGCATGGAAAGCACATCGTCGGGGTGCGCTTGGCCCAAGCGATTTGAAACGAGGAAGCCCGCAAGCACGGCTCCCGGGAGATTGGCATTGGGACGGAATCTGGGCTCGCCGGGCTCGGGATGAGATTGAAGCAAGTCATTCTGATCCAATGCTGTTTGGAAGCGCGGCTCGTGGTGGCGGCGGTTGTGGTAGTGTTGGTGGTGGTGATGAAACGGTAAGCACTTGGATTCCCCCTTCTAGTCACGGCTGGTAACTAACTAGAGAACCAGATTCGATTTTCACGTCTGGACGACGCGACCTTGAGCTCGGTGAAGGAGATGATCATGACAGTGGCCGGCGTGCACAAAGAGTGATCATAGCGCTTGCCTTCGAATTATACCCAGCGAATACCATTATCCAGGTGCATCGTTCCTGCCTCGTCTCTGCCACGGCCAGCGTCTCCCCAACCTCCTAAACGAGTTCCGGATGTCTATCCATTCCTTGCCATGCATCGCTACATCTATACAAAATGACCAACACTTTCTCTCTGGATTTTAAAAGCTCTGCATTGCTTATCTCCCTAGTTCTTGTTCCTATCGTTGTCCTGTTCGTTGCCGTGGCTGTGGCGCTTTCGTGCTCGGAACACTGCCCCTGTCGATTCGCGAGGCCTGCTTGGCTTGAACGTCTCATTCCTCGGAAACGAGGATACAGAAAGAAGAGAAGCCGTTCTGATCCCGAAAGCGGCACTAATACGCAGTTGACTGAGGCCTCGGAGGCGCCGCTAGAGTACGCTGAGCCCGTTCGAGGTCAAGAGCACGTTTAGATCTGTTTCATGATGGACTATACAATGCCCCCGCCGCTGACTGCAAGAAAGATCACGTTGATGCGAAGCCAAAGTACAAGCTCCACTACGTCCTACCCACAGATTCCGCGTCGACAATCTTCCCTGTCGGCGAGCCTGAGCGATGGCACAAGTGGCCAAGCAGTATCAACAAGAACGCCATCACTCTCCGAAAGTCTTCATCAAATTCGCGTTGTTAAAATTCGGGGACGAAACACGTGCGGCTTCTCGAATGGTTGCGATCCCAACTCGATGGACGATCCCTTTGTTGACAAGGTGACTGCGCCCTTACTCTGGAGTTCTTTGTTCCTGGATTAATATCGTGAACCAGAATCCACAACTCTTCGCCGACGAACAACATCCAAAACAAACCAAGAATCGGTATCGAGCACTTCCGCGATTGACAATCCGCTGGAGCTCTGGGTCTTGGGACTCTTGCGGACTGTCCGTACCTTCCATCTCGGCCAGCGGGTCTTCACAATCGAGATCAGCCATTCGCCAAATCCAAAAACTTGAGTTCAACCAGCTTTCTCAAATCGAGTCGGCATACATATCCCCCGTGGACTTGCCAGTCGCGTTTGTAGATGTGAAGTCGACAACTAGCTTACCGCAGATAGGCCTAGGGGCCATGTCTCTGTGGACCACTGTAAATGTCTCTGCCGATGTCAGCTCGGTTCCTTTTTCGGGAACCTCGGGTCTTGCTCCTCTCGACGCAATTATCCTTCTTGATAGATTGTGAGTCGCATTTCATTGATCTAACCGTGGCGGCACACCCGGACTCATTCGCTTGCCAGATCTCAGTCTTCGGTCAACCAGCTGACGCAGATTACCTTCGGCCCGTCTGTGTTGGCATCCAATTTGATTCACGATCATGACCGGATTGCTATACTCTGTATAAACGGAACGGCGAAGCATGGGTTCGAAATCTTGATGCCTCTGGGCTTCCATTCCTTCGAGATTGTTCGATCTACCCTGAACAGATTCTCTCAACGCCAGCATCTCATGAAACGCGGCGCACCTCTGGACCTCGGAAGTGTCATCCAGCAGGTTGCATATATGTTTTGTACTCCCACAAGACCCGCCTTCTGCCATCTTTTCTATGTCTCTGCCACCCCTCCCGATCACCTCTTGATACCGTGGATTGACCATGCCATTGGATTTCATACTATCACTCCCCAAAGCTGTCTGCCAGTGACTCGACCAAACTTTCAGGCTGGCTGGCACATTTCTTACGATGTTTCAAGCGAGGATATGGGCCCTCATGGAGCACAGTTTATACGCAAAGTTTCAAAGGTCATTGCGCAGCTTCGTACCGGCATACGTCCGGGATTCATATCTGACCTCAAACTTTCTCTGTTGCCTGTTGATGGATGCCTCATTCAGACGGTTGTCGATAGCACTCGGCTAACTTCAATTCGCCCCGGTGAAACATGGGTCATTCCGATTCAGATCCATATACCAAATGCCTTTCCGCAAGCGTCGCGTGCATCCAAATCTGCCGTTCAATCTCCTATCCTCGAGGACCTGTTTATTCAGATCACTGAGCTTTTGGAAGATTTCACCGGTGAGATCACTCAGCCGGTCTTGACCGCTTCAGTCGATTATCGGCATTCTTTACTCCCGTCACCGAATACAATTCACGCTGAGACACAACTGACCGTTGTTCGGATGGAAGATAGCCGTCGATTTGGCAAACCGAATGTTGTGGTGGTTGACCAAGGCGAAGAGTTGGTTATGTTCTGAATTGACGGTTGTGGCTTTTATGATGCTGGCCTTTTTTGTTACCCTCAAATAATTACTATCCTTAGCTATTCAGGCTTTTATGCGTAACTTTTGAGCTCTTATGTTACAAGATTCTAGTTTTACCTTTCGAAATGCGCGTTCATCTTCATGAAAAATTGATAAATGCATTCAATAATCTAGTCTTTCCCAAATGGATACCCTAGATGCGGCTGTAGACATTACCAGCCTTTCGCCATGTCTCTTTAATCAGATCGGCACATTTCTCGCCAATGCCGTACGCCGGCATCTGGGTGTGTCCTCCGTGTAGTGCTGGCATAACACTGCAATCGGCTACACGTAAGCCAACAACACCACGAACCTGCAATTTCTCATCTAACACGGCCATTGGGTCATCTTTCTTGCCCATTGCACATGTTCCTGCTGCATGATAGCCTATGTAATGTTAGTTCCAAACCAAGCAATGCAGAGATTCGACCAATCACAACTTACAAGTAGTTGCATGCTCCTTAATGTACGGAACCCAGTCCTCTCTCGTCTTGTAAGTATGGTGAGACAAATTCGGAGGCCACGATCCCTTAACAATATCCTTGGTTCCAGCTCCCTTCATGACGATCTCATTACCAAATCGACACGCCTCGCTAAGAACCAACACATCCAGGGGATCAGCAAGATAATTGCAATCAACGATGGGATTCTCCATCGGATCCGCCGATTTCAACGTAATCGAGCCACGCGATTTAGGCGCAAACAGCTCCGCAATCATCGAGAAGGCGTGCTTATGGTCGATGGGGAATTGATCGTTTTGCTTTGGTCCGCCGTAGCATTCCGTGGTAAAGAACTCAATGTTTGGTTGTTTGGGGGTAAGGCCCATGGGGTCTCGGCCAATTTGGCGAGGTGCCTTTTTCCAGAGTGGTTCATCTTTCAAGCGGTCATCTAGTCTGGCGAAGGCGAAGGCGCCGAAAGGGAAGGTTGACAGGAAGCCGGTCTTTTTTTCTTTCCATTCTGCGTATGTTGTGTCGAAGTTGTCGTCGTGGTATACGTGGTAGTCGGTTGTTAGTCCTGCTTTTTCGGTCTCGTAGAACATGAAGACGATCTTTCGCAATGTCACTGTCAGGGATAGTGCTAGGTTATTCGTCGAGTTGCGACTTACTAGATGGTCCATGAGATTCTTCCCAACTCCAGGCGCGTCCACTGTGCATGGGATATCATGTTTGGCTAACTCTTTCTTTGGTCCAATACCCGAACGCAAAAGGATTGCAGGGCTGCAGTACGCGCCGCCCGAGATGATGATTTCCTTTCGCGCACGGTAGATTTTCGATTTACCATCGGCGGCCTTCGTAGCAACACCAGATGCGCGAAGTTGCTCAGTGAAGATCACTCTATCAACCGTGGTGTCGGTTTGAATTGTAATATTTCCACGGCTGTTCTTGTTGGTCACGAAATCAGCGCCGGTTGTTCGAATTCCATTGTAAACTGTACGAGGCACATGGCCACATCCATGCGGCACATCTCCAGTGCTGAACATATCATGATTCAGTGGCATGCCCTCCGAAACAAAAGATTCGAGTAGGAGATTTGAGATTGGCGCTAGGTCGTGAGGCTCCGTGTGCAGCGGCCCGGAGTACCCATGGCTTTCCTTATCAGCTTTATGCCAGGGCTTGGGATGGAAGGTTTCGGCCTAAGTAGTAGTGATGGGATTTGAGCGTCCATTATCCGTGCCGGGGCACTTGTGAGTCCTCACCTTCTTCATATAATTGAAAAATTCCTCTCCACTCCACCCCTCCAACCCCCAATCATCATAATCTTGTTTGCAGCCACGGATGCATAGCGTGCCATTACAACCACTGCATCCACCGAGGAACCGGCCTCGACTCAATTTGACCTGTCGATTATCGACACCTGCCATAGGTGGGGTAACGAGATTCCAATCCGTCTCTGCATCGAAGTTGTTCGACCATCTTGTCCTGTCAGCAGTGGTTCCGGTCGCGGTCGGTCGGAATTATGTTGCTCACCCTCCGGTCATATGCACATTCTCCAAGTCTTTATTATGTTGTCCAGCTTCCAGAAGAAGAACCTTGATTTCGGGATTCTCGGCGAGTCGGGCGGCGACCACGCATCCAGAGGTACCACCACTGTCGGTTGTTAATTGACCTCCGTGCCAAGTTGTAACATGTTTCACCTACCCGCACACGATATAATCGTAGGTCTGTTCGTCGCTGTCAGAGGCCATTGTGGATGGCAGTGATCACACACAAGTCAAATTGTACTCAGGATCAAAAACCCACAGATGAGCAGCAAAAATACACGAAGCTCGCTACTTATGGGAAGTGGCTCCCAAGAATACGGGAGGGGCGGTGGTGGTTCCGCTCTACAACTACCGTTTTGGGAGAAGATTTTCCAATGGGACACACTGTTTTGGCTTGGCTGGATGCGAGACACGGTGTCCACAGACGCTAACTGCATCCTACTTTTGCATCGCAGAATCATAAAGTGGCTAATGAAGCTGGGCCGGCTAGAAATGCGGGGGATGTTCGGGTAAACTCGAAGCGCGGAATGAACTGGGCAGTTTTCCGTATTCCCCGCACAACCTTAATTCGTTCCCAACCGATTGGTGATCTGCGATCGGGTATTCGTTATGGCTTTCCATGATTGAGGAGATTCCCCATGGGGGTGAACGAGCTGATTTGGTAAACCCTGAAACTGAAGAAGTGTCAGAACAAACAGAAGCCCGTATAGACTAAGATTGTTGCCCATGGAGCATTTTTGGTCTAGCGGTAAAATGCCCCAAATTTGTTGCGACAAGAAGCTATCGATAGTGGCTTGCGGGGCTGTTATGGATTCTCTCCACTCTTATCACGATGAACCTATCGGAGAAACAAAAAAAAAAGTAATTCGCTAACCAGAAGCCGAATGGGTTATTGCGAAGCTGAAAAATTGGCCAAAGCTGGGGCAATCTCTTCCTCCTGCCGCTTATGAGTCCACACAGGATTGCCATCGTCGTCGAACTCTGCCCACTGAAAGAACGAACAGCTTTCTTTTCCTGGTGCATATCCAGCGTAGCACATCCACATGTACCGGCCCCGTGATTCTTGTTTACGTTGAGCACACCGAAGGACTGCATGCTCGCCGCAGAGGCATCGAGGTGTATATCGCGGGTGAAGTGTGTCGCGATACCAGCGATAAGTGACATTGATACGCCGATTGCCCGATATTGGATGTGGAGAGATAGTTTGTGCAGGGGCGATTGAGTGTTTCCACTCTTCTTGCATCTCTGCATGCATGACCAGGAGGGAATTGTGTGGCAGATGGATGGATATTTGACCTTGCGCATCTGCACGAGCAGCGGACGACTTTTGATCATTGGCCGTTTTTGAGGGTAGACTCCGGTTGTTATCCTCGGCGCCTATTTGGCCTGCATCATCCTCTTCATCCCGAGGTAGAACGCGGCGGACTCGGAATTCTCGTTCCACGCCCAGGCTTAAACTTCCAATAATCGGATGGGGTCCAAGATAGGTCAGATCATCGGAATGATATCCCACATTTTCCCCAGGCCCATCGTAACAATTGACGAAGGCTGCGTTGGGTCGCCACTCCTTTGGTGACTGATACTTGAGCTTCTTGCCATCTGGGTAAACGTCGCGTATGCGAGCCTGAACTGCTTCGTTGACCGCAAGCTGTACTTTACGGGATACAGAACGAAGTTCTGGCGTTGCTTGTCGAACGTTTGAGCGATACGTACCACCGTACTTGTACTCGGAGGTATGTTGTTGGTATTCCTCGGGTGTTGAGACGTATAAGCTCGTCGTATGTGGACTCTGAACTGTTCGGTTGAAAAGTTGGAATTCGTATCGCGAAAATTGTTTTGATTCATCAAGTAGTTCGATGAGGAGTGCGTTCGCCTGTTCGGCGGGAAGGAAATTGTGGATGATCGTGCAGGGCGTGTAGACTGCAATATCCTCGGGAGAGTAAAGATGCAGGGTCTGTCCTTTCTTAGTGGACAACGGTTTTCGATGAATGAGACTCTCGCTGAGAGTGGTAACAGATCCATCCTTTGCTTTGGTGAGCACATGTGATGATAATGACATTTGGGCCCCGCGAGCTGGATTCGAAGTCGCACGTTTCTTGAAAGGTGAGCTCGACGAAGTGCCTTGGGATGCTAACAGAGAAGAAGCAGCCTTTACAGAACCATTGCAAGAAACCAGGATATCCAACAGATTTTCTTGTTTGGTATCCGGGAACAGTGAGAGCAGAATGGCAATTTTGATGTCTGTTGAGTCCTCGCCAGAGGTATCTGGATCTGGGAGGTTGGATGCCTCCACAGACGTTGCAGGAGACCCCACGCTAGTCCGGGACAACCTCCGCCTCTTCCTAGAGACAAAAGCGTCCATATAGGTCTCGAATCTGGTGTTGACTTGTCTCTGGGAAGGAAGTCACTCCTGATGCCTGCCTGGAACCTCGTAAATACGATAAGGATTTATCAGCAAGGTCTTATCACCACATGACTGGCTTCATATTGACCAATCACAGCATGTCCTTAAAGGTATGTCGGGACATTCAACACTACTTTTGAAGTCCTTCATTCAGTAAAGCTCCAAGGTCTGCATTCTGTACTGATCAAGATGGAGAGAGATAAGTGGATAAATCACATTCAGGTACACGACTTTGCCTGCTGAGGGGCATGCTTTGAATGTCATTTCTACCCATTCGATCGTTTTAGGCATGCAATTCGGAGGCATTATTCGTACTTTTTATACGCCAACATCTAAACATCTCAAAACATTAGATGTGTTTGCTAAGTCTGTCACACTATGAAAGGGCAGGAGGAGTTTGTATTCAATGCTCCGTACATGGCCAGGGCCCCTAGTTGTCTAGAGAATCGACCAACATCTGAGCAATAACCATCATTTGGAACATAGGATCACAGAATTCGGAACTAGCCTTCTTTTAAGAATCCTCCTAATTCTTCTGTACCTCTAAGCTTAGTATATTATCAATCCAGTACCTAGATTTGGCCGCCCTGAACTATAGTTGCCCACTAGAGTTTTCCCCGGCGAATGATAGCGATAATGGACGAGAACGGGAAGGGCGATAAGGATGAGGCCCTCGAAACCGACCTCGGCCCATTGCGCATTTGATCTCCCCGCAATCCTCCCGTCACTTTGTTCGTTTTCCCATCACGACGCGCGCCCTGAGCTATGACGGTGCATCCATCCGATTGCTTGTGATACCCTGAATTGTTGTAGCTTTGATTCACTTGTTTCCTTCGTCTACTCTTCCATAACCTCCCTTGGTCGGCCATCTGACCAGCCCCTCCACGATGCTACACTATCGAACACAGGGCTATAATGGCTATGCGGTAAAATATTCGCCTTTCTTCGATAATCGCTTAGCCATCGCAAGTGCAGCCAATTTTGGCCTGGTCGGTAATGGCCGGTTGTACGTTCTTGAGCTCACGGCTAATGGAATCGTACCTGTGAAATGGTATGTGGGACCTTCGCTCAGGGACGCAGTCGGTCATATATAACTTGCCGGAATCTGCTTTTGTCTTCGACCATTGTCGCGACATATACTAATCTTCGTCCCATGTACTTAATCCAGGTTCACCACACAAGATTCCCTCTACGACCTTGCCTGGTCTGAAATCCACGAGAACCAGGTCCTTGCTGCCTCGGGCGATGGCAGCATCAAGCTCTACGACACAACCGCCGATGATTTTCCCATTATGAACTGGAAAGAACATGGTCGGGAGGTTTTTAGTGTGAATTGGAATCTTGTGGCAAAAGACCGCTTCTGCTCCAGCAGTTGGGACGGCACTGTTCGACTCTGGACACCTCATCGCCAGCAGTCCATCCTCACCCTACCTACTCACAGCTGCACCTACTCCGCCGCCTTCTGCCCACATAACCCCGAGCTCATTTCATGCGTCAGTTCGGACTCCTATATTCGCGTCTTTGATCTCAGAACGCCCGCCTCTGCTTCCAACCACCTCGTCGTCCAGATACCCAACCACGCAGCCCCAGTGACACCCGCCATTCCTGGTCAACCAGGCATGCCTCCAGGCGCGGCTCAACCGGCCGAGATCCTCACTCATGACTGGAACAAATATCGTTCTACAGTGCTTGCAACAGCCGGTGTGGACCGAGCCATTCGCACATTCGACATTCGTGCCCCGCAACAGGGACCTCTGGCCATCATGCTTGGCCATGACTACGCGATTAAGAAAATGGCTTGGTCGCCACATCTATCAGACGTCCTCTTGACGGCAAGTTACGATATGACTTGCCGCGTTTGGAGTGACCGGTCAAATGCTAGCGGGGCTGGCGATGTGGACCTTATGCGATCTGGTCCAGCGGGTCCGGTTGCCGGCTCGGAGCTAGGAAGAATGGGACGACACACAGAATTTGCTACCGGTGTAGACTGGTGTCTGTTCGGAAGTGAAGGCTGGTGTGCCAGTGTCGGATGGGATGAGAGCCTTTATGTGTGGGATGTGCGAGGAGTGATCTCGCCGTGAATGATTCCCCCTTTCTAGTTTGATGTATTCATCTAGCTATCTATTACCAAGCCGTATCTACAAACGGGCATGCATAGACATGCTTGGAGAAAGCCTCCAGCAATCATCATGATTCGACACAATGGCTTCTGAAATGTTTAAACAGGTTCTGTCTCGTATAGAGGAGAAGCAGAGGCTAGATAAGAAGATCGACCAGCCTTTTGTTTTGACCCGAGGGGACCAGGATGTATATGGATATTAATCATTTCATTTCGTAAATTTTATGTCCATGTGGAAGCGCTTCCCGGTCATGATGAGTAGATCATAGATCCACAAGGAAATTCACGCTTGGTCTATCATAGTTGCTATGACGCTGAGCTTCCCCGTGGGTTGAATGTTCACCACGGAAAAGCACCAGCGGCCAATGTGGGGAAGGCTTGCAAACCACAGAAATCCAAATGCATCACTGTCGCACAAGATCTTCCGGATTTTGAACCATCCAATGTAATATTTAGGCCTCAAACGGCCAGTAATGTTCCGTTTGAAGGCCTGAAACCATAGAAACCACTTTATCTGGCCAGGCGACCCTCCGTCTTCTTGCGCTCCGAGTCCCGGACCTGAGCAATCTCGTCCTTGGTAGCGTTGACCGCAACGTGTACTTGGTTGAAGGGGTTCTCTTCGCTCTTTTCAAACTCCTTCCGGCAAATGTCAATGCGCTGCTGTCGGCGCAGGCCTGGGTTCTCTTGTTCGATCTCCGGAAGCCGACGGGCCTCAAACGCCGCATATGCCGCCTTGAATCGTCGCTCGGGGTGACGCTCAACCTTGGAAGTATCCTTGTTCGTCAGGGACAGAGCGTCTAGCGCATTGTCGATACCAGAAGCGTTCAGGGCTGAGCTCTTCTTGCTGGAGAAAGAGTCATCGAGTTGTGAAAGGTCGAGGCCGCGGGTCTTCTTCTGTGCCGTCTTTGCGCCAGCACCCTTGGCCTTGGCTGGCTGGGAGGCTTCTTCTTCAGCTAGGAGGGCTTCGCGCTCAGCCTTCTTGCGGGCAGCTTCGGCTTTCTTGGCTTCGGCATCATCCCTGTGGATGGAAGAAGAGTCAATGTTAGCTTATCCGCCCTCGGGTGGAATTTGGCTTGAAATGATCAGAATCAGGCTCACTTCTTTGCGTTGCTTTTAGATCCCTTAGACCACTCCTTATCTTCCTCGGCGGCGCGCTTGGAATCTTCGGCGGCCTTCTTTGACGCGGCAGCTTCGGCCTTCTGAAGAAGTTGTTAGCGCACGTTATCACGTCGGTGGCAATCAATAGCGGGGGCGGGGTAGTACATACGCGAGCGTTGCCGGCAACCTTCTTGGTGTTCTCGCCCGCTGCTTTCTTGCCTCCCATATTGGCGGTTCAAAAGTAATTCGGAATGTGTTTTTGAAACAACTTCGATGAACTGTGAGAAGAGAAAAAAGTGGATTGATCTGTTGGATGATCCGATCCGCAAAACAATTATGCCGATTCCGATGGAGGCGGTGACGAAGTGACTAATCCACTATGGCTGGTGGACATCTCGTGGTATGGGCATACATTCAGAGAAGAATTCTGTGCTCTGTTAGATCTTGTAAATTCTATTGTAGCTCGGTATTATTCTAAACAAAATTTGAACTATAGACTCTGTACCTTCCTAAAGAGCTGGTTATCTTAATGCCTGAAGTCTCAGGTGTCGAACCCCGGATGCGTTCCTGGCTTCATTTGTCATCGCTGACGGACTCCGGACAACTTCGCGTTGCTTCTGTCTCCACGCCCATCTAATTGCAACCCCGATGATGGCCTCGATATAATATCGGGACTGACTTCCTGGGGCCTCGCATTTATCTTTTCTCGCCATTCCCCGGTCGTATCCCGATACTACCAGCTGCGTGAGCTGGACTCTCCTTCCTTGAACATACTCTCCTTCCCTCCGCGACTTATAACAATGTCTCTGCTCATTCGCTTGCTGCAAGCGCTTGCGCTCCTACTCCTCGCTGGAGCGGTGACCGCTGAACATACATCAAACTGGGCTGTTCTGGTCTCAACATCCCGATTCTGGTTCAACTATCGCCACCTCGCCAATGTCCTCTCCCTATATCGAACCGTCAAGCGCCTCGGCATTCCCGATTCGCAAATCATCCTCATGCTCCCCGATGATATGGCGTGCAATCCTCGCAATGCCTTCCCTGGAACCGTCTACAGTAACGCGGATCGCGCGGTGGATCTCTATGGCGACAACATTGAGGTGGACTACAGGGGCTACGAGGTGACGGTGGAGAACTTCATCCGACTTTTGACCGACCGGCTGGACGACGATGTTCCGCGCAGCAAGCGTCTTGGGTCTGATGCCGGTAGCAATGTGCTGGTGTATATGACAGGCCATGGAGGAGATCAATTCCTCAAATTCCAAGATGCCGAGGAGATTGGCGCGTGGGATTTGGCCGACGCATTTGGACAGATGTGGGAGAAGAAGCGGTACCACGAATTGCTTTTCATGATCGATACATGCCAAGCCAACACTATGTACACTCATTTCTACTCGCCTAACATCGTCGCCACAGGCTCCAGCGAACTCGACCAATCTTCTTACTCCCATCACGCGGACAATGACGTCGGCGTCGCGGTCATTGATCGGTGGACCTATTATGTGCTAGAATTCCTTGAGACACAAGTGACTAGTGCCAACTCCAAACTGACATTGGGAGATCTGTTCGATTCATACGACATGTCCAAGATCCACTCGCAACCCGGTGTTCGCTGGGATCTTTTCCCTGGTGGTGAGCAAGAGGGCCGTCTGCGTACCGTGGTGGATTTCTTCGGCAATGTGCAGAATGTCGAGATCGAAAACGCCAATGCCACCGATCCAGGGTCTTTGAAGGAAGACTTGGCTGAGATTACGCGACTTGTTGAAAAGTGGCGCAAGCGAGACGAGGAATACTCTGCTATTCTTAGCAATTCGTCTTGGTCTCAAAGCGAGGGTGCACAATCACAAACCGTGCATTTACCTTCCAAGAAGCCCGTCGGCGCTACTAAGATGGCCGAGGACGGCAGCTGGGGCAAGCGCTTGGTAGGCTTGTCCGTCATCGGCGCATGCACTGCCGTGTGGGTAGCTGGGTCGATCTTGGGTCGATCCGCCTAAGGCCAAAGTGTCATGATTCTACATTTCCCTGTTGACTTTCTTTCCCAAGTCTTTCTTTCCCCTGTACATACAAGCATACTATGGGTGCAAGGCGTTTAGGTGAATCTTGCCCACCTTATCAACTTCGGCTCTTTGAATTCAAAGGATAATCGTCACAACTGCTTACTAGCGGCCTCCCGTTTCGTCGCATCATACACAGTTTGTCAAAGTAGCTCGCTTTATTGCTCGGCTTTGCTCGCTATAAGGGTAGTCCGAATCTTGCATTGCAACACCAAACTTGACAATTGGCCAATTATTTCAGCTTATGGCAGCGGCCGACTATCTACTTACATGTATGATTTCCACAAGACCTTCCAACTCGATCGGCCTGCTGGAATGTGCAACCCCAACCCTATCTTGGAAATTTCGACACGTCAAGTCGTGGCTAATATCACTATGCAACGGATGTAATATCGTTTCGTGTAGGAGGAGAAGCGTACTTGGTTCTCTTGTTATGCCTATCCTTCCCCGTTCTCGGTCGTGAAGGCGAGGAGACGCCGTTTCCCTTGCTCCGAAAGCACAATATCGCATTCAATGCATACATGTAGGTTCGCCGCGATCGATACGCTGCTTTGTCTGCACGATCAGTTTAATAATAATCTATGCAACAAGTCCTCTTGCAAGTGGACCCCTAAGTGGGCGGGCAACTCGTCGAGATACCGATGGGACTCGATTGAAAGCGGTAAGATCGCCAGTCCTTTGCCCATCGCAAAGTATAACACCTAGTAGATGCATACAGCTACAGCTGACCCTTTTAATACTTTGCAACCCCTTGGAAACGCGGGCTTCGAGGCCTGTCTCCGGTGGCCGTACTACCATTCTGCGTGAGGCGAGGAAGATGGAGTCGTCTTGGGTGCCAGCAAGATCCCGCAAATCGTGCAGAACACAGCCGATATATCGAAAGGACCCTTGCTGAAAGCACTGGTGCAGAAAATAGACTTACTCTGGGGAAAAGTCCATTAGAATGGGGTTGAATATTTTGACCTCTGTTTCTCCCATTTGCATTGGAGCTAGGATATCAGCAGCTTTGACACAGACAATTGAATCCGAATTCTCAAATTTCTAGGGTCTGAAGAAAACCCTCAAATTGGCACGGCTCCTATTGGTTCATTTGTATAGTAACGACCGGGGACGTCGCGAACCAATGTTGATCAAGTCAATGATCCCTTGAGCAACCCCTCAATAATCTGAGATCCATATCGAAAACAAATAGAAAAGATATGTAAATTATTTGCACTAAAAAAAAAACCAGGGATCAAGAAGGATCGTAAAATGCTCGTCTTTGTCGAGGCGACGGGGAATGGAATCTCAGGGCACGTGCCTCGGACGCGTCGCGCCTGGCCGCTTTCCTCCAAACGGGACTCTCGACTTGGTCAGACGAAGTCTTGCAGACCACAACAACCGTGCAATTGCCTTCCTTCACCATTGACCTGGCCTGCTGCGATATCTATCTCATATTCATGCTCGAATGCATTTCTAGCCTTCCTCCATAGCTGGCCATGTATCTTCCACGGCAGCTCATCTCGCACCTATACCTACAACTCCTCCGATCTCACCACCCACTCTCTCCACCTGTTCTAATTCTCGTGGCACTCGAACCCGACGCGCTATGTGCCTGTCGAATCCTGACGGCCTTATTAAAACGCGACTACATCCCCCATAAGATCCAACCCATCGCCGGATATGGCGACCTCGCGCGCGCAGGCGAGGAACTGGTTCGGCCAATGCAGTCCACCAATGGCGGCAGCGGAGGCGTTGTCATATGCCTCGGGGTCGGTGGACTGGTCGATCTTGGTGAAATCCTCAATCTGAACAATCCCGAAGACGAAGTCGAGGATATGGGTGGAATTGAGATCTGGGTATTCGACGCGCGCCGACCATGGAATCTCGCCAACGTATTCGGTGGGCAGGCTGGGATTGGCCAGGCATTGGCAGATATCGATGTTAACGCGCGCCGACGCGGGCGCGGGGTGGAAAAAGGGTGTATCACGCCCGCTTACACGTCGAGAAACGGCGGCATTGTCGTGTTCGATGACGGTGATATTGAGGAGGAACTCCGCGACGAACGAGAAGCATATTTTGAACTACTAGAAATGCCCGAGGTGGATGATGATGAGGGCAGCGACGGTGGCTCTAGTGACGACGATGACGACATGGCCCCCGGGTCGAAGAAGCGCAAATCCTGGTCAGGGCGCGAGGATGAAGACGAGTCAGACGATGAAGACGGGCCTCCCCGCCAGCGGAAGCGGAGTAATTCAGTGCGCAACCCGTTCGATCTATTACCCCATATCAAATACTAATACACGTTCCATAGGGCTCGTCATTGGTCTCCTCTCCAAGTCACCGAAGGAGGACCGCCATCAACTCCTCCAACTCATCCCGTTCGCCGACCCCTACGTCAGATTCACCGTCGCCCGGGGAGGCAAAGCAGCCATCGGCACGGTCCTTGAAGCGGCGCCTGGTTCGACTAAAGCGCAAACACGAGACAATTCTCCAAAAATACTATGCCGCGGGAACGTCATACTCGGAGCCGATATCCTCCTTGGTCTATTCTCTTGCGTCCGAACTGGGTCGTGAAGACAATGATCTTCTCTGGCTTGCGATCATTGGCGCATCAAGCTTGGAGCTCAGTGGCCGAACGATGACCGGTGTCGGTATTTCGAATACATCAGAATCAGGGGGATCCGCAGGCTGGGGTGGGCAGCGTGGAGAGCACATCCGTCAGATCCTCCGAGATGAAGTCCACCGATTGAACCCACCAGATCCGTTGGAGCGGGATCGCGATATCAGAGGGGAGATCAATGGCGTCATTCCCACGACTGCCAGGTCTCCTACGGATACATCTATTCGTCTGTCGCCCGAACCTCGCTTCCTTTTGGTGCGACACTGGTCACTGTACGATAGCATGCTACACAGTCCCTACTTGGCAACAAGGCTGCACGTTTGGACGGAGAACGGTCGAAAACGCCTTCACAAGCTTTTGGCAAAGATGGGCGTCAGCCTCAGCCAGTGCCACCAGAACTATACGCATATGGATATGGAGCTGAAGCGGGTGTTGCGCGGGCGGCTTCTCAAGTACGCACCGATGTACGGTCTGGACGGTTTGGTGCCTCCGGAGCCATCTGGTGGGCATGCTAGTTCCCGCGAGGGATGGGGGTTTGTGCGTTGCTGGGGTTGGAAGGCTTGTCTGTCCGCTACAGACGTTGGTGTCATTGTCGGCGCCATGCTGGAAGTTGGACCGCATGAAGCTTCCGGAGCGTGGGATGCCAAACGGCTTCCTCGACCACAAAGCTCCAACGATGACACTGGAAGCAGCAGGGGCCCTGGTGAATCTGACCTGGCCAGTCTTCTACCTCGGTTCTGGACCGCGTACGATGCCCTATCACTGACGTCCGAGTCACCTACCCTTCTCATGGAGGCCCTGCCTCTGGCTCAGCATCTTCACCGTGCAATTCTGCGCACTGGTACATCGCTACTGTCAAAGCACCAGATCCGCCATCTTCGAGCTTTCCGCATTGCAGTCGTCAAAGACGGGCCTGATGTGAAACTTTTCACTAACCCTGGAGCCTTGACCAAGTTGGCACTATGGATTGCGGAGGCAATCAAGGTTCAAGAGCGCGAGAAAGGTGACTCTGTCAAGATTGGCCGGAAGAGAGCAGCTGGTACTCCTCTCGTCCTCGCCGGGCTTGACGAGGACCGAGATCTTTACGTGGTTGTGGGTACTGGCGGAGGTGGTGGTGTGATTGACTTCGCTGCCATGTCCAAGCGCCAGGAAGAACGTCGACACAAGAAAGACGCCAAGGAGAAGAAGCAAAAGGAGAAAGAAGAGCGGCGAGCCCAGCGTGCAGCGGAGCGAGCTGAACAAGACGACGACGAGGACGCCGAGGACGCCGAGGACGAGGAGTCGGAGGAATCCGAATCATCCTCAGAATCGGAGTCTGAAGATGAAGATCCCCGAGAAAAGAAACATCTGCTGCGCAATCGTTTTGGCATCGCCTTCCAGGAAGTGGTCCAGGAGACCAACGCCCGCGTCCGCATTGACAGCTTCGACCACTGCGTTGTCGAGGTTCAAAAAGATGACCTTGGGGGCTTCCTCGAAGCCTTGAGTTTCCGCAGCGTGGTGGGCTAATTTTCTCATTCCCCATTACCACCATTTTTTTTTCACGCAGTCTACGACCCGACATCTTGCACTTGTTTTTGTTTTGCGCGTTTAGGGAGACATGGAGGGTGGAGCAACTTGGGTTTGGATGGCGAGGGGAACTGGATCTGATCTCCAGTGAAAGGATTATCCAAATGATGAGGAATGAGCGTGTGCATTGCATTTTCTCTCTCCGTTGCAAGCATAATTATTCACGTCTTCCCGTCCACGATCATCTTGTATCTTGCATCTGAGGTCTCTGCACTGGGCTATGGCGTTCGAGGTGTTCTTCTGATTTCTGTTCTCTTGTGCGCAATTCCTATGATCTAGTGTTGCCAGTATGACTCGACAGCCATCTGAATGGATTTACATTAACTTTTACTTACACTACTTGACTTTGATATTTACTTTGTTGACCTACGTCGGGCTTCTCTCCGACTTTCATGCTCCCCCCACACCCCGCCATTCCATCGCAGCATCTCCGATTGCCAACCCGCCGGAACCATATAAACAACTAGCAATGACCCAACGATCTCAACCCAGTCAATTGATCCTCTTTTTGTTTTCGAACATTCCTTAAGTTAGTATCCAAGCATGTCGCAACCACGTCAATACCCCACGCTGCCCCGGGAGGGCACTCTCGCCAACCTCCCAGCCGAATACCCCGCCGACGCGCAAGATCAAATCTCACAAATTCTCGCTACGTCCTCAATTAACCGTCTCGTCGTGCTCGACGACGATCCCACCGGCACACAAACCTGCCATGACATCTCCGTACTCGCCGTATGGGATATTCCCACGCTAGTTACCGAGTTCCAGACCAATTCACCGGGCTTCTTCATTCTAACGAACTCGCGCGCCCTCCCTCCCCCAGACGCCGAAATCCTCATACGAACCATATGCGAAAACGTACTCGAAGCAGCCAAGAATACCGGTAACAAAGTAGACATCGTTCTACGCGGCGATAGCACCCTGCGGGGCCATTTCCCGCTAGAGCCCGACGTCGCACAGTCCGTCTTCGGACCGGCGGATGGCCTCGTTCTGGCACCGTTCTTTTACCAAGGTGGACGCTTTACAATTGACGATGTTCATTATGTTGCCGAGGGTGATAGTCTTGTCCCAGCCGGAGCGACGCCGTTCGCTCAGGATGCTACATTCGGGTATAAGAGTTCCAATTTGCGCGATTATATACATGAGAAAGCCCCCGGACGCTTTGCGGATGATCAATTGCATTCGGTGACCATCGATGAGATTCGGCGTGGAGGACCGCAGGTTGTTTGTGAAAAATTGCTTGCGACGCCCGTCGGGGGTGTGGTAATCGTGAATGCTGCCTCCGAGTCTGATATGCACGTCTTCGTTGCGGGTTTGCTACTCGGTATGTTCAACCCTATCGACCCACGTCGCTCGCAGTCTATATCGTCTAATGAATATGTCTGTTAGCCGAATCAAAGGGGAAACATTTCCTCTACCGCACCGGCGCGGCCTTTGTCTCTACTAGACTCGGCATTCGTTCCAAAGCCCCCATCTCTGCCGCCGAGCTGCAACTCCCATCCCCACGGCAGACCGGTGGTCTTATTATTGCGGGATCGTACGTTCCAAAGACCACGGCCCAGCTAAAGGTTCTCACCGACCGTCTAGGTGCAGCGGGCAAACTGGCCATCATCGAGATGAAAGTCGAAGACCTGATCGCGTCACCGGAGACAGCCTCACAGACCGTGAAGCAGGTAGTTCGGGAGACGGAGGCTCATATCCAGGCTGGTCGGGATACATTGGTAATGACTAGTCGAAAGCTTATCACTGGCGCGGATGAGCTTTCGTCTTTGAAGATTGGTTCTGTCGTTGCGGAGGCTCTTGTTAGTGTTTTGCAGCAGATTGAGGTCAGGCCGAGATATATTATTGCCAAGGTATGTGTGGCTTTTGCTTCGCTGAAAGTCTAGCGCATGGTGGAATGCCTGCTAACGGCGGTTCTAGGGTGGAATTACTTCTTCCGATGCTGCCACCAAGGGACTGAATGTTAAGCGTGCTACTATCGTTGGACAGGCTGCACCTGGTGTGCCACTGTGGCGGTGCGACGAGCCGACGTCTCGTCATCGCGGGGTGCCCTTCGTGGTTTTTCCTGGTAATGTGGGCGGAGAGAACACTCTGTGTGAACTGGTGGAGGGGTGGTTTTAGAGTCGTGTCAATGGTTATGTCTGTCCAAAGTGGATGCTTAGAGCATTCGTGGATATCGACCTATCGAGATCCGGTGAAGGTATGCCCATTACAATCTATAGAACAACATTTTACAATCCAACCCAAGGACTCCGAACGTCTCATTACTCAAATTTGATATTCATTTAGCCAGTACATCTATGGTCATTGCTCATAATCCATGAAAGCATATCTCGTTGCTGGTCTCAGTCAGCCCCACCAGAAGCTAACGCTAATACCAGCTCGCAGGCCCCGAACATAGTGCCACCATCCAACGGGGATGTATAGACACTCGCCCTCGTGCAACACAGTTTCAATGTACTCTGCCTGAAGGAATCCTGGCCACATCGCCTCCCATTGTTCATTCTCTGCGGGGGAAAGTTCAATGGCCGCAACGTCGACCTTGGAAGTGTTGGACATGTCGATAAGTCTCTTGGCAGGTTCGCCATCAGACGAAGTACCGGATTCGGTCTCGTCCTTGGAAGCCACCCATTCCTGACCCCGTGGATGAATTTGGGAAGCTGGGGTATGCGGTGAGTAGAGACGGATGTATTTGGTACCGACCACCTGAACGAGAATATTGTGATACTGATCATGGTGAAGAGGCGAGATAGTCCATGACGGCCCGATCCAGGTGTTGATGATCGGGTCTGTCGGGAATGCCATTAGAGAGCCCGCCTCTGACGCGTTATCGTCCTTTTCGGCTGAAAAGGACGACTCGTCTGCTTTTGGGCTCGTCATGTTCTCCGCCTTCTTGGCCTTTGCCGCTTCGCGCTCTCGCTGCTTGGCTAGGTAGACGGGCGTGCCCGGTTCTGCACCCGGAGGGTCGATATAGCAGCAGTCAGGTATGCTGATATCGTTGCGCAGAGCAGGAATCTGCGAGAGAAGATCATGCTGTGCCATATACCCGGTCTCCTCGTCGTCTCCAGAGTTGCCATGCTCATCTCGCGGTCGAGCGCCGAGCCTCAGCTTTCCTCGCCAGATATGCTTATCCAGGAACTCCCGAAACTCCATAATCTTCTGTCCCCATCCTTCATCAGTGTACGACCTGCCCACTTCAACGGGCACAAGCCTGCGGCCGTTCAACGTGCGGTTGAACCAGTACTCGCGAGAATTCCAGTGACGAGTCGACATCGCTGGCCAATGTTCCACTGCGTCAGTAATCACCAGGGGTGTGCCAGTTTCGAGGATATGCTCCTGCATGGTATCGAAGGACGGCGCCGAGACGCGCGGAATGGGGTACTTTAGGCGAGGCGAGGGGACGGACTCGGGAGGGAAGAGTGGCTGTGAGAGTTTGCGGCGCTTGGAGGGAGGTATGGACTCGTCGTCAAGAGCATAGTCCGAGACATCTTGTTCAGAAGTAGCCGTCTGTAGTGTAGACAGCAAGGTGTCGATGAGCTTCTCTCGACGTAGTCCTCCCGTCATGAGTAACGCATGGTCCAGAGTGTGAATGACCTCGGGAAGCCATGACGAGCTCGAGCAGATCTTCACGTCTTTGGTCACATTTTGTAAATCATGAATTAGCTTAGGCACATCCACTTTGTGTGTTGTGGCTTGCTCGGTCTGGGAACCGAGGAGGTTGCAGTTGCGGATAATGGCGAGGCATGCTTTCACGATCGACGCGTCGGTGTACAATCGACGCCAGCTGTTGTGCACGTCTTTAAAGGGGAACACGTGTAGTTTTTCATCGGCAAGCCTGAGCGCGTTCGCAGTGTCTTGAAAAAGGAGGGTTTGCAGGTCATCGGTGCACTGGAGGATTGGGTCGTCGGAGGTTGGTGCGGCGACGGCGGTCAACGAGTTACTGAGGACGGAGGAGAGGCTCATGGTTGCGCAACTCGGCCACGGGCTCGTCGAGTGTGGAGGGAGAGTGGAGGAGTTGAAACACCGGAAAGATTCCTGAGCAGACTACCTAGATGTGGCAGATGGGGCTCAGAAGTGTTGTGTCCATTCCATGTCTGTTTTGGACAAAGCTCTGGTTGGGTGAAAAGGCCATGCCCGACAGAGTTGGGAGTTGCAAGTTGGAAGTTGTCGTTCACTTTGCACTCTACCAACTTACAATTTTCAACTCTTCTCGGGAGACACCAGTCAATTATAACAATTATTTGGATGCTTTTTATTGTACATGATATGCTTTATAGGGATATTTCTAATATACATATTCCACTCCTATGGCCTGAACAATGGTCGTCGTTTGTTTACGCCAAATATTGCATCACCAATTTGGGGATGCGAGAGACTCCTTCGCCTTTGATGGCACTGACTGGAACAACGGTCACCTTCTCCTTCCATCCGTCCGCATGACCAGATGGATGCTCAACAGCCCCCTTCTCCACGGCAGAGAGGTACTCCTGCAAAGCGTGGTACTGTTCCTGGGTATTCTCGAGGTCGGCCTTGGTAGCAACGACGAACCAAGGCTTGGTGTGAAGAGGTGGCATAGCGAGAGGAGGCAACGAGCCGGAGGATCTATAGTTGAGGGCTTGGCCTGAGCCCTCATACTCGGGGGTTTCCATCTCAATCTCTCCGTTGTGTGGCCGATGAAGCTCAGGAAGTCCAGATCCAGATGGCTCCCAATCAATTACACCCGGCTTTTCCTTGATGGTAGGTTCAGGCTCGGTATTGCGCAATCGCTCATACTCTGCGAGCTCATGCCACAGCTTCTGTAGCTCTTGGACCGGATCTCCGTTACTGAGATCCAGCACAAAGGCCAAGATCCCGGCCCGGTCAATGTGTCGCAGGAATCCAAGGCCGAGACCACGGTCAAGGTGCGCGTCCTCTACCAAGCCAGGAATGTCGGCAATGGTAAAATGAGTCCGGCGAGTCTTCTTCTGTGACTCAACCAAAGGTCGGCCTTTGTTATCATCAACAATGACCGTGCCGATATGGGGCGATAGGGTTGTAAACTCCCAGTTTCCGATGCGGGTGCGACTGTTGGTCAAGGAGCGCAGAAGCGTGCTCTTTCCCGCATTAGGCTTGCCAACCAGCCCCACGTCAGCGAGCAGCTTGAGCTCAAAATCAAGTTCCAGTTTCATTCCTCCCTCGCCACGAGACGCGAACTTGGGTCGGCCCATGTTGCGCGTCACGAAATGCGGATTGCCCAATCCACCAGCACCGCCCGCGGCAAGAAGCATGGGCTTGTCCATGGGCTGGTCAAGATCAAGATAGATGGGGGCCTTCGGCTCCATCGCTGCGATAGCCTGCCTCCGTGGCTTGAGTCGCGGGAACTTGACCGTCAAGAAATCAGACGGGTTGGCACCGGGATGAAGCATCCAGCGGTCATGTCGAACCGGTGTGAATTCAATCTCATCTTCATCGACGGGTTCATTCTTACGTTGTCGCATCCGTGCGATCTCCTCTGCGACAGGGTCGTATCGCTCGACTTCCCGCACCACAGTCCCGACTGGGACTTGGAGGAGCACGTCATCGCCACGCTTGCCGCCTTTGCTTTTGCCCTGTCCATTTCTCCCTCGGCTAGCCTTGATGATACCCCTTCGGGCGAGTTTGTGTAGACTGGTCAAGCCCTCGACGGCTTGAATGTAGATACCGCCTCCACTGCCGCCATCACCACCGTTTGGAGGTCCTTCTTCAATGTATTTCTCGCGTAGGTACGAAACGCATCCATTTCCACCTGCACCAGCGTACGCAGTGACGTGACATTTGTCTTGAAAAATGAATCGCGAATAATCTTCCGGTTCTGGGTTCAAGTGCGACAGTTTCGAAGGTTCATTGGAGGAGATGTCGTCATCGGATCGCACGTTGCTGGGCGTCGTACTCTGCCATCTTTGGCCGAGTATGGGTGTAGATATTGTCGGTAAGGCTCTTTCCGAGCAGATTCCTGCGCGGATGAAGAGGAGAGACCGTATAGGAACGTTGAGACAAGCTCGAGGATATGCCATGATGCTGCGCAGTTCGGACTAATCCAGCCTCATTCTGCGCTGTGCGCACTTCTTGACGATTCAATCAGCACAATTTCATGAGAATCCAAATCCAAGCATATGAGAGTCGCAAGAACGTTTGGAGCAGCGTAACAAGATAATTTCTTGAAAAAAGCGAGTGAGGCTTCGCGACGGATTCGTCTGTCGTGGATTTCTCGAGCTCTCGATAACTGATAAGGATATCATCACGTGATGATCATCACTATCAATCACCAGCTTGGGGCCCATTGCGCTTTGAGTTTAGGTACAGACAGGTCAATTCGGTTCAGTCTAGAATTGGGGCCGGAGGTGTGGCCTGATGTCTCGAGGATATTGGATTTCACATTTTTAGAGACTAGGATTCGCAGAGCCCGTTAGCACGCATAATGGCAATATTTTCAGGCCGGCGCAAAATAACGGACAGCAGCTTCCCGCGCCAACCCCTACTCTCGCTCCACCCATGCTAAAATCATCCTGGAAGTCAGCCCAAGCCTCTTTTTCCAGGTCAATTACGTTGGCTGGCCCCGTTGATAGATGCATGGGGCCGAACCCACCTCGCGCAGTCAAATGTCAGCCAATGACTGAACAAGGGCTCGGTTGGTATTTTGGGGCTCTTATCCACTCTCCATTCAGCTCAGCCTTCATGAGCCCAAAGTTTATGACATTCTCGTCATAAGCAAACACTTCAGCCAGCTAGACTCAGCCTTGTCCTATGGTTGGCGGCGAAAATGCTCGTTGCTTTTTTCACCACTCTTTCCTCTTAGTTACACAGTCTCATCGGCTTCACAGAACGGACTGCCCGAGTATGGAATTCAAACAATGCTCTGTAGCCGGTGAGGCGCAGAAGGGGAGTCCACATCGAATAAGGCAGGGATCCGGCCTCTTTTTCCGTTGAAAATCAAGTCGAAAGAGACTTTTGGCTTGTTCTTCGGCAATCATGCCCCCCTTACAGCCATCTGCGAACGGCGGGCTATCGAATCGGTTCAGCCGGCCTTGCGTATCTGTATGCATATCTAGTACTCCAGAACACCGTCGAACTGTTGTCCTGGCCCAAACTATAGAGATCTGACGCGTCAATAATATGCCCGTCTGGCAGGGTCCGCACGACGGGGATTGACCTTGTTTATATGAACCTCCCTTGAAAGTGAGAAACTCGTTTGACTGGCACCATAATCAATTTGAACAATAGGATTGACTGTGATCAAGTCACAGCGGCATTGAAGTCTGGAATTCCACTGCCCAGAGTCAATCGACATGACTCGATCTACAATCAGCCACCACCCAGCTCGGTGATTTCCTCCCCTTTCCCCGGTGAGGGAGTCGATCGGTTGGAATTCGGGGATCTCGGTAATCGGCAGATGCAGCCAAATTCATAGTTGCAGATGATGGACAGCGGGTGAGACGTGCATACCGAGGCGCCGCCGTCGGTCTTATCGAATATGGTATACGGTCACTGTGGTGGTTACTTGCACTTCCCAATTTGTATTTCAAATCTGATATGTCGCCAAATCTAATCTGTCTTGGTTTCATTTGGAATTTCGAATTTCATTGACAGCAAGGACAAAGCCATGGTGCAACCGCCGCATGGCCTCTTTGTTCCTGGTCAATGCAATAATTGGCTGGCGATCCTAGTCTGGTTGCTGGTTCGTCACAGTTAAAAGGGAACTACGTTCTACCTGTCACACCTATGGCGCGCATGTCGGGGGAGCTGATCACACTACTAACAGCCGGAAAGGGATCTTAGTTCATGTCACATTAAGTACCGGCGAACGGAGTGTACTTTCTGCTGAAAAGAGTCTAGGCTACTGCTGCACTCCAGTCGATTGAGTTTCAGAATGTGCATGTTATTTGCCGTGAATAAGAGTTTGATCATGTCTCTTATGGTACCACATACAATAGGTACGGAAACTGACTGCTACAAAACGTACTTCGCAGCCGGATTGTAGAACTGCCGTCGGATACATATTGCGCAAAATATAGAGTCGAACCCCCGTCCATTATCAATGACAGTAACTCTTGACTGAGCTTACAGATTCAAATTGGTCTTGATAAGAGACAATATTTGCGAATGAAGTCATGTTACATTGGATACATATCTTTATACATCTCAGCTAACATCTTCCGCACCGAATGTCCAATACCTATTCTAACAGGTCAAGGATGCATTCGCTAGCAGTTCTTCGGAGCTGAGAAGCCCAATTTTCATGGAATGGCCCCATCTAACTGCGCGTCAATCTCCAAAGGAGCTAGCGTCTACCCCATAAAAAGTACACAATCTATACTCATCGTAGCATTCACCATACTAATGTGATTCGGGAAAAAAAAGGTACCCTCTACAATTGACACCTCATGAGGAGGCGCCCAGGCTACGGAAGACGAGTCGGAGCGCCAGCTACCAAAGTACAGTGCAAAAGTGCCAGCTGCAGGGGCAGATGTTATCCATCACTTTTCATCAAGCTGATCATCACGCCTCATTATCCACCACCGAGGGCCCAGATTCAATCCTTGGCCTTTTGCCCCCGCAACACGGAAGAGCGGCCAGAAATGATTGACAAAGTACAAACGCCGTACAAAGTACCTATCAATTCCGGGCCAAAGTACAAGACCCACGAAAGCAGGATTTTATCCCAGTCTTCTGGAAAAAGGACGGCTGAGAAGCAGGAACCGCTGGGTCCGCGGAGCGGAGAACAAAGATACATCGCAAGGGTTAGTCCGAAGCTAGAGATATCCGAGGCGATGGTTTCGATCCAGTGACGATCCACAAAACAAAGGCACTTTAAGTCGTTAGGAGGGAGTGTAAGAACTACGGAGTCGTAGTACGAAAACGGCGTATTTGTGGCAAAAGAAAGGGGTCGCCAACGGCGCAAGGGTGGAGAAAAATCTAAGGCCATAATCATAAACCACAGTGTCAAC